AGTAGTACTCGGGCAACACTGGTAGCAATAGCGATAGTTAATTATGCTGAAAAATAAGACTTAAATAATATAGCAGCAACATTAAACCTACAGATCCTGCCCCCCTGTTTAAATAAATCCTATCTCTGGTCTTTTTACTGCCTAGTTCTGCGGCTCACCTAATTAAATAAATCCAGCCATGGAATTATTTTCCTTTTATAGTAGCCCCTAACTTCCACACCTTTTATAGGAGATCATGCCTATATTGATATGAAGCTGCAAATTTATAAGTGAAACAAGGAGAGTGAGTACTTATATCAAAATCATTGAAAACAAATCAAAAGTTATAAAGCCTAGAGTTAGGGTTGGGCCCATTATATAATAAGGGTACAGGTGCTATTATAAGCAGTGGATTAAAAAGGTAATCAACGAGAAATCAACTTACTATTATAAACACTGCCTCCTTTAATGTGCCACTTGTCTTGTCAGTCTTATATTTAGTTTTGCTAGCCATTTTATTAAACGATATTTGATATTATTATTATTAAGCCTAGTTTCCATAAAGCATCGATGACTCCAATTTATACAATTAAGGCAACTGCTTCTACTAACTGTGCATGAAGCGGACAATTTGATCCAACGATTAAATCCATTTAGGATACCTTTTCAAGAACTACTATAGCAGGCCCATTGTATTGCTTCCGGCCCGACCACCAGTAATACAGACCTCCTAAAACCAACCACCCCCCCATTACAACCACGCAATAATTCATATTCACCGATGTGACTGGTTGGGAATTAGGAAATGCGCTAAACACCATGGCAAAGGCGAGCCAGGCGATCGCAATCACATTTATTACCATACCGCCAATTGTCCCTAATGTGAATGGGCCCGGGCGATGACTTCCCGATTTGCGGCCATAGAGAGTCATGTAGATGATCGGAAGAATATATGAGGCGTATATGCCAAGTATCGCCATGGAGAGGACAGCGTTAAAAGCAGTTGAGCTTCCAAGGTAAAGGAATCCAAGCAGCATCTGAATCACAGAAATGCAGACGATCATGCGGGTTGGTACAGCGTAACGTTTGTCGACGTGCGCTAGGTAGCCCGAGAATGGGATGGCACCATCACGAGCAAAAGCCCACGCAGTTCGAGACGTTGATGTGAGACCCGCAGCGTTCGCTGCCATCGCAATGAACGTGACTGTCAAGGATAATATCGAAGCCCCAGCTTTACTTTTGGTGACATTCAGAAATAGCTGCATAAAAGGAAACCCTGTTGGTGACAGCAACAACTGATCGAGATCACCAATCGAGAATAATAGGATAACGCAGTAACCTAATCCCATAATACCATTCACGATGACACTGCCAACCATTGCTATCGGGACATCGCGGGCTGGATGAGCCATTTCCTCGGCAAGATGAGTTGCGCTATCGTAGCTAAAATAAGTTAGCATAAATCCACTCGCATTGTTCAGAGAGAGCGAAAGGGCTGCTCTCGGTATCGGCAAGGCTATGGCCAGGTCTACTTACCCCAGGAACGGATATACAGTACTCAAAAGCCCCACTAGCCAGGAAACGCCGTCGTTTGACCAACCACTTGTGTTCGAATGCTCGGTGAAGACATAGGAAGCATCGTGTTTAGGGGCCATAATCCCAAGAACGACAACGATTGTGAGAAACGCTACAATGTGAATGACACCTGCTGTCATCAGCCGCTGATGTGATCAAAAGGCGGATTGGACTTACCAGAGGCCATATTCGTAAGTGGTAAGAGCTTTGATCCCCACAAGTTCAGAGCTAGTGAGTAGGCGAGGACTACCCAATAAACGAGCATACCTTGCCACCGCTTCGGGATATAAGAGTCGGGATTGTTCAATGTGATTAATGCTTGTAACTGCAAGGCGGCAGCGAAAGCAGCCGAAGCAGACAATACAATCTGTCCACCACACGATATCCATCCTGTGAACCATGACGCAGCCTTGCTTGATCGCGATGGAGACAACAGAGCTACCCAGTGGTATTGGCCTACGCAGGCGTCAATTCTTGCATACGCTCTCAAGTGTTAAACACCTGTGACTACGTACCTCCAGCGGTTGGGTACATCGACGCTATTTCACCAAGGGAGCAGGCTACTGCGATGGTCGCAAGAAAGGTTATAATGCTATGAGTGACATAAGAATTGACCTCGAAGTAGATGAATGGAGCGCGGCACTCACTAGTTGTAGAACAGGCAAGGCGCACCACCGTTCGTTAGTGCTGTTGCAACGACAGTTGAAAGAGCTTCCCATGTCGCCATCAAGCAGAGACAAAGCGATCCGAGAGACCAAACGGAGAACTGATGTCGCAACTCGACATTCTCCATGAGCTCTACCTCAGCCACACTTGGTTTATCCGAAAAAATTCCATGATCCTTCTCTAATGAGATATCAAGAGACATTGCTTTGTAATGGCCAAGCTTGAAGGATGGCCTTATTATATAAAAGGGTGTGTGTAGGTAGTTGATATTCACAAACCGATCTCTGTCTAGTGTCCTAGTACTAGTGAGAGCTTTTGACATGAAGATGAGAGATCACTTTATAGCATTCATGTGCTATCAATGGCGGATGTGTTCCGTTATGCTCGCTACTGATCAGAAGATCCCGATCTAGAACACGACGAAAGAATTAAGAGTAGCCTTCATAGGCCAACTGGTTTGTTAGTTGACTTGTGCGCGTTCATGTTCATGGGAATCAAGAATACTCCGATTTCTAATCTTGTTTCAACTTATCCTGTCCATTCTTATAGGAACAAGAAATTGAGTTGATTTGAGTGCCACCTTCAAACGTGGACCAAGAGAAAGACCCGCATTGTAGAATTGACGAGAAATGGGTGATGGGGTAAATTGCGGGGCAGTAAAGGCTTAGTTCTCAGGCAAGCAGTTACTGGTCTTACCGAATTGGAGTGCGGGCTCCACTTCGAAGCCTGAATCGCCTTGTTCCGCGATCTGTCATTAGTACTGCGAGACTCCTATCACCCCTAGACCATCCCCGCTCGTAAGAGGCATGCGGGTGGTGGGGTAAGTTGCGGGGTGGTGAAAGCTTGGATCCTAGGCAAGCAGTTATTGGTCTTAGCGGAATTGGAACGCGGGCACTTCTTCGCACCCCGACTCGGCCTTGTTCCGCGATCTGTCATTAATATTATAGAATTCACCCCCCCCATCCCCCCCCAAGACCATCCTCGCTCACAAGAGGCGGCTTCTCTGCGGAGATGCCCCGCTCTGTGAAAGCTTCTCACACCATCTTTAGAGGTATTTAGTTCATAACCTCCAATTACGACGGTCGAACAATGAAATTTTGAGCCCTTTAATCGAACAAAAGCACCCCGAGAAACAGTAACGAGAAGCAATTGAGGGCCAAACAGGTGTTGGCCTATTGACAATTACAAACTCTACCGATATGGCACCTCATCCCCTTGACAGCTTAGCTGTCAACGAAATCAACGTCGCGAGACAGGTTATTCTCGATGATTATTCGAACGTCGTCATCGATTTCAGAGAGATCTTCCTCCAAGAGCCCAGAAAGGCAGAATTGCAACAATTCCTACACCTAGAGCACACAGGCTGCCTAAGCCCAAGCACAAAACGGCCCACCCGATTAGCAACATGTCAGTACGATGTTGTCGGAGCAAACAAGATCCCAGAATTCCATGAGGCTACCATTGACATTAGCAACGAGATAATTGTCTGTCGTGAGGTGGTCGACGTGCAACACCACGCAAGTCTAACTCTGTAAGCAATTTCTTCCATTTAGAGTTGACGACCAATGCCAGTCACTCACTGACAACGACAAAGCAAGGAGTTTGATGACTTGATTGCAGCTTGCCATGCTTCCCCACTTTACCAGGAAGCGCTGGCTGAATTCATACTGCCAGAAGGCTTTGAAGTCATCGTCGAGCCGTGGCCATATGGCGGTCTCGATGCCTCCGACAAGAATATGCGCTTCTTCCAAGGTCTCTGCTTCGCCCAAGACAAGCGCTCAAATAACGAGGATTCTAACTTTTACGGCTATCCGCTCCCATTGATTCCAGTCATGGATGCTCGGACAAAAAAGATTATTAGAATCGATCGCCTCGCAACTGGCGGTAAAGGAGACAGCCTAAACGGAAAAACGAACTCTAGGAACATTATTAACCACTGTGTACCGTCTGATTATGCCCCTGAGCTACTTCCTAAAGGTACGAGGAAGGACCTCAAGGCTTTGAATGTTATTCAACCAGATGGACCGTCTTTCAGAGTCAAAGGTAATTTGATTGAATGGCAGAAATGGAGATTCAGAGTGGGCTTCAACCCACGTGAAGGGGCAACAATTCACGACGTGCATTACGATGGTCGAAGCATTCTCTATCGTCTCAGTGTTAGTGAAATGGTACGTAAGACATCAAATACAGTCAAGCTTGATCTAATGAATTATGTAGACTGTACCATATGCAGATGCTCGGGCTCCTTTCCACCGTAAACAAGCATTTGACTTCGGAGATGGCGGTGCTGGAAACTGTGCCAATAACCTCTCCCTAGGATGTGATTGTCTCGGTGTCATTAAGGTAAGCCTGGTAACCTGAGATCCGCAACTCGAGATTAACAGATTGACGCAGTATTTTGATGGTGTTATTACAGACTCTGCTGGGCGAGGCAAACTAAGTCCTAATGTGATCTGTCTTCACGAACAGGACAATGGGATTGGCTGGAAGCACACGAACTGGAGAACTGGCCGCGCCGTTGTTGCCCGCAACCGCGAGCTCGTCGTTCAATTCATCATCACCTTGGCGAACTATGAGTACGTCTTCGCGTATAAGTTCAATCAATCAGGTGGCATTGTAGTCGAAACTCGAGCAACAGGCATTGTTAGTGTCGTTAACATTGACCCTGGCAAAACCAGTGATTACGGCAACGTCGTCTCACCAGGAGCACTGGCGCAGAACCACCAACACATATTTGCAGTTCGCATCGACCCGGCCATAGATGGTAACCATAACACAGTACTAGAGGAGACCTCGCATCGAGTCCCCATAAATCCTGAGACAAACCCGAACGGGAACTTCTACGAAATTCGCCAGAACATCATCAGAGAATCGCAATGGCTCGATGCCGCTCCCCAGCATAACCAGGTCATTAAAATGGTGAACCGCAGCAAAAAAAACCCAATCAGTGGAAAGCCAGTAGGCTATAAATTCATGCCAGCACCGACGCAGCTATTACTTGCTGACCCAAACTCCGTCCAGTCGAAGCGAGCTTTGTTTGCGCACCATCATATCTGGGTCACCAAATACAAGGATGGAGAGCTGCATGCAGGTGGTAAATATACTTTACAGAGCCAAAAGGAGGTTGGTGGCGTTGCAGACGCTGCTGCCCGCAAGGATGCCGTGGAGGATGACGACATTGTTGTTTGGAACGTATTTGGTCTCACTCATAATCCTAGGGTTGAAGATTGGCCTGTCATGTGAGCATTCAATGCCTCATAACCTAAAAGTCTCAGCCCCTGCTAACAGAGAAACTTCTAGGCCAGTGGAAATCCACGAGCTGCACATTAAGCCAGCTGACTTCTTTACCGCCAATCCATCTATTGACGTCCCTTCAAATAAGAATGTGTCATCCCAATTGGTAGAATCGGAGTGTTGTTCAAGATCATAAAAAACATGTGTTGTTATGCTTATTATGGTAACCTTGTGTATGCATGTCTACTAGTAAGTTCTGTGTCGGTGTCAAGGCATAGATGGGAATTCGAAGTTGCAATGTTAGTACCCGCGAATAATTTTAAAGGTTAATATCAGAGATGCAACGCAAATTATCCAAAATATTAGAACTGCCACCCTGCACCATATATGTACTATATATACAACAGTGGGTATTCGCTGGTGGTCACCCACCCAACTACTAATCTACCGATCTTAAGTAATCCTCCAGATAATAGTTAAATCGGTGCCATCCAGCCTAGTGGGTGAGCCTTGCTACCCTTACCCTTATTTTGTGATCGCGACCACCTCGACTACCTCAACCACCTAAAAGTAGGTCTATTTTTTACAACGCGTTGTATCGCGACAGTAGACGCCTACAGGTGAGTGAGTGAGCAAGGTGAGCAAGGTGAGCAAGGTGGGCAAGGTGAGCAAGGTGAGCAAGGTGAGCAAGGTGAGCAGGGTGAGTAGGGTGAGCAGGGTGAGCAGGGTGAGTAAGGTGAGGGTGAGCTAGATGGGTGAGAAAGGTGAGTACGGCTGAACTAAGAAAATAGTATAAAGAGCTAGTCACCCGCTTCCATATTTCAGAGCTTCTGTTTGCATCATCTATTTTCTTTTAAGTTATTTGCTACTATAGGGCAGCCAGCCTTTACTCCCAAGGAAACACTTGCTATAGCACAGGGGCGAGGTTTTACTATATAGAGTACACTTAATCAACAAAACCAATTAAAGGAGACTAAACAGTCCTATCCTTTGGTTTCGACCACAGTAGGAGCCCATTTAACTGCAAAGTCGAAGCCACACCCTTCTAATAGGCGTTGAGTCGTTGTCAGGATGAGATGCTGTAGGTTATATAGAATGGATGTCGCAGTGAGGGGACTTTTAATTCCATTTGTATTGGAACTTTAGGCATAGTTGAATTGGGTAGCGGCAGCGTCTACTTAGGCACTCTAGGCAATTAGTACAGCTAGGTAATTTCGATAGTGGTAACAAACACTCTTCTATATCTGCATCTTCGTGATACTCATTTACTCTACCTCCTGATACTAGGTCTTTTAGAGCCTCTGCTTTAGAACGTGCCGCCTTATTTTCAAATGCAGCTCGCTGCATACTTTGGGATGGTATAGTTTTGGAAGAGCTCTGGAAACGAAATCTTTGCCTGAATATCTGATTTGAAAACACAAAATTCTAGGAGCACCTTGGGAATATCCACAGCTTTAGCAGATCCAAAATCCTTGATGAGTGCTCCTAACGAACTTGATTTTTTTTTACTAGCTTCCGGATTCCAAGGCTGCAAACCTGACGTCGGATGACTTCTGGTCAGCCGTTTCGGGGCCGCTGCCTTCAATCTCCAAATCGACGTACTTCTTTCTGATTTTGTTATACACGCTGTCGTATATTGTCTCTTGCATCTAGGTACGTTTTCAACAATCCTCAAGATGGATGATATGTGTGGGAACGAAGAGGATCAACACAAACGTGTCTCTATCGAAATAAGGCTTATGAAGTTCACCAGAAACCGCGCAACACTTTTCAATGGTAGTAGTGCCTTTGTGCTCTCTCTTTAACTTTAGTAGAAAAGGAGCTTGTTAGATTTACTTAGATTGAAATGATTCTGTAGGCTAGTTATTCAGATTTATACGCATTTGTGGACATTTAATCGAGCCGTGGGGACGTTTTACCTTCGGCAATGCAGGTTGGTATGGACCAAAGTCGAGTCTGTACTCTGGTAGGGTTTACGATCGAGCGGGAACCTCAGCTCCTATGATGCCGCAAGCACGACCACCTCTCATGGAACACCTTCTCCTGTGCCAGCAAGGCGCTTATATCGTCAGCCGAGTTTTTTCTGCCGGTATAATTACTTCGGCCTTCTATATGCTTTCTCGCAACGCGAAGATTATACGTGCAGCAAATAGGGAGCAGATCCGCATTCACGAGGTTCTCTCTGTGGCTGCGTGCGACATCGACCATCATCTTCGACGCAGTGTCCAGGGCCAAACGCGAGCTTTGGGCTATATGCGCTTGGGCATGATCCGTTGATGGCGAACCGATCAAGGCAAGAATGCTCTGGTGTAAAAGAAAAAGTGATCTGTTGAATGTTAGATTCAAACGAGAGAAAAGGCACTGCCAACAACAAAATGAGCGTACCTGATCGAAGATGCAACAACACCGCAGTACGTGACCTGCTCCCACGTGTGCACCTCCATGATATGTGTGAGAAAGGACTGCACTGTATCATCTAGGCATCTCAGCTCTTGTAGTTTGGATTCGTTGCTGTCCGGAAGTCTGGCAGCACGCGTCACCTCATTGTGCAGGTACATAGCTTGCGCTTGGCGGCCAAAGGTGCTGATGTGAGTGGCATTTATATTGGATAGTTGGGGGGTATCAAAAGTCTTGGCATTTGGCGGCTTAGGCTGGAATGGCTGTCCAGGGGTGAGGTCCAATGGCAGGTAGGCGGTTGGTCCTGGGTATTCTGTTGAAGGTTGGCGGCTTCTGTCCAGAGCCTCAAATAAAACAATTCTAGTCCTAACTCAGTGGTCTATTATTGCTAGCAAACTATCGTGAGCCTACCTTTCTAGGATCACAACTCCCCACCATACATTCCAAGCCTCAATTGCTTTGAGTTTCGACATTGGGTCATTATCCGATGTGTTGATGCACTTGTCGAGACCAATACTGTCAGCCATCTTCAGACAGGTTCCCATCGAGATGTAAGCGGCAACGGGCCGTCCGCATGCATACTCAAATGCCGAGATGATAATGCTTGCTTGGACCATACGTATCGAGGTTGGGACTATGGCTTGCACTTGCCCGAATAGCATCTTCACAGTCATATAGAGTGCTTCTGTGGTGACCTGGTTTCCCGGTGTGTGCCCTAGCGAAGCAGCTGGCTCGGGGATTGTAATGAGGCACATGGTAAGAATGAGAAGCGAGAAGTCTGCTGGTGGCGATGGAGCGAATTGGGCTCTAGCGATCGCCTCTTGGAGAAGAGTGTCCGACAGGACGGGGAGCCATTTGTGAACACCATTAAAATATCGCTCGCATACTTCATGCACAGTCGTGCTTACAGAGAGTAAGACGAAGTTGACCTGGAAGTCTAGAATTCTGTTAAGATTGCATTCCGAACTGCTAGAGAGCGAGCACAACTGCGTCAGCAACGGGATGGGGCTCGGGCTGTTGATCCAAGGCCCATACTGCTCCCCGGACCACGCAGTCATGCTGGAAAGTGGGGTTGAAAGATCTCTTTTGGCAGAGCCTGTCGTGTCATACTTGCAAACGAGGTCTCTCTTGGTGCAGTACCCGCAATTGGGCAATCGTTTGTCACAGCCCTTTTTCCGTGCCTTGCAGGTGCTACAGACCTGCGCTGCACGCTCTTTGTCAGGCGAAGCCATAGCAAAATCTGCTGGTGCCCGCCTTGAGTTTATGGTCCTCGAGTGGAGCCGCCCTACTACCGCATACCGGCCTTAGAGCGTTTGCCGTGATATGCCGGAAAGCTAAGGAATAAAGGGGTTGGCGGCCGCTGCTACTTAGAATCTGTTAAAGATAATTCGGGTTTTAATTGTAACACCGAAGGCCGAGATAGATGCATTGGATGGCGGCCGCCACTACCAATATATATAATCAATTTGGTTATGTCGATGCTGACTGTTGTCTTGAGTCGCATCGTTGACAAATAGGTCCGGCGGCCGCCATTAAACTAGTAGTAGTTAGGCTCTGTAGATTACAGGGTACCCGCGCCGCGGAAAATAACTTAGTGTCCCTTGTGCCGAGAGCCCCACACACAGAGATCTTCTCCTGTAAACAAGCTACCTCTACCGAACTATAGGCACTCCTCGTCAGTAATCAGTAATTACTAATCATAACGATGAATATAAAATACAGTCTCCCCACTTGCAGTAAGCTGAATCATTTTCTTAAACAAGACCAGCATTTGCTGCTTTCCGAAAAATTTCTCCAGGGCAATGGAGTCCACAGACGACTCATTGAGCGACAGCAGCCAGCCTGATTCGAAAGTAGAATTGCCTCTAACACAGCAGCAGGACGCGGGTTTAGAAAAGAATAAGCCACTTCCGAGCTACTCAGCGCAAAAGGAAGGGGTAGCGCAAGGCCCAGGTGTCGGTGACAAAGATGCCTACCTCGTCGAGTTTGATGGGGGCGACCCTAACAACCCCATTAACTTCCCCTCCATCTACAAGATATGGCTTGTTCTCCAAATGAGTATGTTGGCATTTTGTGGTCTTGGGGGGGCGTCAATTATTGCACCGTCAGTGCCAACGGTTGCAGGTTACCTGAACTCTAGCATCGAGGTTCAAGTTCTGATGATTGCCTTGTTTCTTCTAGGTTGGTATTCTTCACGCCATCATTGATGAACAAATAATTAACTCTCACAGGGTTTTCACTAGGCCCGCTGGTTTGGGCCCCAATCAGCGAGGTATACGGCCGCAGATGGTCAATGCTTCCTGCGGTCTTTATCTACTGCCTTTTCAGTATTGGAACAGCAACGAGCACGGATGCCGCAAGCATTTTTGTCACCCGTTTCTCTGCTGGCATTTTTGGTTCAGCGCCCGTTACCATCGGTCCTGCAGCCTTGGCCGACTTCTTTTCTCCTCGGACAAGAGGAATAGCAACAGCTTTCTTTGTGACATGCGTGATAGGAGGACCGATCCTTTCTCCAATAATCGGCGCTGCGTTGACTATAAATCCGCACCTTGGGTGGCGATGTAAGCTGACCATATGGTAAATCAATTTGAAGGGGCTAACTTTACTTTAGGGACAGAGTACATGGAAGCCATTATATCATTTTTTATTTTTACAATTACGCTCGTTTGTTTGCCAGAGACATACCATCCGGTCTTATTGAAGAGTAAGGCACAAAGTCTACGCAAGACCACTGGAATGGAGCAATATTGGCACCCGCATGAGAATGAGAAGTTAAATCTCAACAACACTATCACCAAGCATCTAAACCGCCCTTTACTGTAAGCTAACTGTCGAACCTTGGGGTCTGTACTTTAATATCTAATTGTAGACGATTAGAATGCTCTTTACTGAACCCATGGTGGCATTAATTTCACTCTATTCGGGGTTTGTATACAGCCTACTCTTCCTCACTTTAGAAGTTTTCCCAATCGTCTTCGGGGAGCAAAGACAGTACAGTCTCGTTGTGTCCACTCTTCCGTTTTTGGGGATTTTTGTGGGTGTTCTCTGTGGAACGGCTATCAACATCGGCAACCAGCCATGGTACGCCCGGGCAGTGAAGAAGAATAATGGCCTTGCAGTTCCCGAAGCACGCCTTCCCCCCATGATACTCGGTGGTATTTTATTCTCGATTGGGTTATTTTGGTTCGGCTGGACAGCTGCGCCGCGGTTTCATTGGGCGCTACCTGTTGTAGCAGCAGGTAAGTCTCGTCGTGTTTCGAACCTGTAGCTCTACTAACCACATCATAGGCTTTATTGGCGCTGGATTCAACGTTGTTTTCCAGCAAAGTTTGAACTTCCTCATAGACGCCTATGGGCCGTTCGCATCGAGTGCAATTGCATCCAACACTTTCTTACGCTCTCTGTTGGCTTGTGCAATGCCCTTGGCTGCGAGGCCAATGTTTCTGAACATGGGAGTTGGTCCCGCAGCAAGTTTATTGGGTGCAATCTCCTGCTTGGCTCTGCCAGTGCCATTCATATTCATAAAGTATAGCTCCCAGTTACGGAAGATGTCCAAGTTTACTCCTATGGTGGAAGATTAGGCAGTTTTGACCAAGAGTGAAATGAGTCACATGATTTTTGCGGATTACAGAGGTAATAGTTTAGAGACTTCAGAAAATAGAAACCATAGATATATACTATTATACTCATCCCAATTAAATTAATAGATGCTGTGTTATTGAATGAACGCAATAAGTTTTGAAAATTATTTGTGAGATCTGATAATTTGATGGGCTTTTCGCCTCTGTTGCTCAAAAACCGACTAATCCAACATCCAACCGTTAACTGACAAACTTATAGTCGCTATATAAATCTTTAGTTATAGTTTCTCACCCCCTGGTGCCGGAACTCTAGTTGGATATGTTGCCGCCAGTAGCTATGTTACAAGTCTTGCTGCCTGCGGCGCACAGTGTCTAGAAACTTCGTGTTGTACAAACACATATTTCATTCAAGGGAAAAATTGCAACCTTGCATTATGGACCGAAGGCTTTCAATAACAATGTTGGGAATGACAGGCTTGAAAATCTTTACATTAAGAGACGTGTCCTGTGTAATCGTCAAGGCATGAGAAATATTTGCAAGCTCGCTCGTCAAGAAATTATCACATAGTTTCCAAGCCCTGCCGCTGGGTTGAGGGAGAGGGGGGGGGATGTGTGGCAATCCGAACCCATCTCCTTTTCTACGCTTTACAACGTCAATCAGACTAATGCCTTCTAATGTAAGCACCATCCACCGACATGTAACTACATGTATTGAGGCTGAGCTCGAATTCTATAGCCAAGCAAATCTCACCAATTACATTGCGGGTCTAGAAGAACGTAAATTGCCAGCATAACTATCAAAGAGGTTAGGGTTCGCTTATAAAGCTAACTCCGATGCCGGAGTTGGCTTTATAAGCCAAGTGCGCTTAGAAACTAACATAAGACATAGCAAATGCCAGGAATCTCGTGCGACAGCCCGGCTGCTATTTATTGAAAATGATTCATATCCGTCTAGTTGTTTCGCCCTAGACTTCTCCATCATGGCATTCGAACTCCAGCCATTAAATGCTATTGCAGACTTGGAGGAGATCATACAGCTCATGGTTGTAACGTTATACACCCAAGAGCCAATGAAAACAATCTTAGGGAATGCCTCTCCCGAGGACAAATGGACTCTCCTTTCACACTCAATTCGGGATTGGTTGACTAAACCAGGAGCAGTTGGCTTGAAGATGGTCGAGTCCTCCACCAAGTATGATTCTATAGGCAGAGGACTCAACACATATGCTTATGAAAGTTAGCAAAATAGTATCATTCTTCATCGTCCAACGCCCTCATTCTATGACGGATAACGAGAAGGCAGCTGGGTCTTCATCAATGGAATATCCGCTAGGGATGAACAAGGAGCTGGCTAGAGAGTTTTATGGTATCAGCGTGGGTCTCAGAAGAAGGAATGGATTCGACCCAGCAAGGGATTATAGTAAGACAACTTCCTCTTTCTCTCGTGCCTTGTTTCCATCTTGAAATGAGGTTTCTTCTTTGCAAACTAATGGAATACTGCGATTATCAGGTGGCAGCATCATTGCGACTCTCCCAGATTATCAAGGACAAGGACATGGGAGACGTTTAGTCGAAACAGGACTCAAAATGGCTGACACAGAGAGTAAAACATGGTATGCTGGGTGTTGGCCAGCGTCGGTGCCGCTATATAAAAAAGTAGGGGGTTTCGATTACATCACTGAGGAGTCAATTAATATGAGTCTCCATGGCGGTGAAGGAGTAGTCTCGATGAGGCTGTTTGTGCGCAAGCCCAATGTAACTACTATTTGAACTGAGTGAGTTAAGCCACCCAACTGAGTTAGTTGGTCATATAGTCGGTCTGGTTCAGGACTCTGTCTAGTTAAGTGACGTCTCGCTCAATTGAGTGAGCCTTATTACTAAGTTGGGCTACCACTTTAGACAAGATTACTATATATAGCTAGCGGCAGCTCGGCCCAGATCATTAGATACATATTAATATAAGCTATTCAAATCTCGCTATCGCTACCTCGCTGTCGCTGTAGTCTCGTCTCTTAACTATTACATTATCTTACCCTTTCCCTTTTGCGTCTCAACCTATAACTCTCCTCCACTTCGATAAAGTGTTGTTTTGCAGGCCTGTACGCCTAGTACTAGGGATGGCATAAAGATTATATCGAGACAGAATTTAATAGTGGAAAGATAAAGCTTAATGTTCAATCGGGAAGCACGCGGCTGTTTAAATCAACAACATTTAGGCTCTGCAGCATATTACTAGTTACTAAACATGTGATGATTCGACTTCATAAGAATTACACTTAAATGTAGTCCCTTTATTGTTCAAAACATTTCTATTGAAGATTTTATATAGACTACTTCATCTCGTTGCCACATAGAACAAACGCCTAGATAAATCGGTAGGTAATAAAATTATCGTAAATCAAAATATTTATGTTGGTTGTTGCAGGGCGACCTTAATGACCTCCTCGAGATTATCTTTGGGCAGTCCAAGCTTCTCCAGCTTCTCCAGCTCCGCTGCGTCAACCTTGTGGTCGAAGTCGCCACCGAGGCCCTCTACGAAGTGCGTGACAAAGAACTTGATGAAGGGCGCCATACCGTCACCCTTCTTGATGTTTTTCTCGTACTCACTGGCGATGTCCTCGTACTCCCTCGTCGTGACGTCCCAGTCTGCATCCGTGGTGCTCGTGGCGCGCTGCACCGCCTCTAGTATCTCCCGCTGTGACAGGCGGAACGATGGCGCGTAGACAGCCTTGTTCTTGAACTTGACCAGATCGGCTTCTGGCAGACTCAGCACGGCGGCAGCGGCCTCGCCACTGTGCGTGACCGTCGCCGTGCTAGTCTTAGCGTCAGCGCCGCGCCAGATGGTGGCCTTGCGGGCCTTGGGGTCAATTCCCCAGAGGCCGAGAGGGAGACTGATGTCTAGCCAAGGGCCAACCGCGACAGAGATCCAGCTGCTGACTCCCAGCTCATTGATGAAGTCGCGGATCTCCTTCTTATTCTTAAGGAGGATATTCTCCTCAATCAGCTTACTGGCGAAAGGATCAGGACCGAACTCGGATGGTAGGATCCAGCGCACGCCGACCTTAGCAGCCGCACGGATGGCGGGCTTCTGGAGGCTGATGATATGAGACAGAGGCGGCATAAGAACGATGGCGTCCTGGCCCTTGAAGACATCGGCGAGGAAGGCCTCGTCCTCAAGGTCACCCTTCTTGACGGTGACCCCGGAAGGAAAAATGCTGGTGGCCTCGAGCCGCTGAATAACGGTGATGGCGTGGATACCCTTGGCCAGGAGCGCTTTGAGCATCGGCTTGCCGAGTTGGCCACTGGCACCGACAATCGCGATCTTGCGTCCTTGAACTTGAGGCGCCATTGTGTAGTAATTATATACTGGCGCCAAAATAAATCGCGAAGATGAGGAGTAAGGCTAAATGAGTCTAGGTTGCTGATTTGGTATCAAGATGCTTGAAGCTAATCGTTGAATCGTTGGTTGTTTGAGGACACTATAAGGGATGGTTGACTCAACCGAACTAGAATCGTGTTTTCATCGTCGTTCTAAAGGGACTGTTTTAAATGTGCCAAACGGAAAGCTACCGAATCCTAAAGAGACTTAGCAAAAGGGCACTGTGAGTAATCTTGCATGTCGTCACTGCTTTATAACGAGTGTGTTTTTAAATGTGTCAAACGGAAGGCTACCGAATCCGCAACAGGTTAGCGAAAACGCGGCAGGAGTACTCGTATTAATCGTACTTGATGTAACTACATTTGTCATACAGCCTTGCCTTGAATGGGACAAGATTGTAGATTTATAAGCTGGTAATATACCTTGAGTATTAGTGATCATCCACGGGGATTAGATACTGTAGACTGCTAGCGCCACCAACGTAGCGTGACAAAGGTAGCCCGGACTACGGGACCATCTTACAACACTAACGAGTATTTCACTCTTGCCAGAGATCGATATAGTCACTTGCTAGAATCCTGCAGATAAACCTCCCTTCCTTAAATGCTAGCCAACCTACCTAATTTCTTCGCTTCCCCTTTACGAGCTACGTTTTTGACAGCACCTACCCAAACCCATGGCAAAGACGCTACCCAGTGGGATTTATGCCCCTCTGCCTGTTTTCTTTAGCGAGAACGATGAACTAGGCAAGTCTCCTCTATGCCATAAAGATACCTTTCTGGCCATGGCGGAAGAGGAATATACTAATGCTGAATAGACCTTGAGGCATATGCAAAGCATGCTAAATGTGAGGATCTCCCAAGCATGAAGAATTGAGTAATTATTAATTGGTCCGGGATAGATGTCACTGCACCAGGAATTTTCCCTGTTGTCTCGGCCAGCATGGGAGAAGCTGCTCATTTGGTTTGTTTGTGTTTCGTTTGGTCATTTGCAATTCTCTAATCGACAATATAGGATCGCCAAGAACGTATAAAATTAATCCAGACTTTACGACTTGCCCTTGATGATATCGGTTTATACAAAACGCCAATTGTTGCTGGCGTGGGTGCTAACAGCACTCGGGAAACTACTCAATTGGCGCATGATGCGGCTGCGGCTGGGGCAGACTTTGTCCTTGTCGTCCTACCAGGCTACTATGCAGGTGTCCTAAAGGCCAACCCGACGGCGATGAGGAAATTTTTTGTTGATGTGGCCGCCGCATCGCCAGTACCAGTGTGTGTCTTCCCTCCCTAAGACGGTCAACTTTATTCTCTCTGCTCCGTTTGGGGGATATTCTACACCAGACCGAAGAAAGAGTCCAATAAGTTAACGAAATCGTGGGTGTTAACTACGTCTGCAGGATCATCTATAACTTTCCAGCAGTCTCTGCGGGGATCGATCTGAGTAGTGATGATGTTGTGGATATTGCAAATGCAGCTCCAAATATATGCGGAATCATGCTGTCGTACGTAACGGCTTTATTTTGCCCTTGTGTCAAAATAATCACTAATATTATGATAGTTGCGGTAATGTCGGAAAATTGGCAAGAATTACAGCCCTTGTCGATAACTCGTCGTTTAAAACTCTCAGCGGATTTATTGACTTCCTCCTTCCATCTGTTGCCGTCGGGTCTGCGGGTGCTATTAGCCCATTGCCCAACGTCGCGCCGGTTGGTCTCACATGTAACATTTTGATAACAAAATAATAACAGGGTCCTAGAATTTCAGTTTCAAGCTGTGGCAGGCGGTTCAAAGTTTCGGAAGCGTTGCTGATTTTCATGAAGCCAAGAAACTCCAAGGCTTAGCTTCCTTAGGAGAAACGGCTTTACTAAAAGAAGGGGTAAGCACTGCCAACACTTTCTTTGCTTTAGGCTCGAGGTGGTATGTAATGGGCTAATATTTAATATAGCTTCTGGGGTTGAAGGGCTTGCTCAACCAACGGTTCGGATATCCTGCAGTGCCAAGGCTGCCACTGCTAGTGGTAAGCAATGATGCAGTTACAGAGATGTCTAAAAATAAGCACCTGGAAGATGTAATGGCTCAAGAGAAAATATAGAACAGTAAAGGAAAGACAGTATCTTGGATCGCAGTGTCCGCAATAACCACATTCCTTATCACATGCTGTTAAGTCTCTTGGAGCAACCGCCCACACTGTGCAATCCAGATTGTCGGCGCTGAAACATTAATCCCGAGGGGAGGCGCCTTTTCAGGAGGGGTCCAACACAGCTAAAGCCAGTAACGTGATTATATTTAGTCATCCAATTATGTCCTCTGCGTTTTTGATGCTCTGTAAATCTACGGGCAATCTCTATCTTCAAGTCTGCGAGATTTTCCTGCTCAGCAGATCCCAGCTGTTCTCCGTCTCTGCTGTACTATGTTCCGCAGTCCTTTGCCTCATCCCTCTCCAGTGTTCCACACTGACTGTGATATCTCCCTTAACCTTAATCTTATCCAGCCCATACAGGTTCTCCACACTATCTCCGCCCTAACTCCTAGTCGAATTGATCCCATCAAATCCCTCCAACACATTCCACACTCAGGGGCTGCCCTACAGTGGAGCGAGTAGGGCTCGGCAATGAAGGGTATTGAGAGCCCTAGATAAAAGGGGCTGGAGGCCCTAGATTCAGGCCTCCAGTCAATAGTCGTTGCATTTACGTAGACCTATTGTTCTTACGAATACTACCTTCTACCACCTCCTCCTGACCTGGTTCCCTAGACTCCCGTGAGACCCCGGGACTACGCTTTACAAGTATCCTATGAAAATACTTTATGATTTGACTTATATTATTATCTACATTCTACTTAGACCTAGCTTTGCAATTTCTCAACCCCTAAGCTTCTAATCATCATTTTTCGCACATGGCCGTACGCTGCCGAATTGCTCCCCAGCCCCTATTCGGCCTCTCCCCGACATTCCATAATCCAAAATAGGTGCTTGCCTACCATCGGACACACCGCGGGATTCGGCGTCGCGAGCTTCTTGCAGGCGAACGTAGTCGCTAGTGCGTTCTGCCGCACTCGATGACAATCTTGTCGTGGATGACCCTTTATCTCGGAAGAGAACCACAACCTTCAGGAAGCTAATGAGGCTCTTAGTAAACGCCGGAGGGCTGAAAAAATACGTGTTCGTTGAGAAGATTCACTAATTATGGAGGATTCACACAATATTTTGGCCTAGAAAGAGGTTAACGAGCAGGTTGCGTGGATATACGTGAAAATCGAGGTGGTGATCGGGAGAGGCCAGGGAGTGTACGGCTCTGTGGCAACAGTGGCAAGACTGGTCATATTGCACGAACGTGCTAGATCGAAGCAGAAAAGTCTAATGTATATAGTTCTGAGTAGTTTTAATTCATTTGAAAGGTTGTGGTTTTGTGATTGGCTAGAAAATTGGCCTCACAAAAAAGTGCGCAGCTCGCTGATGAACCACGTTAAACTAGAAGTAAATAAATATAACTAGTTATATTTACTTCTAGTAAGCTAAAAAGTTATAGAGTGTATCGGAAATCAGTAGAAGCATCCTGCTGTAATAAATTAGTACAATGTCTTTCCTGCAGTACACTTTACTCACGTCATGGGCCTCGATTAGCAACTCTCCTCGGTCGGCCTTCTTATTTTGGCGGATGAACTCAAGGTCACAGCACACGACTAAAACTATAGTCAATAGTGCGCACGCAATACACGCCCACATTCCAGGCTTGTAGCCTGTTTTTGCATCCTGGGACCGGAAGACTAAGCTACCAGCAATACCACCGATGCCGCCAAAGCCTACAAGGGTGGCGCTACAGAAGGCTCTCTTCCACTGGCCGCGAACGTTGTTGGCCTGGAAGGACAGAACGGCAGGGACGTTACTGTTGGCACCGGCCGTGGTGAGGAAGACACCAAAGTAGCGGACGGAGGCGCTCTCAGCCCAGCCCATAATAGGCAGGCCAATGAGACAAAGCGTCATGTTGAAGATGATAATCGGTCCCCGAACGTGGTACTTGTCGCCGACCCAGGCGGTGGCAGACATGATAATACCGGCGAAAGCGTATGGCGGCGCGACGAGGCACTGGGCGGCACCAATGGAGAAGCCCATATTATCCATGAGAATAATGGGCAGCGTATAAGCAAGAGCATAAGAGATAGTAGTAGTGTCAAAGAAGAGCATGGCATAGGCCCAGATCTTGGGGTCAGCGCCACCATTGATGAACTTACGCAAGTTGAAGGGGGGTGCTACAGAGTCGCCGCGGTCGCGGTTAATGCGAGAAATGATCCACTGGCGCTCACGTTGGCCTAAAAAGCTCCACGACTTGCGGGTGGAGTCGGGAAAGTCGACAAGCAGCCAGTAGCCTGCAATACCCAAGGCGCAGGTAATGACGCCCTCAATAATAAAGATCCAGCGCCAGCCAGAAAGGTTCTGGTGGCCACCGAGATGCATAAGCTAAAGGAAATATTAGAAGACGAAGAGAGACAGAGAAGGGAGGTGGGACTGGGCAACATACACCAAAGGCAAGGATACCGGCAAAGGCAGAGGCAACACAGCCAATAAGGTAGAAGAAGGAGTACCGCTTACCAATCTCATCTATAGAGTCAGTAATTGGCACCAGTAGTTAATAATATACTCACATCGAGTATACCATGTGCTCATAAGGTAGACACAGCTGGGGAAGAAGCCAGCCTCAAATATACCGAGGATAGCGCGTAGGCCGGCAAGCGACCTGAAGTCTTTCACAAAGCCCATTCCGATCATAACGGCGCCCCAAAGGAGTGTGATTCCAGCGAGGTGGAAGCGGGGACCGATCTTGCGGATAAGGATAGTAGACGGAGGCTGGAAGACAATATAGGTGGTAAAGAAGACAAGATTGCAAATATTCTGAGATAGGGCAATCCTTGTCAGTGGGAGTTCGCTACCATATCCGTTCGAGAGTTCACAATACCCCTAGAAACAACTTACATAGCGGAACCCTGTCAGGGTCAACTCGGCGCTCATGCCAGCAATGTTGGCGGCACTCATATTGGTGCGGTCCATCAGACTCACGCAGTACATGGCCCCAACCGTTACGACGAGGCGGCGGTCGAGGCGGCGGATGATGCTGCGCTGCTCAGTGGGTGTGAAGCCATGGGTGATGTCCTGCTCGTGCTCCTTGCCATTCGTAGGGGACCGGACAGGCTGGTAGTCGGCCTGCTTCTCCAGCGCCAGATTAGACTCGGTACGGTCCATGGGGAGAAGTGAAGAAAGGGGACGAGTGGGAAAGGAATAAGTAGAGAAATTGAAGAGAGGAAGCTAGCTTGATGCTATCTTGCGTGGACAGGAAACCTAGAGACGAAGGGGCCCTCGTCAAGATATAGAGGGGGATCGGCGCACGATAGAGAAGCACCCTACAGTATTGATCCACGGCCGCGATGCATCGGACAGGCTCCGCCAGACCTCATGCCAAGAATGGTGTCTAGGACTAGCAATTGTCAAGAAATTCCTCGGGTAATGGTGGTCCTAAGACCACTATGGTAGACTCTCACTATCCTGAGCTCTCCAGCTTGTTCCGCCTCTGTTGGTGGCAATGCAGCTCGCCGTTGCCCCCTATCATCGAGCTTGACGGCTGACCAGAGATCTGGGGCCCCCCGAACTGCGACGTACCCTCGGCACGCTTATGCGAGCCCGCGAATGAAAGACTCGGACTTAATCGGTAGCCACTAAAAGTCATAAAGTCATAAAGGCACCTCGGATTATGGACCGAGGTCGAGTAGTACAGACGACCCGATAATATTAAATGCGGGCTACAGTACTAGCAGTCTACAAGCAGGCCTGCATATGACCGCGGATTGTGAAAATAGCTTCTCAGATCTGCGCAGAAATAGGTTTTAGTATGAAAATGATAGGACCAAGCTCCTGATACAAGTTCAGGTTCTGGCACAGTAGATGAAACCTTGGGCCTCGGCAATATTTCAGATACGAGGTTGTGGTGGTCTTCGGTTTCGGTATTCCTGAATGCTAAGTAATTGAGGAAGGTAGGTGTATTAGCTGTGAAAACACATTGTTCCCTTAATTTATTCCGACCAATAGTATGTTACCCAATAACACAGCCCAGCAACAGCAAATGCCGAACAGGCCGTATCTAGCAAACACACCAAGCGCAGCACTTTGTCTTTGAAGATTTGAACATGGCTGAAGACGCCCACCTTGTTATTGTCTCAACGCGTCCAGATCTGATCACGACCACGAAAGTCAGCATTGGGGCTCAAACTTGAAAGTGGCTTGGTCAACTGTCTAACCAATCCTTACGGACGCTCTAGCGAAATCAAGTGGCTGGTTCGTCTACGTCTACGAATTCTATAGTTATTCCTCAGATAGAAGCTTCGTGCTCAACTCAATATAGTATTTGTCATATACCGTAACGCAATTACTTGAAAGCCTTTGTGTCTGATCCCCTGTCTTACTTAGTTAACCTTTATGCAAAGGAACCTCTGTGAATTCTACGCCATGGGACCCAGCGTTACACCACACTCTGTTGCGGGATATTGCATAAATATTATCTTGCTAAGGGATGTAATGGCATTGAGTTATGATGGGTAACACAAAGCATTCCCACCACTTGACCGGTGTGGCCCCGACTGCAGAAATAGACAGGCACGTGAATTCATGTTTCTTCCAAAAATGCGCCCGGCATAAGAGGCAATGCCAGATGTTGAGCGAGGATCTAACTAAGGGCCTAACAGCGCATTGACTTTGTCACTGGAGATCCCACCTTCATAGACCTGACCTTCCCAGGGCTATGATTCACCAAGTGAATGTGAATAACGTGGTTCAAGAGAATACGAAGGTGCTTGCGACCCTATCAAAGTAGCTTTATCACCACTGCAGGAACGTTACAGAGATCTGTCGGGCAGGTTCGTTGGAAGCAATGTGGCTGGCATAATTGGGTTAGTAGGAAACGACACGACAGTAATATGCAATCTGGGAGACCTACTCTGACTAAGAGATCTAGGAATGCCACTTATGCATGTGTTGGAGGATGCATGAGGAAGAATACATTTATCATGTCTGACCTCAATTTGTATCTGATTGCCACTCGACACAACGTCATTGGGATGGCATGAGTCGACGATAGGGATACCTAGTAGCCGTTGGGCTTCTGAATGCATGAAATATAAGGAGCTCCAGCGAGGCAAGTCCTGCTCTATGCTCAATGACGAATCGAAATCGTTGGAAAAGATTGCCTGTGATAATGATTTGAGAGAATTTTCGGAGCCAGAAATAGTTGGGGTTTTGGAGTCAACGGTTGCTTGCTGAGAAATTCTAAGTGCAAAGAAGAGAAAACCGTGTCAGCCAATTATTTAATTATACGAATCACGAATCACTCACCCTACTTGGCTCATCCTGCGGATGCAGCGGTTGCCTTCTTCGCGGCACCTGACACATGCCTCAAAGCCCCAGAGAGTAAGGCACCGTAGTTTACGGGTATGACAGACTTTACAGGCTCCTGGCCGTAGGGATCTGTTTTTTCGAACGGGACTCCCACCAAACCCTCTGTGCTGCTTTGGTATATTAAATATTTCGTGGGGAATCATGGTGGTTACAGTCGTGGATCCTCTCTATTCGTCAAGTTGCGGTCGTAATTTTAAACAGAAAACGAGCAGCTGAAGAGATAGTTTCTGTATATATAGATACAAACGTTTAGCAAGAAAGCCAAAGGGCCAAGGATCGGAAGGGAACAATCTTTCAGCTGCTCAGCTAGCCGTTGTGGCGAGCAAGCGGGACGGTCGACCGATTGTTATCCCTATGCCGGGGCAACAACTGAGAGAATAATTGAGGAGAATATGCCGATGGTGGTGCTGACAGGAGAGGAGTTGGGGAAGGCGAGTGGGGAAGGTGATGGCATCTCGACAAAAGCATTGTCCGCCGAGACATATATACGGTTGCCGGTAGCCAGCATTGTCCCCGATTAGTCTGGAGGCCAGAGCAAGTTGCTAATCGTGATCATATCCTTTCATAACGTACACTAAAATCTCGGTATAAAAATCCTGTAGATAAGAATACCTGACCAATAATAATTCGACGATATTCTTATCATACAACCATTGCAACCAAGATTCTTATAGCGAAGCTTTACTGTAGCTGACATAGTTGCGAATATTAGTTAACCTGCTACTGGCTCACGGAACTGGCTGTGGAAGCAGGCCCATCTTCTGATTCTGAGCAAACTTTTGCATTCCGACCTCTGAAAAAGCTATAACGTATTACGTGCATAGAAAAAACTACAGATATATTTTTGGAACCTACTATTGGGCTGTTGTTTAGATATTATGTTGGCAAAGACACAAGGTTTAAAAGTAACACTTAAGAGTGGAACTTTGGCTAGTGAGAATATATTTGTAGAAGTGTCGATCTTCAACCCCGAACGAGAATCTCGCAAGCGAGGCAAAGCTATTAGGAGGATATGTCCTACAGGAAGCCTGATCAATATTAGCGTAGGCTCATGCGGGCCTAAAGCGTTCCAGATTACCCTTGCACTAGATTTCTGTAGCAGCCGAGGTCCCGATGTCCGAAGTAGGTGGGAAAGACGTTAACGAAGAGAGTTAGACCCGAAAAGCTATCAACATCAGTTAATGATAGAATAGATGGATGAATTAACTTGGAACATCTTTCCCCAGGCTATATAGATCTAGATTCATATGCGAGATTGTCGGGTGTAGCTGCAACGTGACTACTGTATATAGAACAGTAATAAATGAATCAATTGAATAAGTAAACTATCTACTGGGCCAAAAACTACTGTTTCTAGGCCGCCGCGGCACCAGCCTCGTCACCCAACTGTACACGCTTTGTAACCCAAGCTTCCAAAGTGCAAGTTTCGCCCCGCCCATTTTCGTGTGGACTGTCTTCTCCACTTTTTCCATCAGTCTCCTCTGTCCACGCCTTGCCGCTCCCCGCGGTCTTTAGCTCAATCGCTGATTCGGGATTTTGGCTCCAGTGGGCGCCTGCTGGTTTGGGATTCATCTTGCAGGGACGGAAGATGCTGTAGGTACTTTTTGCGAGCGTGCTCTGGAAAACAGTGGGCATGTATTTGGTCAGCAGCGGTCGGATGGCGACTAGGCAGGCGCAGATCACGGCCGTGTAGACCTCGAGTATAGACCAGATCACTACGTCGATGCTGCCCCCTGTTTTTTTTGTCAGTGTTGGGAGCCTGACGGCGAGGATAACTATGCATACATGTTGCGTCGAGGGACTGGACTTGGTAAGAGAATATATATTTCAGGCGGACCATGCTGGTTACGCATGCACTGGATAAAGTCAATACCTACCAAAAAAAAGGTGGGAAGGGGGGGCAGGGTTGAAAAGAGAGAAAGTGGTCACGTACAATGAACCACATGCGAACATGAATATGACCGCCAGTCTCCTCTTCAGAGTAAGATTCAGTCCCTTCAACTCTCTGACAGGAAGTAGCATAATCACAATGTCTTCAAAAATGCTGAACCCAGCCCCGGCGAAAACCACAACAGTTGGATTGATACACTTCCCTTTCACGCCTAAATCCCAAATTGCACTAATGGGGATACATTGCAAAGTAATGACCATGAAGAATGCGAGGACATGGCAGGTAATTAAGGCTATGAAGATCTTGGTAAAAAGTCGGAAGCGTTTACCCTGGAAGATGCGCAGTAATAGAAGGAGAAGTGAGATCTTGGCCAGACCTTGGACTACCGCGTAGAGTATTTGAGATGTATAGTAGAGCTACCGGTTGTTAGCATGTATAAGAAGTTGCGTTCGAATACCTACCTGTTGTAGAGAGATTGTATTCTCCGGTGGAACATCCCACACATGTTTCCCGAAGCCTCGTGTGGCATCTGATTGTCGTTATTATTTATTGACTGAAACGATGGAACAAAATTGGAGCGTACTATATATTGGAATAACTGACATCGGTATCATAAGTGCCTGATCACAAGTCAGCCTCACCGTCAAACCAGTTTGTCTGCGTGTAACTCACACCAGCTGCAACTATGGCCCAATCATCCCACCAAATATATGCAACAGTGAAGCGGGAGTAAATCCTCAGTATAATTACTGGAAAGGAAATTGCCGATAAAATGGTAACTACTCGGATAAGTTCTGCACTCCGAGATGGCTGTGGGACAGTTTTGCAGACGAGGTTTTGCGAGACGGATATCGCAGCTGTAGACGTTAGCATTGACTCAAGTACGGAATGCGAATCCTAGGATTTACTATACTGCTCCGTGCGATTACAAGATGTTTGTATGCAGGCAGCGAGTTGACCCCGCAGGGTGGTATTCCTGCAGAAGCAGCTTTGAATATCATCAAAATGGCATTCCACCATTTGAAGCAACTTCTCAGAGCATGATATCTTGAAGGTGTCAGATAATTCGATAGACTAAAGATCCAAATAAGGAGCTCACCGAGCAAGCAGGAAGCTCTGAGAAGATCACTCCAAGATTCAATTGCGCTAGCACTCTCGTTAAGAGAGACACAAAAACCAAAATCGTAGAGAGTTGCATTGTTTCGTGATTAGCCAGACAATGTTACAGTACAGCAATACAGTTAGATGCTGTGGACTGTGTATTTAACCTACGGTTTTTAACCAGCGAGCCTAGTGCCACTAAGGAGATCCGCGGTACTAAGCCAAGAAATGACATGGCAAGTCATCGCCTCGGCCTATCCCCTAATGCGATCTACCCCTGTTAGCTCGCCAGTCATGAACAGAATTTTGAGGAGGGAGGGGGCTGGGAGGGGCCACAGAGGTGTAAAGGCGACATAACTTAGAAAGAAGGGTCATAGCGTAGCGTAAATGCTACTCCCAGTCTCTTGAGCTTTTGGAACGAACTTTCAAGTCTGTTGCCTTAGCTTGTCTCCTTAGTTACACTATCTTTCTTGAGTGTTCCCAAGAACGCAATACCGTAGTGTATCGGTTGCCTCGGCTTTTGGATTTAGCGACCTAAGTCCAAGTATACGAAGTGCTCGCACTGCCATGTAGGAGATGGACCTGTTTCTAGGAGGACTTTGACCGTGGAACGATTCCAACTAACCTAAAACAGGTAATAGTTAGTCGATTAGTTGACGAAGGTCCAGAGTATCTCAGAGGCTTGTCTGCCTCAGTCCAAAGTCATCTCGATAGACTATGTGGCGTCAATATATGCTCCGATATAGAAACACCTTGCGTATTCTGTTAACACTGGTAAACCCTGCAAACTGTTCGTACGTAGCTCGGTCTCCTACAGTGTTTGAGCTGGTTGCCTCGACGCCTCGTACCAGACTTATGCCCGACTTCCGTAAAAACTTTGAAGCACCGTACTAGGAGAACATCGTGCACACTTCCACAATGCTCTGCATCAAAGAGCTTTAGAGCTGGGTGTCGACGTAGGAGTGATTAGTCGGGTCGAGAATTATGATTCCGACAACATAATATTCGTATGACTTTTGTTCAATGACGAAGGCCTGGTTATTATGTTCCTTTGAGAATGTAGGTATGTTTGTTTCGCCCAATTCCGAGGGATAGTATTTGGGGATACCGGAGAACGGAGCTAAAAATTATTGCAGGCGCTTTACTAGAATAGGACGTGTGTGTTGTGTTGTGGTCTAGTCCTTCCGAGGACTTCGAAAGGCGGGGAGGTAGGAAAGGCGGGATGGTAGGGATCGAAAGGCGGGAAGGCAGGGATCGCCGAGACGCTTTGCCTATTTAAGCAATAAGGTAGGAATAAGTTAGACTAGACCCTCTTAGGCGACTATTGGGACCTTCCCTCGGCACGCCTATGCGAGCCCGCGAATGAAAGAGTCGCGCCTAAGCTCTAACCACTAAAAGTCGGATCGTGGACCGAGGTGGAGTAGTGGAAACTACCCCATAATATCACAGGTAGGCTATAGTAGGCTATAGACCCGCCTATGATCCCGGATTGTGAAAGCGCTTCTGAGATCTGCTTATGAAAATGAGTAGAGACTACTCCTAATACAAGTTCAGGTACTAGTAGAAGAACCATTGAGCCTCGGCAATATTTCAGATACGAGGTTTTGGTGGTCTTTGGTTTCGATATTCTCGAATGACAAGCAATTGAGGAAGGTATTAGCTGTGAGAATAGTAGATGGTTGCTTGTTTTCTTCCATCAGCTTTAGCGTTCTGAGTCGTTCCTCCTGTAAGTAATGACAAACAGGGTTGGCACCTAGTTCCCCTCATTTTTTCCGACAGGATAACCTGGCCAGTGCTGCTAGTCCTTTAAAGTATAGCGGTGCGACGATAGCTGCCAAAGTGTCTTAATTATATATTCCGCAGAATTCCCCTTCCTCCATGGTTTATTTTGTATCTACATCTCGACATTTCTAGCAATCCCCACTGTCTCACATTCAAAATGATGCAACCTTCCATGTTCATATTGTACCTCCTTCCTCTCGCACTCACCACGGCATTTGACCTGAACCCTACGGTCAAGTTACCATCTGGTGCCAATGTGATTGGAAGCTCTATTGCCGGTATTGATTCCTTCAAAGGTATCCCATTCGCTCAGCCACCTGTCGGACAGCTCCGATTGCGGCCACCTCGAGCAATTGTCAACCAGAGCGGTAATATCCTTGCCACTGGTATTCCGAAAGCCTGTCCTCAGCTATATCTACCCATCGATACCAGCAATATACCAGCCGCCGCTTTAGGACTTCTGCTCAACACCCCATTGGTGCAAACCTTTACCAACGCCGGCGAAGACTGCTTGACCATAAACGTTCAGCGGCCAGCATCCGCCACTTCTTCATCAAAGCTTCCAGTTATCTTCTGGATCTATGGGGGCTCATTTCAATTTGGATCAACTCAAATTTATGACGGCAGTTTCATAATCACAAATTCTGTACAACAAAGAAAAGATGTGATATTCGTCGCCGTCAACTACAGAGTCGGCGGCTTTGGATTTCTACCAGGAAAAGAAGTTCTGAAGGACGGCTCTGCAAATCTTGGTCTGCTTGACCAACGTCTCGGCATGCAATGGGTAGCCGATAATATCGCTTCTTTCGGGGGTGATCCAGACAAAGTCACGATCTGGGGAGAGTCGGCTGGGTCCATCTCCATCTTCGACCAGCTGGCTTTGTACGGAGGCAACCACACCTATCAAGGCAAACCCCTTTTCCGTGCTGCCATCATGGATTCTGGGAGCATCATTCCGACCGAGCCAGTAGCTAGTCCCCGCTCTCAGGCAGTATACGACAGAGTTGTTAAGAACGCTGGTTGCTCTTCCGCCGCTGATACTCTTTCTTGTCTACGTGAAACAGACTACACCACCTTCTTGAATGCTGCCAGTAATGTTCCCGGTGGCAGTATTGCAGGTTCCTATCTGCCGCGTGCGGATGGAAATAGTCTCATGAAATCCGCCAACCTCATCGCTCAGGAAGGCTCCTATGCGCCGGTCCCATTTATCATTGGGGATCAGGAAGACGAAGGCACTATTTTCTCCCTTACCCAGTTCAATCTCACTAACGAACAACAACTCGTTGACTACTTCTCCAACGTTGTCTTCCCCAACGCCTCTCGAAGCACAGTTCAAGGATTAGTTGACACCTACTCCGCGGACCCATCAGCCGGTTCGCCCTACAATACAGGGCTTCTCAACAACTTTTACCCCGAATTTAAGCGCCTGGCTTCTATACAAGGCGATATCGTGTTCACTCTTCAGCGGCGCCTGTTCCTTGCTTTGGCATCCCTTGCAAAACCAAATGTCGCATCGTACTCGTACCTGTCGTCCTCCTTCTACGGCACACCCATTCTAGGCACCTTTCACGGGACTGATGTTCTACAAGCCTTTGGTTATATTCCCGGCATCCCAGCTGCCAGTATGCAAGCATACTACATCAGCTTCGTCAATACGATGGATCCTAACCAGGGGACGAGTGCGCTGCTGCCGAAATGGCCTAAATGGAGTACGGGGAAGCAGCTTCTCAATTTTCGTGCGCTAAGCAATACGATAATTCCCGACAATTTTAGAGAGGCTAGTTATGAGTATCTGGCTGCTAATATTGCTGAATTGACAGTTTAACATGATAGCTCTGGAAATTCACTGGTGGGGATGAGTGGCAGTGGCGGGGATATCTCCTAGATTTAGGCTCAAACTGCAGGTTATCTGTTCTATATAAAGACCTTAAAAAGCAATTAATAAGCCATTGATTGAGGTTTGAAAGACTGTTAGCATGCAATGTTCAAATAATAGACCGTGCATTTGAGTGTGAAGAGTTTTCATTGATGCTAACCACTAAACCTAATGTACAGGGCCTGATATCATCGTACTGATGTCGGGGGAGTAGGGCCGACTCTGCCAATTGCTTGGCAACGAGGCCGGTTTTCAACATGCAATAGCTGCTTTTCTAAACTTGCTCCTGTAATAGAAAACCACATGCTGAGAAATATGCCAGCCAATTGTGACAAGAGCCCCACTTTAGTCATTAAATGACCGCTCCACAAATCTTTGGAAGTTTGGCTGGACAAACAACGCCACGCGTCCTAGCGGCCGCTAGTAAAGTGCGGGGAAATCCTCCTGTTCTCCCATTTCGTAATTGACTCGACGTTTCTTCAAAGTAGCATTTTAACAAGAGTAGTCTCATTTGTTTCTGGAGAGGTAGTGTTTACTTGTAAAGAATCTATATTGCATATCTGAGCCTCTTCCAGGTGTTTTAATGGTACAGTAATATGGCCACAATGATTGTTCCACGAAAACCCCACTCGAAGACTCGAGGAGGATGCCGGACATGCAAGTATATAACCTGGAGAATCCGTACCATCCCCAATATGACACTGACTGGTTTTGTAATAGGTACAGACGCGTCAAATGCGATCAAGACTGGCCTGCCTGCGGGAGGTGCAGTAGAACTGGCCGCCGTTGTGACGGCTACGAAATGCCGAATAATGAGAGGCTCACACCTCGCTATATGTCTCTAGAGCATTTCCGAGAGACAATCTGCTCTCCACTCACCTCGTCGTTGGTATCCCACCCGTTCAGTACGAGACGCCCACAAGAACTACGCTCGATCCAGTTCTTCCAGACTCGCACGATGCCTGCGATGTCCGGCTGCTTTGGAGGGTATGCCTGGTACTCTCTGGCCATCAACTTTGGCACGGCATGTCCTGCCATTCTCCATGCTATAATTGCACTCGGCGCATATCACGAAATCTCAGAGGCCGTCAAAAGTACGGAGGCGTGGAGCTTAGATCGTAGCGCGAATCCGTCTGACCTTTCCTCTTTAGCCTCCGTACAGTACATGAAGGCCATTCCTCTCCTCCGCGACAGTCTTTCCTCGAACGAATCCTCGCCTGCTGGAATTGAGATAGCTTGTGTATTGTTCGCTTGCATAGAATCGCTCAGAGGCAATCGACAATCGGCATCCGTACACGTTACGGGCGGGTTAAGCGTATTAAAATCACGACAAAAGAGCCAGCTTATGTCCTCCGAGGAGGCGATTATGAAACCAGTGTTTGCTCGGATGAGCCTCATGCAATCTCTTTACGGCCGCCCCAGAGGCATTCGGTTTCCAGAGCTTCTAGATCCATACGACGAGGCACCCTCTCTGCGTGAGGGTAGATTTGTGAATCTCAAGGATGCTTACACTGCGAGCACAGGGATGTTGAATGGAAACGTGCGTTATGTTGAGATGACTAAACATGGCGGCTTTCCAGACCAGGCTACAACGGATATAGCATATGCGGCCCATCTTTCGCAGGTTAAGGGTTGGTCCAAAGCTTTTGAGGCTTATGTCAGTGAGCCTGCTACAAGCGAGGAAGAGGTTCTTGGACGAGTACTATTGCGCTCACACCACTCGCTTGCGCGCTCTTTTCTGGCAGCTTGCAGAACTCGACAAGAGAAATCCTTTGACCTTGACATTTCCCATTTCGAGTTGATCGTCAGATCTCTGGAACCCTTCATTTTGCCCCTAGCAAATTCTGGACAACCGTTCTCGACATCCTTCTCGCTAGATATGGGGTTAGTCCCCACATTGTTCTACACTGCGGTCAAGTGCCGACATCCGAAAGTGAGACGGAGGGCAATAGCGTTACTACGTCTTGCACCGAGGCGAGAGGGGCTTTGGGACGCGATTGAAGCGGCCAAAGTTGCAGAGCTAGTGGTTAAGTTTGAAGAGACTTACCTAGATGAATCTGGAAGCAAGCGAGATTCGTCAACAGAGCCGCATTTGATACCAGAATGGGCGCGGATCCACGACGTCGACATCCTGGATATTGATTCTCTGGACCCTTCGCGGCAACTGGTCATTCTAAGATGGAAACCCGATGGGATCGATGGGAAAGTTCAGGATATGCGCAGCTACATTCGTTGGTAATCTATCTTTGTGGCAGAGTTAATGTTCGCACGCTGTTTCTACTCGATGCTGGAGCTCTTGTGCCTGAGGAGAGCACCCCTAACCTATACCATAAGCAACACCCCGGCGCCTGGCCGACGCGCTCTCGTGCATGAACTCGTCGAGCCCCTCACAATCCGGACGTGCCATGTCTTCCCCCGAGAGTTCGCACGTCGGCAGCATAACACTGTTGCCGCACTGGCATGAAACGCCCCAACCCCAATCGTGCCACGCCTGCCGGGACGCCCCTCCTCTCCATAGGTTAATCGGAATAGTAGACTCATAATCGGACCTGATCAAGTCTGCGCGGAGATAAACCAGGTCTGACAAAAGGAGGCTTCTTAGCCCGTGCGTCCATCGTGGTTGGCCACGGTCTGAGCTCGAAGTTCGCTCAAGCTGCTCTATCTGATGGTGCGTCTCCATGAAGCGCAACAGGTCGTCGCCCTTGACGCTGACGCCGCGGAAGGTCAGCCGTTCAACATGCCCGCGCGTGCCAATCCGGCATCCGCCAGTTCCGAGAGCCCGACCGAGAATCGTATGAGGGCACACAGCACCCTGGCAAGCTGGTGTACAAGCACAAATTCGAGATGGCGGCACTACTGCGCGGCATCGCCGTCGTCGCTAGCCAGTACACCTGCGACGCGCGCACCCACAGCGTCTACAATTCGTCTGGCACGACATGTTGGGCCGAGGGACTCATGAAGCGGGCGTCGAGCTCTAGCGTCGACAGTGAGTTGCATCGGCAAAAAACGGCGGCCAGGCGGTCCACAAGCTCGGCATCGGGAGGCACGCCTGGGAATGCCGCGCGATGGCGCAGCCAGGAGAAAACCGCGGCGGTCTGGGCTAGCTGGTCTGCTGTACCCGGGACCCAGACTTCCTAGTCTGGGGGCCAGTACTTCCGGATGGAGAGAATATAGTCGGCGGTAAGAGTCGTCATAGCTTGTTCCACCTGCCATAGACGAGCTGTCTGTGGAGGGCTGCCGAGATTGATTCTTATTTTCGATCGTTTTTCATTGAGCACATCATCCCAGAGCCTGTCACATATTTGAGGCCAACCAGAGGCAGGTGTGTGGGGCTGCGCCAAGTAGCGCACAAGCTGACCTAGCAAGGCTTTCCGCCCCCTTTTCATTGGGTCGTCTTTTGGAGGCCACCTGAGGATGTCTTGGCAGAGCCTCGCAGGTCTCAACTCGACATTTGTGTATTTAGATCCAGCCTGAATGAACTGCTCTTTTGCTAGTTCACGATACAACGGGAGTCGGACATCTCGCGATGATTCTCGGATCATCTTTCTGAAGATGTCGTTCGGCTGCGGCGTCGGGGATATCATTTCAATCATTTCAATCATCTCTTCTGTCGACACTTTCATCAAAGCGTGCCGCGAGACGTCTGCGACAATAAAGACACTGCACCAAGAACTTCAAAATTTAGGGACGTGGTTAGGTGAATTGCAACAGGAAGAATCAAATTTTGGGGAGTTAGCAACTGAACTCTTATCGAAGAGACAGAGAATCGAGGCGGAAGTCGAATTGAAACTTCATCGACTCTTGCGTCGGATTTTCGCCATCATTGCCTTTGGGTTATCTCAGAGCTTGGGTAGCCTTGCGATAACACGCAGGCCTCCGCCGCGTCACCGGCGGAGATCCTGCGCGAGCGTGAACAATCCTCGGCCACAGCCAACACTCGTATCGGAGAACCTTTCACGATTCGCCTTTTTTATTCGTCAACCCTCGGGACCTCTGTGTTTCTAAGCCTTCCATTCAGGGCCCCTTCTGCTCTGTAGAAGGTGGTGCGCGGTGTGATGTATTGACATTACACGACGTTAGACCCGACGTTATTAGCCAACTGACTCCAGGTGCTTCGGCAAGGCTGGTAGAGACAAAGCACTACAGTGACGAAGAGTCGAATTATGCAACCATCTATGAGCAACCCATCGTCCCCACTCTGTATCCTGATCCTCAATATCCCCTCAGCAAACCCTTTATGGACGAGACGACCATCTCGTCGTGGCCATCTCCAGAAAATCCCGAATTTGGCTACTCCTCCACAAATGGAGATGCACAGAAGACATCCTCAACTCCATCCGCCTCATCAACTCCTCACACATCTTCCTCCGCATTCGGATCAACTGCTTCTGGTAACATCGATTGGATTTCCTGCGAGTTTGCAGGCTGCCAAAGAACATTTACACAACGCCACATCTACAAGTGGGTATTTTTCATCCAATTATCAAAAGCCTTCACTCATTCTAACACAATCCTCAGCAAACACAAAAAGTCCCACGAACATCCAGAACATTGTTCTATGTGCGGGCGCGGCTTTGAAACCAACAAAGATGTTCGACGCCACATCAAAGATAAACACCAGTCGACGAAGGATTTTCACTGCCTTGTCACTGGATGCAAGTATGCACAAGGAGGAAAGAGAGATGGTTTCGCACGGAAGGAAAACTGGAAGAGGCACTTGCGAAATCAGCATGGGATGGGTGACGAATCTCCTTGAGTCCTGGGTCTCGTAATTTTACTTTGAAGCTGTACAGAAAGTTTGATTTTCTTTAAATGCTAGGCTTTCTTTCTATCCAAGTAGGGATACACTTCTCAAATGTTTCTCAGACAGTACCAACGACACTAGGCATTAAAGTTATTACTAAGCTGGATGTGGCGCACCAGTTACCGCAGTACCTCCAGCCACTGTTGGCCTTTTATGCCTAAGGGATCACAAATAAATTACAGCGTAATCTAGGTTATAGTGTTTTAAACGTGGATTATAGGGATATAGGCTCGCTTAAGAACGCTATAAGGACATAGGGAACCGTATCACGAGAAGTTGCATATAGGAGTGTAAGTTAGATAGAAGTCGGTGCAATCCTATAGGTCTACTACGAAGGATACAAAAAAGATGAAGGCGTAACCCTATATGGCTGTTCCCTTAAAATACCTAAAACCGCTCTAATTTAGCTAGCTCCCTATTTGCCTAAGGCTTCCTTACGTTATGTGCCTAAGGCTGTTAGTTGCAACTAACCCATAACAGCCCTAAGTCTTAATGGCGCTACGTAACGGCCGTAACTACCCTAAGTAAGGAGGCATCCTTATAGCTGTCCCTAGTAGGCGTAATCTTTTTTATATAATGTAAGGACATAGGGCACTATATTATAAGAAGTTATATATAGGAGTGTAGGTTAGATAGAAGTTGGTGTAATCCTATAGGTCTACTATAAAGGATATAAAAAGATAAAGGTGTAACCCTCTATAGCTATTCCCTTAAAATACCTAAAACTGCTCTAACTTAGCTAGCTCTCTATTTGCCTAAGGCTTCCTTACATTATGTACCTAAGGCTATTAGTTGCAACTAACCTATAACAGCCCTAAGTCTTAATGGCACTACGTAATAGCTATAACTACCTTAAGTAAGGAGGCATCCTTACACTTAGGGGTAATGTAGGCTAGGGGACTAGGGCTAGGGGACTAGTACCTTAGGCACCTTATGTTAGTTATACCTATACACTTATATGCCCTATGCCCTATAGCTAGTAGGAGGATAGCATATAGTACTAACCTACTACTAAGTTAGTAAGGGTCTAACTATAAAGTAGTAGATAAGAATAGCTAAGCCCCCTATAAGGAGGGCTTAGAGATTAGTCTATTAAATACTATTTCTATTACTAGAGCCTATAGCTATAGCACGCTTCTACTAAACCCTTATAAAAATTATTAAAAATTAAAATTATAACATATTTTACTTATAAGTAACTATATAAGTAAGTAAGTAACATACTAAAACACTATTACTACTACTACTATACTACTATATAATAACCCTTATTTAATTATAATTAATTCCTAGCATGCTATATATTCTATAGTACTACTATTAGCTGTCTATTTATATAAATGTTTAGTAAAAGCTCTTTAGCTATAAATCTAGTCTATTAAAATGTTTTAAATTCTAACCTATAAGAATTCCTTTATATAGAGTTAGACACTAGCTTCTCTACTTACTATAGTAACTAAAGAAACATTATATTATGTATTTTTAACTTCAACTTACCTAATCTATAGAAGGGATTAATCGCTAGTTAAAGCGATTTTGCTCCCTAGCTATAATTTGCCTACCTACTACTATAGATATCATAAAGTAACAGAGGTAGGTCTGTACTATAAATGTAAGGTAGAAGCGTAAGTATATTCTTTAAACCCTCTAGATTTCTATAGAGTCGGCCTAACTGTCTCTGCACTTACCGTGAACTCTAGGAGTGCCCGAGATAATGTCAGCTGACCCACTTCGGCTTAAGACTCTTATCGATAAGCGCGGCAAAGGAGATTGCCCCAACTGCTTAATCTAGAGCACTACTGTAAGATTCGGCGATGGAGACCTATCTAACCCACTAGACACTTATGGGGAAGAAACTATGGCAGGTACGTACTGTCTGTAAACACGTAGCGCATGATCTTGACGGGCATCGAAACGGAGTAGCTGTTTAAGAGAGCTTGCTATAGTCATATCTAACAGATGAAAGAAAGATACGTTTCGGTTGGACCAGAACAGCCCTCTTAGACAGACAAATGCAAGACAGCCAAACTCCACCTTCTATCAACCGCACCCCAGAGTGTTTCTTATATGAGCTTGTGTTTACGCCTTGTGCATATCTTGTTAGGCGGCCACATATAAGTTCCCAAATTAGACATATTCTACAAGCTAGATACTTTATGCATATATGCGTGGTAGCTCTCGTCTCCTAACTTAACTTCTAAATCTTATGCCCATCTAGTCTCTGATATCATCAGACTAGTACCCTACTGAACATACGCCTCTACCTCGATCTCAACCTCCATCCCTGGAATACCCAACTTTGTCACCTCAATGCAAGTCCAGACAGGCTGATGGTTGGGCATCCACTTCCTGAATTGCTCAACCATGATATCAAAACTTTTGTCGAGATCGGTGTGATAGCTTCTCACAGAGTATACATTGGCCCATCCATCACCGCCTGCCTCTCGGACATTCATCTCGACGTTCTGAAAGGCAAGTTGGATCTGCCCGATGATATCGCCCTTCACAATCTCTCCAGATTCATTCCAGCCGCCTTGGCCGGAACACTTGATGGTAGGACCGATGCGAACCGATTGTGAATATGAGTAGAGTTTATTGTTAGTCTCGCCGACGCCAGCATAATTCGTGAACTTGATAGGAGACATTGTTCCAGAGGATCTTGATAAACGCTGAGTTATAGGGTTTGTGTCAGCCTCTGATCAGAACTTCCATTCATGTTGTAGCCCAAGGATTGTGCTGTAACACTTACCGGAGTAATTTTGCAATCAGGGAAGATGAAGAGGAAGTTGTAATACAAGTAGCTGGAGAAGGTGAAATCGCGGGGTTATATAACTGGTCTGATGGGAGAAACATTATATTGCTCTGCATCCGTGTGTCATGAACTCATGATCTATTACCGCGCTTATCTCGGTCGTGCAGTCGGAACGAGTGGGGCTACTTGCGGGGTACAAAGGAACCCTTGATATTGCTCATTGTGATAAGCGCGGCTGGGCTAGGTACGGTGATAAACTAAAGCAGGGGAATGTTGTGATACACCTCCTCGACGATATGACATGCTCCTAGAGCATGAAACTACTACTAGATCTGATCCTTCATCATCCAAGGCGAGGGGAGGTCTAACCCCTCTCGACTCGTATATTCCCCGCATGCCCGAGTTTCGGGTAGTCTCTACAATACCGGTATCATTGCTCAGCTAGCTGTAGGTATCCACTTCTGCTATAATGTATAAGTAACCCACATTACAACTTATATCAGAGTGACTGTCTTCTAAACTATCTTCTGAATAGTCTACTGATTTCAAAACGCGTATTTTCACTACCATCATGTCATCGACGCTGTTCCAGAATCTGTTGCTCCCCAATGGAGTTGCCTATGAACAACCCTTAGGTTTGTTCATTGATAATGTGTTTGTCTTGCCAGCGGAGCCCAGTTTGATACCTGTGGAAAATCCGGCGTAGGTCCACTCGAGATCTTCCATATACCCAAACTCCTAATATTGCTCTAGGACGGGGAAAGATATAATCAGTGTTCATGCCGCCTCTGGGATTGATGTCAACAAAGCTGTCGCTGCAGCTCGTCAGGCGTTCCGTGGAGAGTGGAGGTCTCTGAGCGCTACTGACCGAGGGTCTTTGCTTTTCAAACTGGCCAATCTTATCCATCGTGACCAGAAATTAATAGCGGCCATTGACTCCATGGATAATGGGAAGGTAGGTAAAAACACCTCACAGCCCATTCATGATGACGTGGCTCATACTGAATTAGACCTACAATGAAGCCTTGACAATCGACCTTGATGAGGCGTACAATGTCTTCAAGTATTATGCTGGTTGGGCAGACAAGATATACGGGCGTACTATTGAGATAGCGCCGTCTAAGTTGGCATATACGTTGCAAGAGCCTCTCGGTGTCTGCGGTCAGATCATCCCGTGGTATGTTATAATCTTGCCTGGTTTTCTTGTTTACACCTATCTTTCTTTGACACTGACGGAAATTTTCCCAGGAATTATCCATTCATGATGCTCGCCTGGAAGGTTGCACCAGCACTTGCCTGTGGCAACACTGTGGTCTTGAAGTCTGCAGAGCAGACTCCATTGTCAGCACTCTATTTCGGAAAATTGGTTCAAGAAGCTGGGTTTCCCAAAGGAGTAGTCAATATAATCTCTGGCTTGGGAAGCATAGCTGGCAGTGCATTGGCTATGCACATGGATGTTGATAAGATTGCTTTCACGGGAAGCACAGCTACTGGCCGGCTCATCATGAAGGCAGCTACTTCGAATCTGAAAAACATTACACTGGAATGCGGCGGGAAAAGTCCAAGCATCGTTTTCGAAGACGCCAAGCTGGAGCAAGCAGTCAAATGGTCGCACGCGGGAATCATGGGCAATCAAGGGCAGGTGAGTAGTCCAAACGCAATTGCAAGTAAAGCTTCTGCTAACAAGCACTATCTTGCTAGGTCTGCACGTCCACATCGCGCATCTATGTGCAAGAATCGATTTATGACAAGTTCGTTGAGCTTTTCGTAAAACTGACGCAAGAATCAGCAAAGCTTGGAGATCCTTTTGCAGGAGAGACTATTCAAGGCCCTCAGGTATCCGCTGCTCAGCTCGATAAAATTCTTCAATACATTGAGGAAGGCAAGCGTGAAGGGGCCCATCTTGCTACTGGAGGTGTTCGGCACTCCTCGGAAGGCTATTTCATTGAGCCAACAGTTTTTACTAATGTAAGTCTAAGAAAAATCTGTAGTATGGAGGCGGACCAGAATACCCGAGACTAATTGTCCATACAGACTCATGAGGAAATGAAGATCGTCAAGGAAGAGATCTTCGGGCCCGTTGTAACCATCAGCAAATTCAGTGACGCAGCGGACGCGCTCAAGAAGGCTAATGATACCTCTTACGGTTTGGCTGCCGCAATCTTCACATCGGATATTGAGAACGGCCTTGCTATCGCTTCAAAGGTTGAAGCTGGCATGGTGTGGATCAACTCTTCCAACGACTCGCATTTTGGTATTCCTTTCGGTGGCTATAAGTCTTCTGGAATCGGTCGCGAGTTGGGACCTTACGCTCTTGATGCGTATACACAGACGAAAGCAGTCCATGTCAATCTAGGAAACACTTTGTAGTGGTAACATCCGTAGAATTCTGTATTTTCATTGCTTCCGTCGCCTCAAACAATTGCTGAGCAACTACGTCACATAAAACAAAGGTGAAATTTGGTACTGCCTCACACAAGTAATGGCACGTCTATCATTATTGATCTCGCTTAACCTCATTTATGGCTCGCCGCGATCACTGGCTCACAAAGCCTCAAGGTACCCGCGCAATAGCTGTGATACTCTCCCACAAAAGACAAATGCTAGGTTTCCAGCCTCAGGGGCACGCCAACTTTGCACTCGTACGAGCAGCGAATGATATGTCATGATGGTTTCAATTGACATTGATGCAGATTCCTCCTCCTCCTTCGTGGACTAATGAGAAAAAGCTGAGACTAGAGGAAGGACACTAAGTAGGTCGCTAGCGTAACCAAAGAACATAACCCAGCTCTTACAGTCTACAGGACCATCACCACATAGCGAAGAGAAGTCTTCGATTGTCAATTCACTCCACTCATGTTCTACTGTGTACTGCTTAATATAGCGATATAGAGGTACAACTCCACGATGAAGCCTCATACTTCTACATCAAGCTTGACATGACGCTGATGCAGCCACGATTGTACAAGGGTCCAAGATAGGAGCGAAAGCTTTGTGCTTTTCAAGATTTCGGTCATATCTTCTCCATATAGCGCATTTAGACTGTGACACTGATAGTCCCAAGAAGTTTTACTTACTCTTAGCATGAGGGGATCAATCCACAGATCTCAAATTCACATGTAGCCGAGAAGACTTCGATGAACGGAGAGCATGCATGTTTCAATCGTTTCGAGGAGGACGAATTCGCAGAATTATTTGTGTATACAATAGCTACTCGACGCCCAAACACGCTTGGATGAGATCAACTGCCCTAATGACTTTCTCACAGTTCCACTTCTTTCCGACTAGTTGCAGATTGATGGGAGCACCCATGTACTCACTTGGCTCGTAATTAGCCCAATTGTAGGCATCCATGTCGTTCCTCGGAGTATATATTTCATCCTTTGGGTGCGACTCGGGAGAGCACTTCAAACCGGTTGGAAATGAGTATGCTGGATAGTCCAAACAGTTGAACACGCAAGTATACCCCCAGTAACGAGCGGTATCATGTCGAGAAGCAGCACAAGGCCCGACGGGACATAGCAGAAAATCTATGTCTGGATGTTGATTCCAGTCTTGGAGATATTCCGCTACACACAGAAAATTAGTTCGGCATAAGCGGCAAGCGGCAGTTTGAGGAAGTTCTTACTGCGATATTCCTCCCGCTCCACATTCAGAGCCCAACTCTCCGAGATAGTCCTTAATTTGGTGTGGGGACCAATAATCGACTGGGCTGCCAGTGGCAGGATTGGTTCTCCAGAGGCTTTCATGGCTTCAAGGTTATCTGCACCTCCATCCTGGAAGTATAGCTTTCTAATGACATTGTAGCCTCTAGAATGTTGATATGGTTTCCATTCTCGAAGTTCGAACAATGGGTTTTCCCGCAACTTCTTCACAATAGCTTTCAGCGCTGCTGTGATTGGTGGGTGTGGCCTGACAAATCCATCATCCTCAAAGAAACCTATTGTGATTTTCTTTGGGGTAGGAGCGCCTCTCCAAGGCAAAGGAACCATATCCGGTTGGTTACGCCACGGTTGAGTGTCAAGGACGTTCCGCATGAAATATTCCGTGTCACGCGTAGTCTTGCAGATGACGCCAACAACCTCCGGGAAAGCCTCACAGCCCTTCATAGGGAAGTTTGAACCAGCCAAAGGAATCCGACAGGAGGTTGCTTTCATTCCATGGAGTCCAACGTTGGCAGCCGGCGCACGGATACTACCGCCACCATCAGCAGCAAGCCCAATTGGTGACCCATGAAACGCGACGAGGGCTGCTTCTCCACCACTCGAGCCTCCAGGGCTGAGGTTGCGGCTGTGTGGGTTGAGTGTTCGGCCAAACACTAGAAGGTCAGTTAGCCAGACCTACGGGAGGATGTATACATCACACCTACGGTTTGATACGGTCTCAAGCTGCATCAAGGTCTGCGGATTGTTGGTTTTGCAGTAGAATACTGCTCCGGCGTCTCTCAGGAGTTTGACAATCGGAGCATCCTTTTCGGCGATCGTCCCCACCCACGCAACATATCCTGAAGACGTATCTTTGCCTTTGATATCAAAATGATCCTTGATCGAGAATGGCAATCCGTGCCAAGGGCCGACAACTTTGCCAGTATGAGCATATATTTCGTCCAGCTCTTTCGCTTGCCGAAGGCCATCATCGAAGAAGATGTGCGTCATGCAATTGAGCTGTATCTAGAGTTAGGATTTTTCCCTTGTGTAGATATAGCTGCGGGAAGCCGAGAACCATTGGTACGTACCACCTGCTGTGCAATAGCTGCACGTTTACAAAAAGCCAATGTCAAGTCGTAGCTTTTGAGCTTCCCTTCCGAAATCAGTCGTAGCAGCTCGGTGGCATCTTTCTCTGTCCATGCCAACTCCTCCGCCGTCATGATCCCGCTTTCATACGGCACACGCATGACATTCCTCACTTCAGGACCAGGGGGGTTCTGGAGGCGCCATTCAGATGGTATTGCTGCATCTCTTTTGTTCTGTTCCTCTTGAGCAATGTCTTGCCATGGTCGTCGCTCTTGAGTTTGAGCCATATTGAGAGTTGCTGTCTGCAGGAGCTCGTTGTAGTTCAAAGAAAATAGCGAAAAGGCTCAGATATAACACACACTTGTGATCGTTTACTTTAATGACACATAATTATGTCGGAACCAGAGTACTATGTCCGTAGTCCCTCTTTTAGCTTCTCGCACTTCTAGAGTCATGAGGCTGTGTTCTCTCCTATCAGAATTGGACTATATAATGTTTGACCCAGTACCTAAGAGTCTAGGAGTTTGTGAGATAAGCGCGGCTGACTCGCCCCCGCATTAAAACGTTGAAGTATTGATAAGTGGAGCGAGGGAGATCGCCTGGGGTGTGAGAGGACTGCGACTGACCTTACAAGGAGTCAATGATAAGAGCGGCTAGGTCAGATTTCATTAGCGTTCAAAGCGGCCTCCGAGACCCACATCAACAAAGCCGTCGGAAAAGGTCGAAAGGCGCTTCAGTGAAGTCTAAAGAACGGAAGCCTCTGAGCGTTACTGAGTGGGATATTAGCTTCTCAAGTTGAGGACCCTGTAGTGTAGGATTGGTCCACCCGGACCAACAATATATCCGGGGTTACGGGGGAATGGAGAACATTCGAAACGCGGGTGGCAAAACTGCCTCCCAAAACTGCCACCCGTCTTCGAACGTTCTCCATTCCCCCGAATACCAACCTTTGGTTGGTATTAAGTAAGGCCTACCCTTACTAGCTTAATTAGCGTAGAGCGGAACCGTATGTACTGTAGGTTAGCCGCTCTTATCGCGCACATTTCCCCGCATTCCCATGTCTTTGGTTTGATTAGCAAGTCGAGGACGCAAGAAACGAGGTTTTCTGCTCCTATCTCACGTACTCTCAGATGTTAGATACTCAAGGACCAGTAGATTTCCTTTCTATCTTTGTTCTCAAAGTTCGGTCACAGATGACAGGGAGTATCTATACTAGGTCGTCAACCATGCGCTTGCCCGAAGCAGAGCCATGGGCGAGCCAACTGCCGAATCTCGAAATCTTAGGCTCATCTCCCCATATCAGCCAGCAGTGTACCCATATCTCCTACCAGAGTGTAATTTGATATAAAACAGCGAATAGGTCCTGAATAGAAGTGGCAAGAGTAGATGCTGAAGCTCTTGTTCATCAAGATGGCCGCCAACCAAGATTTAGAGACAACCACACAGGTTGCCGACGCATCAACACTCGATGACTTGCGCCTGTCTCCCGGAACAGTATTCCTTTCACATGGTGAGTTGCCTTCGGTACGAAGTTCTAGACAGGACGGCGCTGATTGCATCGTTAGCTAAAGACGCCCCGATCATTCTGCAGCCGCGGCCATCAGAAGATCCCAATGATCCTCTGGTACAGACTCCAATCTCCACACCCCACATACTATAGCACGTGCTAATCAACAGAAGTAGAACTGGTCAAAAATTCGGAAGACGATCAATTTCTCTCTTGTTTTATTCTATACGCTCCTCGGATTTGCAGTGTAGGTCTCAAAGCGGAGTGGGCATTAGCAATCGTTAAAGCTGATTCATCGGCGATAGCATCACTGTCCAAACGCCTCTATGGGCTCCCATCAATGAGGACCTTGGGTTTTCGTCCGTCGCTCTGACCAATGGGTACGCTACTAACGTAGCTGCATTGGCTGTTGGTTGTGTCTTTTTTGTCCCGTTGGCACTCAAATACGGCCGGCGACCCGTATATCTAACCACCACTCTCCTTATGTTATTGTCATGCATATGGCAGGCGAAGATGACTACTTTAGCCGATCTGTACCTCTCTGTTTTCCTATCTGGCCTTGCTAGCGCCGTCAACGAGGCTTTGGTTCAAATTACAGTATGGGATCCTTCTGAATCGTCGTCGTAGTATCTCTAACAGGTGGATCAGATTGCAGACTTGTATTTTGTGCATCAGCGAGGTACGATGAACGGGATCTACATTCTTTGCGTAGCAATAGGGGTATGTATCACGATTCCATGCTGGATCATGAATGCTAACGATCGGCAAGAACTATCTTGCGCCAGTGGCATCTGGCTACGTGGCAAACTCCCAAGGTTGGACGTGGTCATTCTGGTGGCCCTGCATATTTTTTGGAGTTGCGAACGTGTTGATGCTTTTCTTCTACGAAGAAACGAAGTACATAGGACCTATAACTGGAATCTGCCAGGCCAACGGACCAAACCCAAGTGTACACACTGAACCAAACCTGTACGAGAAGGCAGCCAACGACAAAGAGACTTCAGTGGGTGACCCTATACCCACCATATCTCACTTAGAAGATCCCTCCGTCTACATTAATAGGAACATACCTCTGAAATCCTACAGAGAGCGACTGCCGTGGTTCGTGAACAGCCCGGGGTCTTTTGCAAGCTTTATCCGCCACATATATCAGCCTTTTCAAGTCATGGGATTGTTCCCTATTGTAGCATTTGCATGTCTTCAATACGGTACTGCAATTGCCTGGCTAGCCATTCTTGCAACAACTGAAGCTAGTCTCTTTGCGTTACCGCCTTACAACTTTAATACTATTGCGATTGGAAATCTCAATATTGCACCTTTCATTGGTTTCCTCTTTGGATCTGTGTTTGGTGGTCCAATCAATGATTGGTCGATCGTACGTCTAGCAAGACGGAACAGAGGCATTTATGAGCCAGAGATGCGCCTCCGACTATACATCATCCCAGTTCTAGCAATGGCAGCCGGCCTGCTTATGTATGGCCTCACCCTTGCTAAGGTATGCCAGCAATCAATATGTGAGCATTTTCTGGGACTGACCGTTTCTAGGGAGTGCATTGGATCCTGCCTGCCACAGGCTCAGGGATAATGGCTTTTGGTATATCCGCCATCATGGACTTGAACCTCAGCTATCTAATAGATGCACACATAGAAGTTAGTTATTGCGAATGTTCTACATGCATAGACCTTCCTTCCTAACTAATTGAATCCAGATCCTCGGAGATGCCTTGGTTGCAGTAACTTTTGTTCGCAACGCCATAGCCATGGTCATCGTCTTCGTACTCCCTCCTTGGATGAATGGTATGGGCACTTATAATATGTTCGTCATCATGGGAGTGTTGTCGCTCACATTTGGTTTGACCTTCATACCCATGATGCTGTATGGCAAGCGGGTGCGCATTGCTTGCTCTAGTAGATATGCCAGATACGCCCAGAAGCAATTCAGTCCCCGCGGAGTCTAATGCGACCAAGCATCAAGATGTTGACATGTACCTCGGGTTCTAGTTTTAGCAATATAATTTACTGTTCTGTTACACTTTTGTGTAAATAATGCGATACTCAAGTACAAAAGCTCGCCTGGTACTTAAATGTCCCATGGCTAACCCAGTCCTATAGGATACCGAATGCCACTGAACCTTAGGTGACTGGTTTTGGATTATTTTGACTGTTAGTAGCGGCGCTTCGAGCTTACATCAAACTTACGAGTTAACCTTTTCGAAGTTTGCATCAGCAGTTATTTCCAAAAAAATCTCTCGCGGGGTTATCCTGAGGTATGAAGGAACGGCTTCGACTCAAGTGGACCATAGTTGACCTACCTGACCAGTTGACGGCGTAGGGATAGTGTTCAGTGGCTCCCGGTGTATCGCTTGATTTCTCAACGGCACATGACGTGCCAACGAAGGCGGTTGTGTTGGAATTCGGGTGTGTTGAGCAGCGGAACAGCATTGGACGAGGCAAATCACAGGTGACGGGCAGGTTTGGGCTCAAAACCCAGTGCGTCGGGGTTCTGAGGCAACCCCGGCTCACACCAAGCACCAATTGGGGAGCCCGACGGTAACACTGAGAAAAGCCGTCATTTTAGGGCCAAAATATCACCGTATCCCACGGTGCCCGTCCTCTTTTCCCCAACAGCCTGCAGGTGCTTAAGTGCTCACGTGCTCAAAATATATATGGGAGAAGCGCAGACACGTCGCTGATATGCTCCTTCAAGCCTTTTTGATAAAAGTCGATGTAGTCTCGATTCGGAGATTCTAGCATGGGTGCACGACGACAAGCCCCATTAAAAAGTATTGACTAAACGAAATGCCACTCCCAGACTCATGGTGGCTCTCAACGTGAGGGGAAATTTGGTCGTGGCGCGACCACTCGAATCAGCGCATGGGCCTCGGGTCTTAGTGTTGGGCCTGGCCGCGCCACACTACCAACGTCCACCCTTCATTTGCTCGACCAGAGATATTTCCTATCACCCGAAAAATACTTGACTAATTAAATAATGGGTGGGCATCAAAGGACTACTCTTCCGCCCCACGCTAATTGAGTCGAGTAGATAAGAGCGGCTAACCTGCCCTCAACAATCAAGGATCGGACATGCATTAGATATCGAAAGTGCCATTTCCTCTCTCTGTTTCTTTCTTTGCTTTACATTATTATCGGGCCCCAGCTCAGCTGCGCTTATCATGAACCCCTTAACGTTGTTGAAAACATCGACCTTCTCGAGAGCAAAGTCCGGATGCTCGGTATGCAGGCTCCGCAAGAAAAAGTGTGATGAACGCAAACCAAGATGTGGAGGTTGCGAACGGAACTACCTACTCTGTACATGGCCATCTGTCATGTCAGCTAAGGGCGATCTCCGGCGGAGTAGCAAACCCCCTGGAACCCATTTGAAAGTGGAGCTGCTCCCCGCAGCGAAGGCCTTAGAAGTTCTCGACCACTGCAGCCACAATCTTCAACGGAAGACGGACACTGGAGACAACGCCGCACAGCAATTATTTAGGAGTTCCAAGAGCACTCCTGAGCGAGCTTCATCATCAACAAGCCCAAATCTTCTAAAACCAAGCGAGGTGTTCCAAGTCACAATGACTCGACCGGCCTCCCGAACCCTACTTCAGCACTATCAAAGTCGAACCGCGGATTTGCTTTGCGCCTCTCAAAGTCGTGAAAACCCCTTCATTTCACTCTTAATTCCATTTGCAGCAACGCATGAGCTCCTCCTTCAATGTATCCTAGCTCTTAGTGGTGTTCACTTCATCAATAATTCCAATGGCGCTCCCTCCTCTGATATTATGGCTGCCACTTGGACACACTATGGACTAGCTGTCAGAGGACTCAAACATGGGATTACGAGATTTGCATATGGAGAGCAAGAAATTTTGCCACTGCTTATGGCCACTTTAGTGCTTTGTTTTGTAGAGGTGAGTCCTGCCCTACGACCAAAAGTAGAAGTTAGCTGATGAGTGGATGCAGTCGACTAGAGGAAACGTAATCAGCATCGCCCAACACCTCAAAGCTGCTCGAACTTTTCTACTCTCTTGGCTTCAACAGCGTCAACCCAAGATTGAAGTAGAACTACGAGGCTTCGTCATTGAATTCTATCTATACATCGCTATATTGAGCAATACTCAGCTAGGACCTGAGTGGAATGAATTAATAATCGAAGACTGTTCTTTGCTATATGGTGATGGTACTACAGACTGTAAGAGCTGGGGAATGTTCTTTGGTTACGCCAACGACCTATTTGGTATTCTTCCGGCAGTCTCAGCTTTTGCTCACCAGAGCAGTAGAGAAGAGGAGGACTCTACGAACAAATCCTTTGAATTCATCGTGAACTATTACTCGTTGCTTGCACAGGTGAATAGTTGGCATCCCCCTGAAGCTGGAGATCTGGCATTTGTCGCTTGTGGCAGGATATATCAACAGGCTCTCCTTCTCCTTTTGCATACATCGTTCTATAGAGACGAACTTGGGTCTATGACCTTGAACAACTTACTTGAGCAGGGTGTGCGGGAATTCCTGGCGCTCTTAGAGAGTTTGCCTGTGGAATCACCAATTGCAACTACACTCTGCTGGCCACTTTCGATTGCTGGCTCCTGCGCTCGCTCCGAATTACATCGCAATAGTATACGAAAACATCTTAAGATGATGTATAAGAGATTCAACATGGAGAATATCACGGCTGTTCTGCGGGTGCTCGAGGCTTTGTGGGACGGTGATCACTACAAGCCACTCTACATCACAACAGTAATGCGACAGCAGAATGAGCACTTCATTATTCAGTAGTACGCCAGTTTAGGCAATGGACAAACGGTAAGAATATTTACAAGTGTGGAATGACAGGACTATATTAACACTTAATGCATGCTTTATTGTCTAGTCTGATATTTGAAGTATTGTGTATTTATTGTCTAGAGCTTTCTATCAAGTACTATAGGATGGAAACCCCCGTGGCTGCAAGTGGCTGTTAGTGGCTGTTAGTGGCTGTTAGTGGCTGCCTAGCCACTCAGATCTTTCTAGCCTCACTGGAACCACGCACCACACGTCGGACCTTCCCTCCCGTAGCATCAGGGCAAGTTCCCTGCTTGGAGAACTCGGCAGCCCCACAGAAGTTAAGGCCACTAGAGTAGTTCATGTACCCATAATCGGTGTGCTCATAAGGTCTCATTCTCGAAGTCCCAGCAATGAAGTTGCCGCAGTTGTAGGAGATATCGACGGCGTTGTTGCTGACGAGGTTCGATGGAACGGTGATGGATGACACGGCTGAAAAGTTGCAAATGAATGAAACCGCGGAGTTCTGGATAGCGTACCGCGCAGCGCCGGCACCGAGCTGCGGCGAAGAGGAGGCGTAGTCGGCGATGCGCTGGTTGGCGATGTTGGTGTCCCCGGCGTTCATGGGGAATGCGCAGCCACACCAGGTTTGTCTGGAGTTGCCGACGGCACCCCGCTTAGTGTGGTCCAGTGTAACATAGGTGGATTCAAAGTCGGTTTTAACGAGTCTGTGAACTTCTTCGCCAACTTCGTTGTAGGAGACTTCGTAAAGTCCGTTGGCAAGATCGCCTGGGAGGGTGAAGGCAGAGCCAAGGGCAGCGAGGCCGCTGAGGACGAGGAGAGTCTTTGCGTGCATTTCGGGAAGGGATGGTTCTTGGTTGAAGAAGCAAACGAGTAAGTTTAGAGGTAGAGTCTATGAGAACAAAGGCCGAAGGCGCTAAACTGAGTTTTGAGTGCTTGGAAGACGAGAGAGATCTGTGAAGCTACAGATCAAAAGTCATAAAACAGAGGAGCAGCAAATGATTTATATAGTTGAGAAGACTGCTCTATTTATCACCGACCCTTCCTTACAAATGATACCAATTGTGAAGCATAACGAGAAATGAGGGTTAGTAGGTAGCCATTGGTTACTATCAATCTGAGGGTATTCCTGACTTCAGCGCCATGAAATAGATCAACAGAAAATACTGCTTCACTCGGAGCTGTAGGATTGAAGGAATGCAGTAACTGAAGGAACGACAGCTGAATACGAGGATAGAAATCCTGCAGGATTTATATGTGTAAGCCTGGATTTAGCCATTAATAAGGACAGGAACACTAACTTTTCGGCATAAGTGGCACCTATGCGTAAATTCTCTCCTACCATCCACGAAAACTATACGCTGCATTCCTCTAAAGTGTCCGCTTTTAACTATATATCTTCCTCTGGGCAGGGGGGGGGTCCACGTAAGCCGCTATGACAGAAAGTTTAGCCCCCGGCTTAACCTACCGTCGCTTCACCCCGAAGTCAGCCTTAAGGAGGCGGGGAGCTGTACCTTGATCCCACCCTGAGCCTATCGGCACGATTGAGAATACCAAGCCACGGAATTTCAAGCTTCTGTGAGACAGAGCTTGTGCATGGCAGAACGGGTGGAATGCCCAGCCTTCGGTCCGATGTGATAGTTAACTCGAATTCTCCCGTTTTAGTACCACCGACGACATGCATATGCACTCAACAAAATGTGAGAAGTACGGCAACCAGATACCTTAAAACCCAAACATCCCAACACCAAGATGCGTAAATACCTCGCTCCCTCCTAAAATGCAAGGACTTCCCCGGGATCGAACACGGCTCGAGGGTTCCTGTCACGAGAGGGGGCCAAGTCCGAATTTCGAAAAGGACTTACTAGGGAGACTAAAAAAACACATACAACAGTGGGTATTCGCTGGTGGTCACCCACCCAACTACTAATCCACCGATCTCAAGCTTATGTATGGCAGAGCGGACGGGATGCCCAATTCTCTTGAGTCTATGGTCGTATGTGATTGTTCTTTGAGTATGGCACAATATAGGGGTGACGGGACTCGAGACCACAGCACGCCCCCCTTTTTAACTTCCGACCCCCCCTTTTGTTGCCGACTACGGCCATTTCATATTGCCCTTTCATGGCCGTTTTCTGTGCCGCGCTCCGTCTCTGTGCTGCGGTCTTCTCACTTTATCCTATGTCATGTTCATTCCTTCTTCTTTCCTATGCTATTCACTTTCCCTGCCCTTTCCAATGCTGCGCGCTTTCCTTGCTCTGTCCCCTGGGATCTCCATGCGTAATATATCTTATCATCCATCACGCATTACCCCGTGTGTTAGAAACCAGAAAACTGATCTAGGAGAATATTCTCAAGTCATACTAGGGTCTAGGGACTTATTTCGCTCCTGCTTGTCGCGGTAGCTCGACCACCCAAGTGTATCCATATCCCATGCGCCTAGCCTATAAATCGCTCTGTATCCATCGGGAGCCCGAAGATTTACGTCTGCTCCACCAGCAATCAACCTTGCTATAACATCAGTGTGACCATGGCACGCAGCTTCATGAAGTGCTGCTCCGGGACCGTAAGTCGAACCAGGAGCATCCACGTCTGCCCCAGCTTTAAGCAACATATCCACCGCTTCAAGATTGCCCTTCTCAGCAGCTATTTCAAGTGCCGTGGGGCCTTGATCCCCATGAGGAGTCGCGTTCGGGTTGGCCTTGGAAGCAAGTAGCAACGCTACAATCTTAAGGTGACCACGTCGTACAGCTGTTTGAAGCGCTGTTTCGCTATGCTTAGCAAGAGCAGCTTCCACGTTTGCCCCGGCAATAAGTAGGGTTTTGACAATCTCGAGGTGGCCATGTTTTGCTGCTAATTGGAGCGCCGAAAGACCCTGGCCGTAAAAAGTGGGGATGTTGCGTACGTTTGCCCCAGCAGTAAGTAGGATTTTGACAACCTCGAGGTGGCCATGTTTTGCAGCTACTTGAAGCGCCGAATGTCCTCTGGGAAAATCAGAGAAGTCATCCACGTCTGACCCAGCAGTGATCAACCTAGCCGCTACCTCGGGGTGACCACCAGCGGCCGAAAGTTGTAACGCTGTATAGCCATTATACTGTAATATTTTCGAGTAAGCATTTGCATTCAGTCGTCCATACTTAAGTAGCCAATAGTTCATAGCTGTCAAGTCACTCTGCGGGTGATCATTTCGTTCATTAAATGCAATGATTCCGTCCACGATATCGAGCCGTCCCACTAATGATGCTAGTAGTAACACCAATTCTAATGATCTTTGTAGGTCATATTTGCCAAAAAACTTTACCTCCGCTAAGAACGGCTTACATTTAGCCTTAGCATTGAGTAGGGCTTGAGCGATATCGAACTGATTTCCCATTGCTGCTACTGCCAAGGGGTTTGTTTTCCCTCCACTTAGGGCGTCGGGTTTGGCGCCTCTCTCTAACAATATTTTAACAACCGCCTCATGACCACAGCTCACAGCGGCCGTCAACGCATTGTCATATGTTCCTATCTGGGCGTTGATATTGGCGCCACCTTCTACCAGTATCTCAACCACTTCTGCGTGGCCAGCACAGGCAGCCGATGCTAGCGCGCCGCCATATTTTCCCTTCTGGGTGTTGACATTGGCGCCTCTCTTTAACAATATCTTGACCATGTTCGCATGGCCCATCGCGGCTGCCGCTTCTAAGGCGCCGGCATATTTACCACCTTTGGCGTTAACCTCTGCGCCCGCCTGCAATAATATGTAGACCATTTTCTCATCCCCACTTTCAGCAGCGGCTACTAGTGCACAGCCATATATTCCACCATGAGCATTGACTTCAGCGCCATTCTTTAACAGTCCCAAGGCCATAGCCTCGTGGCCGTTATGAGCTGCGGCTACTAGCGCATATCCGTACTCCCCAGATAGACCATTAACATCGGTGCCCTCAGCTAGTAGCAATCGGACTGCTTCGAGGTTGCCATCCGCGGCTGCGCTTTGTAGTGATTGAGCGTTGAATTTTGCTCCGTCCTCAAGTAGAAGACTAACAGTCTTCTCCACATTTCCACGAACCTTTCCCAACTTCGTTGAATTCTGCTTATCAAAGCACTTTATCGTCGCTCCTTTCGATATGAGTAGACGCAAAACGTCGGCTTTATAATGACGGGATGCTATTTGCAATGGTGTTAAAGCGTTGTTGTCCTTCGCATTGATCACAGAGCTTGAAAACTTAATCAATATCCCAGCCGCTTCTGTCGCACCTCCACGAGCCGCGTAATGTATCGCTTGTTGTCCCAGGTTGTCCTTCTCAGATACCTTCACCTTTTTCTTAAGGAGACTTCTCACAGCGGTCGGAATATTCGCCATAGATGCAATGTGCAGTAGCGTAGAGCTTTCTGAAGGAAGCACACCCAAATAATCTCTTGGGCAGAATATCTTGCCTGCTGAGCACCACAGGCTAAACAAACCTTGTTCTACGATATCCCGTTTGGGAAATCTATAGGTATGCTTGTAGTCAAATTGATCAAGAAGTGTTTCCTGGTAGTGGCCATTCTGCTCAGCCTTTGAGGCATGCCAAAAGTATGCGGCGATTGCGTACTGTAGTAGCGGGAGGGTTTCTAAAGCAGGTAACTGAATCCAGGTGCGTTTGCTCGAAGATTTTTTGATGATTGTAGTTGTTGAATGTTGATGGACGTCTTTTGTCCAAAGATAGTTTACGCATGATCTAGCAAGTATGTCGTGGCATGAACCTTCGAATTTTTTCTTCTCCGTATCCGAGGGGGTTTTTAAACCTGTGAGAATTTCGAATCCCTCCTCTAGTAAAAAGTCTCGAACTGTTTGATGATTGACTTGAACTACTGTGCCTGAATCGTGTTCTCTGACTTCTATCAGGCCACCAGATAAGGCTGTAATCCGCGTTTCCATTCTATACTCCACGTATTCGCTGGAGTCTTTGAGATGATATAGCTGAAGTGGAGGTAGGCTGTCAACAACGGCCATGGCATGCCGTATCTCCTCTAGTGATAGCGGTCTCGCTGCAAAGCATACCCATCGAAATAGCTTCAGTGCTCCCGTCTTTTGCTTTTGGCTGATTAGAGCCTGGAGAATATACCGATACATATCATTGAGATCTTTAGGCAGATCATAAAGTATATTTTGGATCGAACCTAAAGGTTCTGCCTCCCGATCCGCTTTAAATATGATTGGCAACACGAGGCACACCCATTGGAAGACTCCATTTGCTTTTGCAGCAATGTCGTCTTCTAATTTAAGGCTCATCGCCTTAGACTTGATCGGCCCATCGTCTTGTAAATTCTGTTCAAATTCCCTTTGGATGAACAATCGTATACCTCGCCCATTTTCGTGTTCAACGATAACTTTTTGATTTTCCGCAACTCTCGTAGACACGATCGGGTAATGGCGACTCGAGAAACATATCTTAACGATGCCATTGTTGTGTTGCACTTTCTCATAAAGGCTGGCGAGATAAGTCGCTAGGTCGTTTGCGATCACCTCCCCGGCTTCATCTAGGGCGTCTATGAAAATGATAACCTTCTTCGACTGTGAAATTTGACAGATGAGGCTGGAGAATAACTCTTCGAGCATTTTCTCGGTCCATTCCCACTTTACATTGACCATGCCATCCTCACTGTTCTTGTTGAACTCTTTGATAATCCCCGTGCGAGCCGTCGAATCACCTTTGTATAGCTGGAGCAAGAGTGACTTAAACATTCCCAACGGAGTCTTCTGTAACTCGGTTCCGCGTGCGTGAAAGAAGAAGCTCAATTTAAGACTAGACGTGCTCACCGTAGGCATCTGGATTTTTTCATAAATGTATTTCATCAGGGTGGACTTGCCCGCCCCTGCTTTTCCTTGGATCCATAGGAGACCATCGGTGTTTTGAATCCAACAGGCGTAGTTCTCATTTTCTAGCAACCAGCCGCAGGTATTGTCATCAACGTTGACAATATTCTCCTTTCGAAAGTTCATCTCTTTGAATTGGAGCGATTCCAGGCATTCTGCAGAAGGTGTTAGAACGGTTATTTAAGAGGAAGGTGTCTTGTACCATCATTTCGGAAATCATTCTGCCCTGACGATATCCGAGCATCTAAACGGTATACACAATTAGCGACGGGCCAAGTCAAGACATAAGAAACTGTTCATGGATATGAATTTTATATTGATATAATCCAATGAATCTAGCAAACCCCTCTCTCCACGTTCTACTTAGCCTCAGAATTTAGGGCTAAGAATCGACGCTGTAGATCATGGACGGAATCGGTACTTTCAGGTGTTTGGAGACCACTAAGGAGATATATATCATTACCATTATTAACGCGTTCTTGCAGCAAAGCTTTAATACACTGTTTAAGCTTTGCCTGAGGTTCCCCTCTACTCAAATACTCTTGTGTTTGGTCAACGATCTCTCCGATATGCTTGTGCTCCTCCAGTCCAATATTGCCTAATCCGTGCGTGACGCTTAATCGACAATATCGTTCTTCAGCAACCATAACTTTGTTTGCATTGTAAAAATCGTCAGCAACAACGTCGCACCCTGTCACGATTTTCGTGATGCTCTCTGCAATCTTTTTCAAGTTGCCACCAAAAGCGGTGCCTGGAACTTCACCGGTTCCAATGCTCGTAGCAACGACCGTTCGATCCGGCCAGATATTTTGAGCCTCATCGTAGACCTTGAAAATCGGATTGTTGTACCCTAATCCCCCGTCGATGAAGCTCTGTTTGTACGGCCCAATCTGTACCGGGTCAAAGAAGGTTGGCGCTGCTGAGGTTGCTCTGCACGCCTCCCACACTTTGCATTCGTCGAAGAGCGTTTGACTTGCGTGAAGGTAATCGTAGGTTCTAAGGATGGCAAGCTTACTATTGCTCTCGCGAAGTGCAAATACGCAACTGTAGATGAGCCATTAGTGATTGACAAAGTGGCAGAATTATTCTCGCTTGTAACATACACTTTGCAGGGCGATTCTGGATCTTGGAGTAAGATCTGGTCATCGTTTTTCGCAACTTTTGATTTCCGGATCTGGTTTTTTATTTCTCTCTCTAGGACTAGCGAATCAAACTTCCCGTCACCGTTCAGGTATTCCACTCCTCTAACAGGACTCGCACGGGAATGTCTCGGTGTGAAAATGGCTTTCGAAAGCTCCGTGTAAGCTTTGATGCATTCCGGGATAGTCATTCGCAGTCTTCCGAGCATGATCGCAATAATACTGCAAAATACAGTTAACACGCGGCTTCGTAATATAGACACATTGCATACCCGCCAGTACTTGTGCCTCCCATCAAATCGAAGTACTCCCATGGTTCCTGCGGGTCCTTTCCATCGGCTTTCCGCTGGGTATTGATATTTCGCATGATATGATCTAGAATGAGGATAGCTGATAGCCCTCTCACCCCGCCTCCATCTACATGCTCATATTAGACAACGCATTGGAGTATGGAATATGAGGCTACATACCGAGGCTAAGGGCTCGAATGGGCCTTTCACTATCGTCGGCCATTTCCTATACTTTGACAGCCACCCGCCGTGGCCAGCAGGAACGACAGCGGGTAAGCTTTCCAACGAGATTTATATAGAAGTCTAGATCAGCGGCTTCATAGGAAATAATGTTGACGAAATAAATAAGTATGCAAGTGACTGAAGGCGAACGAAAACGCTTCCAGCCACCACTCAGGCAAGGCTGCGACACTAATGGGGAGCTGATGGAGGGTTGAGGCGTTTGGGCGCGTATTTCGGGAAATGCTGCCCAGTCACAATTCGCAGGACATGTCCCGTGGCATAATTCCAATAAAAAGGCTCCCCATCATCGGCACAGCCTTGTCTGGGTAGTGGTTGGAAGCATTGGCTGTAGCCAAGCCTATGCATACCTTGGATTCAAAATAAAACATGTGTATGTACCAAAAATAAACAGAGAAGAACTCGCATCGCGCAGTACATAGCGCTCCTCGTTGTTTCCAACTCATCTGACTTTGGAAGCAGATAACATATGTATAGTGGTATACAATAATAGAGTATATTGCCACGAAAGAAAATATAAAGCAGTACTCGTCCTATGCCTTATGTTTCATCGTTGTTTCCAACTATTCTTACCCGGCGACAAGAGACAATCGAGCAACCCTGGGTTACATTTCAAGACCGATGGTACTCTCATGATATTCCCAATAGTGATTGAAGGGGAAAGAACCACCATAGACTGATATATATATATGTTTATATATATAACTCGCTTTTAATCGATGATTGAAGGTGGTTGAGAGCTAAAAGTTGCATCTAGCTCATCATGACAGCATGTCACGTGCAGCATAGCTTTGCTCCCGCCCCACCTTTCTGGATAAGGCAGAACGACCCCGCTGATAAGTTGAATCAGTCGATAAAAATCATGGTTGTGGATTTCGCGTGCAGGAGAGCCGCACAACCTCATTCCCCCAAAACAAAACAAAACATCACCCGCTGTAAAAAACAGAAATACGAGAACAAACAAGACCTCCGAGAGGCTAATTACGATTTTACATTCTTTCACCCCTTTCGCTCATTCCATCACCAACTTCACTGTACAGCTTTGCTTCCATCTACAAGGAACCTCATCGTCATCAGGGTTCCTTGGTCACCTGACTGCCCACCCCGCCTTCCACGAATATGGCTGGAAGCCCACCAGCAGCAGATGCACCGACAACGTCGGTCCTGAGCTGGTACGATGCGCGAACACCTCGGATTCTAGATCTCGTCGGCGACTATGCCGGAAAGGAGCTGTTCCTCGTCGAGGGAGACTCGTTGCTCCGCGCCTGTTTTGAGGATGGGAGAATCGATTTTGAGGGTAAGCTACCCCGCGCATATAGGACCCCACCACACTTTATGGAGGTGGAGCTTCAGTAGACGCAACCCGCGCGGTCGATCCGTCGGGTTGTTGATCTAAGAGTGGATGGTGGCCAAGCACAAGTGTATTGGGCTATTGGGGCGGTATCCATGGTGCTTGATATGGCCCTGGAGCCTCGATGGAAGATGGGGATTTACCGATGCTGCATATGCGCTACTACCTTCTTAAGGCCACTCGCTGACAGGAACAGGTGGATTCCAACTACTACATGCCGCATTTGTTGTCGAGCGCTTCCTCGATAACCTCATCAAGCGACACTGCAATTTCCACATTGCCTTCTTCGCAGGTAAGATACCTCAGCTCCAACTCTCCCGCAATATATACTAACCCTACCCAGACCACAAAGAACTATGCATACCCCCCGGCTCCAGCGCCCAGCGCTCGCGCTACCTCCTCACCCGCACGCTGCTCATCCAGCATCTCGAAGTGCATCTTCCCGACACCTGTGGAGTGGAAGTGCATGTCTTCCCATCCCTCGGTAGCGATGAGTTCAACACATTCCTTGCACACTCTCCAGTATACTTCGTCATGGCGCATGATGGATCGCTACCGACCGAGGGCAAAGAGGTGCAGGAGGGCGCGAGAGAGAAGACTGCGAAGGTGCTGCTGCGAGGCATCCTGGCGTCGTTCAATGCGCGCAACCTGAATGTGGCGCTGATTAATCAGAATGAGATTCGGGATAGCAAGGTATGTTGTTGCACTGGGCCGAGACTGTACTGTGAAATAAGCTGACGAGCTGTTTAGATTATTACTATGGTCCTAGAGGCAGAAGTCAACGAGCAAGTGGACTTCGGCGAAGAAGTGGCGGCCGCACATAAAGATATGGATGGTGGCAATGCTTCCAGGAATACTTTCGACATCGGGAAATGGTTGGAGGATCCCAGCACCCTCAACGAGCTGGCATCGGAGGTAGAGGATGACACACCGGGAAGTTGGGTTGTGGGAGCTGTTGGTGCATCGGTTATTCTCCAGCAAACGCAGGAGTACAACTTCCTTGCCTCGGCGTATATGCTGCACCTTGTGATCTTAAAGCGTCTTTCTCTCGAGCAGAGGCGATTTCCTCTGATCCGATTCGAAGATGAGTTTGACCAAAAGATCGACAACTTTCTGGAGCTCTTCTCGGAAGTTGTGACGGAAATTGCGGATAACGATGCGTTTGTAAACGTCATGGAGAAGCTGGGGGTCAAGTCTGATCTCATCGACATGATCGATGGCAGATTATTCAGAGCAACTGTTCAAGCTCTGTTGACTGGTCCTTTGAAGGGGGGACCCCCGCCTTCTCTTTCAGAAGACTGGTCCACAGTGTTCGATCTAGTCCTCTCCCTATCGGGGAAGTCTCTCATTGGAAAGGCGCCTAAGGATCGCAAGATTAAGGATGCTGATGCCGAGAACAACGGAAAGGAGGTTGATGCTGCGGATAGCACCGTTTTGTCTTTGACCGAGCCGGTTTTCGATAAGCACCTTTCCGCCATCCACGTTAATGTCGATACGTCTCTATCTGCAAAATTGTCAGCGATGAAACTGTACCGCGAGTCTTCATACTGGCAAACCCACAAGCCTATTGTCCCCAAAAAACACGTGCCGATTGAGAAGGAGAAAGTGTCAAAGTGGAAGAACCCGCTGAGGAAGAACCAATTCTACATGGCCGAAATGACCGCCTACGCAGCGAGTTTGACGGGCTCAAACGGCAGAGTTCTGGAGCCAGAGACTATCACTGTTGGCGTTAAAAAGTCAAAGCCTGCTGAGGTTAAGGCGGCGTCGAAATCCGGAAAGGCATCTCCAGCTTCGGAAGATTCTGGACCGGTTGCGAAGAAGGGGGGTGGTAAGAAGGGTGGAGCTGGCGGCCTGAGCAAGGCACAGCAGATCATTGCTGCCAACAAAGAGAAGAAGGGAGATGCAGAGTCCGACAAGGCATTCTCGGCTTGGCAGGGAGTGATGAAGGTGTATGATGAGATTCTCGGAGAGCAGGAACGCTACAACCGTGCCAAGCTGTACCGCGACGGTCTCGACTCCGCCAGATCCGTGCACGTCGAAGCGGATATCAACATGTATTTGTGCCAATGCCTCTTGAACTGGTGGGCAAAGTACTGCAAGGCAGACAAGAAGCCAGAGGGTTACCATGTGGTTGCTTTGCTCTGGACCGTGATCAGGGCAATTTCCACCTCAAAGACCCCAGTGGCCAAGGAGATCGTTCAGCAGTCTGAGTTAATTGCCACTATCGTAGGCATCACCGATGCCATCACATCCACACCGCCGATTGCTTCTGACCGGAAACTCTCATTCAAGTTCAAGCTGCCCGGTAACCTCAAGCCATTGAAGATCAGCCTTAACCAGACGGAGTTCCAGCTGCTCCACTGCGGCCCCTACATGGACCGCGACTTGGACGCCAAAGTCGATCCACGTGTCTCGAGCTTCGTGCCTGATGGCTGGCAAAGGAAGGTCCTCGATGAGCTAGACGCAGACAACAGCGTCTTCGTCGTTGCACCTACGTCGGCTGGTAAAACATTCATCAGTTTCTACGCCATGGAGAACATTCTACGCTCTGACAACGACGGGATCCTGATCTACGTCGCGCCAACGAAGGCGTTGGTCAACCAGATCGCTGCTGAAATCCAGGGGCGCTTCTCCAAGAAGTACCCACAGGCTGGAAAGTCTATCTGGGCCATCCACACGAGAGAATACCGCATTAACAACCCAATCGGATGTCAAATTCTCGTCACGGTGCCGCATATTCTGCAGACCATGCTGTTGTCGCCAACGAATGCAAAGACTTGGTCGCCGTTGGTTCGTCGCATCATCTTCGATGAAATTCACTCTATCGGAACGGCAGAGGATGGCGTTGTCTGGGAGCAACTGCTTCTCTTGGCCCCTTGCCCTATCATTGCCTTGTCAGCAACGGTGGGTAACCCTGAGCAGTTCAGCGACTGGCTAGCGGAGACGCAGAAGTCGTCGGGCAACAAGCTCAGCATGATTCGTCACACTACGAGATACTCTGATCTGAGAAAGTTCTTGTATCAGCCACCGAAGGGCTTTGAGTTTAATGGCCTGCCGAAATCAACCAAGGGCGGCCTTGGATTGGATGGCCTTTATGGCTTATCGTTCTTGCACCCAGTGGCGAGTCTTCAGTATAGGTCCCGTGGCTTGCCAGACGATCTGGCACTGGAGCCGCGTGATTGCTTCATCCTGTGGAAGGCTATGTGCAAGCTGCAGACCGAGAACTACAAGGTCCCTAGCGAGCTCGACCCTGCAAAGGCCCTCCCCCTGTGCATCAAGAAATTTGATATCTTCAAGTGGGAGAAGAAATTGAAAATCTTGCTTCTTTCGTGGATGAATGACGAGAAGTCGCCGTTCGAGAACCTCGTGCAGGAGCTGACCCCCACAAAGACGGAACTGGCTCCTATTGCCGAGGGCGAGAAGGAGATCGACAGGAATGATCTTCGACAGACTACATTGCCTCTTCTGTACCAATTGCACCAGAGAGGTGCCCTGCCGGCGATTTTCTTCAATTATGACCGTACTGCTTGCGAAGACATCGGCCTGTCACTCTTAACCCAACTCAAGACTGCCGAGGACGCGTTTAAGGAGAGCAAAGAGTGGAAGCGCAAGATTGAGAAGTGGACTGAGTGGAAGGAGTTGAAGGAGAAGAAGGCAGCAAAGAAGGCTCCAAAGGTGTCGAAGAAGAAGACCAACGATGAGGAGGACAAAATGTCAAAGGCAGACCAAGCCCGCGACGATGCCAGTGGCGAGGTTAGCGCAATGGATCTCTTCGACCCCGAAGAGCCACAGGACGACTACTCCTTCGCCGACAAGCGCAAATGCCAACGGTCGGAAATCGACCGCTTCGTCAAGCAGCTGAGATGGAAGCACGTCAAGGAAGAGCTCGTCGAGCTCATCCAGCGCGGTATCGGAGTTCATCACTCGGGTATGAACAAGAAGTACAGACAGTGCGTCGAGATCCTCTTCCGCAAGGGTTTCCTGCGTGTCATTATCGCGACTGGCGAGCTGAGCTTGGGTATCAATATGCCTTGTTCCACAGTGGTCTTCTCGGGCGACTCTGTCTACTTGACTGCTCTTAACTTTAGGCAGGCTGCCGGTCGTGCGGGTCGTCGTGGTTTTGATCTCCTGGGTAATGTCGTTTTCCAGAACATCGACCGTGACCGCGCATGCAATCTTCTGAGCTCGAGACTGCCAGATCTCACGGGACACTTCCCTATCACTACTGATCTAGTGCTCCGATTGTTCACGCTGCTAAATGAGTCGAAGCATTCGCCTTACGCGACGAAGTCTATCAATGGTCTTCTGTCACAGCCGAGGCTGTATCTCGGTGGAAAGAGCTTCAAAGAGCAAGTGCTTTACCACCTCCGCTTCACGATCGAGTACCTCCGCCGTCAAGGGCTACTTGGCCCGAAGGGCGAGCCTGTGAACTTCTCCGGCCCCGTTACGCACCTGTACTTCACCGAGAACTCGTCTTGGGCGTTCCATGGTAAGTAATGTACAAACTTCCGTTGAATGAAGCTAACACAACTCAGCACTCCTCAAGGAGGGATACTTCACCAACGTCTGTGCCAACATTGACACTGAGCCCGACGCCGTGATCAACGAGCTCATGCTCGTCCTCAGTCACATCTTTGGCCGCCGCGCCGCGCGCGTCACCGACAGCCAGGCAATGGCCGATGCGATCAACAAGTCTCCCTCGATGGTCTACCTTCCACCAATGCCCAAGGCAGCCCTGTCCACACTCGAGACGCACAACGCGAACACCTTGTCCATCTACACGACCTACGTGAAGACCTTCGCCGAACAATACGTCAAGGGCGCCGAGACGACCCTCCCACTCACCCAGTTCTCCGCCAACTCCCTTGACGCAGACTCAGCTTCAGACCTCTCCTTCCTCCCCTCCCTCCCAGCCACCACCGCTCGCTCGCCATTCGTCGCCCTCTCGGGCCACGGCGATGCTTTCCCCACTATCTCCGACCTATGCACCTCCTCGCGTGCTGGTATCTTCCTTGAGAGCGCACTGATCCCTCACATCTCGCTTCACCCGACCGAGACACGCCAGCCGCTCAACGCGTACCTGCTTGATTTCTTCGCGCACGGTAGCGTCAAGGCGCTCGAGGTCGCGAACGGCATCCGTCGCGAGGACGTGTGGTTCGTGCTCAACGACTTCTCGCTCGTCCTTGGCACCGTGTGCGCTGCACTCGCGGTGTACCTTGGTGTTGTGGTCGCGGGACGCGATGCGGATGATGAGATGTTGGGTGTGATGGGTATGGGTGACGTTGCGGAGAATGAGCAAGATGAGAAGGAAGCGGAGGAGTTGATGGGGCAGGAGGATGCCAGAATTGGCGGTGCTGGTGCTCCAGCAGCGGGAGGCCCAGCTGCGGTGCCGAGGAAGGGGAAGAAGGGTGTTGCGGAGGAGTGGGGTGAGGCGGAGGATAAGTTGCAGGAGGAGGAGAGGATGGAGGAGGAGTGGGAGGAGAGGGGGACGGATGATGAGGAGTATGAGAGGTTGCTGAAAGTGTACCGCTCGTTCAGGAAGCTGAAGGCGGAGTTCGATGCCAAGTTCTTGGAGATCTGGGCGTAGATGTGGTGCGGTGTGGTGGTGGAGTGGGTGTGTGCCTGCATGGATATAGAAGGTGCTTACGCGCTATCTATTATGTTATGAGACAGGAGAGCAAGATAGAGAGGGAAGGGCAAAGCAGGATAAAATTGCATAGTCATGAGGAAAAGGATGGTTCAGCACTAGATAGAGGAGATAGTGAGGTATCTACATCTAGATGGGGGACAGAAAAGCGTCTCAGCTTATGGATAGATTGGTAGATAGAGAATAAGTTTCCCTATACTGTTCGACGGCGTCTTATATTTCGACAAGTTACAACCAGTTGCAGCCCAATTCCGTTTCAGCACAGATTCGACCCTTTCTTAATGAATATGCGCATAGCCGCGGAACTAGAAGGGAGAAGGGGTTTATAAACACAGTTTAATCTATTTAGAACTAGTTTATATTCAATTATCATTCAATTATCATTCAATTATCAGGCGCCTGAAGCTTCTAAGCCGCGGTTTAGCGCAAATCCAGACCTTTTATCACGGAGTTGCGCATAACCACGGAACTATGTACAAACACAGTTCAAACTTAGATAGTTTGCAGCTAGCTTAGAGGCAGTTTAGAATCTACGTAGATTCTATTAAAAACTAGTTTATATTGAATTATCATTCAATTATCATACGCCTACAGCTTCTAAGCCACGGTTTCGCGCAAATCCAGACCCTTTAGCGCAGATTTGCGCATAACTGCTGAACTAGAGCTAGGGGCTCTTTCGAAGCTAGTCCAGATCTAGTCAGTATATATAGATAGTACTGTACGAAACCTAAAAGCAAGTCCAAAGAGGGCGGTCAAAGTACAAGGCTACCGTCTAGGCCGGTTCAGAGAAGTACAAAGCCGCTCAGTCCAGCGGTGTTCAAAGCCACCGGAACGGAACATCCTGGTATTCTAGCGCACAGCCGAGCTCTTTCAGACGAACCTGCGCAAAAGTGCAAGGGGGTCTATGTGCTGACTAACCCCCCTCCCAAAATTCATGGACATGTCCTCATAGTCCGTCGGACTTGGCAGCCCTACGTAAGACGTTACGAGTACTATACTACTGTTGGGAAGCAGGAATCATCTCAGTAGAAGAAACGCGCCACAAACACCAAGCACACACGAATAATCGATGAGATTGTACAGTTTCTTCCATTCACCCACCACCTACTAGCTACTCCCCCACCAACCCCAGAGATCCATCAAGTCCCCCATCCCCCGCATCCCCCGCCCCACGCCCTTCAAAGAACCAAACCAGTCAGTCCCCCAAAGTGCGCGATGCAAGAAGAATGGCTCGTGACGACAGAGTCCCAGTAATCCCCATCCAGAGCCGGTGAGTCATACATATACAAAGCAGCCAGGCTAAGCATGCATGCGACGATGTTGTCAGCTGTCAGCCTACTCAGTAAGCTAATCGCCCCCCTTCTTCTGTCAGGGCGCACAGGAAGGCATCAAGCCATCCTGTGCGCCTAGGAGTCAGATACCGCTAGCAGTAACAGACCCCCCCGGTCCCCCGACCGAGCGAGGGAAAGGGACAGAGAGATCGAAAGGCGACGACAACAGCAACAACGACGCAGACTCGCAGCAGCAGCAGCAGCAGCGCAAACAAAAGCGCAAGGAAAACCCAGTCTCCCCACCAGGGAAAAACCAAGCATGCATTCCCAACCCCAACCTTCCTCCTCCACACCCCAACACCCATCCACCATGCTAACTCCCCCCCACGCACGCCCCAGCGAGCCATGTGGGAGCCAACCGTGCCATGCCCTCGTACGGAGTCAATCCGAACGGGAGAGCCACGGCAGTGCACACGCGCGTGATCTATCTAAAAAGAAACGAAGCTTCCTGAGCCACGCGGGGGAAATTAAACAGTAACAGTAACAATACAGGATTTGGGCAACGCAGTTGCCTCTTCTCTTTTTTTGCTCGCGCAAGACGGTGTGTGTGTGTGTGTTTTTTTCCAATCGTTGAGGCCTCGCGGAGGCTTGAGATGTGAGGAGGTGTGCTGTGTGATGGGAACAAAATAAAACAAAAAACATTATGGCATGATAGCTCTCTCTCGCTCGCTCCTGGCAAAAATCAAAATCGCTGACGGGTGTAAAAACAACCAAAAAATAGAAGAACAAAATGACGAGGAAACGGCCGGAAAGCGTCTCGTGTGGAATGGGGGTAGAAAATAAACATGAGTAACGTGAGTCAGAAGTCTTTAAAAAGAAGTGCAGACGATGAACCGAAGAAAACAAATGACGCCGCGTATGCCCATAATTCCCAGCCCCGTCTTCCCCTGGAAGAGTAGGGGTTATACATCCATCCGTAACAGAGTCATCAAGACATGAGCGCACATGAAAAAGGGATATAAAAAAAAATGTGAGGACCACATGCGAGAAGCAGACAGGAGGAAGAAGCGAGGGGGATAAAATCCAGAACGCCATCCTCCCCTGCCACTATGTTGCGTGGGTCCGTAGTAGTGAACTGAAGAAAGAACAGTCGTGACGCGTGATCAGATATCATAGGTCGTGGTCGTGGTCGTGGGCACTAGTAGGCCCCATGTAGTAGTACTCATAGTAGTAACTACTCATGCGCGTTGTTTTGCGTTTCGTCTCTAACGTGTTTCGTCTCGATGCGTAACATTCCATGTATGTCTTCTGTAGTCGGCGAACCTGGCGGCGGCGCCATCCATAATAGGACTTCTGAAAGGAGAACTCGGGCAGCAAAGAAATAGGCCATCCATCGTACCATCCACCCCACCGTCGACACGCCAGCAACACTCATGACTACGGCATAGAAGCCGGCACGTGGTGCGGGGCAAACAAGCGCGTCAGGCCCGAGGGCGGCACGCTGGAGTGTCGACGACGGAAGGAGAAGAGGTAGACGGCCCAGGCTTTGAGCTCGAACAGCGCGAGGGGGGAGGAGCGCCAGGCGGCCGCGCCGGCTACGGAAGACAGGACCCATCATCTGCGGTGGTGACGCGGCGAGCGGTGGTGGGAGTCGCGGCTGGCGTAGCCAGAGTCTGGGAAGCCGGTGGGGGAGCTGCTCGACTGGTGCGTGTCTTGGTCGGAGTGGTGCCCGCACAGGTAGCCGACGAGAATGGTCTTCTCTTGTATGCGGTGGCCTTGCTGGTTGGCGGCGGCGCACATGTCGATGCTGTGCTCGTAGTAGACACAGCGGCAGACGGAGTAGCGCTCGACGAGACGGTAACACATGGTGACGGGTGTGAGAGTGGGTTTGAGGTTTTGTGGTTTGAGAATATCAGGCGACGATGAGAATTGAGCGAGGGTTTTGAAGCTCGATGATGTTTCTCAAGAGCAATTATACTGGTAATGGTTCTGGATGACCAAGGACAAAAGGAACGCAAGGCAAGAAATATAAGAACAACGACGACGAACAGGCACGACGGAATGGAAATCTAGATGACGGTAGAAGGCAGGCCAAAAAGAGTCACCATCTGCGAGGGAGCATGACTGCCTTATACTCGCCGACCGACTAAGGACTGCAGGCTTGTGGCGGCCTTGGCCTATTCTTGCCATAAGGCAGCAGCACCAGCAGTGGGGGAAGGTATGGAATATGGTATGCATGGAGTATGCATGACGGGGATCACTGCATGTAATGCTGCTTTTCATGGACTCAACAGTCCGTCCGGAGATGCTAAAATGAGTCGATGGGATCCATAGTGGAGCACCAGTCCAGCCAAGTGCCAGCTATCTGCAATGCGGGTAGTTCGGACGAAAGTGTCACGGGAGGGCCTCAGCTCTGCGGCCAGACTTAGATTTCGACATGGGAATATATCCCTTGGGGAACCTTGTGGCTTGGGAATACTGGGATGGTTGGGATGGATTCCGGTGAGTCGGGTAAGGCGAAGGATGGGTGACGATTAGTGTGGTAAGGCGTGAGTCTTGTGTTTCGACTTCGACATACGGGGGGAACACCAGCCACGACGGGAACCAGAAAAAGCCACCGAAGCTGCTGCGGCGCGGCGTGGAAGGATGAGCTTCCCCCGTGTTGCATTGAAGAATGGAGCTCCATTGGGAAAGCGGTGCGTCTTCGAAACAGCGGCTCAGTTGCCCGGCGTCCGATTGTGGAGTCTTTTTTCGGCATATATGCACAGTACACAGCATAGCACTCGCCTGCTTTTTACGGGTCGCCGCAGCAGCTCTATGTGGAGATGTTTTTTATTTGTTTTGGTTTTGTGGAGGGGCAGGTAGGAAAGGTGAGCCGGGAGCAAGAGCAGGCAGGCAGTCAGATCCGATGTCAGCAAGTTGAGGTTAAGCGCGAGGCTGTGCTATGCAATTATTCGCCTAGTGTCAGTCAGCCACAAGCCCGGATTATAGTAGCACCACAAGGCCGAAAAACACCGCATGAAGAGAACAGGCAGCAAGAAAGAGCAGGCGAAGGGATATTGGAGATTAATTGGATATGATTAAATATAATTAAATTGAAATAAAATGAGTTTCATGTCTGCACACAGCTCAATTATTCGCATACTGCTCTCTCTGGATCTGTTTCCCATACTCCACCTATACTGTGGCTGGAAATAGAAACTGACAAGCTACTCCACTCTAGTTCACAGATCACAGAACTTGCTGACAAAGCCGGCACTCAAAGAGGTTAGCCGTCGGCGTCTCCTTGCCCTGTCCCAATTGACCACTGATGGACCCTGATGGACCCTGATTTAGTCCCGATCAGGTCCCGATGTGGTTTAGCGGGCACGTAAGCCTGCGATTTCCTTGGATGAGTAGCGCGGGCTGTGAGTAAGCAGGGTTCTTTGGTAAGTTGTGCCTCGTTCACGTACAGAAACACAGAAACAGTAGTAGAATAGAACAGTATGTCGTTAAGAGGCGTGTGGTGAGTCCAGTGACAAGTCCAGTGACAAGTCCAGTCCAGTCAAGTCAGTGAAAATCTCTGAGACAAGACATATGGCAGTCCCGAGACAAGTCATATCTGCCACAGTAAAGTATACGATATGTCTCATCCCATCGCAAGTAGCGCTTCTTCACGCCTGCATGTACACTCTCACCGAGTTACTCTGCAGTGGTACCTGCTCTACTCTACTCTGCTCCACTCGCCTGCTTCTCCCTCCACTCATCCCACTTCCTCCCTAACGAATACCCCGCCCTAGTCCTAATCCAGCACCCCGGACCCAGGCACCAGTCTGCCTCTCGCACAGCCCTGGCAAATAGCCGCGCCGGCGGCTCGGCGTCGCCGCATCGTGACCTTGGCCCATGCACGCATTCCACCATTTCCCATCGATAACCTCTCAAACGGACGGATTGATGCGCCATTCCCCATCTTATCGCTGTTTAGTGAACGGGGACGCGTTTCACCGCTATCCGTATCTGCGTATCGATACGTCTGCTTGAGGTGGTATTGCAGGAATCGCCGTATCGATACGTGCAGGACGGTTCAGTCAATATGCGGCGTTGCTTGTGGCTAGTATCGATAGTTCGATATGGCTGCTACCTACAGCGCGTGCTGCGGCAGCATTAATCGGCTCGTTATGCCACCAATCTCACCGCGTATCGATAGTTCGATAAGCTCCCAAGAGATGTCCCGCTGTGAGTCTATACTCTCTCTACCTACACTGCCCAGTTTCCCAGTTCTCCCGCTCGTCCCTTCTCAAAACAGACACCGTCATCACCACCCCTCCTCACCGGTCTGCTCAACCCCTTCCACTCCACCCCTCCCTCCTACCCACCACCCCGCACGTGCAATCCCCACTCCTCCTCACATCATCTCGCACACACCGAACCCCCCACCACCGCCGCGCGTCTCGCGTTCTCCCCCTCCACCACCAGCCGCCGACCTCCCCAAATCCTAGCAATTGGCCCACAAGCCACTCATCATCCCGAGCGGCTCAACTCTATACCCCCATCGAGCATGTTGAAACACCGTGGTTGCTGCTTTTACGGACCGCGATCCTGCCGTCGGTGACTCGCACCGTCAATTTTACGCCGCATGCGTGCTTGAGCCACGGGTCTAGATCACCGGCGTGGCCGCGCTGTATGCAGCCATACTGCACGTTGACACTGCCGTGGATGGTGATGTCATCAGCCTTACGACCGGCAGTCAGAAGGATTGCATCGTTACACGACTGATCCTACCAGAGCTCCTTCAATCCAGATAGAGAGTGACACAATCACTATCACCTCCAACACCCCAGACTGCACGCACACTCCTTCTCGCGCCCATGGCACCTGTCACTGTCATTGCTACGCCGCCGCTCGGCCCAAGCACCCTCCGTGGTCCAGACCATCGCTCACCAAGTCTCCAGCCAAGGAATCCTTCAACGCTCCCTCCAGCCACGGTCATCCATAGCCACGATCTTCCACAGCCACGGCGCAGCAATGCCGCAGGCACTCATCTGCGTGGAGGATCGTGGTTGGGAGGATGTGAGGTCTGTGGAACCTCAGCGCGGCATTTATTGTGCTCCATGCCAAGACCACCGGGCCGTTAAGGGGTTGAAAGGACCGCGAGAACGTCAAAACAGGCTTCATCTTTGTGGCAAAAGGATCTCGAGAACGTCAAAAGGGGCCTCATGATTGTGATGAAAGGACCGCGAGGACGTCAAAAATGGTGGATGCCTTGGAAGGATCGCGAAGCTGAAGTCGCCACCGTCGGTGAACGATGGTCGGTGTTCTGATTTGACCACGGAGTGCTAGAGGAATATCAATCGCTGAATGATCGATTCTGGCAGGTTGCGCGATGTGGGCTGAGGGATAACTCGGGGGTGGCAAATTGTCAAGTTTGAGTGCGGTCCAGGCCGTATGGCTTCCGTTGTGAGTTTTGGTAGGTATCCACCGCGCTCCACATGATGTCCGGCGCGGGCCGCCGTTGAGGTCATGATTCTCTTGTTCGTGGCTTCAATGCCATTTGTTGCTGCGTTTTGAGATTCTCTGTCAGTCTGGCAGAACGAGGTGGGTATTTTCCTTACGCTCAAAAGTCAGGGCACGGTTTATTTTCATCTCTTCGCTATATTCATTTATGAGAAATGTTGAGTGTCAAGATCCAAATCTATAGTCTATGATCTAAGACTTATAATCTATGATCTACCTTCTATCCCATCTCATCTTTATCCTCTACATTCATTTTATTCGTGAACAATCTATCCAAACCTCCGCCAACCCAAAACTCACTTCCTCAATCGAGGCGAGAGAAAGAAGAAAATAGAAATAAAAATAAAAATAAAAATAAGAAACCCTCCCGCGATCATCCAGATCGAGAAGGGTATCGCGGAAATTGATCTATAGTCATCGGGTACGCCAGGGTATTAGTCCTCCTCTTTCCAAAAACACAGCTTTTTAGTCATTAACCAGACGTCTCCGGCGTCTCTCATCTCTCATCGCAACCGCGACCATCTCACCTCAGCGTCGCCGTCGGGATGGCCCCAGCAGGGACCTCCCCCGCATCAGCAAGGCACAGCGGCTCAATGATATTCTTCGTAGGGACCTTCGCCCCCTTCTCCCCAAACTCCCTATCGAGCCCAAACTTGACAGCCTCAAGCACATTATCCACCGTCGCCCTCGGCTTATATGCCGGCTCCGTGCCCTCCTGCCACACCCCCGTCTTAACAAGCACACTGAACCAATCATTCTCGCTGTGCTTGTTAAACTCGTTGGTGCCGCGGATATCGCTCTCGGGCGTGTCGCCGATGAAATACACCGTCTCGGGCGGGGCGTCGATCTCGTGCTCATCCTTTCGCCATTGTCGCAGCAAACGGGTCGCGAACTCGAAGGTCGGAATCTGAGGTTTGCCAAAAGCGATGGTGTCGAGTTCCTTCCCCTTCGTCACGTCGCGGAATAGCGTCTCGAGCATGCGACGCAGCGCTCCCATGCCGAGTCGCACATTAGCGTGCGCAGCGCTCCAGACCATGTCGCTGTGCGAGAAGAATATGGGTGGTCCCTCGTCAAAGGTCTCGGAGAGTGTACCCAGGTACCCGCCTTTCGACATGGCGAGGTCGAGCATGATCTGGCAATCTCCCGCCCAATCTCTCGAATCCGCAAAAACAAAAATAGCCTCGATCTTGACCTTTGACAAGTCACGGCCCGACTTGCTACAGCGCAGCTCCTCAGCAGTAAGCTTGCGGAAGGGCGTCGTGGCGGAGTCGTGCTTGATGATGTCGCCAGGGGTGATGACGTCTTTGAAACCGTATCCCTCGGCTACTTGGCGGCATTTCTCGCCCTCGCCGCCGACGACGAGAACAGTGCCGTAGGCTTCGGTGAGCTCTCGCATGGGGGAGTGGCCGCAGATGAATTGGGCGGGGCTGATGGAGATGTCTAGTTGGCGGGAGAGGTCGAGGCAGCGCTCGGCTTCGGTTTTGCCGCCGCCGTTTGTGAGGAAGATGTACGGCCTGGTGGTTGTTAGTTTGTGCTTGGATGGATAGAGGGGGTGTGGGTGACTTGCACTTTGACGCCATATTTGTTCTCCCCGTTGAGCATCTTCATCGCCTCGATAGCTTCAGGGATGGCCTGACCACCACGCACAAGCACGCCATCAATATCAAAAGCAAAAGCAAACGTATCAGCAGAAGGCAGTCCATCAAGAGGAGTAATAGGCGTAATCGGCGTAGCAGGCGCACTCTCCTCAGGCGTCGCACCAAACATCTCCGGACTCCCCGGCGACTCCGGCGAAGTCGGCAGCACAGCGGCCTCATCCTCGATATCCATCGACCCGACCTCCTTCCTCGCCTTCCCGAGCGAGGCCGCAAAGCCTGAAGAAAACGACTGTGAGCGCTTCAACATGTACCTGTGTGGCACGACGACGACGTCCGTGCCGCCATCCGAGACATCGTCTTTGGTGGATGTCATGGACGATAGGCGCGTTAGGTGCGGCCGCTTGGGCGGCACCTGCAGCGATTTCTTCTGGGGTTTGGTGTCCATGGTTGTGGGGGTTGTGGGCGATTTTTGCTTTTTTCTCACTTATGCTCGTTGGTAGATCCTATCTATTCGAGCGTGGGATGTCTGGGGGAAAAGTCTGGGGAAGTGGGCAAAGTGGTCCCTCTTATATGTGGAGAAGGGGCAGACAGCTTCAGCAGGAGGGATAGAGGCGAAGTCTTGAAGGGGGATAAAATGAACCCGTTTTTTATCTGAACAAAGGTACGCTATTGGAGTTGAGGGTGTTTGTTCTTTATACCGATGGGGTAGGGATGGAACGTTCTGGTGAAACGATGAGGGGAGCTGATCTTAAGCAAGTTTGACTCTAGCCATGCAGCTTGATGAACGATTTTTCTGGTACGTTGTGGTACGTTCAAGGGGGAGGCGCTATATGTGTTGAAGATGTCATTGTAACGAGAATGGTCGGGCATAAAGCATCTACCATCCCTGCTAATCATGGCAGCTTGATAGGCCGCGGGGTTACAAAGATCGGCATAAGAGTCAAAACATTTTCTGTACAAGGTTGCCTCTCTCTCATATCCAGCGTAGTAAGCATAGCAAACCTTGAGGTATAGCAAAAGTTTGCACCAGGAGGCGCGGGTAGGTTTCTGTACTGATACAGGACAGGAACGGGATATATGACGTAGCTCGCGGTGCTATGTGCGGGACTAGAGTGTGGGTAGCGAGAGCATGTGAAGGGGTAATCCAATGAGATAGCTCAAAGTGAATGATATAGCACCACTCGGACTCCTCTCGGCGGGGGAGGTTCACTTGAGCCCCACTCGGTAGTACCCCTCCTTCTAAGACCCTCAGCCTCGTGGATGTTAGCACGTTAATGGCACCACAGTGGCACATACTACTATGGGTACAGCTGTAGTAGTAGCTGGTTCCCCACGAGATGTCCATGCGGTTGACAGATAGGGTGCTCCTCTCCTAGAGTGCCCTAGAGTGCTTTAGAGGGGGGAAGAAGCGGGGTGCGTGGGAATATCCTTTGTTCTCTGAGTGTTCTCTGAGCAGAACAACAAAGATGATAAACCCTCACGAAAGCACCAAAACCCAAGACATCCGCCGGTGCGAACCACAGTCTCAACCCCCCTCCCCATCAGGAAACCCGAGCCCACGCAAAGCGCCCAAATTCTTACGTGTCCCCCCCTCTACACACCCATTCCATTATGATATAAAAGTGGAAATCCACGCAACCCCCTCACCGCCCCTCGCCTCACTAAACAGCGCCAGCGAGCGCCGATCACCCCTCCCCTCCTGCCTAGATAGAACCAACCTACCAATCGCAGTACCCCGCGGTTCCCTATCAGCTACAGCGAAGGATTGGAGGTCAGGTACCTGAAGATCCACATGGACTGTGAAGATCCACATGGACTGGTGGTGGGATGCGCCGGTGGTGGTTGGCGGTGACTGCTAGGACGTGAGCTGTGCCGAGGGCAACGTACCGTTGGAGGGGGTGGTGGGTGGATGGACGCGGGGTTTCCCTTTTCTTTCTAAGAGTCGGTTGCTGTTGAGGGGTTGATGGGGATATATTGGTACGGTTGTGGCCTGGCCGGCTCGCGTCGGCTGGTTGGAGGGGATTCTGCTGGGGAAAATGACTCGTCTTTGTAGTTCTAGATCAATATTTGGGATCGTTGTGGCCATAGTAACGCCGATAGCTTGCATGAATGCTGATGGGAGTCGACGGCGGAGGTGTATGGGGTGCGTTAGTGCTGCTGATTATGACGTCGATTTTAGCCCCTCAGTGTAGGTTTGGGGCGAGATATCCCGATATCACGTGAATCTAATAATATAGTGTCACGTGAATCTGAAAGTTAAGGTCATGTGGAGTGCTCTGTTTACGTCGAGTGGGATATATTTTTGTTGTGTAGAGGTATTAATCTTACATCAGGATTCTCATCATCACTCTCTACTTGTATAAATCCCTCGCCCCGGCCAGTTTCCTCCCGCAACTGCTCTTCTAAACTTGCCATTTCCTTCTCCATCATCTCGGCATCTGCATCCACCTTGGCGTTGTCGAAATCAATGAGCGTAACTTTCTCATCCGCACTGATGATGAAATTGTGGCGATTGCAATCTCCATGCAAAATCCTCAAGTCATGAAGGCGCTGCAAGGCCGCTTTGCAGATTTCCAAGTCACCCGAGTTGGCGGGTCGTCCTTCGACTTTCTCGAGAAGGACGCCGATGACTCTGTCCGCTTCGTGGATGTGCCCGAGGAACGTTGGTGTGATCTGTAGAGGTTGTAAGAGTTGGTATATTCGTGTCTCTGCTTCGATGTACTGGATTTCCCAGGGGAATCGAGCCATCTTCGCTATCATAGTTTTCTGGTCCCGTGTTTCAATTTCCGCCGAGCCTTGCTTCCATTTGCACTCTTGAGCTAGCAAGCTGAGTAGTTTGGTCCTCTCAAGGTCTAAAAAGTTGATCATCTTTGGATGCCAGACTGTTTGCACTCTAGGTAGCGTAGTTTGAGACAGCGCTGGTTCCAACTCGCCGGTGGCAGCGATACGAGTGATGTATGCAGAGTTCCAGTCGTCCTTATCGTATGGCAGTGGCGGGATGATGTTCTGGAAGTCCAACGGCATGTCCATTAATGATTCCCCATCGAGAGCGCCGGCTTTGATGGTGATGTACTTGACGTTGGTTCCTGCCAGGATGCGGAAGTAACAGTCGTCCCTTCCGGTATGGAGAAGTCCATAGAAATTATGCGTGGAGACGCCATTGCCACTACTAAATTTTATGAGAAAGGAAAGCTTTTGTTGTTATAAAGTTGAATTATTGTCTAAAAAGTGCTGTTTGTGACGACCTGTATAAAACTAACGATACGCAAATGTACGCGTGCTGTTGGTTTTCATCCGTCCATGTCATAAGCGAGTATTGGGTGAGAACCGCTGAACGACCATGCTTTTGGACCTGGAGACTTTTGGGTTCGTCGAAGACCAGTCACATCCTTGAGCCGTGTCAATACCAGAGCAAATATTCGCCGTGTGCAAGAGGCAACCAGACATCAACCAGTCACTACTTCCCGATATAAAATCCACCGCGATGTATAAACTCAGAGTCCTCGACGGGCACCGTCCCTTGCTGGCTCTTAGCCCATATATCCTGCGCTTCAACACAAGTTGCAAAATGAACCAGGAATTCCGCTGCAGAAAGCGCCGAATGGTTATCAAAGTCCCTATGCCTTGTCGTAAGACGGACATAACACCCTTTGCAGCTGAGACCATGTTCTGCCTTGCCCGTACTCGCGTTGTACCATGGAAATTGAGTAGCTGCCATAAAACGCTGCTCGTGTTCACCATCCCGATATCCCCTCAGTGGATTTCTGCCTGAATACTTCTTGAGGATGCCCTGCCCGTCCAGTGCTGCTACAGCCTCCGACAAGAGTATGAGTTTTTTAGGCCGTTTAGCTTGTGCGCCTGAATTGGAATAACAGCCAGACACAGTTCGCAATGTTGACCGATATGACACACTTAGTTTGTATGTAGATATCCCCGCCCTATTCGCAAAATTGGTGGTAGATATGACACGCAGATTTTGTGAGGCTTGGAGACAGGGAAAGCAGCACCGCGTGGCTGTCAAGAGGAAGAGGTAGCCCCCAAACTTTCCGCATTGAGCGCAGCTCTGGGAAGTAAGAACGCGGTATAGACCCATGATAGTGAACCTACGAGCACAGTCACTGCGGAGCATGGCTCTCAGTCCCTCCACCCCGTATTTGGCAACCAGCTGATATTCTCGTGGCGATGTTGAGAGAATGCGAGCATATCGATTAACTCGACGAAATCGAAAGTATGAGAGAATGTCCAAGTTTTCGAGAACCATTGTCATCAGTTCTGCAGGTAGGCAATGCATGTCGCCAAGTCCCGATGATGGTGGGATCTCGAAGGATGCTTGGAGCGAGTCTTGGACGGCTTCGGTGACATAGGGACGAGAACGGACCATGACAGCGCCGAAGTCCAGTCGATGATATGAACAGGTGCGAACAACTGCATCTGCATCTTTGTGTTCTGGCTTCATTGTGAAGTTCCTTGTTGAAAGGTGAGTGAGATGACTCCAGTGAATTGTTGATGGTGCAGCTAGATGAAATGGGAGAGATGCCAAAAGTCCATATTAATCACCGCTTGTCGCCTGATTTCACGTCGCCCGACAAAGGGTCCTGAAGAGCACCACATTTTGAGTTGTAGTGACTCATTATTAAAATCAGATGTCACGGCAGTATTGTAAAGAAAATATTTTGTATTTTATCGTGCCTATATATATCTCTAGTGAACACGAACTGTCGTATCTTTGTTTATTTTTCATTTATTTTTGATATTTATCATATGTGTGTGTGGAACAGAGTATGATGGAGACATGGTTGTATGTAGGTCACATTTGACACCATCATCCTCATAGCCCATATCTAGAGCGCAAAGAGCATCAATTCTATCATTGTAATCCTCTAGCTGCTTCCATTGGATCCTCCTACTTATGCTTAATACTTAAAAACTCCTAAGCCAATGTCTCGACAGCTTCATCGCGTCTCTAAGTGTCTCAGCTGACTAAATTACCAAGGGCCCATTATTGATATCAGGACTCATTATGTCTAGTTTTACACAGTCTTTTGGGGCAAAAAGTCTTATTAGGCCATGATATGCCACACTGCTCAGTCGGGCCTGGACCGGTTGAGGGATCGGAAAATCATGGTTGTGAGCCGCGAAATAGGGCCGAACGACTACCGCACAGCCACGACCTTGACTGATGATAATCTCAACCTGATTCGGGGACTGAAACAGGGTGTGGGATTGAGAACTGACTGAGGGACGGTGGTCATCTTCGTATCGCAGATATGATAAACCAAGATCCAACCACATACTTATGCAAAGCGAATCCTTCAAAAGTTAGATAAAGCATAAGTCCTCTTCTTATTCCATCCGATTGGTCTATCGCAACCAGTTTGGGAAGCTTACCCCGCCACAAGTTGTGGGGTAATTAAGGTGTGGCAGGGGATTTGATCCTGGTGATGCCGCTCCAAACGCTTCTTTCAGCGAGATAATACCGTCTTGGCCTCACCAAGCCAAGATGCTTACCCCACAGAATTCTCATAATGTGGTCCATGAGTGGCATCAGCTGGAGTAGATAGTGCTGATCTCACTCTAGATAGAATTTATCCTTATATCCTTCGGAGAAGCGCCTAAACGGCTTTATATGTTTTTATTATATTTCCGTGTTGATGGAGTGGTGAGGGTGGCACATAAGCTTACATCGGACCCTTCTAGGTGTGCGCTGCAAATCCTTTGAGAGAGTTGAATTATTATATAAAGCATCAGTTTGCTAACATGATGGTGAAATTCTGATTATCTCTACAGCACTCTATAACAGATTCATATAAATCACCTCAAAAAAACGCCGTTGTTAAAATCACTTCCACGCCTATCCTGTAAGTTAGCTGCATAGCCGCATCAACCGAAGTAATATTAACCAATAGCTGCATCAAGATCACCATGAAGTTCACCACTCTCATCACCGCAGTCGCTCTGCTGCTCACCAGCACCACGGTCGCGAACCCCGTGCCGAACGCCGAGGCTGGTGCCAACCCTCAGATCTGCTACTGCAACTTGGGCTGCTACGATTCTTGCGGACAGAAGTTCTGCTGCTAGTTGACATGATTCTGGGGCGACGAGATTATGAGGAGCATACAATTGTAGTGTTGTGATAGTCTGGACGGAATACAAGGGTCTTTTGTCACGTAGCATCCTTCTTCTATGCTCGTTGAGATACTGTCTGCGACGGCTTGGACTGGGGATATCTACACTATGTACTCCGTGCAGCAACTTTAGCTAGCAATTGACACTTAATTTTGTCATCTTCTGATCGCTGGTTGGGATATGTTGGAAACTGAGGGGCTATGTGACCTACCTCACTCATATGGAAGGGTCCTAACATGTCGTGTCGAAATTCCAGTCACTCAACCTCGAGCTTAGGCTTGTGGTCACGTTGGATATGTCTTCGAGCCATAAACTATCATTCTGAGAGAAATCTATATTGGGGCCTGTCGAATCAAAGGCGGCGAACAGACTCTTTGGGGCTTCATCTGGACGAGCACAGATAGTAGATAGATTATGCACGACACTGGTCTATGGACTCGTGTGGCTCCTATGCTCACATTTCTCTCGCCATCAGTGTTTGAGAGTCCAATAATCCGATCCATATATGTCAATAACTCAACCAAATCGGGCACTTGACAGCGACCTACGACAAGTAGGCTCAACTCAAAGTTCGGCAAGCAATACGAGACAGATCAGCAACTGACCCTCACTTCTATTCGTTAGTGCACACCTGCTGAAAACATAAGACAAGCATAACCGCAAATAGAAAGATCGATTCTGCACGGGACTTAACACGGCATCGAACAGATCAAGGAACCGAAGATATAGAACACGGGATATAGAGTGCATGTCCACGGGTGCATCTGCATCCCCCCCATTGACAAACCTCCGACGCCTCAACCACTCACAGACCGCAGCATCGTCGACATTTTCCAGACCGGCGGCCTAGTCAGCGGCCTAGCTTAGCGGGGTCACTATCGCAATCACCATCTGACTTATCATGCATCGCGATAGTGCGCACGATAACAGCGAAGATGCTGCCTGTTCAGCTGCGGGGTGGTTTTTCCAAGCGCTCACACGGGTCAGCAAGACGATGAGATGCATATCACAAGCGCCGACGGGATGTTGTCAAGAAGATAGCGTTGAAGAGTCGGACGCAGAGAATATTGAGGGTGGGGGAGTTCCTGTGGCTGCTTGGCGGAATCAAGGCGATGGTTGTGAGGGCATCACCAATCACGGTCGGACGTCGATACGGGCTAGTGGTGTGGTCCAATATATGCATCCCTGGTCGAGTTGAGGAAGAGGGGAAGGGGAACCGGGGAAGGACCGGGCCTTCCCATTGCCTTTCATGTCATGTCATGTATATCCACTTGAAGGTCATCCTCTTGCAGGTCGTTGAACTACCAGGTCGTTCCTTCACGGGCCCTCGCCTCGATGGTGTCTGTCCCCTGGGCCAAAAACGTGGTACTGGTACTCGGGGAATGTGCGTGGCATTGTTGCTCCAATAAGATAAGAAATAAGGATTTGTTTTGTTCCCCTCCCGAGATCCGACCTCTCAGGCCCGCCAGAAGGCCACACAAAGTGATACGACCCTTCGCTGTCACCCCCAATCCCAGTTCACTATTGAGCGATATTCCCACCACAAGTTCCGTAGGACATGGATGTCTATTTTCTGTCGCCCGCATGGTCCATCACCGCGGCGATTGGACAGGTGGGTGCCGTTGCTGCATCCCAGCGTACCCTTGGCCGACCCTGGTGAGAAACAATTGAGCATCTTTCTTCGGTGTGAGTGGTCGCCGTCGTCAGGGATCTAGTCGCCGTTCTCCCAAAACGTGTTAGCTCCCGGCGATTCACAGCGATTCACTGTGCCTACGCGCCGGACGTGCAGGAGGCCCATAAGTCAGCCGTATCAGCCAATCATAATCCAGTACCCCGTCGTCCATGATCAAGCTGGACACACCACTTAGGATCACCACTACCAGCATTGACCACCCATCGTCCATCCCATCAACCACCACCACTCACAACTCCGCACCGGCCACACCACAGACCACCACAGCACACCACCGCCGCTCAATCTATTCAGGTCCCCAAAGGTAAGATGGCTGAACCATAAGAGGCCGCAGCCGCCGTCTCATTTTCTCCTCTTCTTCTTCTTTTTCTTCTTCAACAAGCAGTCAATTCTCAGAGCTAGTTTCTATAATCCGTTGTCCTTTTTTCGTCTTTTTTGTTATCCTTCAGAGCTGTGCTCTTCAATCTATCACTTCTTTTTACTTAATTCATTCACACAGTTGCCGGTCAACTACCCTCTAATTTTTATCCTCACAAAGCCTCACGTCCATATCAATCTAATAACTAGCTCTTCTTGTTCATTCAAATCTAAGCCGAACGCTTATCAAACATACCACATTTTTAACGCATTTCGAAAATCGTCAATATGTCCGCTATTCAACTCAGCTTCGATCTCCGCACTTCCTCAACTGTCAAGACAGTCCACCTTCTCGGCTCATGGGACAACTACGCAGGCCAACTTCCCCTTGCTAAGGACAAGAACTCCTCAAAGTCCGGCGCATGGAAGGGAACATTCAAGTTCCAAGGTTCTCTGCTCCAGGCTGGTCAACGATACTGGTACTACGTAAGTTGAAACTCGCGTCTAATTTGGATTCCACCATACTAACACCCTCCAGTACATTATCGATGGCTACCACGTCTCCCACAACCCAGGTGAAGACTCCACCACCGAGCCCACCACCGGTCGCGTCCTGAACATCCTCGATGTTGCATCCGACAAATCCAAGTCTTCCAAGTCTTCCTCCAAGTCCTCTTCGTCCAAGTCCTCCTCCTCCAAGTCCAGCTCCTCCAAGCACTCGAGCTCCAGCAGACACCCAACCTCGTCCCGCCGCGAGTCCCGCGCCCTCACCGCCGACATCCCAAAGGGCCGCCCACTCTCCATCTCGCAGATCCAGTCGCCAAAGCCCTGCTCACCGCACGCGACAAAGCACATCCTCGAGGCCGAGTACGGTTCCATGAACCCAACCACCATTGAGGAGCTCACCTCCCGCTTTTCCGAGTCCACATTCGACGACTACGAGTACTCCAGCACCCCACCCTCGTCCGTCGGCTCGTCGCTCAGCTCTCGCTCAGACTCTTCCAGCCCATCGTCCGTCTCCAGCGGTCTCTCAGACTACTCCAACAGCTCCCAGTGCTCATGTGAACGCTACGGTATCACCCGCACTGGTGACAGGATCAAGCTTGACTGCGGTGGCTCCCGCTGCGGCTACAGCGACGAGGACTCCTGTTGCTCCTCCTCCGATGACGATGAGGTCCCATCCTCTGCCCGCCGCCAAGGCATCGTCGTCCGCCGATAGACAACCACTGCTGGAACTTGTCGCAAACTCGCATGCCATCCCATGTACCTTAATCGGGACGGAGCGAGCAGCGCGGCAAGGGACTTTCTCAACCCCCAGGACTACAGGACCAAGATGCAGCTCCCCTAAGCATTCTTTTAAGGAGAAGAGCGCACTTGACAGATCCGAAAGTTTAATCAGGCGTCAAAGCCGGTCTTTGACGCTTATCACGAAGCCGAATCCGCGGCAACATAGTTCGCTATTGCGTTATCAAGTACATGCACCCGCCAGCTGCCAATGGGGTTGGCGGGCCAAGCATGAGGGGAGGGGTGCGGAATGCACAGAGTGGCATGCGCCGCTGATGAAAGAAAGCGCATGCGTTGACAAGAGGGGACACGGTGCACGGGGGCGCGCAAGAGGCCCTATACTGCCACTGACGGACGCGGGCTGCAAATCTTACTACTCTATCTTAGCTAAAGGAAGAAGAGCAGAATATAGCGCGACTTGTCTATCAAAATCTGTCTACCAGACTCCATGCTCTTGACTTTTTGTGAATAACGTGACTTTCAGTGACTTGTAAAATAATTTGTAGGAATATCAGTATTAGAATATCGATGCTCACCGTAGCAATAAAGAGGAATTATGTTTACTATTTTCATCCATGTACCTGGGACGGCGGACAGTAAATCCAGTGGACATTGGTTGGCCGCACATTGAAGTTTAGCGATTTTAGTGAGGAACGGTCGGTAATACTATTCCCCGTCACACCGCAAACTAGCCCCAATCCAGCCGGCCCAAGACAAGAAAATTCCCTCCACAACCTCGAAGTTAAAGTTGTCGGTCCAGCCAAACTTCAAACCGCACACCCCAACGAACAACCCTCCCTCCACCCACCCACCACCTAACACAAAACCACCGACAAGATGGGAAAAGAGCGCGTCGAGAAGAAGGAGAAGAAGGAGAAGAAGGAAAAGCGCAGCGACAAGGACGGCGTCAAGAAGTCCAAGAAGGACAAGAAGTCCACCCTCAATGGCGATGCCGTCGCGAAGGCTATCGAGGAACAATTAATGGAGACTGCCGCCCCGGCTGCGGAAGAGGGCCTCGAGACCATTGAGGAGGATACCGAGCTGGCCGTCAAGCCTGTCGGTGCCCTTGTGCCTTTCGCCGCCCCTCTGGCGGATGACAAGGTCGCAAAGAAGGTGCTCAAGAGCGTCAAGAAGGGTATGTGCAATCCACCCAATCCCCCTTCCCATACCTAAATACCGAAACACAACCTAACTCTCCAACAGCCGCAAAGAACAAGACCCTCAAGAGAGGCGTCAAGGAGGTCGTCAAGTCCCTGCGCAAGTCCCCCGCCGGCGCTGCCAACGTCGTCGGCTGCGGCGTCGTCATCCTCGCGGCTGACATCTCGCCCATGGACGTCATCTCCCACATCCCCGTCCTGTGCGAGGACCACAACGTGCCCTACATCTTCGTGAACTCGCGCGCGGAGCTCGGCGCCGCCGGCAACACCAAGAGGCCGACATCCGTCGTCATGGTGTCTGAGAAGAGGACGGGAGCCAAGAAGGAGGAGAAGATTGATGGCGAGGATGAGTTCGCTGAGGTGTATAAGGACCTGGTCAAGCTGGTGGAGAAGGAGTCAAGGAATGTGCGCGTTTAGGTGAGGGTGTGTTGTCTGTGTGTGGTTTCGGTACGATTTTTTTCGCGGCTGGAAGGGAGATGTTTCGTGGGTGCTTGTATCATATGCAGAGTTGCATGGCCAGATACATGGATATCAATACGGCGTTGGGAGGACGGGTTCTGTCAGGAAATAAAAAAATGGCTATAAAAGATATTCCACATCATTGTTACCAAGCTGCATTTGTTGAGGAGTTTTGATTTACTCTATTCTGTTCCAAGACCAAAAAATTCGCATTTGCAAAACAACACTTTTTTTCTTACGTCCTTTTTAGCTCTTACATCAAATAACTATCCCCCTCACGCCAATTCAGGCATTCTCATCCCCAATATCATCATACATCCCCCTATCTCCACCACCCTCACCTCTCCTCGCCGCCGACCCCCCTCTCGCCCCCTGCGCACCCCTCGTCCTCATCCCCTGCTCCGCCTGCCTCCCCGGATCTATCCCCGACCCAATCTCACTATTAAAACTAGCATTCTCCCCCTCTCCCCCCTCAAACCTCTTCCCCCTCGGGACCTCCGTCAAATTCTTCCCCTTCGGCCTACTCCCCTCCGATCCCTCTACTACCATATCAACATACCCCGGTGCGGGGACTGCATTCCCCTTCAACAGCTGCTCATCCTCGTGGTCGTAACCTGGCGCGGGCTGCGGCTGCAGATTCATCTTGTTGTGCGTGTAGTCGGCGGCGGTGGTGCTTGGGTCGGCGCGCGACGAGGCGTGGTGCGTGGGCGGGAGTTTCTCGGCGCCGGAAATGTTTTTGTTGGCGAATGTGGAGTGAGCGCCTGTTACGCCGAGGGGCTCTGCGTTCTTGTTCTGGGAGAAGGCGCCGTGGGCTTTGGTGGACTCGGCGGCGAGGGAGTCGGAGGCGATGGAGCCGGGGTTTTCGGTGATGGGGGTGGCGTGGGTGTCGTGGACCTGGGTGGTGTTAGTGGGGGTTTGGTTTTGGAGAGGGCGAGTAGCTGTGCACGTTTATGTGATCTTGTGAAGGTGTTGGATATTGAGTTGGAAGGAGATGTGTAGAGAGGGAAGAGAGAGAGAGGAATTGGTGGTGGTATATACCTTTTTGCCCCCTGGGTGGTCTGGGTTGCGGGTTGACGCCTCTATGTTTGGTGCATTATCCATAAACGACATGATTGCTAGTACAATGAGCAGTTTAAAAACAGTATTTTGTGCTCTTTCGATGGGATTAAAACTGGATGGAATTGAACATGTTATATCGACTTGTACTTGTCATATATATGGTTGATGTAATACGCCCCCGATGACATCACCACGCTGCACGTTATACAGGATGGAGGACAAGATAGGAACATTGCAATTGAGGAGCAGAGGAGTTACCCAAATCATTCAGGATCTTGGGTATGAGTTCAGTGGCGTTCTCTAACGTTTAATATGACCGTATAGCGTGGTGATCCTACTTTCTTATATCCTATGAGGATATCAAAAATCGGGGTCTACGTTTAGAAAATAATCGAACCATGGCAAGAAATATGCGGAAGAGTGAGCGCAATAGAGCTTCTATTAAAAGGAGAAATTTCAACTAAAATAGCTTTTTAGCTGCTGTGATATACATACTACTAATTTTAAGGTCTCGGCCCGTAAGCCGTGTTTAACTCCCGCATACCATTTCCCGTGTTGTCCCCAAAAGTCAACGCCAGCCCACCTATGTGTACGCTCCCTCAGTCCTCTAGACACTACAGCTCTCATATCTGGCCATCGGCCTCCAAAATACATGATCTTGCCAGCTCCTTCGCCAGCCCATATCTCAATATCTTTAATACATCACCACTCGTCATCCCTGCTGTGAGACCCTTCCGCCAATCCCACCCCCTGTGCAAGTTCTCCTTCACCAAAACACCGCTACCTCCAATTGATTTCTGTAGCTGAGACGCAATCATCGAGCTGCCGACCATCGAGAAGCTGCTTGTGCCGCTCATTGAAGAGGTGGATTTTTTCAACAGGTCCATAGGTGTGGATCCTTTCATCCCTTGGGTTGAGGCAACAACGGTCTGGAAGAACTCGTCGCATGCTGAATATACACGTTCAGAAACAGTCTGTAGATCTTCGATTGCCTTCAAGAGAGAATCGATCTGAGAAGAGGTGATGAGTCGCTCTTTCTGGTTGACGAAGACCATGGATTCTCCGAGTAGAGCAAGTAAGAAGTCGACACTAACAACGGCGCCGCGTTCTTCGTCGTACAACCCACCTCTGATGTTGTCGTCTGAGCTGGTTATGACGGCAATGAGGGCTGATGCAGCTCGTGACTTCGTAGAAGATGCCAGTGGCTTTATTTGTCCACTGGAGTTGCGAACTTCTTCATCACGAAGGGTGTAGAATTGTCGAAGCGTTGCATAACCGCTCAGCATCGTGTGGATTAGTTTTGCAGCCTCATAGTCGAGTCGCGATATCTCAGTTAAGGCGGCCTTCGGCGAGGAGATGAGGCGTTGCAAGTGATCGTCTAGTTCGTTTTCCGGTGGATAAGCCACGGAGTGAAGTAGTGAAAGTGATATAAGCAGGTCGAGGACATCCTTGACCTTGTTCTGCTTGTGGGCCAAAGAATAATACCATATAGCTTCACCATATTTGTGCGTATGGTCACTGAGGGAGTTGGCGTATTCCTAAACATCATTAGAAATCGATATACCACAGTTAGGGAGTCTGTCTTACCTCGGCCACATTCTCGGAATGGACGGTCATTCCAATGTCGTTGAGGAGTCTCCAGAGCTTGTCGACAGTAGGGCCATCTTCAAGCGGCAAATCTCCAATCAGGCGACCAACCTCTTTTTCGGAGCGCTCGGCAGAGTCCAATCTTGCAAGGACTTCAATAGCAACCTCCCAGCTTTCACGGGCAACCCTAGGCTTGTTCTTATCCGTATATTCTAAAGTCCGACTTTGCTCGTAGAGGGCTTCGGCATAAGCAACCAGAATTTTGGTTTTGGTATCTTCAGATTGTTGCGATGGTAACTGGTTCAGCCCAAGAAGGTCCATATCATCCTGATCAAGGCTATCGCTCATCCCAACGCGATTCTGAGCTGCAGTGGACGGTAGCCAACCTGTGACAGAGGCAACCTCGACAAGTGCGGAGGCAACCGGAGACGATAGTGACCCAAGAATTCCAAACGCGGATTCAATGTCGGATTCGAATACAGCTGCTAATCCCACCTCGATGATATCTGCAGTATTGACGTGGAAGTCTGTAGAATCCGAAGTCGCAAGATTGAATGCTTCTGTTAATTGTCTTAACGGGGAATGGGGCTTCGTCTGTTTTCTGTGTGAACGACCAAGGGCGCCACGACGATCGTTCTGGGGTTGACTCCACCAGATCATAAGACCAACTGTAGCCTCACACCAATCTTGGGCATTTTCAACGATCGAGGTGACATCTCCAAGCATGAGATTGTACATGGATGTGAGATTTTGATAGACTTCCCAAGGTACTCGGCTCTCTGCTTTTCTGGCAGCTCCGGTGTACGATTTTGCCATGGAATACATTCCAAAATTCGAAGCTTCAAACGCAGGTGGTTCTTCTTCTTCCGGTTGGTCTTTTCCTTCTGCAAATCTCCTAAGGTTCTCCAGTCCCTGACTGGCTTTTAGGCGGAACAACGTCCAGTCGCTATTTGTGGTCTCCCAATCTTCTCGTATTCCAGGGCAGTGACGTAGTACGTCAAGCATGTCTCCTGTGACCTTTTCGACATTTATTAAGGCTCTACCACTGTAACCACCTGAATCGGGGTTCCTGACATCGGCAACAGCTTGTCGTGCATGTTCCCATCCTGCGGTTTGCAAGGCGTTGGCTACCCCGCGAACACGGCCTCGGAGAAGGCTATTAACCACTGTATTCCAGAACAAGCGGTTATGAGTAGGGCTAGGCCTTGAACTCAGAATGACCGAGAGCTGATTTGGGTACGGATCATGGTGCTCGCCCATCCATTCCAGCAATACTTGCGGGACCGATTTTAGTGTCTCCTTACCCTCTGACTCCGAGGGATTATGTAGACTCAAGAGAGGGATACCCAAAAAGTAAGCATAGGCAAAACCTGATGCTCCTGGGCCAGGTCCGATTGCAGTTGGATATTCAGATGCCTTGTGGGGTTTTGTTCGTTCGTTGTAATCATCCCACAGTTTCAAAATCTCGGTGGGGATGATCGTAGTCACCTCAGTGTGCGCTTGTTCATCCTCGTTTCTTCTGATGCCTTCTCGATAAAGTCGAGCTATGAGGGCCTCCGATTTGAGAATAAGATCGTCTTCTTCTTGGATTTCAGGCGGATCCATTTGAGAATAGAAAACCTTTGCTATGCGTGCGAATGTGAAATGCTCAGGATCGTTCGGCCCAGAATCTTCAATGGACCTCCGGAGGTCTGCTATTTCATCGCCTGGGCCTCTCCCTAAAGATCCGGATGATCGAAAGTCGGACTGCCCATAGCCGGTATTCCTGGCCCCATATCCCGGAATCGAATTGTCGAACCCAGGCAGGTCTTGCTCATTTCCATAGCGGTCTTCGTCCATTTCATCAGCCATACGGGAGATATCGTCTATTGAATAATCGCCCCCTTCGTCAAGTTGATATTCAGATGCATTGTTTCTTTCGTCATAGGTGTATTCGGCGTCTTGCTCGAGCCCAAAGTCGGAAGCCCTGAATTCGTTGCTAAGACCCGATCTTTTGTTCCCAGCAGCTTGTCCAAACGAGCTGAATGCGGGTAGTGGTGGTTCGGGGCTATCAAATTGAGGAGGAGCCGGTGATCTGCCAAAATTGAGAGGTTGTAGAGGCTGGTTACTGTCGCCGAAATCGAGTCGCGAGCTCCCTAGCATGCTCGAAGGTGGTGGTCCGACTGGAGTGAAGGAGCCTGCTGACGAAGGTGGAGGAGGGCCAGCTGGTGTTGTCGAAGGGTTCGAGGCGCCAAAGGGATTAAATGCGCCATCCCTTCGCCTCTCTGGTGTTGAAGGCTGTGGGCTGGAGGAGTATGAATCTGGCACTCGAAAAGAAGGCATGGCGCAAAAGCAACGGGCGCTCGATGACCCTTAGCTACGCCAATATCTGAAAGTTATGCAGTATATTTCGCTCGGCGAGCTATTGCAGTGTGTTGTGGGTTAGATTATTGGAGTTTGCGTTGCTTCGTTTGTTTACAACGCTGCAGGGTCCCTGTTGAGCGCGTCTAAATTTCAATATACTCGCGATGGATGATGCGCTTCGGCAGAACAGCGGCAGTCAAAGTTTGCTATGCCAAACTAACTCTACACCACCACCCAATCTTGAACGATTGATCACTATGGAACAACCACTAGTTTAATCTAAGAACTCTCATAATAAGAACAATATACAGATATGTTCTATTTTCTTCGTGATTAGCCACAATCTCAAGGTGGGCTTTATAAACTTCTATCTAATCTCCGGCTCATGCTCTACGTAAATAGAAAATAGCTCGATCATATGCCAAACATCAATTACGCTTCTCACAATGTGACTTGAAATAATCATTCAAAAGAATATTCAGACTAGGCCCTGCTGAAACTTGCTCTATTTCGTACTTCTATACAATACAGAGGGCTCTTTGGCTACTCCATATGGACCATTCAAACGATCCAGCCTGATATAGCCCATATATTCACACCCAAGCACAATCTACAACCCCTCTCTCATGGGACAGACACCGTTTATGCCTCCTCACCATGCTCAGCACGCCCTGGCTTCGAGTTCAGGTAGTGGTTCCTGTTCAACACTTAGTTATAGTCACGGATATGAAGGTCGATCTTCCTACCTCTGGATAGCCCAGTCCATAGCAAGGTATGCGACAATGAATGGAGGTGCGACGTAAAGGACCTGGGCGCTGAATCGCCTCCAGGTGTTGAAGAAAGCGGCGTGGAGAGCTCCGGCAAGAGGACGCTGAGCGTTAGCGCTCAGGCCGTAGTAGACGATTCCCTTTTGCTTTGGGGTACCTAAGAAAACGCTGTATTAGCCACCTAGTCTATTACTCCTCCTTGCGCGGCCGTTATTCTCCCAATGCCGAAGTTGTATATATCTCGAGCTCGTTGTGGTGCATCCCGATATGCCCCGACGTCGCCATTTCCACATCTCGAGATCATTGAGTGATAGAGTGTCCCATACCGAAGTTGCCCCAATCACCGATGTACCTGCAAGAGATATTTATTAGCATACGAAGTCATCTTAACCACTGCGTATCAAAGGTGCAAGTCAGGCAGGACTACTGGTCAATCCAGAGCCACCAGAGCCACCACCCCTCCTGTCCTGAATTGATGGGGATAAGGGCCAATGCTTACCTTCCGTACTTTCCGACCTCAGGGCCGCCGCCGCCGAAAAGAGCTTGAGTTGGGCGCATAGTGAATGATGTGTTGGAGTGGCTTGAAGAAGTTTGGTCATCGGCTCTCGGATGGATGAGCGTTCAAGATCTTGCGACCGCTTGTGAGGCGCGCCAAGCCGCAGCCCAAAATGGACTAGCGCGACCCATCGAAATTGTAACGAGCAATGCCAGTACGATCAACCTCAAAAGTGTAGCTCCGAAGACATACTGGACGCGTTCAACTACCACTTCCCACGACCTATCCGAATAATACTTCAAGATGGCGCAAGCACTCAACACCCTGTATAAGCTTGCCATCCCTCTGGCTGTGGGAGTTTCTTTTGCCCAGGCCTCGATATACGATGTTAAGGGTGGAAGCAGAGCCGTCATCTTCGACAGACTGGCTGGTGTAAAGGAGGATGTTATCAGTGAGGGAACACACTTCTTGATTCCATGGTTACAAAAGGCCATTCTCTACGATGTGCGAACGAAGCCACGAAACATCTCGACGACAACCGGATCCAAGGATTTGCAGATGGTCAGCTTGACACTGAGAGTGCTCAGCAGACCAGATGTTAAGCAGCTGCCCAAGATTTACCAGGTATGATGAGACTCCAGCATGACGCGTATGGGATGATATCTAACTTGCTACAGAACCTTGGACAAGATTACGATGAGCGTGTCCTCCCATCCATCGGAAACGAAGTCCTCAAATCCATCGTCGCCCAATTCGACGCCGCAGAGCTCATCACCCAGCGTGAGGCCGTCTCCAACCGCATCCGCAGCGACCTCCTCAAGCGTGCCCAAGAGTTCAACATTGCTCTTGAGGACGTTTCCATCACGCACATGACCTTCGGAAAGGAGTTCACCCGCGCCGTCGAGCAGAAGCAGATCGCCCAGCAAGATGCTGAGAGGGCACGATTCATCGTCGAGAAGGCCGAGCAGGAGAGACAAGCAAACGTTATCCGTGCTGAGGGAGAAGCCGAGTCTGCCGATACTATTTCAAGGGCCGTGGCGAAGGCAGGAGATGGTCTCATTATGATCAGAAGGATTGAGGCCAGCAGGGAGATTGCACAGACTTTGGCGGGCAACCCCAATGTCACATACCTACCAGGAGGTGGCGCAGAGGGCAAGGATGGCGGCAAGTTTTTGCTGGGCTTGAGATAAACAGTGTTGACAGAACTAAGTGTAATAGTAGTATAGTAAAATGTATAGCATCTCCCCTGGGTCTTCTAACAACCGTCCATATATCTGGCATACGCGTAATTGTGTAGTTTCTATGAAACTGCGGAAATATATTGGGGATACGTCTTCGGTGAGGTATTCCAATGTATTTTGAGCCCTAGCCTTCAGTTAGACTCCCAGTGCCTTGATACGGAGCCATTGCGGCTTGGTCTTCAACGGGGGGTTCCATCGAGATAGGGCCTACAATGGGGGATTTCATGACTTGATCCAAAGATATTGGGCTATGATCATAAACTGTGATAGATATATATGTGAGCATATAACGTTCTGGATTCTGTTTTATATTGTACGAAATTGATATTGCCATGGCGGTAATTTATATAACAAAAATTAAAATATATAAATTTCATTACAGAATAATATATCGGCTCTTTCAATCAATCCGTTCGCACCTCCATAGACATTATTCAATCCTCTTGCATTTCTAATGGCTCAAGCCAACCTTTCTACTTCCAGAGTTTCTTATTCACCATATCCCTCGCCCACTCTTCAACATCGGACGTCTGGATCCTCTTCTGCATATTAAACGTCTGCCCCTCATTCCAACTCATACCCTTCCCCTTTCCAAACACGACCCTATATTTCCACAACACATTCTCCGGGTCCTTCTTCAACTCTCCTTCCATAAACTCAACAGGCCACTCCTCCCTCTTCACCGGCTTCCCCACAATATTCTCAACCACATTTGCAAGCCGGCCATAGCTAATCGTCTCCCCCGCCGTATAGACAACTTGATTCGCAATCCTCGGCTCTGCAAACACAATCTCCGCAGTCAGGATCCCAATATCCTGTGCCGTCGTGACAGTAACCTTATTCTCCCAACTCCCCAAACACCTAACAATCGTCCCCTCTCCACGCTCGCCATTGAACACAACAACTCCAAAGCTCGGCTCAAAGAGGAAGTTGGTAAACATCCCCGTGCTAACAATAACCCATTCTGTAGCGCTCTGTCCGCGCAGCAAATCTCTCACATCAAGCTGCTCATCGAATAGATCCTGAGCTGAGCCACGACCAAGGACGTCATAGTCGACGCCAAATTGCCATGGGAAGAAGAGCTTCACGCCTCCCTCTAGAGCGGCCTGGGCTATCTTCATCTGCGTCCCTGGTCCGGCGATGAAGCCGGTGCAAGAGATGACGGTGTGATAGGGGGCAAAGAGTTGGGCTAGCTCGGCGGGCGAGGATTGAACGATGTCGCCTGGAACTAGGGTGATTCCTAGGGCTTGGATGGCCGCGACATCGGCGGCTTTGCTTGGATCGGTGGAGTTGATAGTGGAGGGTCGCAAAAGGACGTTGATTTGTGTATCCTTGCTGGATGGGTGGGCGGCGAGGCTCTTTAAGACTTCTGTGCCCAGTTCGCCAGCACCAAGGACCAAGATGGAAGACATGGCGGGATGGGCCAAATGAGGGCTGAGATGGGCTGGATAAAGCCTGACGGTTGAACCTGAAGATATTGAGAGAATGTAACTTACTTATAGCAACAATGGCAATTATGGAGCTCGTGTGAAATAAAAAATACTTGCTTGATCGTCGCGTCAAACGCGGACTTTGGAGATAAGACATTGTGTTTGCAGGACACTAAGTTACATCAAGAAACGTGATTATTCAGCAATTTATTTCGAGACTAGATCCAGGTTTCGAACCATATATCATAATAATAGGCATCAGCAGTGGTCGTCATTACTCGTTGCGTTGCTTGCTAATTCATTTCTTTGCCCCCAAAAATGTTATACAGCTGCGGACTGTACAGCTACAAATGAGGAAGCTCATCTCTCTTACATAACCACCATACCCTACCATTTCTAGCCCCTGAACGCCTAACCATCATTGATACGGGCATAACCGCAACTCGGGTATCTAAAACCTTAGTTTTGGCATAAATGCAACTATAAAGAATGCCGCAAACATTAGCCCAAAAATCCATGCGTAAAGCATCATCCGTCCCCACCACCCCTTCCCCTCGCTCATCTGCCGTAGATATCCCATGCGCTTGCTCGCAGCTTCTAGACCAGTCACATTCCTGTCCAATCCCTCGCCTGCTCGATCTACCGTCTCTTTCTCCGATTCCAAGGTTTGGGAAAACGATTGTGACGAAGCCTTTAACGCCTGCGCCATGGATAAGAGGGAGGTCGTGAGCTCTTCTTGCTCAGCGCGGTGGTGCTTCATGAGGGATTCTGTGATTGGGGCGGAGGTTGAGGAGGAGGTAGCTTGCGCAGTATCGACGCCAGTAGTGGCTTCCCCATGCCGCGCGCGGAGAGCTGAGGGGAATAGTTCGTCGCGGGCGTTCTTCGGTTGAGATTCGGTTTGGGATGCTTGGGCAGCAGCTCGGCGCTCTGAGAGAATCTGTTGGTAATCGGCATCATCGTCATCAGTCGTATCGCCGGCTGCAGGTGTATGGCTGTCGCCTATGGATTCGGATGGGGTGTCCTCGCCCAGGAGATCTTCTCCCTCAGAGGAAGCATTGTCGTCGTACTCTTCGCCAGCCTAGACGCATCAAATATTAGCCTAGTTTTGGACAATATAGAAGGGTTAGGGGGGTGAACGGGGCATCATACTGCGTTCAGCTCATGTAGCCTTGCATCGAGTGCATCCAACTGCTGTTTTTTCGCCTGAAGATCGCTCTGCGCATCTTGCTTGTATGGTTGCGGTTTTACATTAGGGCTTTCCTGGCCCAGGCGCAGCAGCAACGTCTTAGCATATTCTAGATTCTATACAACATATCATTAACGTGTCCAAGAAGTACTCTACCGCCGCGGCAACTTACAGCTTCCACCTTGCGCCGTTCAAACCCCGAGGCTCGCAAGCGACGTGACGTTTCCGCATCCGGTTCCAGTAGAGTATTTTGAAGCCGCAATATTAGACGGGTTAAGTTTAAGGATGTATGATCGGGAGCCCTTGCTCCTGGGGTGGAAAGCCGCGCCATACTGTTTATCTCTTCTCAGGAACTACAGGCGTTGTCGACATGGTGGTTATGCTGTCATCATATGTGGCTTATTTGGAGTTGTGGCTGAAGTGCTTGTGGCTCAAGATGCCTAGGACTGGTCACGTGAGTTATCATCCGCGAAGCATGCTACCACAAGCTCCCGGCCCCATTCCCCTCCCCCATTAACTGCCGTACTTTGCCTTACCCTACTGACTCGTGGTGAACATACAAGTGGGTTATAACAGCTAGGATTAGCTATAGTATTATCATTATCACCGTCATAGCACTCCTGCCTCATTACAAACAGTACCAGCAAGACTCGACAACGCACGATGAGCCCTCTTGAAGGCATTGTTGAGCCCAGTGACTAAGGTGCATGCGACGAGGCTCAAGAACTTAATCCACCTGACTGTCCTCGTGGAAAGTGCTGAGCCGTCACGAAAGAAAGGCGAAAGCTCGAAAGCTGGAGCACACGACGCATTCACGCCAAGCCCTGTCCAGTCGGATGGTTTCTTCATCTCCCCCACCTACCTGCAGACGCCAACATGGTGACAACCGCCGGTTCAATCACCAAAATACAAGTTTGAGTAGAGTTACCAAGATGCCTGCTCATGCGGATGGATCAATATGGAACTCTGTCGACGTGTGCAAGACACCCATTCAACCCACGAGCTGAAAAAGTCCCTTTCCATTGGAGGTTGGTGAAAGCCCTTTGAAGCACATTTTGACACGGGCCGCATCAACCGCGGCCAATTGCTTTCAATCAAGGTGTGAGAAAAGAGGGGGTGGTGGCCACTCGACCGAACCGTGGCAGCCTTTTGCGAAGTATTATTGCTGACAAGAGGCGATCAGACATGGTAACGCCTCATATTGTTTCTATTGGCGACAGGTCTCCGGCTGGTGTGAAGTTGTGGGAACAATTGTAATTGTTTCGCTGATATCGCTGCCGTCACTGGTTTCACTCCCTCAGACCGCCTTTTCATTTTCCTTGTGGTTGGCAGCGAGCGGAGCACGAGTGGAGCACAAAACGGGAAGTCAACTCTGCATCTTGTTGCACTTGTACCCTTCACCAGGGTTCAGTCCCACTAAAACTACTTGTCCCCTACGAATCACGGATCCGCGCGGAACGGATCACCGCGGGAGAGCGGGCGGACGGGAGAACCCATCATTTCGGAAGGATTCCCTTTCCTGGGTTTTTGTCTTTGTTCCACCGAAACGAAACATTTCCAAGGCACGTTTACGGGCGCATATTGGTATATCAAAGTCTCGATATATGCGTAATATGGTCATTTCCAAGCAATAATCAAACCATATGCGAGAGATAGCACTCTGCCACAAATGTCCGCGGCATTTTCCCAGTCCAGTAGCGGGTTGGCGTCGAGTGTGATTGACCAGAGAAGACCGCCTTGCACCTGCCATTTCAAACTGGTTGGCTGATGTGCGGCACTAATGGCTGACCAGCTCCATGCAATGCCAGCAGTAGCCTGTCCTCAAGTCGCCGAACTTCACTGGCCGCAGAATATCGACCGCGCTGAAACCAGCACATCTGCATTCTGAATGGACATCTGTATGTTCCTCATGCAGTTCATCTCGCAGTCACATTTAGGGAAACGAATGAGCTCCCGCTTAGCCTGCCTGATTCGTGGCTAATTCGAGCGAGTGAGGTGAGAGTTTGGGGACCCTGCGGCAAGTTGGACAACGCACTCCCACACTTCATTAAAGCGCACGTCCACCTTGTCTCACATTACGCCGAGTTCACAAGCGAAAGATTCCTTCCCACATCCCATAAGTCGCGCACTTCCCATTTTCTTCCCCCTCCGTCCTTTTCCTACGAAAACCTCACAGCATTCCCACCATTTGGATAGTATTCATCCATTCTATACTATACCCACTTGGCCTTTGTACCGATTATTCCCATCTGGACATCACCACACTTAGCCGGAGTCTTACATACCACGGACAACATCTACCACTCTTCTAACCACCTGGAATTCCATTTTGTTCTTTGTGACTACAGCCAGGGATACCCAGCACCAAACAATCCGGAGGTCGACCCATAACTCGCACCATAGGACATGACTACTCTTGTTGCGACTTCATTTTTGCCTGATATGATGGCCAGACACAGACTGCAAGATCACACCGACGACGGATCGGCCAGGTATATGGACGTTCCGTTGAGGGATCAATACAGTGAACCGTTATGGTTACCCCAGACAGTTGGAGGCCCACAGAACTTCCACGCACCCAAAGGATACCACCAGAATCCCCAATCTGGTGTAAGGAGCCGTACGTCCCAAAATGGAACCCCTCCAGGATTAGATGACAGCCCTTTCTATGGCAACATTTCGCACCAGTGGAACCAGACTACCCCCCCTTATACCATGGACGAGATGGCGCCGCTATATTCAAAAACTTCCTTGGAGACCATGGTATCTAACACAGACCTTACTTCCGGAAGTGACCATCCCGGCACATTGGATTCCTCCTACTCTGTATCCTCAGACCACTTGGACACTCTTGATTGCTCTTCGAGTCTATCTGATACTGGTCTTTATACAGACAACACAAACTTTGTGAAAAATGAATTCAGTGAGTTACAGTTTCTGGACGAAGAGGAAACCAGAACCGGAGCCTTTCATACCGGCCTGAGTAATGGTGATCACCGGTCGCCAAGCCATATGGTCCCCATTGCCAATGGATCTCCTTCGCACATATTTGCCATGGGAACGGACGAGAGCATCTATACCACAGGATCAGAGATTATGCCACATTCCGTGGTTACTTCCGGAGCCCACACTGGAGATTATAACCCGGAGTTTTCCTGGATGTCTGGTGACCATACCGGCCCAAAGGTCTCATCGCCCACATATTCAATTTCTGGCCTGTCAATTCCAATGTCCAGGAGAAGCAGCGCACTCGATGCCCTGCCAGCCTTTAATGGCCAGTCTCCCAGGTTCGTTCACCCCTTGCCCTGTGCCTTGCGTTCACATCTTAACACAATACCCGCCATTAGGAGCTCCAGGAAATCCATGGTGCCCAACAACAGGATTGACGAGGATTCCTACCCCAAATTTGGCGCCGAACCCTTGGAATTTCTCGAGGATCGCTTCAGTGACCGAGGTCGCCGCAATGGCGAAACTTCCGAAATGGACAATGTTGCCCGGGATCACCCATATTACCACTCTGCCGTCCTCGGCCCGGATAGATTATACCACTGCCCATGGGAATCCATGAACCCTCCTTGCAACCACAAGCCCGAAAAGCTCAAGTGCAACTACGAGTACGACTTTATTTTACCGCTCCTATGCATGTTCTATACTAATACCACTATCGTAGCAAATGTGTCGATTCCCACTTGAAGCCCTACCGGTGCAAGGTCCAATCCTGTGGAGAAACACGCTTTTCGTCAACCGCCTGCCTTCTTCGCCATGAGCGCGAGGCCCATGCCATGCACGGACACGGCGAAAAACCATTCCTCTGCACCGCAGAGAACTGTGACCGAGCCATCCTCGGAAATGGATTCCCTCGTCATTGGAACCTTCGTGACCACATGAAGAGAGTACACAATACTGTACCTGAGCCAACTGACTCGGACCAACCCACCAGACTGCCGCGCAAGCGTAAGACCAGCTCTGTTGATGGTAAGATGAGGAAGAAGAATTCTGCCAGTTCCCCTCCCAAGGATATCCCAGCGCCACAACCAGTGAACAATGAGCCCAGTCCGGAGGACCAGTTCCGTGAGCACCGTCGCCAACTCATGTCTGCCATGGAACTTCTCAATGACCCAAGTGATCCGGAGGCATTAGCTAAGCTCCGCCGAGCCAATACTTACCTCAAGGAGATGGCAGCCACTTCTCAGAAGCTCGCCAGGACCAACAGCCCCACAGGTTGAACAACAAATACCCAGGATGCACGAAATGGTATGTTTATAACCTTATGCTCGACGCGGTTCATTCTCTAACCCATGTTTCGTTCAACAGACCAAAAGACTACAGTGAATAGCGGAGCCAGACCGCAGGATTTTCTTGACCTTGCATGGATATTGCCAGCCAGGAGATGATCTGCCTTGTTCCCTATTCTATCTACAGTCATGTTACCAGTCATGCACAGAACAGTTCTAAACCTACAAGACCATTGGATGCCCAGGAATACACGGTACAGCCATGGAAAGAAAACCTAAATCCCACGAGTCAGTACCAGTCTGCTCGTGGGAGGACAATAGACCCGGACAAGGAGCATTAGGATATCAGCCACGAGGATCTACTTTTTTACTGCATTGTCAGGATTATAGAGTATGCCCAAGGATGAAAGAGGAACCAGAATACGACAGAGCGCGGAGCCGATTCGTGGAGAGGTGCTCGTGACTTAAAAGCCGTCTGTTGCTTATATAGTTAGCTGGGTTGGAGGGACATGGAGGATGGATGAGATGGACGGAGCTGAAATTTGGAAAGATGTTTTTGTATTTGTTTTGATATTTTTAGATAGATTGCATAACTATGCGTGTGTTTTTACAGCATGGTTCAACGTTCAGTGGGTGTGTGTGCCAATGCCAGCGATGAATAGCTTCAAAGGGTAAGTTGATTATATTCGCCAACCTACAACACATCTAAACGCCTCGGGTATCTCTTTCTATCCCATAATTGATCCTTTATCCAACCCATGGCACCTTTTAAATCCTCCATCGCTCTTACATCTCCTCAAAAGCCGCATTCAAAAATCCAATAAACCCCTCTCTGACTCTTCCCGCGCCGCTGGGTTCAAGCCGTTGCAGTTGAATATACTGTCTCCTCAACCTCTGCAGCACCGGCACACCCAGCTTAACCTGCGGAAGCGCCAAATCCAACCCCCCCCTCTCCTCGGCCTCATCGTCATCCCTTCGTCCCTTCTTTCCCGCCAATCTCGCCTTCCTCTGCGCCTCCTCCTCCATATCAATCACCCCCCCTTCCTCCCCCTCATGATCCTTTACCCACTCTAAAATTTTACTCACAACCGCCTGGGTCTCGCGATCAAGCTTATACAAATACCCCTCCTCCACATGCTTCGTCGCTATTGTCGCAGCATTAGGTCTCACCACCCCTCCTCCCAAAACAGCCTCCTTAATCGCCTCGAAATCAATCTCTGCATCCTCCCAGCCAACTGTGAAAAGAGGACTATCCCACCTCACCATCCCATTAGGCTCTTCATACCTAAACACCAGATTATCCCACGTCTCCTTCTCATACGGTTCCCCCGCTCCTTCCTCCCCTCGTTCTCGCGCCGCAAGCCGCGCCTCATTCACACCCCTCGCAGTCTCCACCGGTGTGCCCACATGCACCACACAGCACGGCGTGCGCAACGCTTTCGCTTCGCAGAATAACTGGTATCTCCATCCCTTAATGTAGTTCCCACCAGCCGCGTCGCAGATCACAAGGTCGTTGGGACTGAGATGACGTTTCACCTCCGCATACACACGGGCGCGAGCATCTTTTTCAGAGGCGTTGGCGGAGCGCTCGTGTGCGCCGGCGGAGGAGAGGTCGTAGACTGTGTGTGGGATGGCGAGGGAGGTGTCGGTGATGTGGTGGATGCGGGGGGGATTGGGGAGGGAGGAGAAGTAGGAGGCGAGTTGGGTGGCGCGGTGGGTTTTGCCGGCGGTGGGGTAGCCGGTTATGATTATTAGCTGGAGGCGGGGTTAGTTGGGGAAGGTATAGGGGGTGAGAGGGGACATACAGGCATTATGAAGGCTTTGGGGGCTGTGGTGAGGAAGTTGGGATGGTGGTGGTGGTGGTGATCTTTGGTGGGGTGAGGGGTGGATTTTTGGTGTTTGTGTGGTTTGCTTGGCTGATAAGAAATTTTGATAGCGAGATAAGTGGAAGGCTACTATCAATTTCAAATATATGGACAACCAACGTTTAAAACCTCATGTATTCATGCATAACACAGTTTTATTTATGACGACTCAAGCTAAATACTTCCCCATCCATAACCACAGCCCAAGTCTCCAACAACATAAAAGTTGCTCCTTGTGCGTATATTTCGTTCAATTGCGTCTGATGTGTACAGGGTATATCATAGGATCGACGTTCCTATCCAGTTCCCAGCCAAGCATATCCAAACATACAACCGAAAGATCCTCTTCCTTCCAAACTCCATCACCTCCCAGTGTCCGCGAATAACAAAGCCCCATACCACATTTACATCATAACACAGCATGCCTTCTCCAACTTGGCCAGAACCTTTGGAAGCATCTTGAGAGCCAGCTTCTCGATCTCGCCCTGGCCGCCCTGTTGCTGCTGTCCTTGGCCACCTTGCTGCTGTCCACCATGCTGTTGCTGCCCACCACCCGGGTATGCCCCCTGTCCACCCTGGTACCCTCCCTGTCCACCTTGGTATCCTCCCTGTCCCCCCGAAGGCTGCTGCTGCGGCGGCCTGACCGGCGCTCCACCCTGGAGGTTGACATACAACACGCCCTCATTGGGTTCGGTATTATACTGCAACCCCAACTCCTGGCACACCTTCTCGACCCTCGGCTTAATCTTCTGGATATGCCCCGGGGAATGATTTCCCTTCCCCACAATCACATGGAGATGCGTCTGTCCCGTACTCCTCGCGTACTTAATCCTCTCCTCCACAATATCCTCCGCCTCTTCGACGAACTGTCCGTGCAGATCAATCGTATCAGCGGGGACCTTGCCATCGGCGTTGTTCTCACGGAAGATGAACTCGGAGGCTTGCTTGTTGTAGGCGGCCATCTTGGCGGCGTGCGCTTTGCCCTCCTCGGAGAGCTGCTTGGCGGCAGCGCCATCACCGGCAGAGTAGGCGTCCTTGGAGCGCGCAAAGCAGTTGGAGCGCTTCGAGGCTTCGGCGCGCGCGAGGTCGCGGAGGCGGTCGTATTCGACTTCGGCATCGTCGGCACGGGAGTGGTTAAAAGCTGCGCAAGGAGTCAATAACGGGTTCGCGAAAGCGGGGGATGCGTTGGGAGTTCTGCAAGGGGAGGAGTGAGCTGGGCGCATTGCGACGTACCTCTTGCTCCAAGGGAGCCGCCGTGGCTAACTGGACCCATTGCGTGTGACATTTTGACTTGGGGGTCGAGAAATTTCAATTCTCAGCGGGTGAAGGAACGAGGGCGGAGAAGACGAATCTCCAGGGATGAACAGACGCGGTGGGCTGGTGAGAGGTTGGACGGATGCGAAATTCCCTTATTTACTCCGCAAACCTGGGAGGGTCTTCTTTCCCTGTACTAGTCGGGGGTACTATGGTAATTGGTTGGCTTGGCGCGAGTAATGCAGGGTTTGTGCCTCGCTAATCTCAGGTCCTAGTGGCAAATCAGTTCGCCACCAGCGCTCGGTCTGGACTAGGCGGCTGTTCCTGATAACGTCGTATTAATGGGGATCTTATATTACAATATGCGAGTAACTAACACATACGACAGTAGACTCAATATAATTGGGCATCACTCGTACTCTGGACCTCCACCGCACTTCAGAGCGTGCTTTCCCCCCCGGGGGCATACTTCCGTTCGAGCCTGCATAAGAGCAGGCTCCTGTGCTCTTGGTCTCCGGAGCGTCCCCAGAGCACGCTCTGGAGCGCTAGGACGCTACAGAGCATTTCGGAGTACCAGAGAATTATCCAGAGCTCCATCTCTCCTGTGCCATCATACGATCGTTCTCCAAAGTATCAGGGCTTCCCGGGGAAAGAAAAGGGCCGGAGAAAAATAGGAGTCATGGTAAAGGGCCGGGAGGAGGATATCACAAGTTTGAATATAAAAATTATATCACGGTCACAAAGACTTGATCTACACGATGCATTTATATTGATCCTGTCTCAGAATAACCTACGTCAAATCAATGACTCTGATATAAAATTAGCTTATGTATCACAGACTAGAAGGAAACACTTACATTCTTCCCTCCAAAGTCCTATCATGCATCTGCCTAAACACCTCCTCTAGCTTGTCAATCTTTTCCACTCGAACCCGCGTCTTCACAATCCCTCTCGCCGCAAAGTCTAGGATCTCGATGGCCTCCCTCTGAGATCCAATCGTTGACCCGATAATGTGTGCATTCGCCGCTGCAATTATTCCTGGGCACGCATTCGATATCGGCAGGGGTTGCCCTTCCGGCATACCAACACAAACCATAACCCCGCCAAAAGACAGCATCGGGAGAGCCTGGCTGTACGCTTTGTTACTACCTGCGCACAAAATCACGGCTGAGGCGCCGAGACCGCCTGTCACTCGTTTGACTTCCTTGGCGATATCCTCGTCGCTGAAATTTGTCATGTCAAGAAACACTTCAGCGCCGCACTCTCTGACGAATGCTTCCTTTGACCCATGGTCGATTCCAATCACTCGATATGCCATGGCGTGTGCTGCGATCTGAACGGCGAGATGGCCCAACACCCCACCGGCGCCAGAAATCACGACCCATTCACCGCTTCTGGCATTGCATTTCCGCAGAGCCGAATAGGTTGTCAACCCGGCGCAAAGCATTGGTGCTGCGTCTGCGCTGGCAAGTTTCTCTGGAATGGGAGTCACGTAGTTAGCTGGGCTAAGGACGTACTCAGCAAAAGTGCCGGGCGTGTAGTAGCTAGTCAGCCTGAAGTTAGCACGTTCAGAACTCAAGAGCTGGATGATATTACCCAGAGATCTTGCGTAGTGTGCAGTGACCATCAAAGCCTCTTCGGCATCGGTCACAGGTTCCACACACTGCTGTAGCCCACTTGATGCCAACACGATCACCGACCTTCACGCTTCTGGCATCTGCACCAACACCAAGTTTCTCTACTATACCAACACCTTCGTGACCCCCAATTTGACCAGCTGCGGTAGGAAATGGTAACGTAGTCCATGCATTCGTCATGATGCTCAGATCACTGCCACATACTCCCGAGTGCTGCGATATATTTGAGCGTGTGACTCTAGGAACTCGAAAGGTATATCTTACCGTTAGACGCACAAGAACCTCGCCATGGCCAGGCTCGAGGATTGGAAGTTCAACAATTTGCGTACTGATACTTCCTGGTTTGTCTATTGGATTGTTAATAAACCAAATGCGTGGGTTATGATATTCGCTCCGCGACCCATTACTAACCATAAACGGCAGCTTTGTACGTCTTGGGGACATCGACGATCTTTGCCTCTGCCATAATTGCGAAAGATTAGATTTCTACTGATTCAGATAGTCGCTAGTAGTATTATGATATCGTTCTCCCAGGAGGACTCGGATTATCATTTCTCGCGATAACCTAGAAATGGCACGATTGATATAGGATATATAGAAGGTCGTCCATTGCCTTTGCAGGCAGGTCAGCTGCAACTAATCGAACTGCGTGGGGTGTTGCGGACATCGTACTCATAATCCCGTTGTAATTGTTGTAGGGAGGGGCGATGTCCGATATCATTGGGGCCGGTGTCCGACGAGATTGCGCGTCGTGTGTAACACCCACATCAGGTGTCGAACATCAAGCAATATAGATCTCGATAACCAAGCTCAATAGCACCTGGTATAAAAGAATTAATACTCACCAGATAGCCTCTATCTATAGAGACTTATGCTCTTAGGAGCCTCGATTTTAAAATGACGACTACATTGAAGGCCATTCCATGGCTGGCTTACCACGCCTATCCGGTTGCCATTTGTACTGTCCTGATTTTAGTTGTTTTACCTCGCGTTTTACGTGCTTTGTTATCTCCAGTTCGCCAAGTCCCTGGGCCTTTTCTGGCTAGGTTTACGCGTCTATGGTACTTCCGTCAAGTGTTTCGTGGTGACTTCCATCAAGTTAATATACAGCTCCACCGCAGATATGGTAAGTGAGCGGTTGGGAATCCTCAGCGGTCATCTAATCACTATACCAGGCCCAATTGTTAGGATCGCCCCAAACGAATACAGTTTTGAAGACCTGCAGGCTGTCAAAACGATTTATGGCCATGGCACAAAGTTTGTCAAGGTTCGTCACTTTTCTAGCTGGATCTTTCACTACCTTATATTGATACTACATAGGCACCTTGGTATAATGCAAGTGGAGATCCATCTAAGCACCCTCGCATGAATCTTTTTACAGATAGGGATATGAAGAGCCATGCAGACAATCGTCGAAAAGTTGCAAACCTTTACAGCATGACAGCACTTCTTAAGATGGAACCTTCTGTCAACTCCTGTATCGAGATTGTTCTGCAAAGATTTGATGAATTTGCTTCTTCAAAGCAACCTATCAACATGCACCACTGGCTGCAGTGCTATGCATTCGATGTCATCGGTCTTATCACATTCTCGCGTCGATTCGGATTCCTTGACAAAGGAGAAGATATTGAACAGATCATGAAGACCATTCATTATTTTCTTCAGTATTCTACTCTAGTTGGCATATATAATGAATGGCACAAGTATCTTTTCGGTCTCAATGCAATGGTACGGTTCAAGGGAATGAAAAATATTGTTGCATTCTCCCTTGACCGGATAAAGAGAAACAGTGACCGAGATAAAGGAGAGGGTGAGTTAGAAGAAGATTTTCTGTCTACAGCTCTTGCTCTACATCGAGCTGCGCCAGATAAATTCTCCATGGGTGATGTCATCTCTACTTGTAGCGCCAACGTTGGTGCTGGAAGTGATACCACGGGCATAAGTTTAAGTTCCATCCTATACTATCTTGTACGGAACCCTCTCACACTTCGCAAACTGCGGGCAGAAATCGAAGGAGAAACACAGCGCGGAACCACCTCCAGTCCTATCACATTCCAAGAGGCTCAGAAGATGCCTTATCTGCAAGCAGTAATCAAAGAGTCGCTGCGTCTCCACCCTGCCACCGGCTTGCCGCTCGCGCGCGTCGTACCAGCGGCCGGAGCCGTGATTGCTGGTACCAGGTTTCCAGGAGGAACTATTGTCGGCGTCAACACCTGGGTGGCGCATGCCAATGCTTCGATTTTTGGCGACGACGCGAGAACCTTTCGGCCTGAAAGGTGGCTGGAGGATGATGAGACGACTTCGAAGTTAAACAGGTTCTGGATGCCGTTTGGGGTTGGATCTAGGACCTGCATTGGCAAAAATATCAGTTTGCTAGAAATATCGAAGTTGATACCAGAGTTAATAAGGAGATATGACTTCGAATTTATTGGAATGGATGGTGGTTTGGAGACTCAGAATGTTTGGTTTGTTAAGCCAACCAATTTCTTCTGCAAGATAATGAAACGAGAGCCTTCAAGTCTTTGAGGTTCAGGAGCAAGGGCATTTCGTCAGATAAGTTTTTTAAAAATACAAAATTGCAGATCAAGGACGGTGGAATTTGAAAGCTGGGGATTGGCACTGTATGCCACTTGCCTGGCTTAGCTGTGCTCACCTTCCTCGCCATCTAGCTCACCCTAGTCATCCTGGGACGTCCACTGTCGCGGTGCAACCGCGCTGTCAAAATGGACCCACTTTTGGGTGGTCGAGGTAGTCAGGTTCCCGCTTCGGAAAAAGCTCGAACGCGCTAAAACGCGGCTAGTCATCCCGTCGTGAATGTCGCTGCTCCCCTTTGATTGGTTGCCTCATATCGCTCGATTGGGATTGCTATCATTTAGATATCAGATTTTCTATTTATTTCAATATTCATTTCGCAACTTAGCGGTCGATTTTCCTCTGCTTGATTTATATAGTTACTCTTTTTATTGCAGATCTACCACGCCTTATCAGCCTCAGGCTTTGCGGGAGCTGTCTTTTAAAATGACAGATTTAAAAGCGACCCCAGGCAGTCCGCTTGCATCAGATGGGGATCCATGCACCGACCTCGGTCTTAACGGCGTTGCTCCAGATATCGAGAAAAAGGCAGGCCCTGGAAGTATAGAAGATACTCAGCAACAGAAAGATTCAGCTTTCAAATCTCTCGGCCTGCTCGACCGCTTCTTAGCCCTATGGATTTTCCTCGCCATGCTTATTGGAATCCTGCTGGGAAACTTCGTCGAGAATGTAGGGCCTGCACTACAAAAAGGAAAGTTTGTAGGAGTGTCTGTTCCTATCGGTAGGACCCTACCTCCAATATTCAAGTTGTGAGGCTAACAGTCTTGGAAGCAATTGGTCTGCTCGTCATGATGTATCCCATCCTCTGCAAAGTCCAATACGAAGCTCTGCACCATGTCTTTCGAAAGCGAGAAATATGGGTCCAAATCGGTTTCAGTATTGTCGTAAATTGGATCGTCGCACCTCTTGTTATGGTATGTCAGAGTTCATTGTTATGGTTGCAATTGCTGACGGACATAGATGGCTCTTGCGTGGGCTTTCTTGCCAGATAAGCAGGGTCTCCGAGAAGGACTCATTCTTGTCGGTATCGCAAGATGTATAGCTATGGTTTTGATATGGACTGGACTGGTAAGCCTCAATCTACCTCATGCAACGATACAAGCTGACCACTAACCTCTCCAGGCTGGGGGCGATAACGAATACTGTGCTATCCTGGTTGCAGTAAACTCATTTCTCCAAATCGTCCTCTTCGCGCCGCTCGCCCTCCTCTTCATAAAGGTTATCAGCCACGGCGGACCAGGAGTCAGCGTCTCATATTCGACAGTAGCAACCAGTGTAGGGGTCTTCCTTGGAATTCCCCTTGGTGCTGCCATCCTCACACGTTTTACACTCCTCAAGATTGGCGGGGAAAAGTTTTACAACCAGGTCTTCCTGAGATTCGCCGCACCTTGGTCGCTCATCGGGCTTCTCTTCACTATCCTCGTTCTCTTCGCGTCACAAGGCCACCAGGTAGTCCACCAGATCGTATCCGTTGTGCGAGTTGCTGCGCCGTTAGTTGTGTACTTCGCCGTTATCTTTTTCCTGACGCTGCTGGTCACGCATAAACTGGGCTTTGGATATAAGTTAGCCGCGACGCAGAGTTTTACAGCTGCGAGCAACAACTTCGAGCTCGCGATTGCGGTGGCTGTGGCGACTTTTGGCGCGGATAGTGATCAAGCACTAGCTGCGACGGTTGGCCCTCTGATCGAGGTTCCTGTACTACTTGGGCTCGTTTATGTTGTCAAATGGTACGCTCAGAGAAGAGCATGGAAGGATTAAAAACGTAGCATATAAATTTAATGGATAATCTCGATAAATAATTTAGAAACTGTTGTAGTTAGAATAGAGCCATACTTGCCGGCTCTGTTCACTGCAATACAAAATATATTTCTACTAAATGGGATTAATTCTAAAGTTGTAAACTTTACAATGTTTCATACCCAATAAGTCTATCTATACTACATAATTTATAGTCTATAGTTTCATAAATCAATACCTTGAATGATCCCGACCCCCTACTCTACGCTGTCTGCAACAGCATCATCCACTTCCACCCTCTTCTCTTCCGCCTCCTTCCTCGCTTTCTCCGTCGCCTTCCTCTCCTTCTCCACCCGCTCCTCCCTCTCACTACACCTATCCCCAAACAATGCAAAGTGCGGCCTCATCAAGATCGTATACTTGACAAACTCCTCCATGCAATCCACAATCCTCATCCGATTCCCACTGGGAATCATCCGACTACCGCCCTCGACGGGATCAGCCGGGCTCTCGTCGGTAAACTGCGTATAAGCCATCGGCACAGACGACTGATTCGGGATGACGAACATGCGCATCCAGCGCCCGAGAAGACGAAGAGAGTTCACCGCGTTGAAAGATTGCGAGCCCCCTGATACCTGGGCGATCGCTAGGGTTCGGCCTTGTGTGGGGCGCACGGAGCCGACGGAGAGGGGGATCCAGTCGATTTGGTTTTTGAAGACGGCAGTCTGGGGGTGCGTGTTAGTATGTATTCGCCGTAGTGGCGTGGATGTAGGGTGGAGGGGTGCTTACGAGATTCCCATGTTGCTCGGCAGAGACCCAGACATGGCCGTCGCTCCAGCGGCTGAGGTCGCGAAGCTCTTGGACTTTGGGGTGGTTGTGCTGGACGTCGTCTTTCATGGGGAGGCCGCTTGGGTCGAAGACGCGGACGTCGCAGCCGAGTCGGGAGAGGATGCGGGAGGCTTCGAAGGCGAGTAGCCGGGAGTAGGAACTAAGTGCGACATAAAAGTTAATATCTTTGATAACCAAAAAGCAGCACCTATGGTAGCGGAAAGGAAGTTAGGCGGGTAAAAGTGCTTACCGTTCACGCAGACTTCCATACAAGACGAGAACCTTGAGGCGCTCGCCGGTCATGTGGAGATCCTCCTCGGCTAGCTTCACAACAGTGCTAAGCTCCAGTTTGCTGATCCAGTCGGTAGATGTGATCTCTGGGCTGAGAAGAAATGGACGGTACGACTTGCGTATCGCCGCGTCGTCTTCTGCTTCGCTGATGGCGAGGGACCGGTAAGAGTATGCTGCATCGATGTCGATTCGTGCGACTTCTCGCGCTGCTGAAGTGTTATTCAGATCTCCATTTGTACGCATGGTTCCAGAAATGGAACTAATTAAACGGCGTCGTGGTAATTTATGGGTAAATATAGATGTTATCAGAATTGTGGCGGGTACGAATCGCTTTCGCAATGGTAGCTATGTTGAGGTGGTTGATAGTCAGTTTTATTTGCTTTATAAGATAAGGGTTTTGGTTTCGACTTACTAGTGATCTTGTAACTACTAAGCACGACATATAAGTGACTAAGTAGAAAAAAAGATATATGAGATAGTGATAGACTTGATATATAGATATATATGAGAAGCTATCGTTAAGTAGAGCATAGAATGCATTAAGCACCCCGAGAGAGATGTCATTCTCTGCTGCTGATTGGTTAGTAAGAGTTAAGCTTAAATTATGGAGGTGAAATTCTCGAAGTTCTAGGCTCATTTGGTGCATTTAGCTTAGTAATCGAAGATTTTGCGTCAACAATACCTTATCGACGCACCATACAATTCGTACAGCCTTTGTCCAGCCTCACTTGGGTCCTTATAGTCGCCAGCCTCGAACACCGGTTACACGGCAGCTGTTAGAAAAGACGGTTGTTGCTACTACCCTATATTATATTCCTACTGTAATAGCAAATAGACTCAGATGTTCACTAACTATACCATCCAATTTCTTCTCAAGAATCCCTATAGCCACGATTATTCATCTTGCTCCTTCGATCACCCCGAGGAACTCCGCGACCCCTGTAGCCTGAACTTGCTTAGCGGTTTCTCCTCTTCCTCCTCATCTTTACTTGTGGCTATGCCTTTGCTGGCTTTGATGGCTGCGATGACGGTCTCGAGCGCGCGAGTGCCCGACTCTTTAGCGTGGGTGTCGGCGTCGGTGCCGTGAACGACCTTGAGGTACTGGATGAATTCGAGGTACGCGTCGGAGACGATTTTCAGATGCTCGGCCTTGAGCTTCACCTGTGTGGTCGACTCGGTCTTCTTGAGGTCGTACTTCTTGCCGAGCGGCTGGGCCTCGAACTCGGCGAGCGCAAGAGCTGTCTGGCACGCATTCCGGATCTGCCGTCCATTCCACCGTGCCCCCTTGTTCTTCATGAAGTATTCACCGATATCTTCGATAATCTCGTCTTCCTCAATCTTGATCTTTCGCTTGCCTTCGAACCTGTCTCTAATCATGCCTAGGTTCAGCTTGAAGACTTTGATCGTCTCGATCTTGCCCAACGCTGGATAGTGGAGGCTCATGTGAATACGGGAAGCAAAAGCTTCGTCGAAATCGCCAATTCTATATAGTGTTAGTCTAGTTAACAGGAGACAAGAGCTTGTGTGACACATACCTATTAGTGGTCAAGAACAGAATTCCTGCATAGTATTCCAGCACTCGGAGGAAGACTGGATGCGAGTTAGCATGCGTGAGAATCCTATGATCCTAGGGATACGTTAAGTGAACCGTCCATGGTGCTCAAACCCGGTGCTCCTTTAAAAAAAGTTATGCTAGTAGACTCACCTGCGACAAGTCCATTTCGCTTGAAATCCTCCCGTCGGCGCTCAGCAAGGAACACATCCGCCTCGTCGAGAAGAAGAATGCAGCCCCATCTGTTGGCAAGGGCGAAATTAGTTTGCAACGCAGTCTCTACTTCCTTAGCATTCGATCCAAGGTCACCTACAAGCGGGGAAAAAGCCGGTCAGCTTGCTTTCTCACAGCTCTGTGGAGTAGATGCCCAGAGATAGTTTTCTTACCACAGGTGATTTGAAATAGCGGCTTCTTGAATCTCTCAGCAACACCCTCTAGAATATCAGTTAGTTATATGTAACCTCAAGGCAGAGTGCAGAGGGATTATCAAAGATCGCTGTGAATTAAGAAGTGCATGGGTCTTTCATACCAGCTGTAGTCGTCTTTCCCACTCCTGGCGCCCCGTGGAGGAGGATGATTAAACCCTTCCCTGGTGAGAACTTCATGTTAGAGGAATTCTGAGGCCAAACATTTGGAAGAAATGTACCTTTGCCGCGGACAATATCAGCCTGCTCATCTTGCTGACCCTTATTTCGAAAGTGTTGGGCGATTAGGGAAAGAACCATCTTCTTGTGGCCACGGGGAAGCACAAGTCGACCAAATGCGGACTTGTCCCCTGACTCCCCATCCGAATCTTCATCCTCCGCATCGATATCATCTTCGCCTTCTTGGTTATCGATATGTTCAAGATGCGTCAGATCCAGATGTGCTACGTGGGTGTTAGTAAGGGGCACATCATGCTATTTGTACACTCACCCCAAGTGCGATCGCGCAAAACAAATCCGAAGACTTTATGAGACATGATGATCAGCTCATCTTCTGTGAACTTATTCATCTTGGTCTTAGATTCTTCCAGGGTCCGGGGATAGATTGTCGCCGACGGCAAGCTACCTTGCGGACCGTTCTGCATTTCGGCTATTAGGTCGTTGGTAAACTTCTCAGAGCGCTCACGTTCAACATAGCTGTCGTCATGGACATTTTCACGCCAGCAGCAGTCTGCCTCGCAACCTAGGATTTCCTCGCTGTCTTCTTCCGGATTGTGGGCGAAACCTACGATGGCCGTTATATTTGGACGCCACTCTCGGCTGTTTTCAGACGCAAACGCTTCCTCAAAGTCGATTACGACCTGACTCTCGACTTCATCCCGGGGTTCATCGACAGTTAGGCCGGTGTAATACATGTGCTTGACTCCGGCAACCTCAACAAACATTTCTCCTCGTTCAATGAGTTTCTTCCTCAGTTGAGCAATCGAAGTCTCCATGACTTCTTCCCCATCGCTGCCTTGTTGCTTAGATTTAACGGCGGGGCCTCGCAGGCCACTGGAAGTATGAAAGCGAAAGGGATAGATGTCGAGCGTAGTGACCAATCTTTCACCGTCGAACCTTCTAATCTTGAATTTCTTCAAGACTGGTCCGAATTTCTTGCCGTCGTAGTGAATGTAGACGCAGTCGATTGAGATGTCTGACTGAGCACGAGATTTCTCGTTGTCTTTCTCGCTGTTATAGACATAAGACCAACGATCAGTTCCCTTATGTGGGGGGGAGTGAACATTGATCACTCGGTAGGCCTGTTTGCGATCGTTGGAGATGACGAAGTCGCCAGGTTTGAAAAGGTGCCAGATATCCGAGAAGGCGATGTTGTTACAGGTCGGGCTGTTTAAGTATGCTCGCTTCCGGGTGATATATGTATCCATAAACTCCAATAGGCAAGGAATATGCTCCAATGCCGTAGTAGATGTACTCAAGCCTTGTGGGTCTTCGACCGTGGGCTCTTTCTTAGGTTGTGAATCAGATGGCTGATCAGTATCCTTCGGATCTGCATCGAGCTTTGGAATCTCCGCTGAACTTTCGGTTTTATTAACATTGGTGTTTGAGCCTTCAATGCCGGACTTCGGTGCACTATTTTCATCTACCAACTTGGAGTGCCAGTCGCGTATTTGCTCGTCGTAATAGCTTAGCAGCCTGAAGGGTCGGAGCAAGACAAGCGACGTGTTTTTATAATCCACTTCAGAAACCAATTTGGAGCCATGAATACGGGCAAGAATCATGATGAGATGCCTTGAGTGGATTCTTATGCGTTCGGGTAGAAGACCTTGCCCATCTAGTTCTCCCGCAGGACCTGTTCCAGATGTCTGCTGGTGCTGGACATCGGCGCTTAGGGGGTTCGGCTTCGAGTGTCTTCCCCCAGTTTTGTCCGAAATCTTGGGCTCCTCGATGAGAATATCGATAGCAAAGCACGACGCTTCTGACACATATCGAAGAGCTTTGAATATCTCCCAGTTAACAGGGTGTAGCTTTGCTACGGCCCACTGTGCAGCTTGTTGGGTAGGTGGGTCTCCGACAACAGCACCGGCTTCGGCTAGTTTCTCTTGTCCAAGTTTCTCTTCTTGTTCTTGCTTCTCTCGCTCCTCTGCGGCTTTCTTTTTTTCCTTATGATTTACATATCTTTTTCTCTGGGCATGAAGGCGGTCGAGCTCCCATTCGAAGTCACCCCGCAATCTTGCACGGAAGTAGTCGAAGTCTCTTGAGCGAGTTGAGCCATCACTCCACTCTTCGCTGTCAGAAGTATCCCACTGGGTAGGCGGACCGAGTTTGCGAGAGTATATAGGTTGAAGTGATGTTAGTGGACGGATCGCACGTGCCGGCCTATTTAATTTGTTGTCAGTGGTCCAGAACCTATACTCGTTACGAGTCGCAAAATCGGGAGGCGCATCCCCATCTTTATTTGGCACCTGGTACAAGGTGGGTTCTTTGGCTAAGAACGAGCCTTCGTATGCATAATCGGCCCTGTCCTTCTCGGTTTCCCCAGCTTTTTTTTCGGCTGCTTCCACTGACTTCTTAGCCCAGCGAGCTCTCCTTATGACTTTTCGGAGCCGTTTATCCTCCTCGCCCTCAATTTCCCCATCTACATCTGCACCTGTATCTGCACCTGCCGCAATATCCGGATCGTGGGTGTTTGGCTGACGGCTCGCCTGCTGTTCTAGCTGGAACAGTCTCTCTTGCAAAGCTCGAATCTCAAGAAGTAAAGGAGGGGCAGATGTCCTTAGCTGCTCATGAGCTTCATTGGCTTCCTTGTCTTCTCCCTCGTTATCTTTGCTGACAGATTGGCTGTTGTTAGAGACATTAGGCGCCAGTCCTAGTTCTTGACTGACGGCCACAACTTGATCTTTGACTTTATCGCTCGTGGGTGAATGTGAAGGGCCGTTCAAGCTCTTACTAGGCTCATCTGAGACCGTCATGCCCAAAGCTCCTTCGTCATCATTCGATGGGGCTGTTGGAGCTAGGGACAGGAGAGCGTCAGCCGTGTCGTGGGGCGCTGCCATAGCACTTTCAGTTTAAACAATTCTCAGCTCTAGTATTTTAACATGAAGAACGGTAGACTCAAGAGAAGATGCCAATGTCTGACAAGCTAGACAGAGCAGCTGGGCGACTGTTCGGTACTTTGGCAAGAACAGATCGAAAAATGCAGATAGGTTTTGGAAAGCAGCTATTTATGAAGTTTGGGAGGAAAGGGCTGCTCCGCATTCCCTCGGGAAGATAGCAACTGGGGGAAAGAGGGTGCCATCTAAGGATTCACAATCATGCAGACCCCTCAAATCCGTAGACTGCGGCTGGAGACGACTAGGGTCCTTGTCCAATTGACAAGGCTGCGTGGCGCCTAGTATGTAGTAAGCCGTGTGTGAAGCACTGTGCATGCTGCAGTCGCCGTGGATGCTGTAGCCATTCAGCTCCGGCGCAAAAATCCGAAGAAACCGGCCCCAATTTAGCAGAGAGCAAGGCTATCTAAGGTTGGTTGCGTCCCGCGACGTGTTGGTTAGCAATTGGGCTAAACAGCATCTTTCAGCCTCCAGTTCCCCCGCCATCATCGATGAGGGAATTCGCACAGCCTTGTAGAAAATCCCCTCGCCATTCCGCGCCCGGATGCGAGTGATTGCCCATCACTCAGATGGAGCCATCTAAACTGGACATACCAGACCTGCAACTACAGTCCTTAGCAGTCGACTTCATTGACAATCGCCTCGACAAGTATCACCCCGCATTTTCAACGCCTCCCGCCCGCTACGACCCGGCCCGTGGCAGCTTCATGCCAGTGCTCACACCGCGGCCGGACACCACTATGCAGTCGCAACAGCAGAAGAAGCAGCAGCAGCCTTCCACCACGCCGCAAGCAGACGATGTCCAACTTATTCCAAGACCACGCGCAGAACCTGCTAAGGCCTTGAAATTTTGGGACTCCCTCTTTGTCCGTGCTATGAACAAGTTCACGGCGGGCCCGGACGCTGCAAAGGAGCCGAGCGGCCGGGCTGAGGCGGGATATAGCATCCGGGACAAGAAAGATTGGACCGCCGTTTTTGATACATTGCAAGAGGCTAAGCAATGCTATTTCCAGAAGAAGGGCATAAAAGGCACTTTCAGAAGGGTATATCGCTCAATAGCTGATTTTGGCGCTCCCGTTCTCCTAGACGTAACCAAGCTTGTGCCAGAGACGGGCTGTTTGTTCGTAACACCGGTCGTGGGATCTATCCAGATTGTTCTAGAGGTAACCCTGCTCTCTTCGGAAAGTTCGATGCCTAGAGAACCTGTGCTCACTGATAATTGTTCGAGTTTAGGCAGTCAAGAAAGCCGCGGAAGTCAGAAAGGCCATGGACGGCGCATTCGATAATATTGATATGAAGTTTCAGGATATTGAGCTTTTCCTCCAGACTTTTCCAGACGATGATAATATCGACGAAGCCTCGATCGATCTAATTGTGGCCGCATTCGCCGCGATTGAGTCTGTCATTGGGTTTCTCATCCAGTCTATTCGTTAGTTCTGCTTGTTTCTTTCTCTTCGTATTGCTCAGCGCACCATTACTGATATTCGTTAGTAAAACGAATAGGTGGCTCCATCCTCAAGAGGGGCGACTATGAGAAAGAGGCCCTTGACACGCTGGAAACAGTTCAGTCTAAGAGCAACCTGCTTAATAGCCAGGCGAATAATTCAGAGAAGTGGATGGTTAGGCAAGGATTCCAGGCGGTGTTCAAAGGTGAGTGAAGAAAATACCCTTCTTCAGCTCTAATCCACCCCCTACAACGTCGTGTTCAGAAGCTTACAACTGAATTTCAACAAAGAAACGGGTCATATCAAGGACATGTTCCTGTCAGTGCTGGACCCTTTACTAGACCAACTAAACGCTACCAGAGAGGAACTGGCGGCCACCCAAAAAACCAACAGGGAAGGTGAGATTAACCAAGTTATCTTATTTATTTGCAGGAAAGGAAAGGCTGACACTCAAGGCGTGCCTATGAAGATCGAGCTGTTTATCTCGGCATTATTTCCACACTCTCGCGCCCAGCTTCGCCAAACCCTCCGCCATATGACAGTACCGTGGAGCCAGAGCAATTTATAGGACCGCAAGAACTTCTCGATTGGATCGACGTTCCCGACGCCGCAAGTGAAGACCGGAAGCTCATCAACGAAAGGTGGCAAATGAGGGTGCCTCTCAACGAGCAAGCCCAGGCCGAGCAGCTCATCCGCTCAACCCAGTTCAAAGACTGGGTCGTGGCCGGTACATCCTCCCAGCTGCTCATACACGGCGAGTACGACGGCCAACGCTACGTCTCCGGGCTCTCGCTCTTCTGCTCTTCCTTCGCGCAGTCCCTCGAGGCCAGGGCTCCACGTTTCATCCCCCTCATATTCTTTTGCGGTCTGCATACGGATCCCGACATGGATAGGCACACCGGTGGCCGCGCGGTGATCCAGAACTTCATCTGCCAGCTGCTGTGCCAATTCGACTTCGACACGCGGTCGTTTGCGAGCGAGAAGCTGGACGAGCACCTCATCCAGCTGGGCGACATCGACGAGCTGTGCAGGCTCTTCCAGTGGCTTGTTGGGAAGCTGCCACAGTCGGTCGTGCTGTTCTGCGTGATTGATGGCGTGGGGTACTATGAGAGGGAGGAGTTTGAGCACGATATTGGCTTTGTTGTTGAGAAGCTGTTGAGGATTTCGGCGGAGAAGAAAACACAGGCCGGAGTCAAGATTCTTCTTACGAGCTCGAACAGGACTACTTACATCCGGCAGCCATTTCCGGATGAATTGGTTTTGTCTATAGAGTCTTTGGCTCGAGCAAACATGGTGCCTAGCAAATCGAGGCTCGAACGGCAGCTGGGGGAATCGCAGCCGATGTAAGATATTTCTTTAAGAATAGGTAATTTTAGTAGGATTAGTGTAAACATTATGTCTTGTGCCTTGTAGTGTCATATTTTTTGACGACCCAACCCTTTTAGCAGATTATTTGATTATTAGTTTATTAATAATCATTATAATTAAAGTTAACCAGCTAAATTTAATCGCCTTATTAACTTCAGGCCTAAAATTAGCCATTTAAAATCTTAATAGGAAATATTTATAGAATAGATGTAAATTAACCCCTTTCGAACCTAAAACCATCACTCAGTCAAAGAATATCTAGAAACTTCCCATAAGAAGTAAAGGAGACCCCTTCGGAAAACCAGGCAGAAGCCTCAAACCGGCAGTCCGCAGTAACAGCAATCTCCCATTCTTCCGAAACCACGCTAGGTTTCCTCATCTAGTATGCGGAAGTAAGGAACGCACCTCCCCTCTAGAGTCAGTCGCTATTTCCTTCTAGAGTCGGTCGTTCCTTCCTCAGTTAGTCAGTCGTTCCTTCCCTTATAAAAAAACTATAAAGCCCATAAGAAGGAAGGAACGACAGGCCCAGAGGGAAGGAGCGGTCCTTCCTCAGTTTGTCGGTCGTTCCTTCCCTCATAACTATAAGGTCCAAGGTTAGGAAGGAACGACCGGCTCAGAGGGAAGGAACGTTCCTTCCTCAGTTAGTCGGTCGTTCCTTCCCTTATAAAAAATGTAAAAGTTCCTAGGAAGGAACGAACGACCGGCTCAAAAGGGAATGGGGTTCCTTCCATCTGGAGACAGTCGCTCTTTCCTTCTGGAGTCAATAGGAGTATTTGAAACTACAAGAACAAGCATCTAGGCAACACTCCAATTTAAAGAAGACTGAGCTCATAAACAATCACATTTGACACGAAGTAAAACTGCAGAATAAAAAATTATTCAATTATGTATGACCAGAAAACGTCTATGGACTTCCTGATACAAAATAACAAAAAAAAAACCGAAATTCAAAAAAGCCACCATATAGTGTGTGGTCTTTCCCTCCCCCTGATCCGAATCGAAAAAGGCAACTTTTTACCCCCCTGGCTAGAAAGGATTGTTGTGATCCCCAGCCTCATCATCCATGCTCAGAGCCAAAGATAGAGAACCATGAGTCTATCCCGCTCTCTCAAAACCCAGTGCAGGCATCTACTTCATACCCATCAGCGCCTTAGCTCCCGGCTCGCTCGACACATAAATGACCTCGTGAGCGTCCGTGAAGCCATTGAAGCGAGTAGCAGAGCACTTGGTATACGCGCCCATATCCTCAAAGTACAGCCAGTCGCCGACATCCAGGGTCTGCTCAAAGCGGATGCTCTTAGTGATGTGATCGATCCCATCACACGTCGGGCCGAAGATCGAGTACTCCGTCCCGCCCGGCGCGGACTGCGCAGCGGTAGTACCGTGCAGCGAGACGTCGCCGGCGCGGAGGACTTGCGCGATCGGGTTCTGGTGGTCGAACATGATGCTGCTGAAGTTACCGTAGACGCCGTCATTGAGGTAGACCATGTAGCTGTTCTCAGCCGTGTCGGGGTTGACGACAGTGCGGCGCGCGATGATGTTGCAGGCGAGCGTGAAAGCAGAGGAGACGTAGTAGCGTCCTGGTTCGGCGATGACGGCGACGTGCGCGGGGATGTATTCATCCAGTGCCTCGCGCAGGACAGCAGCCATGGCCTCGAAGTTCTCCCCTGAGAAGCCACCGCCGACGTCGACAGTCTTAAGGGAGAAGCCCTGGGTGGCGGCTTGGTCCATGACGGTGCGTGCGTCGCGGACGGCTTTGAGGAAGGCGAGGGGGTCGCCGGCGCCGGAGCCGACGTGGAAGCTCACACCGACGACGTTGAGGCCCAGTTCCTTGGCGAGGGTGAGGAGCTCGACGGTGGTATCCAGAGAAGCTCCGAATTTCATGCTGAAGCGGCACAAGCTGGAGGTGTCGTCGGTGATGATGCGGAGGAAGAGCTCGGCGTCCGGGAAGAACTTCTTGATCTTGTAGAGCTCGTCGGTGTTATCGAAGGTCATCTTCTTGACGCCGCTGTCGGCGGCGTAGCGCACGTACGACTTGGTCTTGCAGGGCTGGGCGTAGATGATGCGGGCCGGGTCGACGCCCATCTTGAGGATCTGCTCGATCTCGGCCTTGGAGGCACAGTCAAAGCCGGTTCCCAGCTCGGCGAGGAGGCGGACAATCTCGGGGTCGGGGTTGCACTTGACCGCTATTTCAAATGTTAGTTTCTTGAATTCACTTTAACAGTAGTAATTGGAAACGTACCATAGAATGGCTTGACGCGTGGAAGGTTCAGTTTCCATCTCATGTGCTGCCTGTAGACATCGCCCAGGTCAGCGACGAAGAAGGCATCCTCCTCGCCAGCTTCGCATGTTTCGTGATCAATATTCTCGACCCTGTTCTTGAGGGCATCGCCCACTAAACCCTTCGGAGAAGAGACGCCATGGAGATCAAGGTGGGGGGCTGCCTCAAACTTTGTATGAAAGTTGTATGTTGTTTCAGTAGTTGTGACAGCTGAAGGTGCCATAACCCTCAGAAGTTCCAAGGGGTAGTAGTTTGGTGAGTTTCTGCAGATTGAAGTCAGCAAGCTGGAAGAAAAAGAACTGTTGTTAATTGGATCTGGGTGGGCAAGACAACGTACGGTTGGCTCCGAAAGGTTTATTAAGGAGGTCTGTATCTATCTGATCCCGAAGCGATCTGACGAGGTCTGCTCGACTCTTCCTCCGCTAGAGGAAGAACCTCTAAACCCGTCCTATGCGGCAGCTGAAGGGTCGGGGACGGAATGGGGTCGGTTTGAGGGGGATCAAGAAGAAACCGCTCAAGTTTATCGAGGACGTTCAGCAGTGGGGTTCTCGGGGTCGGGCGTGGTGTGTTGTTGAAAGTTGGTACTCGGGCGATTGGTGTTGATGGGATATGATCCGTGGTATCAACTTGTGCCTTTGATTCCGACCAAAGGCGATCGTGTAGTGTGTTGGTTAAAAGCCTCTTACACGTCTGTTGTTGTTTTGTGTTAGAGAGAAGAAGTTGTGTGAAGAGTGAATTTTTGTATTGGAAAGTCGCTCAGAGTTTTGAGGGATGGGGGAGGGGAGGGGTGAATTTAGGTGGATAGGGCAAAAAAGAGCTTGAGGTACCACTACAGGGTTCACTCTTCCCCTTCCAACCCTACTGCCGGGAAGAAAATCGATGATGGGGCCAAGTTACGTACCGATTGTTAATAAAAGTGGCAAATAATCTACAGACAGGTAAATTTTTGTATAAAGGAGATCCAGAGAAAGAAGAACTGGATCGAATTATAGAGAGTGAATAGGGAGTAGGTATGAGTTTGAAGTTGTGGGTTTTATGGATAGTTTGGAGTGGGAGAGTGGGAGAGTGGGAACATGGGAAGATGGAACAGAAAATGGCGGGGATGGTGTACAGGATGGATTGAAAAAGTCGGATGGACTGGCAAATAACGTGTCGTTGAATTGGGGGGTCATGGAGAGTACATGCATGAACTGTTTAGTGTGCCGATGGAGTACTTGCAGAATATGGTGGAAAGTACATAGAGATGGAAGTACCTTGGAGTCACACCGATCTCACCGTCGTGTACTCCGGATGCACGACCATAGTAGTAGAGTAGTCTATAATCCATACTACATACACTTTATCTATGGAGGACTACACAGATATTTCGTATGGTACATATAATTCGATATGCTGAACTGTATACTACACTGTATTCTACAGTATATTCTACACTCTACTAACATGTGTAGTCCCATTTGTAGTCCTCTACGTAGTGATCCGTGTCCGTAGAGAAAGTGTTTAGAGACTACGGGATCGAGGCGCGGGCCAGACTCTGGTCTACCAAACACCACCAGGCCGAAGCCGCTGTGGACACGCATACACACATACACGTACTCTACTACTATACTCTTTACTAACCCTTTACTACTCCACATACATAAACTACACAATATAGTGTTTGGCCTACTCACATACAGTAGTAGATTACCATAATACGGTAAGACGTGGTGGACACGAGGGGAGGTGGGGTTTACTCCTCAGAGGACATCCCCAAAATGCCTCACCTCAATACAGCTTGACATGAGACACAGCCTGCAGCAGTAGGGAGAAGTGTGAAAAAAACGTTGCCCGTTATTAATATACCACTCACATACAATATGTAGACAGGTTCCTACAACTCCCGCAGCTCCCAGATAACGGGCTAAACACAATAGTATATTCCACATATGCAGCATCTAACCCACCACAGCCACAGCCACCGCTGATATCTTCCCCTCTCGCCCATCCCCCTCACAAACGGCCCAGATCAGCAACCACACACAAACTGTAAAAAGCACGCACCTGCATCTGATCTGCCTCTGTATCCGTCAATCATTTTTGCAGCTGGCCACGCACTCCTCCCACATACATACGTACATGCAGTGGTGGTCATGCAAGGAGCTGCCGTGCTATCATTTGCCCGTTCGTCGTCACCAGGAACCACGAGCCGAGGAGGAGTTGCACACCGCGAACCATCTAGGACTCACCTCACACAACGGTAGAAGATAGATAGATACAGCATCTCCAACATCTAAACTCTAGATAGAGTATATACATGCTAAGTACGCGATTCGGATAGACCGCCCCCTTCCCCAGAAGTACCGTTCGCGCACTCCGCGTCGTATATCTGGCGGGGTGTGGTGTGTGGTGTGTGGCAGGGTTGTGGCGTCATTGACGGGTAAAGTAGTGTGGTGCGGTAGCTAAAAGTGGCGCATGCTGTGGTACTGTATATAGAAATGATTTTTTACTTGGCAGAACCAAGGTTTATTTTGCCACTACCAGTCGCTTCGGGTGTGTTCCTGGTTTAGAGCGGATTTGGAAAGGTTTGGCTGAGGATGATGATGATGATGATGATGGGGAGGGAGGGTGTGACGATTTTCATGTGGGGGATCTGAGAGCTAGGTTTCTTTGAAACTGATGGCCCTGCCAATAGCCGGGGGTTCCATGTTCGGCATTGATGAGTATTAAAGAAGCATAAGTAAATGGTAGATGATTATATAAATATTATTTCCTATCTAGGAAACACAAGTAAACAAAATAGAAATGTCTTCAACACTTTAGTCAGTCTTCACATCTCTCTGCAAAAACAGGTCTGAAAAAGCGTGACCCCCTCATCAACAGCAACACACGCCGCCTTTCAACAGGACAGCAGGTTACCTCGAGCGGGTTGTTTCATTCTTGCGCCAAGCCGTGATCTCCTAGCTATAGTGGATGAAGCTGGAGACGTTTTGTGTATTCTGTTCGGAAGCGCTTTTTGTATGTCCATCTCATTGCCCACATCTCACACGAAAAGCCAAAAATGACCCTGACTCTCTCTCTCTCGCATTCCTGTCAAGACAGGGTCAACCACCACCCGGTTAGAATAATCGTACATTATATATAAGTACATATCTATACATATATGTCGCTGAAATGCCCACACCGTCTATATCCATCGCTATCAAAGCAGAGGGGAGTGGGAATCATACACGCCAACAAAACTTACAACATCATGCCCCTCACGCACTAGCCTCCTTCACCCCCTCCTCCCCCACCACCTCCGCCGCTTCCTGGGCGATGCCCATATTCTGAATATCCCACGTCTCATCCGCCCACGCCTTCTTCTCCCCCAAAAACACCATCCTCGCCTCCTCCCTCTCCAGATTCTCAACAATATACTTCTGCGCCACCTCCCTCACCTCCTCCTTGGTAACATCCAACAACCTCTCTCTCCGCTGCTGAATCATCTCCTCCGTCACCCCCGACACAAACCCATCCATCCCCTCCGCATTAATCGACACCGGCGCATCCAGGCTCTGGAAAACAGATAACTTCGCCTCCTCCAGATCCTGCGCCGTCCACTCCCTCTCCGTCGCCCATCTGCCGGCATTACGCATAATGGACATGGTGTTGAGAGGGTTAGGATCACGGTAGGAGTAGAACCCGAAAATCCCATCCAGGCCGCGCGAGTAAGCGCCGCCGCCGTACGCACCGCCTTTTTCGCGGATCTCGTGGTGCAGATGCTTGTGTGTCAGCAGCTGGGCGAGGATCTGGAGGGGGGCGCCGGAGGGGGAGGTGTAGGAGACTGTTGGGAGGGCGAGGGCGCCGTAGTAGACTTGGTAAGGTAAGGGGTAAAAGGTCTTTGTGTTACGTGCGAACACAGGTGCGGGTTTGTCGGTAGTGGGAGCGGTGTTGTTTTGTGGGAGGGAGGAGAGGAAAGATTGCAGCGCTGCCTCGTTGGAACCGACGCTCTCGGAACCGCAGATTAGCGAGGTGCGGAAGGTGCTGGTGCCGGAGAGAGCGAGTTGCTGGATAGCCTTCAGCTTTGCGATGACGTCTGCCAGACCCTGGGACTCTGGACGCGACGCGAGAGAGGTGATGAGCTGTACTTGGGAAAGGCCGCTGACTTGTTGGCGGAGGCGGGCTGCAGGGGAGAGGCCTGCTTCAGCGACGCCGCGGGCGTAGGCGTGGCCGGAAGAAGCGATGTTGTTTACGACGCCGTCGGCAGATCCCTGGAGGAGTTGGCGGATGCGCAACTCGGCTTCGGGGCTGTCGAAGTTGGTCTCGAGGATGAGCATGCGCAGGATGCGGTACATGTCCGGGACGTTACGGTCGAGGGCTGTTCCGGAGAAGATCATGCCTTCGGAGGCGGAGTGGAAGTCGAGGGGGGAGGAGGAGGTGTGGTAGCCGGTTGAGACGCCGCCGGTTTTGAGCTTGATGAGATCTTCGATTTGCTCCATTGACATGTCCTTTGTGCCTAGGCGCATGATGGCGTCGGTGAAGAGGGGGATCAATTGCCTCAACTCTTCGGGGAGGTTCTCGAAGGTGTTGATGGCCTTGAAGTATGTGAGTCCATTCGTTGGTGCTTCTCTCAGCTGCAACTTCACGCCTTGGAGATTTCTCTCTGAGAAGCTGACGAATTCCTTCTGGCGAGGGATATCTGCAACGTGGACACTCGGCAGGCAGCTCAAATCCTGGGTGTTCGATTTTCCTTGCTCCTCCAGCAACTCCAATTCCTGCTTCTCGAGAAGCTCGCGAGCTTTGGCTTCGCTGCCAGCTGCTTTGGACGCCTCTGCGATTTTGCGCGAGAGACGCTCAGCCTCCTCGGTTACGAGTTCCTCGCCGTATGTAGCGGATGGCGTCATTGTAAATGTCAACGTTTTGTCGTTGAGCAGGTACTTGTCTAATAGCCCTTCTAGGTATTGGCCCTTAGCCAGTTCGGCTTGGAACGCAGCGACGGTATCATTCCACGCAAGAGACTCAAAGGGGTCTACACCCTCGAACCACTTGGGCTTGATCCTTTGCATGAGACCCATTCCGAAACTCGCAGTCTTGTGCTTTAGTGTGAGTTCTAGTTGATGAAGATACCCATCGATCTTGCTCTGCTCAAAACCAGTCTTTCGTACATCCTGGAAGGTCTTGTGGATGGCCTCCTTCACCTTCGGTACATCTGCCTCTTTGACACCAGTTAAGCCAATCGAGAAAATCCCAATGCGCCCTGAGTTGTCAAAGCCAGCATTTGGACTCCATTCTGTGCCAAGCCCAGCCTCAATGAGGTTCTTATAAAGTGGCGAACCGTAACCGTCCATCAACAGGGCGGACATAATCCCGAGAGAAAACGATTCAACAATGTTTGTCGACTCTCCCATCAACCACGACGTCGAAGTCTTGTATTGCATATCCTTGTCCACCATTGGGTCTATTGGGCCGGGCATAACAACATGCTTTGGTCCATCCGAAAGGTCGATAGGCCTCCTTATTTCCGCGTCGTCCTTGATACGCTCGAAGGCGCTTAGTTGGGCATTGACCTCTTGGAGGTGGTCGGCCAAAGGCATATCACCGTATGTGAAGAGCTTCGCATTGCTAGGGTGGTAATGCTGGGCGTGGAAATCCTTCAGTTGCTCATATGTCAAATCCGTGATCTTCTGTGGGTCTCCGCCGGAGTTGTTGATGGCGGGGAATATGTGGTCTTGGAATCGGATGTAGTAGAGGTATCCAGCATCTGACATCTGGCCCTTCATCTCATTGTACACAACACCCTTGAATACAAGGTTACTTCCTTCTGCCGTGCCCTCCGCGCCCTCTGACTTCTCCTTAACGGCCAGCGGGTTCTCCGGACCAATGCGCCATCCCTCTTGTGTGAAGTCGCTCTTCTTTAATAACGGATGTAGTGTCGCGTCCAGATAGACCGACATAAGGTTCTTAAAGTCCTGCTCATTTGTTGTTGAGAAGGGATAAAAGGTGTGATCCGATGCTGTAAAGGCGTTCATGAAATTCGATAGTGTCCGGGGGAGCATCTTGAAGAAAGGGTCACGGATTGGGTATTTCTCACTCCCACAGAGCGTCGTATGCTCCAGAATGTGAGGTACGCCCGTATCATCCGGAGGGTTCGTTTTGAATCCGATAGAGAAGACATTGTTTTTGTCGTCGCGCGCAACGTGGAGATAGTCTGCTCCGGTCTTGTCGTGTTGCAGGTGCAAGGCTGTCAACTCTAGCTCGGGAATATGTTTGGCGCGGAGGAGCGTAAAGCCATGAATCTGCTCTCCGGGCTTAGGAAGCTGAGCCAGCTCAGTAACCGCCTTCCGGACGACGTTGGATGCATTTCGAAGCATGTTTGCGGCTCTTCGAACGAAAAAGCTGCAATGTCGATATGTACGTGCAGTATGGGGAAGTTGAGGCTCTTCCGGACATTTTTATCTGGGTAACGGATATTGCCATACGCGCTTGTGACTGGTCACCTCAAACGCCGCTAAAAGTTGTTCATGTCGAGGCCTGCCACGCATTCTAAAAGGGATATCCCAATATCAAAACAAAATAATCCGTTACATCTAATATAACTGCGCAGATTCAAATTATCTGTACCCAATATTTGTAGATTAAGTAGATGTGCCATATTGATGCCAGACTGTAACAAGTAAACAGTCACGAGACTTGTTTGGCCTGTTGAAAGCACCGGCCTAACCGAGACAGAAAGACTGTGTACTCGAGTACTCGTAGACTGTCTCGTACCTATCTACCAATTTCCAAACTCCAGGCGTGTCTGGAGTCGTCTAGTGCAAACAGTGCAGCCTGCTCGATATAATCCTACTCGGCGACATCAATACTGGCTATTACGAGCATTGCAGATTGCAAGAAAAAACATCTCATGCTACTGTGCTGCATCGAGTCCCTCGAACCGGGATGTCGACTACCACCTCGATCCCAACGTCCGCCCCTCTTCCTCGAACTTCGTCCTTAAGCGCAGGTGGTCATCTGCACGGCGATGCATCAGCTGTGAACGGTCATCACAGCCATGTGCATGATCATTCGACAGCCCCCAATCCAGCAGGCCTATCGAATGCGTCGAAGAAGGGAAAAATGAAGAAGACCACGGATCCAAACGAGGCCTCGAAGCTTATTGCTGCCAAGATATCGCAACTCGAACTAGATGCTGCAGGAGAGAAGGATCAAGAGGCAGAAATAGGTGCGTCAAGTTATCTACACTGTTATGCTGCTGGAAGGCCCACAATGCACGATTTGCCTCCCGCGCTTCACCGTCGCCGACACTGTCGGATTGTTTGGGGACGCAGTCGCATGATATGAGGCAAACAACACGCATTGTTGTCCTGAGAGCGCTACTAGTTGGATTTCTTCTATATATTGAGTTCCCTTGCTAACACGCTCCATTACAGAACGGGAGGTTAAGAAGGCTAGTCGAGAACTGAACAACCAGACGTCAAAACTCGATGACATCCAGAAAATCGAGGCTCTTCAGAAACGATGCGCCGACTTATTCGCGGAGATGAAGCGCCTAGAGCGGGACAACTTGAAGAACAAGAAGCGAGGAGACCAGCTGCAAAAGGAGAAAGACCACAGCAGGACCGAACTGAGCAAGAATGTCTCTCTGAGAGAAAAGCTGGAGAAACTTTGCAGGGAGCTCCAGAGAGAGAACAATCGCCTAAAGGTGCGCAATCCGTTGGAATGGTCGCGGCGTATATGTCATACGTGTGAGACTACGATGTTCGAAGCTGACATTCCCTACAGGGCGAGAACAAGACATTACAAGATGCAGAAAAGCGCAATCATGAGGACTGGGACAACAAGTATGAGGATATGCTTTGGCAATTACAGGACTACCAAGAGGACAAAGACCATCCTCAAGCCCAGGTTGTGAACGTGGAAGTTGACGAGCTGTATGTTGAATCTAGAAGGTTAGGGGATATAAGCTCATACGTGCCACAGATTTCGACAACGCTTCAAGTCTCTCATCGACCAGTACGAACTTCGAGAGCTCCATTTTCACTCACTCATGCGGACGAAGGAACTCGAGGTGCAGTACAATATGGCACGGTACGAGCGAGAACGGAAAGCCGCTGAGCAAGAGATGGCTAGGTCTAGGACGTTAAATACGCAGGTATTGACTTTCTCGAAGACCGAGTCTGAGCTAAGGAGCCAACTCAACATCTATGTCGACAAGTTCAAGCAGGTGCGTTACTCATGGTGCCCATTTCCTAGTTGAGTCGGTCATACTAACCATTAACAGGTCGAGGATACATTGAACAATAGCAATGATCTGTTCATGACTTTCCGTATGGAAATGGAGGAGATGTCTAAGAAAACGAAACGCCTCGAGAAGGAAAACATGACTCTGACTCGCAAGCATGACCTAACTAATCGCAATATTATTGAGATGGCGGAAGAGCGAACCAAGACGACTCGCGAACTGCAGACTCTCCGTAAAAAGAACGAGAAGTTAACCGACATCATCAACCAGATGCAGAAACAAGGTAGGGGTTTGGCACAAGGCATGGCTGGCATGATGGAGGGGGCTGTAGAAGGAAGCTATGCCGAGGGCGAAGGCGATCCAGAAGGAACGGAAAGCGAGTATGAGTACGAAGACGAAGACGAGGAGGAAGGTAGTGAGGAGGGGGAATACGATGAGGACACGGAGGAAGAGCTGCACCCAGAGGCACCTCAACCTTTTGGCCCGGTTCCCCCTCCGCCGCCTCCGCCGCAGGCGACAACCAATGGCTCTATGGCCAATGGTGTCAAGCATTGATGCGTGTATTATTTAGTACTATTACCTAGGTTCTGCTGTCGACACCGTGTGAAGGCAAATTATATATGTTGGCAGCCATTTGTCTCTTCATGAAGTGCTGATGCGATGCTGGGCCAGAATCTCCCGAGACAGTATTTACTGCACAACAAGATAGTCAGTTCCCATGATAAGAAGATGTAACCACAACGCCAATGAGGCACGCTATTGCGCATACTCTCCGTGCCTCCTGCCGTACAAAGCCTCACTTGCGTCATTGAGGGTTCACACATAAAAGCTCCAGGGGTCTCGCAAAAGTGGGGGCTGCCTTAGCCTGGGTTTGTATGCGGCACTGTGGGCTGACGTCACGTGCACGAGGCTAATCTAATCACGGACGACAGCTCTTAGCCCATCATCCCGCAAAGCGGTTACGCAACAAGCACAGAATGCCGATGATAACAGCAATTGATTCAAGAATACCGCTATACTGTAGTTGCTATTCGATAGTGGCAGCGATTACTTTTACTCCACTCATGGAATGATCGCCTGTCCCCTCGGCACCTACAATGGCTACCCTCCTCGAAGATCCCCGGATCCGCCAGACGTGGAACAACATCTCGCATAATGCTGAGACCGCGACGGAGACTGCGGCGGCTGGAATATGGTCATTTGTGCACGATTACATCAATCCATGCTTTGCGTCGATGGGAGAGAGCGTCGAACAATGCATGACACAATGCTTCCCCGATCGCGAAGAGAGGGCGAGGCGACTGCGCGAGCGCGACAGAGCTAGAGGCAGGGCAGAGTATAGCTTCGACTTCTACGATGATTGGGATGATGAAGAAGCTGGGGCCAGTGGTGGACTTCTAGGATGGGGGAATGATGAGCTTGACAGGTTGCTGGCTGGAAGCGGGTCGAATAGCCATGGGCCAGACGATCAGCCGTCAGGAAGGAAGAGGAAAATGAGTTATGGGACCAGGCGCACTCCAAAGCGGAGAGGAACCATTGATGGCTTACCAGATCCGACAATTATCCCGAGCACCAGTGCCCTTGGATTCTTACAACGTCTCCCATTCAAGTTTGGTGGGACGTTGAGATACAAGCCAAGCGCAGCCGACTTGCAGGATCACCCTGGCGCGCACAGGGCAGAGCTTGGAGACGATGCTGAGGAAGAACCTCTTATAGACGATGACCATAGTGACTACAGTGATGCTGGAGATCTAAACATCAAAAAGACGCGGCCAAGAAGTTCTACTACCGCATCGGGAGACACTTCAGACTCGTTTAGGTCAAGGGGTGATCTCTTCCCTAGTGATGGAGAAGACGATGCCGTTCCACTGAGTGATGAATTTGCGACCACTCTTGGACGGCGTGGTACCGTCACCACCTTAGAGGATCACAGCAGCGGTAAAACAAGAAACAGTAGTAAAGGAAAGAGCCGTGAGCGATCGGCGGCAATGTCGAGGGCACTCTCGGTAACATCGCATTCCTCAAACCAGTCACTCACTGCTCTGGGATTTAAATCGGACAAATCGGCGGCGCAACTCTCGGATAGGCCAAATGAAGAGGACGGAAACGTACCGCATCTATCTGAGTTGCAACAGGAGGAGGAACGGCTCCGACAACAAGAAGAAGCTGAGCTACAGTCAAAACGCGAGGCTGCTCTCAAGTTGGCTTCAGAGCGAGGGCTGGGCAGTGGCGAGCTTCGTTCAGGGTTGCAGACGCCCACGCGCCAGAGTTTGCATTCTCGCAATTCCGAAGACTATCTATCACCCAAAACAGCAAACGTTGAAGAGGTCGATACAAAGCCCAGCTCAGAATCTGCCATCGCCAATGGACTCACGAATGGCTCCTCAAACGAAGCCACATCTGACTCTGAGGAATCAGCAGAACCGGATTTTGTGCCAGCGAGATTACCTCGGTTTTAAGGAATCATTATTTGCTTTTGGGCTTGGAGTATGACTTGGAAGGGACCTACATGGTGTATTAGGGAACAAGGAAAGGTGTCAGGCGTTATACGTGCATGCGAAGTGCTCGCCATGCTGGGTAATTGGGATAAATATAGGTGTATATACATTGTTACTAGAGGATATCAAATCTAGACCTTACTGTACTCATACCTGGTTGACATGCTAACAGTAGCAAGAACCGATTCGCCTCATATGTGACACTCTTCACAACCTGCTCTGCTTACCACCGTTGAGATATGTCCCGCCTAGCTTCAACATGTCGGCGGCCTCAGAGACCATCTCCCTTACAATAACTCCGGCCGGCTTAATATCATTAATCGCCCCAGAAACCGAGCCCATCAAGAAGGGAATATCGATATCCACTCCATCATCGAAGTCCTTCTGGATAGGGACAACACCGCTCTCCGTCAGCTCCTTGATCTTCTCGGGCTGTGCCTCCCACTTCGCAATATAATCGTTCATCTTGACTCTCAACGGGCGTCCACTGACCACCAAAGTCCTCAGGGTATCATCAAAGCCAGCCGACACAACAGCCTCCTTGTGTTGCTCACTGCATCCAGCCTCAGTCGCCGCAACAAAGCGGGTTCCCACCCAAACACCAGCAGCTCCCTGCATCAAACTCGCCGCCAAACTACGTCCATTGTAGATACCACCTGCAGCAACGACCATCGCGGTCTGCCCCTTAAGAAGCTTCGGCCTGTACTGGCGCGCAACATCCACAACAGCTGGGATCAACACCGAGTTGGGGATGTTACCCGTGTGTCCGCCTCCCTCGCCTCCCTGCGCGCATACAATATCGACGCCAGCATCGAGAGCGTACTTTGCGTGCTTCGGCGCGCCAACCATGTTCATGATAACGATGCCAGCATCGTGGAGGCGCTTAATCACATGTGGCGGCGGGATTCCGACGGCGCTGATGAACAACTTTGCGCCCTCCTCGATGGTGACGGTGATCAGCTCGTCCAGTTGGCCGTGGGTGTAATCGTGGTTGGTTTTGCGCGCGCCGTCGCCGACCTTAGGGAGAGCGAGATCAACACCGAAAGGGAGATCTTTAGAAGTGAGGTTCTCCTTGAGCTCGTGGATGATCTCGCGGAGCTGGTCGGGGGTGTAACCTAGACCGCCGATGCAGCCAATGCCGCCGGCGTTGGAGACGGCAGCTGCCAGGGGCCCACCTGATGTGCGTGCCATGCCAGCGAGCAGTATGGGGTGCTGGATGCCCAGGAGGGTGGTGAGAGGGGTGGTGATTGGAGCCATGGTCAGGAGGTGCTTCGTGAAGGCGTGATAGATGAAATGGCTTGCTAGATGAAGGGTATTATTCTCAAAAACTCATGATTTACAAAGGTATCCTCTATATAAGCGCAAGCGCTTGATGTGAATATCCGGGGGTGGCTTCATGAAGCTCGGTTGCGGATACAGAAAGTGTGGGGTATGTGGAGAAGTGTGCCGAGGCATGATATTTCCCCAAAAATGGGTCACCGCATCTTCCCAACAAAGTCAGTAAACTTTAGAAGGTTAAAACTAACACGTGATAACACCGAAATCAAGTGGCCATAAGGCAATCATCTTATCTTGCACCGAAGTCTACCGTAAGAAATAGCTGCAGCTGATTGACACTTTTAATTTAGAGTTAACCGGACCTATTCCTCCATGTCGGATATTCTGTTTGCCATGCTGACGACGATCTGAAATGTATCACAGAGTCCGGAGATGCACGACTCGTCCCTCTTCGGTTCATGCGACATGTTGATATCATGCCAGAAGAAGAGACGTGGCAGCGGAAGAAAGGCTATGAAGGCTGACCTGTGGGACTTCAACGGTTGTATTGATCACGTGATCTCATATTGATGAGATGGAACCGGTGAGCTGTAAACGAACTTCATTCTCTCAACCACCCTATTCGACAATCATTTTGCGGACAACAGCCAACTACTTTAAGGCGTCTTCTCCTCGTATGGCAGACTGGTTTGCATCAAAAATCGGTGGCCAAGACAGCGAATCCATTCTCAACAAGGTGGGCAGCAAGGCATGAGCTAAGCCATGCCCAAGGAGGCCTGGATTCATGCCCAATGCTCGCACAACGCCCGGCTTTGCTGCCACCAAGGGCATCAACTGGGTCGGCAGAGGTGACAACATGTAGGTCGCTTCTCAATGTAACTTAAACTACTCTCGAGTTTCCACGTCTCTTGGGCGATGTTTCTCTAAACACCCCTGCTCTCTCCAATCGTCATGGCAAAATTTCTCACTGCACAACCACGTCTGCCCAACGCAGCCTAAGGGGCCCTAGTGGCCTGGCGCGTCGAATCGATTCGGGCCTCAAAGTCAGTCGACTCTGGCGTAGCAAATGGGCTAATTGCACGGTATGAGACGAGCCTAGCGAAGGTCATTGCGGGCTGCCGTGGACACCCTGACGTTGAATGCCATGTTTAATACGCTGGTTCGTAGTGGCCCGCAGCTCCCGGTCGATTCCACGAGAGGTTGCCCTGTTTCCAAATCATTTGCGCGCCCGGCTTCAGTGAGGCCAGTGAAGGATCGCTGTTTGCGAAACCCCAAGCAGGATTTACAGGGCTATAGTTCCAGCAATGGTGTTAGGCCAGTGGTGGCCTAATTTCTCTCGCAATTACCATGCGGCGTCATGGTAGGAGCGCTGACCGCCCCATCATAATTGCGAGAATGGGTATTTATGTTTCTCGGTCTCCCCTCCGATCAAATACCTCACCAAAAGTCAAAGCACGTTGTCCCAAGCTGTTCTGTTGCAGTCAAGACTACATTTCCAAGCCTGGTCCTTTGCTTATACTCACCGACCCACCTGGATGTCGAGTTGCTGGTATCAACTTTCCTTATTACGAGCCCAAGATCCGGATATTTCACTTCACTGGTATACCTATCTGCAAACCGCAGCGCTGGTGGTACCTCTGCCAATTTCTCTGTCTGACTCCTTATTCGGTTGGATCTCTCATTCGCCCTGATGTTTTCTTCTTCCGTGAGAAATGTCCAGCCGGACTATATGGATTACAGTCGTCCGATAGCGACTGGTCCTAACGATCTTCCCCGAAGGTACGAGACTTCATAGACAGTATTAAGATCGCTAGCTGACAAGGGTCAAGTGATGGCCATGGAAGTGGGCGAGCACCAGCTCCAGCAACTTCATACTATCCCTCCTCAAGGTATTTGTTTTGAACCCCAAGACAAAGAGTCTTACTGAACCTTATCCCCAAGCATCACATACGTTTCCAACTCGGTGACATCCGCTTACAGTCCAACCTCTGTCATGGCACCTAGCGATCCCATGGACCGATCAGAACCTATCTACTCACCCAACGGATACCAGAAGGAGCCTATATCTGCCCCTTATGGAAATGGAGCCGCTCCCAACTACGGGTCTTACAGCAACCGTACATCTCCACCGCGGGAAGCAGGTGGGCGTATAACACCAGAGTACATCATCACTAACTACCACGGCTCACCTGCTGCAACCGACCCGGCACTTGAAGCTTCAGGGCGGCCTCTGAGTGGGCCTCCCAACGCGGACCGAGTTCATCCACAAAGGCGTCCGTCCAACCGGGACGAGTTTGATGGGCCTCACCAGCTTCTACCCCGCCCTTCATCAGGATATCTTGAGCAAGACAGAGATCTACCCCACCTTCCTACCAACCTGGTAGTCCAGGAACAGGACATTATTCTTACCCGGGTTAATGAGCGCCTGTCGCGATGTGCGTTTGATTTTGTTGCCAAATACGAGTTTCCCATCCCCATAGACTCCAAGATGCGACCCGTGGAGCGCCCAGAGGACCGTGAGTGGACTGAATGGGTATACCTCTTGAAGCGTCTTGCTACCAAGCGTCGCATTCCGGCTCGCGTTTTATATAACGGCCAGATCAAGCAGTTTGTCACTATCCTGGAGAACTCCCTGGAGATGAGGCATGCCGCCAGGAACCAGTCCAGACCATTAAAGGATGACCGGAACATCTTACAATTAATATCAGCCGGAATCCAGGTGGCTAAATTACTGCGGGATGCGGACTCGATGTGTTATTTGGACCAGTTATACGTTGCCACGGAGAAACAAATCCAGGAGAGGAGCCATAGCAGCCGCTATCGTTGATTATTTTGGAACCCTTCGAATTTTAAATCCCTCAGGACCATGTTTAAATTTGGCATCCAGCCTAGGATTCAGTGGACACTTACTGGAAGGGTCACCCGCCACAGTGACCACAGTGCTCTCATTCCCGATGAGCAGGACCATGCAGGAGCCATTTTGCTACGCCGATATCCCCAAGGCTACGGTTCCATCCAGTGGAGGTGTTATTGGAGTAGCAGTTTACGCGTTGAAGGCGCTTGGAGTATTGGATTTTGTGTGTTGGCCGTTCTGTTTAGCAATATGTGCCGGGGTTGATCCACGGATGGAGATTTTGCTGAAAGGAGCAAGTTGCACATGACGAGACTGGAAGGCGAGTTTATCCATTGGCTGCAGTATGTGTGTGTGTCTTTTTGTACACTTTTAGAGATCGCCCATACCCTAATTAAATCTCGATAAACAAACTGACTGAGGCTTTGTGACCGAAAGTTCATACTGCTGATCTCAAAGGGGCTGAGGATCCTGCATCGCCATCGACGTTGTTCGCCTCATCTGCACGTTTGATGCATTGCAAACACATCGCGAAATGATAAGAGCTATGCGGATGCATAATACCGCATCCGGATCCACCGGTGGGGAATGCAGGGCGGTTTGGATGCAGGTGCATTGATAGGTTTCTGTGCCTCGGTCTAGACTTCATACGTTTATGGCTATAAAGCTCCCACGAATCCAACTCGTGGACAGCTTACTACAGCCTCGCCAATCCTTTTTTTTTTTGGCCGACTTCGAATGACCTGAGTCGCATTTTGAAGATGCCTCTCGCCAGCATATATTGGAGCACGCGTACATAACGAATGAGGGAAAGGGTTGCAGGCAGTGCAGTTTCTAGACGACAAATGTACGTGATGATCATGCAGAGTAATTTATAATACAGAATATATATGCTATTGGATAGTTTGTTTGTCCTGATTAGTCCTCCTGGCGCACTGGTCTACGCCAACAGGGTGGATGGGACGGGCTGTCTAGGCCCTTTGTTCTTTATTCCACGAACGATATTTAAATAAGTGACGCTCATGTCCATGAAAAGGATAAGAGGTAGGCAATATGTGGTTTGTGTTCATACAAAAAGAAAATAGTTGGCTGGTCTTGGCCGAGGCGCGCGCATGTCCTTGGCTTTGCCATGGAGAGGCAAAGACGACATTTGGCCTTATACTTACCAGTATCCCAAGAGCGGTGTCATGAGAGGCGGTTTGCATCATGATCCATTCCTTTAGATATGGCGAGGAAGTCGGGCTTCCCTTGTTGATTGTGACATTGTCAGTAGAGAATGGAGAATTCACAGACGGAGGAGAATTTCTTATATGAGCATTAAGCGAAAAACTGTTAGCGCGGATGATCATGGAAACTGGAGCGATAACACGTGACTGCGATTTTCATACAAATTCAAAATTCTCTCGCTGATCTGGTTCTCTTCTTCTTCATGGTAAGCACGACTAAATCAACCGTCGTCCAGATATTTCCAACTGGCCGATCGGTCAAATTTACGTGCTAGATGATTTTGGAGACGACGAATAATTGGCAATGACTTGTGACCAAACAACCATTGCTGTCGACGACTCCAAACATTTTCATATTTTCTTAACCTTTTTGGAGACCTGGTCTAGAACCTTTTGAGATCGGCGGATAAGCCGCTTCTCCAAGTTGGAGGGCTTCACTTATTGATATAATTAAAATATATTTACAGCTATCCATACCATAGCAATGCTACAATGATATTATTTCTCTATCACAAAATATAGCTGGCGAAGGGTGCAGGTCCAACTAAACTTGCTTCGGTAACACCCGCAAACGGTTCCTCCTGAACCGTTAACCAAACGATAAGGAGCCTCAAAAGGAGTACGTACCATACCTTGGATACGTTGCCGTTTTTGTAAATACGAGCTTCCCCGACAACATTTGCATGTGAATAGGGCGGCAGTTTTATATTTCTTCATTTATTGACCTTTCACTCGCTTTACCTATGATAATTTGCGACCGCCAGAGTACCAACCCACACCACGAAGCCATGTTGTGAAGCCCGATGTTCCAGAGATAAGCCGATAGATGACGTCCACCCCGTCTCCAACGCAAGAAGTGGCACATTGGCCTCCAGGCAATGTCTGAACGATGGAATCGAGAATCGCTTTCCATTGCCAATTCCGCGCCACAAGATAAAGAAGTCCTAAGGGCACTATCGCGATCACCACATCCCTATCATCGACATAATCCCGAACTCCGGCGCGCCAGGCACAATCTGAGCACCACTTCCTCACGAGACCAATCCCCCCGCCCTACATCCAGCCCCGAAAGCTTTGTCGTCGATGGACCGATACTTCATTCCGAGGATCTATACAGACACAGCACCGATAGCGATAGCGGGACAGAAGCAGACGATGAGCACTTCCTCCTCGGGTTGCCGGCACCCCGCTCGCGGCCGCGGAAAGGCTTACGAGGCCTCGAGAGATCGAGCTCAACATCACCAAGTCCTGCGTTATCTGTGGTTGACCTCCAACAAGCCTCGCGGCAACAAGAATACATATCCGATGCCCTGAAGACACTTAAAAATGAGGAGGAACGGCGCTCTCGGGAAGCATGGGAGAAGTTCAGGGCAACAAGGAAGACGGAGGTTCTACGACGGGTTTTGGAGGTTGTTCTTTTGCTTGGCCTGGGACAAATAGTATATTCCGGAAATGGGAGAGTTACAGCTTCTCTATGGAAGAACGGTATGTTTGTGACGGTCTATAATTTGGCAAATACTAATTCCCTTCCAGAGTTTACGTACCAGGCCGCCATCATGGGGTCATTAATGGTGCTCTACCCTATTCGACTATCCTATTATTTGGCTTCTCAAAATTCCTTCAAGAAGTGGCCCTCACTTCGTATCCCGGCGACTTTCGACCCAGCGCCGCTTCTCTACCCCTCCCTTCTCACGAATTTTGTCACCACTCTCCTATCCTGTTCGAACCAGGGGATAGTTCTCCCTAATATAATCCTCGGCATTTCGTCACTTATGCCCGAGTTGCTACCTTCTTTTGCTAAAGGCGAAGATGTTGGTACATTACGTTGGCTTTTGTCTTGTATACCCCTATTTGCTTGGCAGTCGCAGCCGGATCTTCTTCGAGATAAAAGCTTGCTTCCCGAGAATAATATCAGCCCAGAGATCCTGGTTTTGATATGCCCCTTACATCAAGTAACCTGCTCGGTGCTGAGATATTTAACGACAACCAGCCTGTTGGAAACCGAGCTGCAACTTCTTTCTATTTCACTTATTAATATTCTGCTGTTGTCAGCTTCGCCACAAATAGTGATCTTGCAAGCTCTCATGTGGGGAGGGGGGCTGTCATTGCTCATATCTTGTGGCTTCGCCCTTAGATGGGTGATTGCGCTGGAAAGGATTCCAAGATGGAGGTTTAAGCGGAGTGGAAACGCCCTGGGACGCCCGATAAAATCAACATCAAAGTCGATTTTAAAGGAGCCTCTAGGAAAACTGAGCGAAATTCTACACTTCGATCGGCCTCTTACGCTGGACAGCGAGGACGATGTTTCATCGGCGGTGCAGAGAGTCAGGCCAATGCGATTGAAGACAAACCTGACAAAATCCAATACGGTTCAATTTGAGAAAGGCTCAATATCTGCAGTGTCTGAGGAACCAGAAGAGGAGTTCGCCTCCCGTATCGACGGAGCTCTAGCCGATGTGACGAATCGGGAAAGGAATCGAAGAAACACGTTCCCATCGATTCGCTCACCTAAACGCTACAGTGGCCTCACTGCATCGGGTCGAAAGAGGCGATCGGCTTCCTCTAGTCTTCAGGGCTTCTACAATCTTACCGTAGCACAGGCAACAATCCGCAAGGGGCTATATGCAGCCTATGTCTACTTCTGTGTTCTCCTCATCATCTTCGCAGGAGTCCGCACATACGTCGGGAATGTCGCCTTATCTGGCGCTGAACCCATCGGCTGGGCCCTAGCATACATGTTTGGAAACTACCCCTGGCTCCGAATGCAAGTTCTCACCCTAAACCTCGACCACTGGATCCCAGTCCCCGAACACCTCCCAGCCGTCCCGGTAACATACTTCCACGGCCCCTGGATCTCCCAACTCCGCTCCAACATCGGCCTCGCCAACACCCGCCTCCTCATCTCGACCTACTGGCTCGCCATCATAATCCTCGGCCTCACAATCGTCATCAACCTCTCCTCCACCGTCGAAGTTGACACCCGCCGAAAGGTCTTCCACTTCATGATGGTCGCTATGCTCCTGCCGGCCACCTACATCGACCCCACCTTCGCCGCCCTCGCACTATCCCTCATCCTCGCTGTCTTCCTCCTCCTCGACCTCTTCCGCGCTACACAATTACCTCCTCTTAGCAAACCTATCGCTTACTTCCTTACGCCCTATGTGGACGGTAGGGATCTGCGCGGGCCAGTGGTGATTAGCCACATCTTCCTCCTAATCGGCTGCGCAGTACCGCTCTGGCTCAGCCTCGGCGCCGTCACCAGAGCCGACGATGGATGGGAAATCCCAACTCGGGACGTGAGCATGGTATCCGGCGTCATCTGCGTCGGTATGGGCGACGCAGCCGCGTCGCTTATCGGGCGGCGGTACGGGCGGCGCAAGTGGCTGTGGCCTGGTGGCAAGAGTTTAGAAGGCAGTTTCGCATTTGCGGTCGCGGTGACAGTGGCGTTGATGGCGGCGAAGGTGTGGTTGAGGGTTGGTGGGTGGGAGGATGGAGGCGCGGTCGGGGACGGGTGGGGGAGGACGTTGGGGAAGGCGGTGGTGGCTGCGGGGATGGCGAGTACGACTGAGGCGGTGTTGACGGGGGGGAATGATAATGTGGTTGTGCCGGTGGTGTTTTGGTTGTGTGTTAAGGGGTTGAGTATTTAGGGTTTGGTGCTGGATGCACTGGGGGTATATGGAGGGGGGTTGTAGATCAATGGTACTCTAGAAGAGGGTTGGATATAGGGGCGGTGGATTGTTGGCGTCTTAAGGATATAGGAGCTCTTTCACAAGGCTACGAATATATGGGTATGGGCAGTAGATATTATATTGATACCACATAATATGACTACACTTTACAACATACATTTTATCTTCCCCTACAAATCGATGTCTGTGGATATCATATAGCAGCTACAATCACCACCGGATAAACATTCTTCCCGCCCCAAAGCTCGCCCCGCCATACCCATAACATAGCTTTCACCTCAACTCTCCTCACCTCCCCAACACCAACCCCACCATGGGAGGCGACGACTACTCCTCCGCCATCGGCGGCGGCCTCAAGCTCAAGGGCTCCAAACCCTCCGGCATCAAAAAGAAGAAATCAAAGTCCTCCAAATCCTCCTCCTCCACCGCCGCCGCCTCATCTACCTCCACCACCCTCACCAAACGCCCAACATCCGCCTCCCCTGCCCCCGCCAGCACACCTACAGACACCAAAGAAGCCCCCGCCTCCGCCTCCGCAAAAGACGAAGAAGACGCCCTCTGGCGCCAAGTCGAAGAGCGCGAGCTAGAGCAGGATTACAAGACTCCCACTGAGAAGCGGCATGAGGAGATGAGGAGGAAAAGGTTGGAGGATAGGCTGAAGAGGGAAGGGGGGGGGAGGACGCATAAGCAGAGGGTGGAGGAGTTGAATAAGTATTTGAGTGGGTTGAGTGAGCATCATGATATGTATGTTTTGGTCCTTTCCTTGGGGTTGCTTCTGGAAAGGTTGGCTAACGTGGTGATTTACAGGCCTAGAATCGGACCGGGATAACAGGAGGAGGGCGGTGGTTATGTTGGGGGCTGTTTTGCGCTGGCTGTGCGATGGAGTTTGTGGGTGGTTATGGGGTTGAGGGGCGCTTGGGGAGTTTACATGATATTGGGGGATTAAAAAGATGGATAGTTGGGACGAAGCATATCTCAGCATATCAATGGCAAAGGCTCGCACGACGGACAGTACGAAGCAAAGATTTCATGCTGTAAGCAAATATGATTTGTTTCCTCAAATATAAAGTACAATTGCGATTTCCGCTGCAAGACGATGTTGCGTTTCTCCTATTTCCTTCTAATAAAGCACGCCAACCTAACCCAACCATACCCGCCGCCGTTTTCCCACCACGCTATGCTGTAAAGGAGTGTCGTTACATCGTTTTCATGATGATGTCGTTAATTCTGCGCCGTAATCCCATTGCTTATTGAAAAGGAGTGTCCCATCTGATTCCCATTTTTGTGTATTCCCATTGCACTTTGTGCCCTTCTCCGAAAATCTGTGAAACAATTTTGTTCTTCCATTCTCCATAACTCAATTGACAGTCGCCGCGCTGCCCTTGCTAGGCCTGATAGACCATTATCGAGTGACTATAGTATAGCCATCAAGCCGACGAATAAAATAGACCCATACCCTACAGCACCAAGCACATTGAACTTAGACGCCGCATTCCCCTGCAAAGAGGGCGTGACAGTCGGCTCCGCATTCTCCGTAGGTTGGCTCCAAGGAATAACGGTATACGCTGTGATAGTGCTCGTAGTACCGTCAGGACCAACCGTCGTGTATGTAGTCGTCTCAGTCTTCGAGGTGTGCGTCTTCGCCTCTTGCCCTCCCGTTGGGGGAGGAGTTGTAGGGCCGCTTTTGGTCGGAGTACTGCCGGGAGGGGTGGGGGTTGGCGTGGTTGGTGTTCCGGGTGTGGGAGTGGGAGTTGGAGGGTTTTCAGTTGAACTGTCGGTTGGGTTTGGGGTTTCGGTCGGCCCAGGTGGGGTTGGAGTGTCTGGTGTAGTTGTCTATACGGAATTATAGTTAGAGAAGGGTTAAACATTATGTTAACCAAGGGGGTTTACTGACTGGAGGAGGTTCATCCGTAGTTGGGGGCACAACAACAGAAGTGGTGGTCTTCGGCGGATCGGTTATAGAGGTAGTCGTCGTAGTCGTAGTCCCATTAGAATTCTGCCTCTTGACAAGCTCCACCAAACTCGTCGCAGCAGCAGCCTTATAGCTGTTAAGGAACTGAAACGCTGTGTCGTCCCCGCCCTTCTTGCCTGGGTGATATTTATTTGCAATGTACTTCTCTAGCGCATCGTGAAGCTCCGGGTCGTCGGAAATCGTAGACAGAAGCTTGGTGAACTGTATTTCGTCCGCCGTTGGCGCATGGTACCTCCGGACCTGTCCTACGGCCGCCGAGGTAAATGTGACTGCGAAGACAGTGAAGATGGTGAATAAAATGAGGAAATGGCGGAAGGAAGGCATCCTGGTTGAGGTGATAAACGCGGGCAGCTTCAGCCTCGTCGTCGCCGAGAGCGCAGATCCTTTAGCCTCGACCCGACTATTTCGCAGCCCGGACTTTTCGTCGATATACTGGGATTCGATTCCGGGCACCCGGTTTCCAGCTTCTAGGTCTTTCTTCTCGTCAGTGTGAGCCATGACCCCGTTTTGTACGACTCCGAAGAGGAATTGAACAAATAGTGCTGGACCGCAAGAACGGGTGGAATGCTGAGCCCGATTGAACGTGGAGCCAACCAGCAGGGTGGCTGAAGTTCAGCTCGATGTCCGTGCCAGCCTATGAGCGGCCTGATACAGCAGCGTGGTATAGCTGTCAATGAGAACACGGAATAACTGGCAACGGTGATGGGATGATTGAGGAAACAACGCGTGGGGAGGATAGATAAATGATTTTTTAATTCGGTCGAGAGAACAAAGCAAACAAACAAAATCACGGCAAACTCGCTGGAACAAAGAAAGTGGAGGTCGTGGGGGGAGGCTGAGTGAGGGTTCGTCGTATATTGAAATAGTTGCGGGCCTTCGTCTCACTCACCCTGTTTCTAATTGTAGAGGTACCTCCTCGCTCGTAATATTTTTTTGGTTTCCCAGTATCTGTCTGCAGCACAATGGTGTGCTGCTTCGTATACTGTTAATTCTTCCTAGCCAGTAGATATGAACCTGGTATAAGCAGTCCGCGGGAATAGCAATCAAGGAATCCTTCTTTCTCCGGCAGGAAAAAAAGAACCGTGCAAGGGTGAACGAACGAACGAACGAAGGTGAACAAAACAGAATTGATAACGACTGCGTGTCAACGAAAAGGCAAAGAAGAAATAAATCCCGCCGAGCCTTTCAAAGCCTCATATATATCTGCAGCAGCACAACTTCCCAAACCCATCCTATGTCATGACTCCACAAGCTGAACCGAATCGCCTTTCCTGACAACAACAAATTCCGATTCCCGATCCCACAATTAATTCCCCCGCCATCTCCCAAAGCCAAAAGCTGACTTTCGTCATGGCCCTAAAGAATCCACCAAGCAAGGAGCGACAACTTCCTTTCCTATTACCGATGAAAAAGGGCTGGAAGCTTGGTACACCTACCTATCTCCAGCTCAGCATGCACCTACCTCTCCACTCGCCAACCTGCTTCCCTGCCCATGTCGGCGCTCTAGCCCACGCCACGGATGACCCGCCAGCAGAGTCCCAAAAACAGGGCGCTGCATGGCTGATTTGCCGTGCCTGCCGTGAAGATCCATTGGCCTCGAACTCTGATCTTTTCCAACGCTCGGGCGCTTCATAACACACCGCTTCCTAGGTCGACGACGGCGGACAGCGAGTTGTATCGCGAATATTCCTTATTCCTCAACAGCAGGAGAAATAAACTGACCATTAGAGAGTAACTGACCTGTCAGTGAGCGAGAGAGTGCTAACACTGAATCCAGTCTCACCCCTCCCGCTACCTCCCTCGCTGTCCTGTCTCAGCTGTGTTCCTCGCACCAGCACCTCCCCATTGGTCAACAACCACCAACCCACTATCCACCCCCCATCCAGAACCTGTCCTGATCCTGCCCCGCACCTCACCCCATCCAATCGAGCGCTAGACCGTGCGACCCCACCAGACACAACATAACATACATCATGGCTGTGCTTGCGCCGCATCGGGATGAGGGGGGGTTATTATATATTTAGACATGAAACGGAGATAAGCTGCGTTGGCAGTGTCTGGGACGAACCAAAGGGTTGGACCACGCTGCTGCTTTTGGAGTGGTGACAGGTTGGCGAGGGGAGCGGGCTCGTATCCGGTGTTACCAAGGGGACGGGTGGCCGGTTTGGGAAACGGAGCGGCTCGAGGAGTGGGATGTGGTTTGGGGTTGTTTCTTGGGGTGGTTTCCGAGGAGCGAGGTAGGAGCGAGGGAGGCTCTTGCTGTTTCGGACCTGGCGTACTAACTACACGTGCTTTACTGGTCTGACTTGCAAAGGGGTCACATTTCATACATCATAACATCAGGAACAAGGTTTGCGGGTGATGCATCATTGAATTAGAACCTGTCTAATCCGTCTACCCAACCCTTTTTATACACTCATCGTCTTCTCTCTCCAACTAAAAGGGCACAAATCTCGCCCTGCACCTCTTCCCTTCCTAACCCACCTATCTGCAAAAAAGTCCCTCTCTACAACAACCCACAAAGCCAAATCCATCTCCTCCTCGCAGCACAAGCCGGGCAGAAGCCCTGCGCGTGCCGATGCCGGAACCAGTACTCCGGGCAGTTGCGGCCGGGAGTCCTGGAGGTGCGGGAGAAGGAACACGGGCCGGTGGTCTGCGTGATGTGCCCGCAGCGGCTCCAGCTCGTGCCGACCTCTGTGCACATTGTCAGTAGCTGTGAGGGTGGCTGTGTGTGCTGTGAGTTGGAGGCTTACCTGTTTGCTTGTCGAAGGTGTCGAGGAGAAGCGGAGGAGGAGAAGGAGGTAGGTGAATTGTCGCGTTTTTCTTGAGGATCCGAGGAAGAGAAGAAGGGGGGAGATTTCCCGTCCTTAAATACACGACGCGGGCTTCTGGTCTTTTTCGAGTTTTGAGACTTCTCTGGATATATGTCGTCGTTTGGGTGAACCAGGGGGTGGCGGAATAAAGAACATTGTTTAAGAGGAACATGGCTGTTCAGATCAAGGCAGAGAATTGAGATCAGTATGTATCGGGCTTTGTTCATTATCAGTCCTCCTGGTTTTATTGTCTTATTGTCTCTCGTGCGCGGAACATAATACACCAGTCTTCTCCGTTTTTCTTTGATTTCTGAATTTCCGTATATGCCACCTTCGACATTTGAAATATATGCGCCATCAACAAGAATAAAGTAGCTTCATGCCGAGCCGGGGGAGTTGCTCGACGCCATGAGCCGCCGTTCGGCCTTTGTCCAGCAACTACCTGTCTAAACTTCGCCTCCCTGGTTGGTATTGTCTAAACAGCCCCTTTGTTCTCCTTGTTCCCATTGTTCCATGCCATCCCGAGTAATCCCACGGACGCCTCAGCCCTGACTTTGAAGGGCTGTATGTGGTCGCAATAAAGCGTCGGGATGCAGCACCCCCTTTCAAGCTCCCATGATGAGGAAGGACAAGAATTATCAATCCTGCGCATTCGCCACAGGAGAGATACCATTTTGTAAAATGCCTGAATACTCCACTCAACCGTGCTATGACTCCGCATTCTTAACCTCCTTGATTGAAGCTGGTACACTTCCACCATTCTCGACCGAAGTTTGCGTCAGCGGCCGTAATCCAGGGCTTGCAGGCGCGCCATTAGAGCGCCTGGAGTGCCCCGAGTTCACGGAGACATTCCTGCGTACACCGCCAGGATGCCTGGGGTTGTCGCCGCCTGCGCTCGCATTCGACAGCGACCTGCTGATTCCGCTCTTCTTGGTGATCGAAGTCGGCGTCGCGGGTGGCGGGGTTCCTCCCTTCTGCACGTCTTGCACCGTCTTCTCGTCCGCGGCCGTGCCACGCATGCCGATTAGGAAGTGATCCTGGTTCTCGATCAAGAAAACCAAGACATTTTGGTTCAGATGGTACTCTTCTGGAGCCATGTCGTGCTGGGGGTGAGAGAGCATTCCAGGTTGGAAGATAGCGGCCAAGTTGGCCGAGTCCATACGGTTCTCGTCTGACTTGGATGAGAAAACGGCTAATAGATCAAGGATATATAGCAGTAATTGGCGGTTCAGAGGCGGTAGCTCTGTAATTAGTTGTTGATAGGTCTGTATTATGCCATTCGTGTCTTCGGGCGAGACTACTTCTTGCCCCATGACGCTGCGAAGAGGGGCACGGAAACGATCGTATAGATCCAGAGGAACAATCGGCTCTGGAAGCTGATTTAGATAGCGCCGGAGCACATTTGCTGCGTCATGGACGGTGTATCCATCCCAGTCAAGGCCCTTCCCATAGCGATCAGGTGCGTCGAAAATCGCGCGCAATTCCTTGATACGCTTTTCCGAGCCACTCATACGGAAAATCCCCTCAACATTGGTGGCTATATCACAATCAGCCATGAATTCAAAAGTTGCCGGGGAAAATAAACTGACCTTTCTCCTTCAAGTATACACCGCACTTCGCCACAACTATAGGCACATATCCGTAAATATAGCTGTTCCCCTCCGCATCAACCAACGATATCGCGACGTTCGCGTATGTAATACTTTGTCGCAGAGGTACACCAAAAATGCCAGCCGGTTGTTCTGCTTCATGCGATTAGTTAAATGCCTTATTTATAAGAATACACAAATTGCGCAAGTAGCCGCGCTGTAACTGTACAGGCGCCACGGGGAAATTGCCTCGCTGCCACTTGGGAGAACTTGCGCGCGCGAATGAGGCGCAGGACAAGGTGAGGGATAATGGGAGGTTGTGGCTGAGGCTGAGGCAGCTGGTGTACCTTGAGTCTCATGGTTCTTCTGGCTCTTGAAACCCTTCCACCATGACTTGAGGTCTCTCTTCGTTGGGGGCGAGGCTGCTGGCGGAGCAGGGGCGCTCTGATGTGTGAGTGGGAAGTGTCGGAGCGTCTTGGGCTGAGGCTGGGAGTACGGCTGCTGCCCCGATTGCGCGCTGTGGCTGGAGGACATGGCGGCGTTGCTCAAGCTTTGCAGTGAGCAAGAGCTAAGAGCTGAACTATTACAATCGCTCGCAGGTATGAAGAGGATATCGAATGTTGGTGTGTGGCTGGGTTGGCTCTGTCGCAAATTGGAACTTGGCGCTGCTTAAATCTGACCGCCTGTATGAATCTTACACATGCGGGACTGTGTCGCCTGGTGGGAAGATGGCTTAATTATTGGATTCGGAGCCGCGCGATAACGTATAAGGTCGTTCCCCCAAGATTGCGAGGTGTAGAATGAGTGTTTGCGGGGTGGAGAGTCAGTGTCGCGTTTTCCGTGTGCCCGTTGGCGTGGGGTCGGTATGTATGCGACAAGGCGGGAAAGGTTCAAATCAGAGACTGGTTGGGTCGCCGCTGGGTATAGAGTGAGTAGCTGTAGGTGTAAATGGCATGAGACGCTTCCAAATGTCGAGAACGATCGGAGGTATTGGATAGAAAAGAATGGTCTTCCTATTTGTTATTGCGGCTATTGGGGAGAGGTGGAGGAGTAGACGCTGTGGGATAGTAGAAGTTCCAGCCGCTACAGAACTCTTAACCGGATTGGGCGGCTAGAGAGAGACTGGTGGGTGGTAGACGGGTGGTAGTTGGGTGGTGCTGGTGTTTGGTGTAGCGTACCTTAAAAAACGGGCTTTACCGCTTGGGATAGAAGTAGAACCATGAGTAGAAGAAAGGCAAATAAGATATGAGGTATAGTGAGGATATTACGATATTAATTGTGATCGATATGAATGATATACTCATAAGATCGAGCTCAATTATGCCATGTTACATATATATACATATATATATATACTCTGTGCATGTGCAGTAAATGCCTCTGTAAGATGACACTCCAAGGATTAATATAGACATAGACGGCAGAGTTACATTTACCTGCTTGCCTGCTTGCTTGCCTGCCGTCTATATAGACTGTACTCCTATCAGAACATCCCAGTTACCGAACGGTATATATAAATGCATATATAAATAGAAGTATAAAATACAAGGCCACGCATTCGACCTCCAGTTTTGAGGGTGTCGTACCTCTTTAGAAGGGACCGCTTTGAGGGGAAGTGCGTTGTGTTTTGTGGCGGGGTCAACGCAGGCAGACGTGATAACAGGGAAAGCGCAACTGCAACTGGACGCCAAGGCGAGAGAGGAAAGGATTATGAAACACGGAAACACGAACTCATCTGATGTGCGCTGCATGAAAGCAGCATCATGGTGCAGAAATATGAAAAATTTGAAGAAATATGCAGCTTCTGGGGGGAGGGGGGTAACCAATAATACTGCGTATAAAAATGAGTATTCTGAGAGTAAATATATCCCTCTCCTCGTCAATAGAGTATCAAGGAGGGGGGGAGTTGGAGTAACTACACACTGCCTTAGTTGCGGCCTTATTTTTACATTAGTTTCTGCCTTAGTTTCTGCCTTAGTTTCTGCCTTAGTTTCTGCCTGAATGTCAGCCTAAGGACCCCAACCCGGAGACGGAAATACCTATTTCCCCCCCAACCCTCCCATTGGCTCCATTCGCGAGTCCAAAGAGAGAGACCAGCAACTCAAAATGTCCCAGCGCTAGCCGTGGTACGTACCGCTAACTCAGTCCGCGCTAAACTCAAGGAACTACGAACGTTCAAGCTTCACAGGATTTATATCACCAAACAAGCTCACACTACCATCTATTACCATCCCCGACCACGCACCCCTTTACACCACCCACCAATATAATACCCGCGCTACCAATACAGCAATATGGACGGGTAAGCAGTTCACTCAACCTACTACTCTTTGTCGATTGATGTCCTCTCGGGCAGACATGGGCCAGAAAATTACATAGCCGATTCTAACGCCTCTCTCTCACAACAGACTCGGACTCAATGCCTCGGAGCAGCGCGAATTCCAGGCGCGCATGGAGCGCAAGCAGATGAAGGAGTTCATGAACGTACGTCTGCCCTCATCTCCATCTTCCCCCATCGCACCCTCGATTCCCAAGCCACCTCCACCCAGACCATCAAATCCAAACACCTATCCTACCACCGCCATTTATCGTCACCAATACACACATACTAACACACCACCCACAGATGTTCTCCGGCCTCGTCGACCGCTGCTTCGACTCCTGCATCGACGACTTCACCACCAAGTCCCTCATCGCCCACGAGTCCGGCTGCGTCAACCGCTGCGTGCAGAAGTTCATGGCTGGGAGCGAGAGGATAGGACAGCGCTTCTCGGAGCAGCAGGCGCAGATGATGAACAACCCCAAATAAGCGCCAGATATTGGCCCTGGGGAGATGAACGAGAGATAGTGTACGATAGATGTGTGATGTGGGTGTTTGTGTCCGCATATAGATGGGCTGGGATGCCGATTGGGATGTAGGAACACGGGAATGGAGATGGATGGGGTGCTGGGGCTTGATGGGTTGTTGAAGTAAAAAGCACCCGGAGAAGTCGGGTGTCCGATTGGTTGTAGGATAGATATACGTAGAAGTATAAAAACTCTATTTCACGGTCTGAAGGTTCACTTGATGGGTTTCAGTGACTGTGAGGACAGGAGACTTCAAGACGGCTACAGCAAATCGAAATGCACAGAATCTAAAAACACATGTATCATCCATAAACTTAATATGCGTGTACAAACTATGAAGATGATGCACCACAACTCCCAGATGACCCCGCCTGGTCCGTTACGCAACATTCTTTACGCACGATATAAAAACACCAATGTATCTCACACATATTTTCCAACCCCCACGGGGTACCTACCCCCCCATAATCCTCCCTATCAACCCTCATTAAGTTGCGTCAACACATCCTTCAACCCCAGCAATTCATCCACTACCTTCTCCTCCAGCTTCCCCGTCCTCTCCAGCTCCGACTCCCTCAACCCCAACGGCACAATCCGCTGGCTCAGTAATACCCGGCTGCTCAGCCAGTACTCGACGCTCTCCAGCACCGCTGTGGCATCCCACGGTATCGGCAAAACGCCTGACACCTGATTGCGGCAGCTATTCAAGATCATCGTCAGCAGCGCCAGGGAATGCGCCTCTGACAACGTCAACAGCGCCACACGAGTCTCTCTCCTCGGTCTCCCAGGTCGGCGCTCATCATCGCTCGAGTCTAGCGAGTGCTCCGCCTGCTCCAGCAGATTCGGGAACTGGCTCAGGAACACGGCAACCTCCGCCGCGATGCTCGTCTCGAGGCGCGCGAGCAGATTCAGAAGCAAGGGAAGGATACCTCTTGCCCAGATGCTGTAACAGCGTATCGCACCCGCGGAATCGGCAAAGGGCCCGACGTTGGCGCGGCGCATGTACACTGTGAGAGGGGCGGAGGAAAGCAGGCCGAGGACGCCTTCGACGGCGAGTTGCTCGGCGATCTCGGGGATGGTAGAGAGCTCGAGGAGGAAGAGGATGCTGAGCTCGCCATAGACTGGGTCGCCGTCGATGGCTAGTTTGTCTGCCCAGGAGAAGAGGGCGGTGGCCATGCGGGCGGTGCCGTGCTTGGAGAGAATGGCTTGGACCTCGACTGTTCGGACCTCCATGCCTGGCATGAGGAGGCAGTTTTGCAGGATGGCGGTGATGATGGCGATGTCATCAGGCATGATTGTGCCGGATTGCTGGTGGAGGGCCGTTGCTAGGTCTCGGAAGCCTTGCCCGACAATATTATCGAGTATGTCCAAGGCGATAGTTAGGTTTGCTTGGGCGGCTGCGGGAACGGCGTTCAGCGACGAACGGAATTGCTGATCTGACGTGTCTTTCCGTGTGTGGATTCGTAGTAACAGGAAAAGCACCTTTAGCAACGTCCTATAATACTGAGCGGCTTCCGGTCCATCAGACAGGGCCAATTCAAAGGTTGTTTGCAGATCAACAATTGCCCTCCAAGCAATTGGAAGAAGCTCCTTCAACATTGGTGTGTCTGGGTTTGTCTGCAGTAGCTTCTGTAGCAAAGTCAATGCAAAGTCTGCCCGGGTCTGGTTCAGTCGCGAGAATATAGCTTCCGGGGGTTGACTCCTCGTATTGGATATCAGACAGTCCCGAGCAATTTCACATGAGATCGTGGCGACTGATGGGCCAATATCTGCTGTCCCACCAAGGTTGTGGCTGAGCTCAATGGCAAGCATTTCCCAACCACGAAGAAGAGACTAGATTATGTTAGTTGATAGACCGAGTATAGAGTGGTGCAGAACATACTATTTGCGCATCGACCACGGAGAGGTTGACATTGGCCTTTATGAGTTCTTGAATAATGCCGTCGCCCTTCTTGCCTTTCCACGCCTGGTGGAAACATAGCATCTTGTTAGCCAGTTCAATGTTGTAAAAATAGTCTTTTCCAAGCGTTTGGGTTTGTAGTTGGGTGAACTTGAAGCTCTGCAGGTTGCAGCCAGGGTAACGAGCTTCCAAGTTCCTCTTAAGATTGGTCTGAAGTGAGGCATTATAAGCTGGCGCTGCAACCCCACATCGTATGAAATATTTCAGTTTGGGGAGTATATCTTTGACAGGGGCAACATTCCCCGACTGCCGCGAATGATAGAGGTGCATGGCTAAAATTTCAGCGACATATGCAGCCATACGTGCCTGGAATGCGCCCTCGATTGAGCGATCGGTGCTTGCAGATGCAGCCAGTGCCTCGAAGCCACTAACATGGTCCAGCAACGCTGTGTTGAAGTCTGAATTCTTCAGAGCGTCTTTCATAGCCCATGGCCAGTAGTTTTGAGCCAGAGAAATAAATTGTAGAATAGCCAGAGCTCGCGGCATGGGGATTTGTTTGATGTTTGATAGCTCCCCTAAGGCAATGCTTATCAGAGATTTCGAAGTCGCGGCTGCGCCGTTTGCGTTTCCTTTCAAGTTATCACGGGGGTTTTTACCCGTAAGAAGATAAATGGCAAACCACTGCTGGCGGTTGCTAACAACAGCAGACAGCAAGTTCCATATCGGAATAACGTGGTCGTCGCTGTTTAATGGCTTTCCTAAATTCAACAGCATGTGAAGGAAGTTTTTTGATGTTTCTTGTCCAAGGTGAGCAAGTAACGAAGGAGGCTCTCCTGTGTTTGCAGATGCAATAATTACAAGTTCCTCGAGTAGAGTTGTAACAGGCAGTCGATAGGCCCAATTGACAGCGTAAAGCCTGGCAATGAGCGGTGAAACCTTGAAAAGTTGGCCTTCCAACTGAGAACCTGATCGTTGAAGTAGCGTGCCGACTTTTATCAAACTCTTCGTGAAGCCGAGGATCGACTTTACTTGTGCAATCCATAGTATACGATATTGGTTCCGGACCGTCGACTCTGGAGTTGCGAATCCGTCCAGAAAGCCTCTGAATAAAGATTGGAACCGGAGAAGACCTGATGTTGGCGATAGGAAGGTTTCCACTACTTGACTTGCTGCTGGGCCCAGTGATGACGAAAGGTTTGAACCAGAGGATGGATCCTCTCCAATACCATAGTTGTAATGCAGCAACTTATCGAATATAGATGAAATATGTTTCGACAATAAGAGGCGTTGCTCGGGGATCGCATAACGCCAATTGCAGGCACTTTCAAACACCCCAAGAAGAGTTTTGGAATACGATGCGGTGACCTTTGAAAGAACGTGATCCGGGACGCCAGTTCCTAAATCATCGGTGCTACCCGTCTGTGCAGTAGATTTCAAGCCGCCTTTCCGAAGGACAGCGTGTGTGACCAGGTCTTCGACTAACGCTCCGAAGAGATGGACGGACGATAGTAAGAAGTCAAACTTTGCGTTTACGAACTCAATGCCAGACAGTATCGTAGTGAGACGACCACTGCGGCCCTCCTGGTCAAGCAAACCTGAGCGAGCGATCAAGGGCCATACTCTTCCTGGAAGAACAGGCACCAGCGCGTGAATGAATTGAACGCAGGCATTGAGAAGATCTAGGTTTGCTTCAGAAGCTGACCCGCCGGCTTGCCGTTCCAGCTCCTCTTCGAAAATTGAGAAAACAACCAACACGATATCGCGGTTGCGATCGAGGCCGTCACTGGCTTGCTCAAGTATCCGATGGGCTGCCCCGTTCGAGTCGCCTGTCCCGCCATTCGACTCATTTATACGGATGCTTGTTCTGACAAGAGTGGCCAAAATCGAAACAATCTCAACGAGATCTTCTTGAGAGGCAAGCTGGTCTTTTATGGCGTCGACATACTCTCCAGCACCCATTCCAGCCTCGAGGAGTTTACCCAAGTATTTCAGACCTGAGTACTCGTAGAACCACACAGCGACTCTAGGATTGCGTTCCGAAACAATACGTCCTTGGGTGCCAGCTGGAATGCAAAATTCGTTTGTAATTTGTTCCATGCCAGTTGAGACACCGCCCGAACCCGTTCGCCTATACATCAAGCTTAGGTTCGCACGAGGCTTGAATAGCATTACGCTGTCGGTTAGTTCGACAATATTCAAATTCTCTTCCTCCTGTGTAGTCTGGTAGTCTCGGAAGTCGTGCGGCAAAGCAAACATAAAACATGTGAGATTGTCGAGAGACTGGACGGCAGCAGGCGTGCCATCATCTGCCTCGTACTCGCAGCTTGAAATTGCACGGATGAACCTCAAGAATGGAAGGCTTTCGTAAGGGTATCTCGACGCTGATGCAGATAGGAACCTTTCCACGAGGTAATCATCCTGCATGAAATATGTGACGGGATTTTCATCAATCCGAGCAGAGTGAAACGTGTTCTGGTTCCAATAATCAGTGGCGCCTGTCAGGCACGACAATGCTGCAGATACAACTTCCTCGCCGTATTGGACCAGGGGTGTAGTGCATCGAATAACGTCCAAGATAATAATCCGTATCCTTGAGTCGAAAATGTCCGCCAGGTCCTGCCCAGAGCTTGCGCCAAACGTGGTTGCCAGCATTGATAATACATTAAAGACTTTGATCTGGTCTACCGCACAGACTGCCAAATAGTGTATAGGGCTTTCCTTTTCATGTCCGGTCATGATAGCAGCTATCACTTCCGCAAAAATTCCAGTATCAGCTGTCGCGCTCGGTCCAGTTGAAGAATTTAACCCATAGTTTTCGTCGTCATCTTCCGTAGCCTCAAGGGCGCGGGATCGAGCTTCATCCTTCTTTCTTGTCAAGTCTTCCATGGCGAATAAAATAAGCGCCCATGCGAGAATTGCCGGACTAGCGATAGTGGACACATTGGATGCGGACATGGAAATTACCTCGTGTATTTTGAGGATAGTCTCCAGGTCCGTAATATATGATGGCGTGCCGTCCTCGGTCTCTGGGGCCTCGGTTTGGCCTTCATCGTAAATCTGCAACACCATATTTTGGCAATCAAGCATTGATAGTGATACTACCGATACCAGCGACTGGATTGAGGACGTAAGAGTGAGTAGCGAAGGATCGGGGTGACTAAAGTTTTCAAAGAAGCCATAAGCAGACATAAATTGAAACCATTCGAGCACATTTGCACCCGAACGAGTGTCTTTCCGATAGTCCAAGATCAACAGAGTGATCTCCAAGGAGTGCACTGCCTCAATAACTCGGCCTTGGAGCCACTCAGATTCGACGTTCGGTCGACCACCCTCGCATTTGAACCACCCGCTTCCATCATTAAGGGTATCAAAATTCGCCTTTAGGGATGTGATAGAGTAATGCAAGAACCTTTCCGGGTTCTGCTCCTGTGATGTGACAAAGGCTTCTGCCACGCGATCTATCCATGTCGTTTCAGCGTTAAGGCCCTTGCCTTTCGATTCAAACGTGCGGAAGCCGACATGGAAAATCAATTTGCTGCACGCTAGAATACTCTGGCGTTCCGTGAGATATAACTGAACGGCGCGAAGTCGTCTATCCTCGTCTGAATCTGATTTATTTCCGCCCGCAGCATTCTTCGCCGCGCTGAGCGCAAGAGATAGAAGGTTCGAAGACTCGGTGTTGATGTTCCCAGCAGCTGTCTGGAGGCTGACGGCTTCCTCATTCGAGAATTCGCTTTTGAGTTGCGCTGCTGCCCGGGATTGGTATTCCAAAACGATAATCCTCAACGCCGAAACCTCATCGATCTGAACCTCTTTACTGAGCCAAAGCGCATCCTCCTTTATTTTGTTGATATCGTATTCGCAATTGCTAGTTGGAGCAACATTGATAGCAGCTGTTTTGGTTTCGAAGGCAGCTTTGGTGTTGGATTGCGAGAATGAAAATGGGTGAAAAGGTCGCGCCAGCAATTTTTGAACTTGTGTGTCACTAAAAAAGCTCTCTAAATGGGAATCCGATGTCCCAAATTTATCAAGGTGCAAGAGGCAGGAGTATGCTGCCCCCCAGGAGCTACGATGAAGTCAGTATGGGTGGGTTTTGAGTTCGAAGAGTTTGGATAGGCATACATGAGGAGCTGTTTGTTGGATAAACATTCCTCCAACGGGGGGAAATAATTCGACTCATTATTTGGCACCATTGCTATCGGGCACAGCAATGTATGCTGTGCAGGAGCAGCATGGCATGGAGCTTCAAAAAGCTCTTCGATGTCTTGATAGGGTCGCAAGTGCTGCGCGGCTGTTTATTTGGCGCGTCGGGAAATAGTGCAACCGCGTTTACAAGGGACCCTAGGGTGCCGAACTTGTGGTGGGTGAATGTGGGGGCGAATGACTCTATCGCTAGAGGGCTACAGCTAAATAATATCTCGGGACAATTGCCTTCGATAAGAATACCACATTTACTCAACACCAGTACATGACCCAAACTCTTCTCTCAAGCCGGTTTTAGGTCGCCGGCCACTCGAAGAAACTGTGCGAGAAACTATTATAAGATCAACATGCCTTCTCTTGAACTGATCGACCATTCCCCCCACGGGCACGCCGCCGTGGCGCCGCTCGAAAATGCTTCCAACCTTATTATGATTGATAACTACGATTCTTTCACCTGGAACATTTACCAATACCTGGTGCTCGAGGGCGCAACAGTTACAGTTTACCGCAATGACAAGATAACTGTGGAGGAACTCGCTGCTAAGAAGCCAACGCAACTGGTCATCAGCCCTGGCCCAGGTCACCCAAGCTCCGACTCCGGAGTTAGCAGAGATGCTATTAAGCATTTCGCAGGAAAGATTCCTGTTCTTGGGGTCTGCATGGGACAGTAAGTATTGACATTGGCAATTTATACCTATGGAAAACTGACAATTGGCAGACAATGCATCTTCTCCGTCTTCGGCGGTGAGGTCTCGTATGCAGGCGAGATTCTCCACGGAAAAACGTCGCCTTTGCGCCATGACTCCAAAGGGATGTACGCGGGACTTCCACAGGACTTACCTGTTACACGATACCACTCGCTAGCCGGAACACATCCGACTCTACCGGAGGCCTTGGAGGTGACGTCCTGGATAGCGGGCCCAGATAACAATGACGGGAAAGGTGTCATCATGGGTGTGCGTCACAAAGAGTACGTCGTAGAAGGAGTTCAGTTCCACCCGGAAAGCATCTTAACTGAAGAGGGCCGGGTTATGCTGAAGAACTTCTTGAAGATGCGTGGTGGTACATGGGCAGAGAACGAACGGCTTCAAAAAGAAGCTGCGTCCAAAGCTACACCGCCTGGGGTCGCCTCTTCCCAGAAAGAGAACATTCTCGACAAAATATTCGCCCACCGAAAGGCTGCTGTCACTGCACAGAAGCAAATCCCATCCCAGCGTCCGAGTGACCTCCAGGCGTCTTATGATATGAACCTTTCCCCACCAAACATATCATTTGTGGATCGGTTGAGGCTGTCCCCATACCCACTATCTCTCATGGCTGAGGTTAAACGGGCGTCTCCTTCGAAGGGTATAATATCCATTTCGACGTGTGCGCCTGCCCAGGCCATGGAGTATGCACTTGCTGGGGCGAGTGTTATTTCGGTACTTACGGAGCCCGAGTGGTTCAAGGGGAGTATTGACGATTTGCGTTATGTCCGCCAAGCGCTGGAAGGCATGCCTAATCGACCAGCTATACTCCGAAAGGAATTCATCTTCGAGGAATACCAAATACTCGAAGCAAGACTTGCCGGGGCCGATACTGTGTTGCTCATCGTGAAGATGCTGGACGAAGCCACCTTGCAAAGGCTTTACTCATATTCCCTGACTCTAGGGATGGAGCCATTGGTTGAGGTTAACACCGCAGACGAAATGAAGGTGGCAGTTGACCTTGGAGCTAAGGTTATAGGTGTAAATAACCGAAACCTGGCAAGCTTCGAGGTTGACTTGGAAACTACGAGCCGTCTCATGAGCCAAGTCCCAGAGACAACAATCGTATGTGCTCTGAGTGGTATTTCTGGGCCTCAAGACGTGGCGTCTTATCAGAAGAATGGTGTTGGAGCTGTTCTTGTTGGTGAGGCGCTTATGCGGGCGAGTGACAAGCCCAAGTTCATTGCGGAACTCCTTGGAGGCTCCCTTGATGCGCCTACGAACGCGCCAGAACAGCCCCTTCTGGTTAAGATCTGTGGAACACGGTCTGCCAAAGCCGCTGCAACGGCGGTTGCAGCTGGTGCAGATTTTGTTGGCATGATACTTGTCCCAGGCCGTAAACGCACTGTCACTGAGGAGGAAGGACTGGCAATTTCTGAGGTGGTACACAAAGCGACGCCAAGGACTGTCAAGACCAATTCACAGATCAAGGCAACTGCGGGCTCTGATTTCTTTGCCGCGGCGGCATCTACTTTGACATCTGCGCGCCCTCTACTAGTTGGTGTCTTCCAAAACCAGTCGCTTGAGGAAGTTTTGAGACTGCAGAAGTTGTTTAGCTTGGATGTTGTTCAACTCCACGGCGATGAGCCATTGGAGTGGTCGAAACTCATCCCCGTCCCGGTCGTTAAGAGCTTCAGGCCCGAACAGGTCAACATCGGCTCCAGAGGCTACCATGCAGTTCCATTGCTTGATTCTGCAACTGGCGGATCGGGTGAAAAGTTGGATATGAGCAAAGTTAGGGAAACCCTGGAGAAAGACCAAGGGCTTCGCGTGATGCTTGCTGGTGGTCTGAACGCTGATAATGTTGTGGGGGCTGTTCGTGAGGTTGGCGAGTTGAGCAGCAGGATTATCGGAGTTGATGTCAGCAGCGGTGTTGAGGAGGGTGGCGCTCAGGATCTTGATAAGATCATATCCTTCATCAAGGCGGCAAAAAGTGTTCGTTGAGTAAAGGTGGAAGGAATTCTTCAGAATGTCTTTATGATCCAATGATTTTAATACCACAAAAAGTTCAACCGTCTTCTGAGGTGCCATGTGAAATTGCCATCGACAAAGTTCTTCCTCTTCTTCACCCTAACAAATATATTCGGACACAAGTAGGTCGATTGCAGCCGCACACTCTTCGTCCACAGCATTCAGACAGAACCTACTCTTCTCTTTGAGACTTCGTGTAGGTTCCAAGACAACCAGAGATAAAGTGCAGCTTCCTTATACCTTCAACACGGGCGTCTTCTCAGTTTACTCACTTCATATTATATACTTGGGCACCTCATTATTTCATACTCACTTAACTCTTCACTCTACATCACTCTCTTGAAGACTGCTCGACTAAATTCGTTCCGTTTTAAATAATTTACAACCTCGGTCGAGATCAACTACCTCACCGAGCAACAGTTTCACCAGTACGATAAAATGGCCAAGAAATCAGCAGTACCGCCAGCAGACAAAATCTTCGCCGGCAAAGTCTTCGTCCTGCAAGGCGATTTCGGGCGTTACCCTCGAACTCACCTAAACATCGCCCGCCTAATCGCCGGCCACGGCGGCTGCGTCGACAGCACAGTAACAGACCGAACAACCCTCCTCGTGACCACCATCGATGAGTTCCACAAGAGACCCCCCGCGGGTAAGTTTTGTCTCCATTTTCATTTTCATATTCATTTCATTACTTCTCATTGACCGCCTCCCTCTGACTTTCGGTCTCTGGTTCCAGTCGAGAAGTCCATTTCAATGGGGAAGGCGAGATGCAGAATCGTTCAGTGGGAGTATGTGGAGGATTCGATCTTTACCAAGAATGGGAAGCCGAGGGTCATTTCGGCGAATTTTCATGAGATTCAGAGTGTGCTGAAGAGACAGAATCGGCTCAGCGAGGCGAAGGCTATTTACAAGAAGAAGTTTATTGAGGGTGCGAATTCTATGAAGGGATTGGCGGATCCGGGTAGGTGGTTTTTTTTATTTCCCCTTTGTTCCCCTTATTCTTTCTCCATGTTATATTCAAATAAAGACTAAATGTTTTTATTTCCCCTTTGTTTCCCTCTATTCCCTTTTATTCTTTATCCAGGTTATATTGAAATAAAGTGTACATGGTCGACAACTATTTCCTAATTTCGCGTTTCTATTGCTAGTTATCAAAATCATGGAATTCCAAGGTGATCGCCCAAGAGGGAGAAGCACAATAATTACAAACCGAGACTAACAATCCAGGCCTCCACCACGTCTACCTCGACACGACCGGCTTCAAATATCTCGTGGTCCTAAGCCGTCTCACAAAAGTCGACCAGAAAACCAGAGTCGAGAAATACACCCTCCTCGTACGTCCCCCTCCTCCGCTCCCCCCCTCTCCCCCCCTCTCCCTCTTCCCCCTCCCTCTCCCATCCCCGTCATATCTTCTAACGCCCCCTCCAGCTCTTCGAATCCAACGCCTCCCCCTACACCTACACCGTGGGCATAAAATTCAACCGCCCCGGCCACGCCACAACCTACATCAAAGAATACATGGTCCCCTCGACCTTCGACGTTGCCTTCCGGCAGTTCCGCAAGTTCTTCAAGATCAAAACGGGGATTGAATGGGATTGTAGACTTGATGGCCCGGGGGCGGGGGAGGATGCGTTCGTATATGTGCCGCCGGGGAGGGGGGAGCCGAGGGGGGTGATGCCGAAGGATTGGAAGGAGCCGGTGGTGGGGAAGGTGGGGGGTGGAGCGGGAGCGGATAGGGAGGGGGGGAGCGGGTGAGGGTGGGAGGCGGGGGGGTGATGGGGGTGATGGTCGTCGAGGAGAGTACGATGCTGTAGCGGGAGGGGGGGTTTTTTTTTTTTTTTTTGCAAATCTAGAGTCAAGAGCGCTTGCTGTGGTTGGGGGTATTATCAAGTACTCGACAGATTTCTTTCTGGTGGGGAAATGGGGTGTCTGCATCGCTTTATGGGGGAACTGGATTTTACAAAGTTGAGAATGGGATATGAGCTTAGCAACAGCATGGAGAAGAGAAACAGCATAATTAACAACGCCCAAATCAATATTCAATCAATTCCAGTTAATCCCAATAAAAGCCAAATTATAACATATTCAAAAACCATCGTTCTCAATTGCAACTGTTAACAATAACATAACATATTTTTTACGCCCCACCCCCAGTCATCAACCATACCAAGTTGAACCCCCCAAACCCCCCCAAATCCCCCAACACTTATGCCTTTACCTCCCCCAGCGCCGCCCTCCTCCACTCCCAATAATTCTTCCTCACCCCATCATACTTCTCCCCCAACAACCTCAGCGCCCTATCGGCCCTCTCCTTCTCCCCCTTCTCCGCCCACACATCAGCCAAAAAATCCAACGCATGCGAGCTCCTCACCTCCTCCTCCGCGTCTCCAAGTTTAACAAACTCTCCCGCAAACCCCTCCTCAGACTTCAACTCCCTCCCCCCCTTCCTCAGCACGCCGCGCAGGAAGTTCCACGGACTCTGGTTCTGCGGCGCAAGATAGATCGCGTTCTCCGCGACCCTAATCTCGCGGTCCAGGATCTCAGCCGGGATTTTGGGATCAACCTCCGTAGCCTTGGACCCCTCAGTCGAGTTCCCCGGATCCGAAAACACGAGGAAGAACCGATGCGACCAGGCGGAGTTATTCCTCACATCCTCCTCAATCAACCTCTCCACCGCTCCCAGCTCCCCGGGGTCCTGACACTGACTCGGGAACAAATCCAGTTTCCTCACGAGATATTGGCGGTATGACCAAACATGGTAATTCTTGCTATCCTCCGCAAACATCTGCGTCAGGAACGCGATCTCCTCCCTCGCGAGCTCTAGCACCTTTTCGCGATCGGCGGAGATGGTGGGGTAGAGGTTATCGATCAGGAGCTGGCGGTGGTGCCAGATCTGGTAGTTCTTTTGGTTGTTAAGCGCCACTTCGTTGAGCCAGGCGAGCTCGTCAGAGAGAGTGAAGGTTAGCGCGAAGAGAGTGCTCGCCCGGTAGAGCCAGACGGTGTAGTGGGCGGGGTTGAGGCTGATGATGTGGGATGTTAGTGCTAGGGTGCGCGGGGAGTGCTCTTTGGATGCCATGACGGCGCGGAGGTAGGCGATGGCTGTTGTGACGAGTTAGCTGGGTTGGGTAAAAAGTGTTGGGGGTTGGGGAGGGAGACATACCTTCCGCATACTCGTCGGTGTAGGCAATTGCTGCTAATGGGTTCTTCCCATCGTCTTGTGGAATGGGCGTCACATCATCCCAAGTCGGATCTCCCTCATATCTGCCAACCTGCTTTCCCGATTCCATTTTAACAATCTCAGCTCTGCGCTTCTGTTCGTCCAGCCTATCTTCTTCCGTCAAAGGTCGTAGTGTCTCCTCGTTGACCTTCTCAAAATCCAAATCCGTAGTTTCCGGCTCCCAGATGCACTTCTTGATATAGTCCTTGTCGGCGCTACTCGGCTCCGTACTAGGTTTGTAATGCTGTTTCGCCCACTTCTCTCTAAAGGTCTCACTCTCCCATTTCAGTATCCTCAGTTTCTCCTCGTCCTCCTTCCACGCCTCGTACTGCGGAATCGTATAATCCTCGATATTATTTCCCCTCCTGTCTTTGCCTAGCGGATATGGCTCCGGTAGTGGTTGTGAGATCTTGAGCTGGTCAACAAGCTTTAGGAAATCCTTCTGTAGTGGTGCGCTCCAGGTTGTGTAGGCCTCAGATTCTAGCAGCGCAAACGTAGAGTATGCAGTCTTTTCCGCAGCCGTGAGCCCGTCCCAGCCTTTCGTATCATGCAGAACCTGTAGAGGCCTAGAAGCAAGGTATTCCGCACGTCGCTTTTCGCCGATAGTCTTGTACTCTGTTGGCGGAGGTGGTTTTGAAGCCGCTTGCTTTTCTGTAGAAATTTGGACCGTTAGAGCTCATAGTCTACGTCATAGCTTGTTGCGGATTACCGAAAGGCCCTTGGAAAGTGCTATTTCGGTAAAAGAGTATGGATAGAAGTGGTACTTACGGGATTGTTGCTTGCCCTTGGGAGCCATCGTTGCTGTTGCGGGGGATGGCGGGGTTTATGTAGGAATATTGAGGTGAGGTGAGGGACGTCGCGAAGTGCGGTAAGGGACAATGCTAAGAGACGGAAGCTACCAGAGAGCAGTCAACTATCACATTTCAATGCAACCACTCAAAGGCTCGAATTATACCAATTGCGATGGGATTACGTTCTTGTCTTTACGATTACCATTGTTCTCCCTGGAGCAGATTTATACCTTGCTTGGACGGCAAGGGATTGCGCCTCACATGATTTAGGGGATCATATTGTGGAAGAATTGTAATTATTGTTTGCTATGAGCTCGCGCTGCATTATAATCATTATTTACATCTGTAAGACTGTTAATACACCCCCCAGATGATTGTTTTAGACCCCATTTCCCATTAATTAATTCCCATCCACCCTCCAGAACTTCCAGCTCTCCCTTTCCCCATCCTTGCCATGCACACCCACCAGCCTCTCAACGCCTTCATTACCCACCGCATTCAAGAACTTCTCCTGGTCGATCTCGACACCCCCCTCATCATCCTCGTCGGTCCCGTTCTTCAGAACCGCGGGCCACAGAACTCCAACGCCGTCGCCGCCGAGCGTGGTTTCGAACTTCTCGTATCCTTCATCATCAAGGTCTTGCTCCAGCTGACGAAGCCTCTCCTTTGATACATCTGGTTTCAGAAGCGTGATGGCGCACCCTCCGCCGCCAGCGCCAGTGAGCTTTGTCCATCCAATGCCCGCATGATCGACCAGCTCTCGTACTCTCTCAAGTCTGGGGTGCGAAACACCCAGGGCAACGAGTAAACCATGGTTGATAGTCATCATCTTGCCCAGATGCGCCTGTCCAGCCTCCTCATCGTCATCGTACTGCTCGCTTGTAATCAGATTCGCCGCGCTGATGGTGACCTGATCGATCGCGTTTAAGATCGCTCCAGTGACTTCGGGATGCACCTTCTTAAGATCGCCCACCTTGGCAACCTCGGCCTTCGTAGACTTAGGCTGCTTGGTATCGACTAAGAGGAGGGGTAGCTCTGGGAAGTTCCAGAGCGGAGTGACGACTGGTGGTTTGCTGTAGTCGGAGCGCTGGAAGACGACGGCTTTTCCTTGCGTCGCGACGGTGTTGTCGACGCCAGATGGGTTGCCGTGAATGCACATCTCGCATACGAACGCCCATCTGTTTATTCTTTCGACCTGGAGGAGGGCTTCCGCAGTAGGCTGGTCGGGGTGAGGGCCAGAGAGTGTGCGTATCTGGAGAAGCAGAGCAGACGACAGGCAAACAGATATCGAAGCGCTGCTTCCTAGCCCTGCTCCTATTGGTAGGGTTGATCGAAGTGTATATAGGCAGCCGTTGAATGATTGCGATCCAAGCGAGAGGAAAATATATAAGAATGCGGAGGCTGAATTTTGGTGCACCTTGCGAACTTCATCTGGTGCCCCTGGCGAGACATTGGCGAGGTGTGGCTTCATGGCAGCGACAAGCTCGGGGTCGAGCTCTGTCACCAGGTCGTAGTAGTACTTCTTTTTTGAAGGGTGCGAAAATGTGCTCCATGGGAGGTCATCGATGTTCCAGGTATGTGATAAATTGATGTCTGGGAATCGCAGAGAGATTGTTCGCCTCGATTTTGAAAGGGATGTCACGAGAAGGTATGAACGGAGAGAGATCGCAGCAGCTATAGCGGCCTGGTACGTAGTGTTAGAAATATGTGTGTTGTCAGTAGTAAGTTGAGACGAACCTTTCCATGCACCACGGCGTGTTCCCCAAACACAATAACTTTTCCAGGTGCAGAAACCATGAAAGCAGGCATCATGGGAGAGGAAGCCTTGCGGCCATGTACCGTGCGACTCTTGGGCTTCCCCCCATCGCCATTGATCTGTACACGTCTCACACCCTCTCCCAAGTCCTCGAGGTTGGAAGGCATATCGGAGGTAGGGGATAGCGAGGGAGTGCTGGAGGTGGGAGTAGTGATGATGTGACTAATTGAGCTTGATCTGGAGGAGTTTCTGCGGGGTCTGGTCTCCAAATATCTGGTAGAGTCGCTGTTCATCATCTCACAACCTGCATGGCGTGAAAGGAGGTCGTCGTTGTGGTGGTAGAGGTGGTGGTGGTGGGGGAATTTTGGGGGTGGGAGTAAACTGGGGAAATGGCAGATGGGGATGTGTGATGGGATGGGATGAATCTTTGGGTGTGGTCATCTACATTTGGTTAAGGCAGGCTCGAATCACGGCGGGTGGAATATCCGGTCATCTGGGGGTTCTCTAGTGGTTCTAATTGGGGACTCGTCAATTGGCCCCAGCGCATCCCAAGCCTCAGTGCCTGGCATTGGTAGCGCGTCGTACTTGTGCCCCTAAGGGATTAGCGGATTAAATAGGACCCGTCCCCTAGAACAATGTGACCGATGTGACCGTTGTGTGGTAGATTGGACGGAAAGGGCTGGGATGGGCTGGGATAGGCTGAGGAATGGCTGGGATTCAGTGGCAAGGTGCCGACGATGCGGTCTCAAATCTCCAAAATACCCCAATTACTGTACATCCCGCCACCAAAAAGTATCGTGCGCCAATACTCCAATTGTGGTTATTTCGTGGGGTAAGTAAGTCATGAACCTAGGAGGGACAAAGGGACAAAGGGACACAAAGGGACAAAGGAAAATCTACCGCCACCAAACCAAAAACTCATTCCAGAGTCTTCAGCACCAGAAGGGATATTCAAAGAAACCAATATGTGGTTGCAGCTTTACGCTTTAAAGCATCGTGAGGTTCCTCTCTCTGGTGTTTCTGGCTGTATCTGGTGTATCCGGTGTATCTGGCGTTAAATATCCAAGTATTACAATGATGGGCGCCCTACAATAGGATGAAACTTTAGTGGCAATACTTAACTTTACGATCTACTCCTCTAACTAACTCCGTGGACTCCGCTGATTCCGTAGACTCCGAAGTATGTATGTACTGTACTGTACATTCCGTCCCACTCTTGGATAATCAATCAGAGTCAACCAACAAAGCCGCTCCGGCACCGCCTCAGGTACGACGCGTAAACTTGTGGGCTGTGTCAGTCATGTCGGATGCACGACAGTGAAAAATGAACTGTTCATTGTTACACATATTTTGCATATTTGTCTTCCTGCATCATTTTTTAATCTAGAGACGCATCAGCGAGGACGACATAACGAGTTATCCCATCCGATGATAGTCTTACCCCTGAAGCCCGTTTGACAAGCCAACAAAGATCCGTCTCACTTGAGCCGTCCCCATCACCACCGCCACCCGCCATGCCCGCCGACGCCCCTCCGCAATTCACGCTTTTCCCCCTCCTCCCGGCAGAACTCAGGGTCAAGATATGGCAAACTGCCCTTTTCGAGCGCAATTCCATCGTGGAACTCCGCGTTATCAACGATGCGATTATCCCTAAATCGCGCCCTTCTATCGTTCTTCGCATTAATCAAGAATCAAGATACGAGGCGTTTAGGGCTTTGAAGGCTCTCTCAGACAGTCTGTCCTTCTCTAAAGATGGGGAAGCACAGAACCAACTGTATCTCTTGCCAGAACGAGATACCATCTACTTCAGCAATGACTATCAGTTCGTAAGCCCATCGACCGTTCAGTGCAAGATGGCAGGTATGGCGGGGACCCTGTCGTTACTTGCTGCATCCTTGTCCGAGATCGAGAGGGCCAAGATCCAGACTCTGGCTATTGACATTTACGAGTGGTCAGAGGTTGACCACATAAGGGAGATACTACAACAGCTCATTCCATTTGAAGGGTTGAAGACTCTCGTTGTAGTGATGAGGGATCCGGTGGAGGAAAAGAAGTCCGGCGGTGGCGACAGGATATTTGTCGACTGGCCTTGGAGCCAGAGAAAGCCAGCCTACGACCTACAGACGAAGTTATGGAAAATGTCTAGGAGCACATTACGATATAATCCCCAGTGGAAGGAACCTGTTGTACAGTTGGTATGCCTAGGAGGAAACTGATGGACACTGGAATAGTTTTTTTTACTTCAATGATTCCCCAATAGATAGCAAGCTTAAATAAATGTATTTTTGGATTTCAGGTACAAGACTCCACCCAAGACCGGGCAAGCAAGGCGCGCTCGGTAAACGCCTTTTGGCGCGCCACTTAGCCGTAGAGGACATGTTGCCGTCCCGCCGACGCGCCTGGGTTAAGCTTGATACAAGAAAAGGTGCCCCATCGTGAAAGCACCCTTCCTTCCATCATCACGACACCGTCAAGATGGATATTCTACAGGTATCTTCTGCCGCCCACTCAACTGACTTTGATGGGCCATGCTGATAAATTGTAGCGCCTGGCACATTTCTTGGATAGGCCACTGTTCCCATGGAAGAAGCTTATAGTGGGCTTCTCCCTTGCACAGTACCTTTTCGAAAGCTACCTCTCCCTCCGTCAATACCAGGTCTTGAAGAACACTAGACCACCCAAGGTTCTCTCCAACGAGGTCTCCCAGGAGGTCTTTGATAAATCCCAGGTTCGCCCGCTCCACCCCACTTGCAATTTATCACCATGCTAACCATACCCGAAGGCATACGGACGCGCAAAGGCGCAGTTCAGCTTCGTCTCTTCTCTCTACGGCCAAATCCAAAACACTGCTTTCATCTACTACGATATTCTCCCGAAACTCTGGACCTTGACTGGATCATGGCTCCTTCGATTCGCACCGACCCGCTTCTCCGGCGAGATCTCTCACTCGATCGTCTTCGTCCTTACATTTATCATCATCCAACAAGTTCTTTCGCTACCTACTTCGATCTACAGCACATTTGTCTTGGAGGAGAAATTTGGCTTCAACAAGCAGACGCCTAAGGTCTTCGTTACCGATATCTTGAAATCTCAGATGCTGGCGTTCATCCTTGCCCCACCTATCCTTGCCGGTTTCCTCAAGATCGTCCAGAAGACTGGCAACCAGTTCTTCTACTACCTCTGGCTATTCGGAGCCGCACTCCAGGTTTTCATGATCACCGTCTACCCAATCACCATCCTGCCACTCTTCAACAAGCTCTCGCCTTTGGACCCAGGAGCACTCAAGACCGGCGTCGAAGGCTTGGCACAGCGCCTCAACTTCCCTCTCAAGGAGCTCTACGTTATCGATGGAAGCAAGAGAAGCGCCCACAGCAACGCCTACTTCTTCGGTCTGCCATGGAAGAAGCACATCGTCATCTACGACACCCTCATCGAGAAGAGTGAAACCGAGGAGGTCGTGGCCGTTCTCGCACACGAGCTCGGCCACTGGAGCCTTGGTCACACGACACGTCTATTCGCGATCTCACAGGTATGCATGCCAGACAAATTACTTCAAGTGGAAACATATTAACAAGTAATTCCCAGGTCCACTTCTTCTACATCTTCTCCCTCTTCTCCGTCTTCATCAACAACAAATCCCTCTACCGCTCCTTCGGCTTCCACACCTCAATGCCCATCATCATCGGCTTCATCCTCTTCTCCGACGCGCTCGCGCCCATGGACACCGTGATCAAGCTACTAATGAACATCCTCTCGCGGCGCTACGAGTTCCAAGCCGACGAGTTCGCGCAGAAGCTCGGCTACAGCACCGAGCTCGCAAAGTCCCTCATCAAGCTCCAGATCCAGAACCTGAGCACCATGGACGCCGACTGGATGTACGCCACGTACCACTTCAGCCACCCGATCCTGAGCGAGAGGCTGGGCGCGCTGGGGTGGCATGGCGATAGGAGCGGGGAGAGCGTGGTGGATGAGAAGAATGATGGTGCGGTGAAGGCGAGCGGACGCGACGAGTTGTAAGGGTCGTAGGGTTGTAAAAGCTGTGCAAACACAGCGCGCGCACGCACCGCGCAGATAGAGAAGGAGGAGGAGGGGCGCGAGGAAGGAAGGAGCGCCGCCTTCTTTGAAGCGAGAATTAAAAAAAATGTTGTCCTTCACGCCGCTCCCATTCATTCTCCCTTGGTGACCACCCCCGCAAATGTCGTAATATCCAACCCATGAAGCCGCAAACACACTCACGCACTAGCCCCCTTCCTCGCCTTCTCCGCCTTCTCCCTCTTCAGCGCCTTCTCCTTCTCCTTCTTATCCCTCTTCCTCGCCTCCTTGTCCTGTTTCCCCCCCGCCGCCTCACTCGCCTTCACCTCCACCGCCTCCTTTACTCCCTCCTCACTCGCCACCACCGTCTCCCCTCCCAGCTCCCCAACCTCAACACTCTGCTCCCTCTGATACTCATCCAGATCCTGCCACCCATCCGTCCCCATCTCCGCGTCCCCCTTCTCCTCGCCATTGACAACGGCAGCGGCAGCGGCACCGGATTCTTCGAGATCAAGCACGGGCGCTAACCACTCCCCGCGTAAACCGGCTTCGACGCGGCGTAAGTGCTGCATGGTGAGGTTGGAGGCTGCGTCGGAAGGGGCGATGGGACCGGTGGGTTGGAGGGTCGCGTTGGGGAGGAGGGAGGGGGTGGTGGTGGCGGCGGTGAGGTAGGTGGTTAGGTGGGTGAGGGCGAGGGAGGGGGGGATGGGGTGGGAGGGCTTGGAGTGGTGGGGGGGGAAGGAGGTGGTGGACATTTTTTGGCTGTGGTGGTGGTTGTGGTGGTTGCGCCGGTAGGTATCTTGGTATTGGTGTTTGGAGTTCGGAGTTGAGGGTTGTGGTTATGTCTGTGTGCGATTGTAGATGTGTATATTTACTTCGTCTGTACCCAGCGCAAGAATTGACTCTTTGAAAATAAAGTAGTTGCTCGACCTGCCCTTATCGCAAGAAAAAAAATCGAGGGTTGCGGATTGGAGAGCTCGGGGACATTTTGGCTCAAGAAATTATTTGGCAAGCGGAACCTACTCCGCTAGCGCGGATTGGAATTTGGCTGCCGACGAGAACATCACGTTCCAACCTTCAAACACCAGTATCAAGCCAAACGTCTCGCTGCGTCTGCGCAACAACACGTCACTTGACACCATGCTGTCCCTACGCTGTTCACGAGGCGTTACTGCGGCTTTGAAGCCGGTTATGCAGGCGAAGGCTGTTAAATCCGTGGCTCCTCAAGCTTCGAGGTCCGTCTACACCCTCCCTCCCTTCCCTTTCACCTTGAGCCGCACCAGCAACCACCGATGCTCTATGCTATTCAATAATACTAACCCCCCGCAACAGAACCTTCAGCATCCTCACCCCCCTCCGCCCCTCCCTGCAACCCCGCGCCCTCGCCCGCGCGCCTACCTCCGTCTCCTCCTCCGCCGCCATCGACACCACCACAACCACCACCAGCGCGTCCAGCAGCGAGATCCTCGACCTCCTTCCGAAAATCAGCACGCACCCCTCTCTAGCGGGTATTCAAGTGCGTTGCGGGCCGAGGAATACGTTTAGTCCGTCGCATTTTGTGAGGAAGAGGAGGCATGGGTTTTTGTCGAGGGTGAGGACGAGGAAGGGGAGGGCGACGCTGCAGAGGAGGAAGAGTAAGAATAGGAGTACTTTGAGTCATTAGAGGAGGGGAGGGGAAGGGATATTGAAGGAAGAGGGGAGGGGTGGAGTGGATAAAAGTGTTGGGGGAAAGGGAGGGAGAAGGAAAAGGTGGTGGTGGTTGTACGATTTTTTGGAGGGTGTGTAGTGTATGTGTATACTTATGGGTTGGGGCATAGATATTGGGAAACAAAACAGAATGAAGGAACAATATACTCTCAACGAGCATGTTTCCTACAGTTATATCCCTTGTCACTGAACTGTGAGATGTCGTCCAGAAGAGCAGTAGCAAACTGGCCAAGAACGAGGTGTACCGGGTCTTACGGTGGGATATTGGAGCATAGATTGGGAAACAAAAGAGAATGTGGAACAATATCCTGCCAATGAGCATATTTGCAGCTTCTCTCTTCCACTGCTCAGTCAATTGCAAGATGTCGTCTAGAAGTTAAGCAGCACATTGGCCAAGGACGAAGTGTACGAGATCTTGCGGTGGGATATTGAGGGTATATGTATTGGGAAACAACAGAGAAGGAAGGGAAAATACACTGTCAATGAGCATATTTCCAACTACTCTCTTCCACTACTTAGTATATTGTAAGATGTTGTCTAGAGGAACAGTAGCAAACTGACCCACGGACGAAGTGACGGGGTCTTGTGATGGGATATGGGGGCGTAGAGAAACAAAACAGAATGAAGAAACAATATACTCTCAACGAGCATGTTTCCTACAGCGTTCTTTCACTTGCCACTGGATGGTAAGATGTCGTCCAGAAGAGACAACACCAGCAAACCAGCCAAGCCCAACCCCCATCTCCACCCTCAAAAATAACGAGCGAGCACACACAAAACATGCGGCTCTTCCCCAACCTCCCCTTCCCACCCAATAGCTCTCCCCAGCAAAGCCACGACCCGTGTCCGCCCTGAAATCAGGTCCGCCCATGAAATTACCTGCCTACTTCACCTCCACGATTTCCCACATGGCAAATGGCACCATCATCTCCCGTCCGTCCGTTCCTCCCTAGTTTGGCTCAGACCCTCCAAAGCGGGCTCCCCAAAATCCAATAGCTTGGAGACTAGCGGCGATAAATATGGAATGGCAGCCGCCTACGTCTATGTCCGAGTGATGTGCATCTCAGCAGTTCAAGGGGATGGGGGCCAAGAAGAGGGAAGGTCTGTGGCGATTTGATGTTTCTTTCGGCCAATAATTCTCCGACTAGCGGGCTCGGCCGCGAGGGGGGGATAGGGGTCAGACTACATGGTTACTATGGAGGGGTTTGGAGAGATTCTCAATAGTTTGACAGCTAATATCAATACCATGTTTTTGGCAATAGACGCCGCTGCCTGCAATGATTGAGCGGGGCATCAGTGTGGTGAGGAGTAGTATTCCAGAAAATCCCACAGTGGATCAAACGTATTTTATTGTGACGTCCCCCCCACCTCCGATACCACCGTCCCCAAACCTCAGACATTCCACGGCTTCGAATCCCATTTCAGGAAGGCAGAGCAGAGGAGGGAATCCCTCAGAGACAAAGAAGGAACAAAGAGGACCCCGGATATCGATGGGAAATCGATATATCCGCCTCCACCCACTGCCGATCGGTGTGGCGCGCAGAGCAATATAAGCTTGATCTACACATCTCGGAGCTGGATGATGCAAGGAGTAGAGTAGGGAGATACATTGATGATGGGAGGGGATAGGAACAGGACAGGACAGGGTCAGACATCGGCCCTCTCAGGGGTCTCCTCGGGGGAACAGATAGGCCGTTATGGTATGTGAGGAGGGGAGGGGTGGAAAGGTCAGGGCCCGCGGCGGCCAGAATGTCGGCCTTGTATGGGGCGGGGGCAACTTTCCTTTCTCTTCAGCAGCGTACAAGACGTGCCACAGGCTAGGATATGGTATGATACTCAAATCCCCCAAGTGTCACGAATGTCACGTCCGGAGTCTCGGAGTCCAGTCAGTTCGCTGGGGTAGGTAGGATCGCAGGTCCTCCTCCTCTCATCCCATCCACTCGTTCATAAAGCTATGGCGAACTACTAATCTTATATAGTTGCGCACGGAAATATAAGATATGGTGTAGGGGACTGTGCCCATCGCGGGCTTCGAGAACAATTTTTTCGGGGGGTTTTTGCATTGAACATACGATGGTATGGTATACTCCTACTACAACTGGTGCTACCCCCCATGAATTGTTGCGTGCCCCACTTCACCCCTTTTTCTGATCCCGGCTGGAGATCGCTGGGCGCCGCTGGGCGCTGGGCGTGGCGGCGGTGGTGGGAGGTGCGTGCGGTGGGCGGTGGTGGTGGGTGGGTGATGCACGTCAATATAGGAAAGTAAGTACGGGGGTTGTCTGTGTTTGAAGTACTCGCTCGGCTTTGTAAACCATGTCGTATACAGTACCCATCTATCAAACGAACGGGAGTCAGTTGTCCTACCCTCCCTCTCCTTACTCCTCAACTACCGTTCTGCCAGCATCTGCCAGCATCTGCCAGCATCTGACATCTGCGGAAACGCCATGTCGTGCAAGAGTCATGTACTGTACTGTACCTCGGTGTGTGGTGATGTATGTGGTGATGACCGAAAATACGAGGCGAATGCTGTAAGACAACAGTGTTTCAAGATTGGGGCTGGGCTTGGCTGGCTGGCTAGGAGGGGGGAGGGTGTAGCCTTTTCTGGATCGGCCCTTGTTTTTTTGGGGGGGGGGCGGCGAAAGAACTCTCAGACACTTTTATTTTAGAATTTCTTAGATGGAGGGAGGGCTGATGGAGACGGTGGTTTGGGTTTGGATCAGGTTTGGTTTTACACCCCCCACCCCCCCCCCCTTTTTTTTTGAGGGCATTAATGGTGCATTCGTTATTGTCATGTATGTATGGTGAGGTGGTTTGAGGTTTAGAGTTTGGGGTTTTGAGATAGTGGAGGAGGGGGGTTTCATGTGATGTGATGGGAGATGGGTGGGTATGTTTTGTACCTGACAGTTTGGTTTGTGAGAGGGACGACAAACAGATGTGAGATGTACGTACACTACAGGAAGTGGTATATCGTAATTGACGAGCTGGAGCTCAGCTGAAGCCTTTCGCATCCTCCATCCTCTGTATGTCCGTTCTCGGCGTAGTAGTATGGTATGGTATGTATGTGTAGTCTGCCTCCGGTCAAGGAGAGGGAACCATTATTCCGATGGAGAGGATGAGTGAGCGACTTACTCGCATAGGACGGAATCCGAAGTCAGTTTTGGTTTTGTTACTGTATACGTATCTATCTATCTATTCTCCCTTCTGTATCAAGAGTAACTGCCTGTATCTATCTATACTCCCTTCTATATGAGCGGGCATCACGAAACTTCTATACTCCCTTCTCTATGAACGGGCATCACGAAACTTCATCTACTCGCTCGTCACACTCCTCACACCCCTCCCTCACTCCTAACTCACTCCCTTGCAAATTCCACGTCAGAAACTCACCCACAACCCATATAGCATAGAGAACAATGAACCAGGAACAGAAACACACACACGCCCACAACCGTTAGCATAGCCAACAATGAACCAGGAACAAGAAACAGAAACAATAAAACCTAGAATAACACTACCGTGCATGATTCTCTCTTGTTAGTACAGTAGTCTGGCTTCAGGGCGTCTAAAAGCGTTATCACACCGCACCGTTGCATCAAACACACAAGTACCGTACCTTGCTTGCTTTGCCTGTTCGGTAGTGCATAGTACCTTTGATCCTTTATGATCCTTATGATCCTATGATCGTCTAATCCTATGAGCTGGTATTGTCCTGTGCAGCAGTGGAAATATACAGAGTACATACGAAACTACCTATACAATGGCTTACGGAAGCGCCGTCTCTCCGTCCCCTTCACCCTCAGGAGATCGCCATTGTTCCCCATCACAAATCACACCCCCGAATACGCCCCCCCCCAACACCCTATTTAGTGACTTCTCATTTGTATGTAACACACCATATAACAGCAAGTACACCACCACCAACATCCCAGTCTTTTATCCCCCGGCCACTAAACTAAATTTGCCTTTCGTGCTTTAACTGCATGCGCCCCTGTCCTATCGGCAATCAACGAACATCAACTAAAAACCCTTAGCGCCCTTTCTCCAACAACCTATTCGTTTTCTTACCCACCGACCACCACCGACCACCACCGTCCACCACCAACCACCGACATATCACTAAAACCACTAAACTGCCACCCCCATCGCACCCTAACACCACCCTAACCACCCTAAACCACTCTGACCCTTTCCCACCCTTTCACCCTCCACCCTTCCACATTTCCACCCTTCCACCACATCCATACCCCATCGTCCGGTCCACCAATCCACCAATCCATCAATCCACCAATCCACAACCACTCACACCACCACTCAAACTCCCCTTTACACCTTTACTACCACCACTACCCACCACTACCACCCATCACGAACTCTCTCTCCCTCCTTTCACAATTCAATCCCAACTTTTGCTCACTCAGCTGTTGGCTTACACATTCACAAACTATACAGTTCTTCTTTCTCCCTCAGCCACGGCCACTTCAATCTTGACCTTCAATCAAAAACCCGCCATCGCTGTTGTGGACAACGACGACAAACAATAAAATCTCTCTTTCCGTGGTACGTCAATTTCCCCTTCAGCGTCCTTAGTCTCGGGTAGTGCGGGTCGCTATTACCTATCTGGGCCTGTTTGATTTCGCTTGCCCAGCGACAAGGAGCTTCCTTCGGACATCCACCTTTTTGTTCTTTCGTTGTACACTTCCTGTCAACCAGCGCTTCTTCACGGTGTGGATGAGTTTGGCGATATATTCATCGCGTTCATAATAATACCACAAAGACTTTTGGTCGCGCCTTACTAACACCTCATCTCATCAACAGCCACCACCACGACCTCCTTTCGCCCCCGACTTCCACAGTCACATCCCACGACAAACATTGCTCCCTTCAATCATCAACACCAACACAGTGATCACCGCAAGGGACATCAGCCACGATGGGTTGCGGTATGAGCACAGAAGAGAAGGAGGGCAAGGCCCGGAACGAGGAGATTGAGAACCAATTGAAGAGAGACAAGATGATGCAGCGCAACGAGATCAAGATGCTTCTGCTAGGTCAGTCACATCCACCGACTCCGATCTTGGAGTCCCACCACAAACAACGTCTAACCCCTCTCCAGGTGCCGGTGAATCCGGAAAGTCCACCATCCTCAAGCAGATGAAGCTCATCCACGAGGGTGGCTACTCACGCGACGAGCGCGAGTCGTTCAAGGAGATCATCTTCAGCAACACAGTCCAGTCGATGCGCGTCATCCTGGAGGCGATGGAGTCCCTCGAGCTGCCACTCGACGACCAGCGCGCCGAATACCACGTCCAGACTATCTTCATGCAGCCACAGCAGATCGAGGGTGACAACCTGCCCCCGGAGGTTGGCAACGCCATCGAGGCGCTTTGGAAGGATGTTGGCGTCCAGGACTGCTTCAAGCGCTCCAGGGAGTACCAATTGAACGATTCCGCAAGATAGTAAGTTCCCCTGAACAATTATGGCGCCCGACATGAACAACCTTTTGGGACTACAAACGACCAGTCATTTGACGCCTATCCAATCGCAATACTGACTTTGTTTTCCAGCTACTTCGACAATATCTCCCGCATCGCGCAGCACGACTACATGCCCAATGACCAGGATGTCCTGAGGTCTCGTGTTAAGACCACCGGTATTACGGAGACCACCTTCATCATCGGCGAGCTCACATACAGGATGTTCGATGTCGGTGGACAACGTTCTGAGCGTAAGAAGTGGATCCATTGCTTCGAGAATGTCACCACCATTCTCTTCCTGGTCGCCATCTCTGAGTACGATCAACTTCTCTTCGAAGACGAGACCGTGAACCGCATGCAGGAGGCGCTCACCCTGTTCGACTCCATCTGCAACTCCAGGTGGTTCACAAAGACATCGATAATCCTGTTCCTGAACAAGATCGATCGCTTCAAGGAGAAGCTCACCGTGTCGCCGATGAAGAACTACTTCCCCGACTACGAGGGTGGAGACGACTACTCAGCTGCCTGTGACTACATCTTGAACAGATTCGTCAGCCTGAACCAGCACGAGGCAAAACAAATTTATACCCATTTCACTTGCGCAACCGACACAACGCAGATCCGCTTCGTCATGGCGGCTGTAAATGGTAAGCTCTCACCCAATTTCTGTCTTTCGACGTTCACTTACTAACAATCCCAGACATCATTATCCAGGAGAACCTTCGCCTCTGTGGCCTGATCTAGACGCACGAACCATCCGGATACCCAATCTCGTTTTTATCAAAGCACACATCGAATCCACACACACACGGCGTTACTGCGTTCTGAGCTTGTTTCTTGGTGTCCAACCCACACAGCGCCTGACGCGACAATTTGGGTCTCTTTGTATTTGGCTACTATACCAATCATGCGTCCCCTTACGAGCGAATAAATCCACCTGAAATTTTCACACCAATTGCATATTTGTCTTCCATGTCTGCCTTGCGAAATCTATCCACCCTTTCGACAATGCCACACGAAAATACATTCTCACAAACCTTTCATTACGACGCGATTGACCGAACTCACTCCCGGACCGGTTGATTTATAAAAGAATACCTTTCAAAAGGGCGGACTGGAAGACAAGTTGCATTGGGTGCAATCATTTCACGTTGATCTACAATTATTCATCCCTCAAGACCGGGTCGTCGCCCCTTGTTGTATGAAATGATTTTTTCGCCCACCACACAACCCATTTTAATGTGTCTGTTTACCATCCTTTTTCCATTTTTCTTGTTTCCTTTATAAGTGCTTTGTGTGTCATCTTACGATCTCGACCGGCGCATGACTGAGATTCTTTCCCCTTTGATTTATTTGGCCAGGGATTTTGGCAGGGGGAGGATCAACCGTGTTTTTTTTTCTTTGTTAGTATTTTTACATAATGGGGATTTGAGAGAGCCAACTGAAAAAGAGGAAGGCGGAGGGGCGGGAGAGGAGGGAAGGGAAGGGGGGAGGGAAGTGTTTTCACGATGCGTTTATGTGATGATGGTTGGGTGGGGGGGAGGACTGTTATAGGTTTGGGAGATGGGAGAGGCATTGTGCGCTGGATCTTCTTTCTCTTGGACCTTGTGGCGGTGTGATCTGGGGAGAATGATATAGGATTTTTGTACATGTTTGTGTGTGTGTGCTTGTGCTGGTGGGATGTGATGTGATGTGATGACTTGCGATGGCTTCCTTCCAGACGGATATGCATGGTCCTGTGAAAGTGTGTAGGAATCCCATGCCGTAGTGTACTGGTATTAACTCCCATCGTAGCCGTCAGGTCTTATTCACGACAAGGTAGTTCAGTAGTTCACAAAGGCCAGATGGAGGGTCTACTTCTCGATGAATGGGTGGGTTCCCTTGCTGCTCTCCCATTCCGTTGAACGTACGTACAGCTCTGATTTTTATTTTTTCTATTTGGATAATCCTCCTCCACAGATCCCAGACGCCCAAGCTCATATGCGGCCGTGATTTGTGGCGCATTTTTTACCTTGCCGTTCAAGCAAGGAGGACAATGGGTCTGGAACAGGCATCTGGGGGGGTGGGAGGGGCAGAGGTTGTATTAACAGTCGTAACAGATGGTAAACAATGAGTATAATGGAGCGCGAGCTTGTTGGAGGATAATGATTACCGAAACAAATCGAGGGGGAGAGAGAGAGGGAGGGAGATGTTTGGATATGGATCTAGGAGGTACAAATGCCTAGCTTGAAGCCGTGATGCTGTACCTCCTATTGCAGCATCTGGTCCCATTGGAGCGGTTCAAACGGTCCAGAAAGAGTCGGATGGGAAGTGTAGCTTCGTTAATGGATGAGGGGGGTCTTTTTTGTTGGCAGTTTTTTGTAGAGACAGTGATAGATTATTGCCTATTGAGAATAAGCCCCATGCATAGGGGGGATCTATGATAATATCCAGCGACGCACTGCACCATCCATACCTCAGGGCCGTTCGACTCCAATCCTCCGCTTCAGCACCCCCGCATTTCGCCATGAAGATGCCATCGCCATCCCCACTCATCCAACAACCTCCGCCTCCTCCTCCACATCCTCCTCCCCCCTCCTCCTCTTCCCCGTAACCCTTCCCCCCTTCTCCCCAACCTTCACAAACTGATCCTCCAAAAACGCCTCACTAATCCGCTCAGGCGGGACTAGTTTTCCATCCACAAGCGTCCAGCCTACGCCTTGCATCTTCGCCCATTCGCGGCCGATGGACCAGCGGACGAGATCACCGGCGGCGTTGGCGTCTTCTTTGCTGTCGTGGCCTGGTGCTACGACGCCCTCCTCGGCGGGGGCGGATGTGGATGTAGACCCAGCAGCTGATGTAGCTGGGGCAGCTACAATCCCACCACCAGCTTGGATAGTCCTCCCCAAATGTAGGGAGACGAGGGTACGCAACGCATGTCGGTATGGTAGCCCCGCTTGGTGGGGAAATAACAGTGCCGTATCGATGACAGTTGGGTGGATGAGCCTAACAGCATTCAAATCATTCTCCAACCCATGCCCAATAACCGGCGTCCTCGGCGTCAAAAACCGCAGCAGCAACTCCCTCGCCGCCTCAGGTGACTCAACGACATGGAGTCTTTTCGCGCCTTTGAGTTTCTCGGCGTCGCTGGGGGAGGAAATATCAAGGGGGTTGGGGAGGGAGGGCGCGTTAGTGAGTTGTGCGGCTGAGACGCCGGACCAGCGCGTGTTGAGATCCAACACCTCGCCCAGGGGGCGCACAAGGATATCGAGGAGTGGGGTGCCGCTCGGCCAGGATGTGGCGGTGAGACGGATGAGTTCGAGGCCGTGGACTGTATATCCCATTTCGCCATCGATGCAGACCGGTTCATCGTCATCCGCCTGATCATTCTCGGGTGTGCTGATGAAATTAAACAGCGCAGCGAGGCGCTTGACTTCAGTCACTTTAAAGACGTGGGTAGTCGCTTTCGTGCACCCGGCGGAATCACCAAGAGCTTGTCCACAGCACCGGTACCGCTTCTCGCGCTTTGAGCCTTTGATATCTGTCGCTGAGCGGGAGGGGAAGAAGGGTTTTCCCCAGTGATACGTGCATGTACCCCCTGAGGTGAGGAGCCCGTCGGATTCGCGCCGCCCGGGGAAGACTTGGAAACGGGACTTGCATCTATCGCAGACTTCCCAGCCCTGGGCGGCTGCGAGCCCGGACTGTGCCGTGGCGATGGAGTCAGCGGAGGGTATGGAACTGACGTATCCGTGTGCGGAGAGGGAGGTGAGCGGGGTGAGGAGTTTGGGGAGGAGGGAGAGCTCGAGGTGTTGGGGTAGGCCGGTGGTTAGGGGTTTTGGAGCTGCGGCGGTGGGTGGGGGTTTGCTGGTTGAGGTAGCGGGGGCGGATTTGGCGGCTTCGGCATCGATGGTGGTTTGGCGCGCGGATTTCCAGTCGGCGAGGGGCATTTTTTTGTACCGCACTATGGTATTCTTGACGACGCTGGAGTGGATGGCTGGTTTGTCTTTGGCGGCTTGTTCTTCGATGTCGAGGGCCATGGTGATGAGTTCCTGGGCGGTGAGGAGGAGGGATTTGTTCGGGGGAGATTCTTTGGCAAGCTCGGTGTTGAGACGGACGAGTTGGTCGTGGAGGAGGTTGACGAGTTTGGTTCGGAGCTCGTGGGTTGCTGGGGAGTGCTTTAGGAGCCGCGGGTTGAGGGTCTCTGATTTTGCTGGTTTTGGGACTGATGGAGCGGCTTTTGGGGCTTGTTTTGCTGGAGCTGCCGCCTTCTTTGGTTCTGTCTTGGACATTTCTTCTGGTTTTTTTCCGGGAGCGAGACTGCTGGTGCGGCGAGGAGGTGGCGGGGATATTGGCCGCTTTTCTGAGGATGTAGAGCTTGACTCCTTCGCAGCCGCCTTGACTTCCGCGATATCTCCATGGCCTATCTTCCTTCGTTTTCGCTGCCCATCTTCAGCAGCCACTGCGATGGCCTGCTTCTCCGATGGTAGCTCTGGGGATGGCACAGCTGGTGAAGATTCGGCTGGCTTCATAGCTGGTGGCTTGTGATGTGCGAAGAGGCATTTTGGCAACAGGCAGCGATCGCTGTAGGGGCAGTCTATCTTGGAGAAGAGGCCCTTTGAGGTGAACATGGTCGCGGATGGAAAAGGCTAGGTTTGAGGTGTAGGATGCGGAACAAGGCTGAGGTTGACTCTTTATATATATGCCTTTAAACGGTATGATCTGGCTTGTAGGCTCGGGCTATCTGAGAACTGTTGTGCTGGTCAGAAATCTGCGTAATTCATGTCGCTGCACGTGACTTGGGTGAAGGCCAGGATGGAGAATAAATAGGGAAGTGAGTGTGTGATGCTGAGCCAGTGAGATGCTAAGCCAGTGATATGAAGCAGGCAAAGCTTCAATTTCAGCTTTCTTATCACCTTGACAGACTTACTGAGAATTTATATACGGGGCCTCCAAGTGCAGATTATGGATCCCTTTTGAGCCTCGGATGTTGAGAAGATGTAGTCGATAGTGTTACAGTGAGCTAAGCCATCAAAGATCCATCCTCACTCGCTAGTCACACTACAATGCCTGTAGACTGTTGAGCCCGATTGATGCCTCTATCCATCTGAGGCCGGCGTAGTTGTCGGTGGCAAGTCGTCGTCGCTGGCCATATCGCGTTTAGCGAGTGTCGTTGATTTACAGTACATACCAAGGTACTCCCTCGTACAGATCTGATCTCAGCGACGCAGTCTAACTACAACAGGGCTATTATAACATTGATTCATTATTATATCTTATTTACTTTTATATATAGACGCGCATTGTTATATCAGAATTTAAACAACTCTCTTCTGACCTTAACCCCGATCTCCCGTCGGAGTTAAGCTGGTTGCATCAGTAGCGTCGTCAGTTTCTCAGGGGTCTGGGCTCGTCGTCGTCATTGACTATGTGTGCCTGGTCTGGGTCTGCAAGGTGGTTTACCTTGCCTTTTTATAATTTCTGTTAAATACAACTGTTCATACGCATATTCACATTCAAGCCTTTTCTTGGATGCGCTCTAAATACCCACCTGCAATACTAATTCATTATCCAAGTTAATATAATTTCTCGTCAATAAATCAACAAAATATCTCATAGAACAAACCGCGACCACCTTTTTACCGCCGGCCCTGGCTGCCAACCCCGCCATGGCAGACCATCTCTGTGTCCTCGTTCACGGGTACGCCTCTTATGTAACCTGTCTGAATGCAGCTCTAACACATATCTGCTCAAACCAGCCTCTGGGGCAATCCCAACCATCTCAAGAACGTCGCCAAGGTGCTCCGTGAGAAATACAGTGAGGACGAGCTCCACATACTGGTCTCCAAGCGGAACAGCGGAAGCTTCACCTACGATGGCATTGAGCTTGGAGGACAGCGTGTGTGCCAAGAGATTGAAGAAGAGCTGAAGCGTCTTTCGGAAAGCGGCCAGACAGTCAAGAAGTTGAGCATGGTTGGGTATTCTTTGGGTGGCCTCGTAGCGCGGTATACCGTTGGTCTCTTGGAATCGCGAGGCCTTTTCGACAACATTGAAGCAATTGTAATTCACAAATCCTCACAAATTTAGGACGTCGAGCATACTAACTAAGCCGTAGAACTTTACCACCATAGCGACACCCCACCTCGGGGTAAGATCTCCAAACCGCGCCGTGATAAGTCAGATCTTTAATGTGCTCGGGCCACAAATGCTGTCCATGTCCGGGACGCAACTATTCATGGTCGACAACTTCCGCGAGACTGGCCGGCCCATCTTGGAGGTTATGGCGGATCCAAATTCCATCTTCATTACGGGACTGCGGAGGTTCAAGAGGCACTCATTGTATGCGAATATTACCAACGATAGAACCGCACCGTTCTACACTACGGGAATCTCCAAAATCGATCCGTTTGTGGACCTGAAGGCGGTGGATGTGGGGTACCTTGATGGATACGAGGACGTTATTCTGGACCCAACGCGGCCGTTTTCGCCCAAGGAAAAGAAAATCCTAACATTTTATTCCAAACTCAAGCATGACGCATCCTTTTTCTTCAGGAACCTCCACATTTTTGCCCTCCTTACAATAGTTATCCCAATCGGCACGCTTGCCTTCATCACCTATGCTGGCATCCAGACTATACTGAGTAGCAGCAGGATACGGCTGCATGAGTCTGGCAAAGCTGGGATTGACCCGAGCAGCTATCGGACACCCTTCCTGCTGGACATCCGCGAGGCAGTCGAAGATGCGTATGGGAACCTCAATAGTGCCCAAAGCCAACAGTTCCTCTCCGCCGCTCCCAGCACTGCTGGATCGTCAGAGGATGAGTCTGAGGCCAGCGGACGGCCGTTAATGGGGAACCAAGCGGCCGAGAAGCCGTCCCGTTCGACTACAAAGGGTTTAACAAACGGCAATCCTGGTACCGACATATCGCCCAAAGAGACGCCGACTCTGGCCCTTGCCCCCGAGCAGTTTACTATCATCCGGAACCTTGATAGTGTGGGCTGGAGGAAATACTTTGTGCATATTCACAAGCAGCGACATAGCCATGCTGCGATTATTGTACGAAGGGATAAGGAGGACTTTAGTGAGGGGTTTGTGGTGCTGCGGCATTGGTTGGACGAGTTTCTTATGGAGTAGATGTTGTAAGGATTCGGTTTTACGTTGGTGCTGAATCATGGGGAGTTGTGTCGGTTGTCAACGACTTGATTTGGAAATTTCTTTTGATATTGCAACTCTAGATTTTTTAAATTTTGATAGGAGGCGTTATATAGAAAGGACGGTCTCTTGTATTTGGACGGGTTATAGTTATCGGATTAGATTTGAAGGTGTATTTATAGATGTTTTATTGCTACTCCTCTCAGGGGCGTTTAATACAAGGATAAACAATGGATATTAATTTTGGCAGAACTGATGCCAGCAATTACCCCAGACGAATAATAACCCCGAAACCGTTGAGTTCAGGATACTCATTTGACATCCACATCCACATGAGCAGGGCACTTGGTCAAATGAGTGTATAGTTCGGTGTCAAACTCTGAGCGCCAGATCTATACTTATTTACACGGAATTTAGAGATCTGACCTTCTCCTTGGCATTACTGCCAAAGTCTACAGGTGGCCCTGAGCTTCCAGTCAACATAGCCGTCTTCCCCGTGGTATCAGTGACCATCATCTGCGCCATCATATTCCTGCCGACCACATCGTCGTAGACTTTTTTGGCCGCAGCAGCACCAGTTCCTAGACAGTAAATTAGCTAATCTCTACTTGTGCGGTTTATACATCAAAGTTTAAAAAAGCAATTTATAAATTCCCATCATCTTCATAAAAACGAACTCACCAGGAGCTGGACGAAACTGATTGGGATGCGTCAAAGCGCGACCAGCCTCGATGTTGTCAAACTCAGAACAGCATGTACTTCGACCTCTTCAGAAAGTCCCACACGTGGTACAGAGTCTGGTTTGGGGTTGGCGGAGTCCAGAGCTCATGGTTCTCGATGGCTCTAGTTATCGGGGCAGCCACCCCAAGATTAGCTCTTCTAGATTATATGTGGAGCACGATCGTAAACTCTGGGGAGGTTGAGCAAGGTCTCACTGTATCAATTCCCCGAGTTTCTGCTCCATCGCCGCGCGCTTCTCTGGGGCTGGGGCGGCAGGCATGGTTGTGGAGGCTTGCGTGGGTATGGAGTACGTATGGAAATTCAAGATGTTGGTAGTATGAGGCTTGAGCTGGTGATGGGGGGGAGGTATTTTTTTTCAAGATATATTACAGGTTGGTAGAGCGGCTGGGGTGAATGAATTATGGTTCACACCGCGTATGCTATCGGTGTAGTGGAGACCATAGTGGACAGCCCCTGAATAGCTTATGCAGGCTGTATTATGTAAGTCAACGAGACACGTCCTCAACACAGCCAAAAGAGACGGGGATCTGCTAGTGGTGATGGGCGTGCAAGCTGAATTGAGATCTTCAAGGATAGGAGAGGATAGGAGAGGGTTAAGGGTGAAGGAAGCCCAACATGTTGTGGCGGTTCGACCCTGGAACTTGGCGCCACAGAACGGCACAGAATGCCACGGAAATACCACAGTATGATGAAGTGCGTACAATTGCGGCAGGTAGTACAGTCTATGAAGAGGGGTGTAGTTGTATAGGTATAGTACTGTATTTCCACAAGATGAGATCTGTTGAGTACAACTTATATAGAGTAGTTTGTACAGTAAAGCACAGTCAACATTCAACATTCGCTCTATCTAAACCACGTGATATCACTCAAACGCACGGTGATAGAGGCTTAAGCTGGGTCGAGTAACTGGCAGTTTTAGAGGCACGCACATGTCATTGATACTGACGATAAATTGACGATAAATTGTTGGTTGTTGCACTTGATTTGGCTTGATTTGATTGGTTGAATCATGTGAAACCCTAGCTTTCTCTCGACCTTTGGGTCTTTAGTTTGGGCCATGATCTAAGACCGCCTTGGCATCACGCTAACCTACTTTGAGCTCCAAGCCCTGACCGCTAAGGTACCCTCAACTGTATATTCCCCTCCTATCCCTCTCATTCGCTACCCCGTTGAGCTGTCCACGATCCCATATATTTCCCCGTCACCGTTTCCCTTTCTTCTGTGGACAAAGTTGGGATTCACAAGGCATCATGGCGTCCGAAACCAAAAGCGCCAATGGCTCCTCCGAGAGCGACTTTGAGTTTATAGAAACTCCAAAGGTTCACACGCCAACCTTTGAGAAGTTCGAGGAGTGTGGTGTCAAAACCACGGCTGTAAGTCTACCACACCAGGAGCTCTCCTGAAGCTTGATTTGCAGAGCGTATTTGTTGAGCCATACTGACTGCAAAATTATAGTATCCTGCGATCAAGAATGCCCCTCTCCCAGCTGATGGCCCTGGATCCGAAAGCTTCTCTAACATCGCCCTCTTCTCACTGCTGTTCATTGTGCCCGCATACACGGCCTGGAAAGTCGGTGGCGGTCTGAAGACGACGATTTTTTTCGGCCTCTTCACCTCGATCCCGCTCCTGATTTCCTTCTGGTACCTTAACTCGACCCTCGGCCCCCGCAAGAATGAGAAAGTGAGACTTCCGGGTCGCCCGATCGAGCACTACCTCACCTTCAAGAACGATGCCGATAAGCTCAAGTACCGCGGAAGGACCAAGATCCCAATCGAGACCTTCCACAACATGTACTTTGAGGGCGATGTTGAGTTCAACGGCGACTGCCTCGAGGTCCTCGAGTACCGTGCCGACTGGGCCAGCTTTACTTTCACCATCAGCTTGTTCAAGTTCATCTTCTTCCAGTTCGCACCGGAAGTCATTATGCACACTCGCTCGCAGGGTACGTTTATGCATTCCTACTTCTGTAATACTATATACTAATATTTGGCAGATGAGGAGCAGGTCAGAGATCACTATGACAGAGGCGATGATTTCTACGGGTGGTTCCTTGGACCACGTATGATTTACACCTCTGGCATTATTTCCGACATCACTAAGGAGGAGACACTTGAGGAGCTCCAAGATAACAAGCTTGCCATCGTTTGCGAGAAGATTGATCTTCAAAAGGACGAGCGCATGCTTGATATTGGATGCGGCTGGGGAACTCTAGCCAAGTTTGCTAGTGTCAACTTTGGCGCTCAAGTTACTGGTATCACCCTTGGCCGTAACCAAACCGCCTGGGGAAACAACGGTCTCCGCAAAGCTGGCATTACCGAGGAGCAGAGCAGAATCCTCTGCATGGACTACCGCGATATCCCAGTTCCAGAGGGCAAGTACCACAAGATCACCTGTCTCGAGATGGCTGAGCACGTCGGTGTTCGCCACTTCAAGTCTTTCTTGAGACAAGTTAATGACATGCTTGATGACGATGGAGTTTTCTTCTTGCAAATTGCCGGACTTCGCAAGTCGTGGCAGTACGAGGATCTTATGTGGGGTCTTTTCATGAACAGATACGTCTTCCCAGGCGCTGATGCTTCTACCCCGCTTGGATTCTTCGTCGACAACCTCGAGGGCGCTGGCTTTGAGGTCAAGTCCGTTGACACCGTTGGTGTCCACTACTCCGCTACCCTGTGGAGATGGTACAGGAACTGGCTCGGAAACCGTGACAAGGTTGAGGCCAAGTACGGCAGCAGATGGTTCAAGGTAAGTTATATTACACTACAGACAGAATAACGACTAATGGCGCTTTTAGATCTGGGAGTTCTTCCTTGCCTACTCCACCATCATCTCCCGTGAGGGAGGTGCTACCTGCTACCAAATCACCCTGGTCAAGAACATCAACTCTACCCACCGTGTTGAGGGCATTTCGACCCAGTTTGCTCTCACTGCGGCTCTTGCCAAGGGCCGCGCAGACATTGCGGCCAATGCTGCTGCCAACGGTGTCAAGGCCTAAATATGAAATGCCATCTAAATATTGTTATTGGCATGTATGATACGTATGATACGACGACTACAAATAGCCCAAAAGTAAGGGCGCGGTATTTGGACTATACTGTTTATGCCATCTAGATGTAGCTAAAAAGCTGTGCAGCGATTTAGCATGAAGAGAAACATGGGTTTATTATGATGGCAATCAAATAGAAGGAGGTATTGGGATACTTAAAAAGGCGATGATCATTTAGCTACGTAAATGCGAGTCGATGCCATAGATTGGTGGAAATGGAAAGTTATGATTGGTTTAAAAATGATTTTAAAAACTGAATGATACTTGAGATTGATTGTAAAACGAATCCAAATATATTTACCCCATACATTGGGAACGACCAACCTGTCCTGATAACAATTGATGCCTAAGGTGCATATACTCACTTCAGGCGGCAGTGGCGGGACAGTGGCTGGGTTGGCTAATTTGCGGCGGCGGAACTTGCCTCCGTCCTGGGAACCCAACTGGGTAACTACCGTCGTCAGCGACGTAGGCCGCCGCGCATCAAAACTTGTAGTTGGGATTCACATCTCAACCTTTTGTATCAGCTTTCGTTTTGTATCCAATTTTAGCATTTTTTTCCTTCATATCGCAATGTTTTCGGGCTCCAACTCGTACCTGGGCGGAAATGCCGGCCGCCCTACAGGCCCGCCGCAGCAGCAGCAGCAGTTCAACTCCTATAACCAGAATCAACAACCAAATAGCTTTCCTCAGCAACAGCATGCCCAAACCGGGGGGTTTCAGATGAACCCGCAGCCTACGGGCTTTCAACCTCAGCCGACCGGTTTCCAGCAGCCTGCGCCGTTGCAATCCCAATACACTGGCTTCCCAGGCGCCCAGCCTCAATATGGCCAGCAGCAGCATGACTTTGGAGCTCCGCCGATGCCAATGCAGCAACCTCAGCAGCAGCAGCAGCAACCCCAAGCACCGGTCCTACCCCAGCCGACGGGGTTTAGCCAAATGGCAGCTTCCTTCCAGACGGGAGATTCGAAACCAAAGGGCAGACGACAACCACAAGCCAAGTCGACAAAGATACCGAGCATACGGCTATCGTTCATTACCGCTAAAGACCAGGCGCAGTTCGAAACTCTCTTCAAGTCTGCTGCGGGGGATGACCAGGCCCTCTCGGGAGATAAGTCTAGGGATATATTATTACGATCAAACTTAGACGGAGACTCTCTGTCCCAAATATGGTATGGATAGGTCTCGCTGTCAGATTTTCACCGGCTAACATCAGTAGGACTCTTGCGGATACGACAAGATCAGGACACTTATTGTTCCCCGAATTCGCATTGGCTATGTATCTATGTAATTTAAAGCTCGTTGGCAAGCAGTTACCACCATCGCTTCCAGAGCATATTAGAAACGAAGTTTCAAGCATGGTCGATATTATAAACTTCGGCGTCGCTGACGATGCGCCTCAACCAAGAACGAACGTCCCCGACTTTAATACTCGATCTTCAACTGCGTCGCCCCCTACGATCCAGCAGCCGCAACCAATGGCATCGAACTCCCAGCTACTTACAGCACAAATGACCGGATTCCAGCAGCCGCAACAAACTGGCTTCCAGGGAGGGTTTCAGCCGCAGCCAACTGGGTTTGGTGGTCAGCAGCAAAACTTCCAAAATGCGACCAACCCGCAGGCTACTGGCTACACTGGACCACGGCCACCAATGCCTCCTATGCCAACTGGGTATGGACAGGGTGGCGGCTTAATGCCCCCCGGTGGTGGGATGGGAGGCATGGTGGCGCCACTCAACGCCCAGCCAACAGGAGTTCCTGGCCAGTGGGGATTGGTAAATGCCCCAGCTACGGGGCTTCCCAACATCGATGCGCTGCAAGCTCGCATGATGCCTCAGCAAGGCCGCGAGCAAGGCAACTTCACCACCGCTGGCTTGTCTGGAAATGCTGTTATCCCATGGGCTGTGACAAAGGATGAGAAGACGAGATATGACTCTCTTTTCAAGGCCTGGGACGGTTTGGGCAAGGGCTTCATTGGTGGCGATGTTGCTATTGAAGTCTTTGGACAGAGTGGCCTCCCTAAGCCTGATCTCGAAAGAGTTTGGACTCTGGCAGATAACGGAAACAAGGGTCGCTTGAACATGGATGAATTTGCAGTTGCCATGCATTTAATCTACAGAAAGCTTAACGGATACCCGCTTCCTGCTCAACTGCCAGCCGAGCTTGTGCCGCCTTCGACTAGAAACTTCAACGATTCTATTGGAACTGTGAAGTCTCTTCTTCAGCAGGAGTCTGCATATAGAAAGGATTCTGGCGCCAACCTGCTTCCCCAGAAGACTGGCGTCAGCTACTTGAAGAACCACTCGTTCCGCGGCGATTCGAACCAACTTAGGAGCAATCGTAAAGATGCCACCGTTTTCAAGAACAACGACGACGATGTTGGATATAAATCAAGCGCTCGTAGACGCTTAGGCACTGGATCACCACGCCCAGAATCTCCGTCCTCGACTACAAGCGAAGACCTTACCTTGGACCAGCTAAAGAAGAAAATCCGCGAGAAGCAAGTGGTTCTTGACGCGCTCGACTTCAAGGATGAGAATGCTGCCGAGGAGGATGACGTTCTTGACAGACGTGATCGCCGGGAAGCGGATGAGCTTTACAGGCGCATCCGTCGTGTTCAAGAGGACATTGACAGCCACCCAGACGCAGCACTCCGAAATGTGGACTCAGGGGCTGAACGCCGCGCCCTGAAGCGTCAATTGCAGACGCTAACAGATAGCCTACCTGACATCGCAAGCCAAGTCCGCCGCACAGAGCGCGCCATCGCCGAAGCAAAGCTTGAGCTCTTCCGCCTTAAGGATGCCAAGGCTCACCCAAGCACTGCGTCAAGCATCGTTGGAACTGGACCAGGTGGTTCCGTGACCGAGTCAGACAGACTCAAGGCACGAGCTAAGGCTATGATGCAACAGCGTTCTGCGGCCCTTACCGGAAAGAAGATCGAGACTGTTGATGAGGACCTTGCAGCTCCCAAACGTCTGGAGGAGGAAAACATTAAAATCAAGACGGAACGTGAGAACAACGAGAGAATGGTCAAGGATGTCGAGGATAGCGTTCGTGAGTTTGCGCAGGGTCTTGAGGATGGCTTAAAGGAGGGATCTCAAAGTTCGTCGAGCGAGCATGAGAAGCGCAGATGGGAGGACGGACTTGGTGTTGAGGACGAAGTCAAGGATTTCATCTTTGATTTGCAAAGGTCGACCAGAAGTGCCAGGGTTCGCAATGAAGATCGTTCTACCAGTAGAGGCACAGTGGAAGATAGACGCGATCGCGATACTTCCGCATCCCGTTTCCGAAGCAGTGCTTCGCCAGCGCCGACAAGTTCCCGCCAAAGCTCCTCCCCCGCACCAAGTGGCGGCGGTGGCTCGTACGCCTCTTACAAGACCCCTGAAGAAAGAGCTGCCTTTATCAAGCAGCAGGCTGAGCAACGCATGGCTGAACGTCTGGCTGCCCTGGGTATCAAGGCTCCTTCCAAGTCTGGCGAGAGCGCTCACCAGAGGGCAGAGCGCGAGAAGAATGAGCGGGCAGCTAAACTTCGCCAAGCTGAGGAGGAAGATGCGAAGCGCGAGAATGAGAGACAGGCGAGAATAGCTCAGGAGGAGGGTCGCCCTGCGCCAGCAGCTGCTGCCTCCCCAGAGGTTGCCAAGAAGCCACCCCCACCTCCAACGAGGAAGGCTGCTAAGAGCGAGGTGGAAACCCCAAGAAAGGCTGAGGAGGACAGAGTCCATCAAGAACATGAGGCTCAGCAGATAGCAACTAAGGAACTGGAGTAAGTCTCATTGACGCTAATGATGGAAATATGCTAATTTTATAGGGATGATGCACAGCGCCAGGAACGCGAGATTGCCCAGGAGCGCGAGGCCACCGAAGCCCGCTTGAAGGCCCTCGAGGAGCAAGTCAAGGCCGGTAAGATCAAGAAGGAAGAGGAGAGGCGCAGAAGGAAGGCAGCGCAAGCCGAGGCGAAGGAAAAGGAAGCAAAGCTTGCCGCCCAGCGTGCTGAGATTGAAACTGCTCGCCAACGCGAGATTGAGCTTCAGCGTCAACTTGAGGCCATTGATGACGAGAGTTCGTCGGACGAGGAGGGTCCCCAGGACATCACTCCCCAGGCAGCAACTCCTCCGAGAGCCGCCGAGAAGCAGGTATCCCCACCAGCGCCAGCGCCTCCTATCATCACGGCAACCTCTCCCCCATCAGCTGCGGCCAGCACCTCGAACATCAGCTCCCCACAGGCAGATACCGCCACCCGCAACCCCTTCTTCAAGAACTTGGGCCAGCCGATGGTTCCAGGAGCAGGCGCCCCTGTTGCATCGCCCCCCGTCGCATCGCCTCCTACACAGGACACAAACCCATTCCATCGTCTTCCTCCGCAACAAGCTGCCGCCAAGGCTCCCGAGCCAGTCCAGCCCAGCCCAACAGGCGCAAGACCTTCTCGCGTCCGCCCAGAAGAAGACGAGTGGTCCGTTGTCGGTTCCGACCGCGAGGACTCCTCCGACGAAGAGGAAGGACCTGGTGCCGGAAACGCACGCCAGCTTGCCTCGATGCTATTTGGAACCATGGCGCCTCCCCGCCCACTTTCTGCTGCCGATGACACACGCGCTTTCTCCCCGGTTAGCCCTGGCGTGACGTCCCCAGTGGCCGAGACTCCTACTCCCACTGGCGCTCCACCAGCACCTCCCCCACCGCCTCCAATGCCTGGTATGGGCGCGCCGCCTAGTGCACCACCGCCACCTCCTATGCCTGGTATGGGTGCTCCTGGTGCGCCACCTCCGCCACCACCTCCTCCTCCAGGTGCGGGACCACCTCCGCCTCCGATGCCGCCTGCAGGCGGACCGCCAGCGGCGGGTAGACCTATGGCACTACTTGGCGAGATCCAGGGCGGTCGCCAGCTGAGGAAGACGCAGACGAAGGATAACAGTAGCGCTTCGGTTGCGGGTAGGGTTTTGGATTAGTTTGTACAAAGATAGTGGAGGTGTTGGGATTTGGATGAGGCTTGACGAGGTCGAGTAGAGTGTATGGTACATAGCAACCCCCTCGGGGTTTATTCTAGAAATCCTTTACCTTTATAACCACGCACATTTGTCTCATAGGTCTTTCGTGGATAATGGTCATGTATTGAATTTGTTATGGATCTCGCGGCATCCACATCTCCACTTGATAACCCCCCCACAAGCCCTCCAGCCCACCAAAAAAAAATGCAAAAAGATAATGAACAGAGTGGGACTCGAACCCACGCCACTTTCGTGACCAGGAAACTATATGATGATATATCACATGTATTAAGGTATAACCTTAACCTGGCGCCATAACCATCTCGGCCATCTGTCCTACTTGATGTGTTGAGGTGCGGTGTAATTTGGAATATTTGTTGCCGAAAAAGTTTTATATCAAAATCTCATAATATTATAATGTGGAAAAAATTATGAATTGTGAATTAATCGAAGATTATAGATTTTTTGGGGGGATTTATTTAGCTTAGATAATATAGTATAATATATTTAAATGGGATATCGCTATAAATACAAAAGCTAACTAAGAGCTTAGTTATACAGCCTGCAGATGAGGCGTGGCTTGACGTAGACAATATTACAGTCTGCCGTTAATATCATACAATGTCCCTGCTGCTTGTACACACATTAGAATGCCTATCCGTTGCCTGCAGCCCTCGTACAAGCAGGTGTATCCGCCGCCAAAGGCAGCTGTGCCCCAACAGCCCTTATCCCAAACTAAGGCAGGCCACGGCCCTCGATAGTCGGTATGCCGCAGTGATATCGCCTCGTCATATCCAATGCGCCTTTGTATCTTGACTCCTTCCATAACACAGCCTACACAGTCTCAAAGTTGAATCGGCAATCACGGTTGCTTGGGCTTCGCTAGGGCAGCTTCGAGCTGACTCTCGAGTTGAAGGATTTCATCTAAATATGTGTGAGTTCGTCACTCTGCACCGCTCGTGGCATGGTCCATACTTTGTCGCTCCGACTTGATCTCGTCCTTCTCCAGCTTCACCCAGAAGTAGTACGATAGTTGGTATGTGAATGTTGCCATGAGCAGGACCTTTGCGATCGGGCGGGTGAAGGTTTTGTAGAAGTTTACCTGTTGGGGCCAGGGAAATTAGCTTCGTCAACACGCGGGCTGGGAATAGCTGCACGTACGTGACCAGATACGGGCTTGGGGGCGTCGCCGGCGGGTGGTGGTGATGAAGCAAATGCGCGACGGAAAGAGGTGACGGAGCGGCGGGTGTTGGTTTGTCGTAGAGCACGAAGGGATATGCTCAGAGGTGATGCCATCTTGATTGAAAGAAGGAGTATATATGAAATGCTGACTTTACAAAAGACCCCTTGTTAAATCGTTGTTGGGCACAGATTATTTATTGATCGATGTTGCTTGACCAGGGTGCTCTACGATGGAGGTGGTTCCCCGGAAAGTCAAAATCAGGAACAGTGTCCCACCTCGGCTTCTCCCGCTAGAGTTACTATAGCTTAGTGGTGGAAGCTACTTTGGTCATGTACATGTCGTGCGACCTGGGGGACACCGTTTCTAAATCCAGCCATTTCTCAACTCCAACGACGATCCATCTTCCAACAATTATCCCAATTAACTCCCGATAAACCTACAATCTCATATTCGAATAGAATTCGATCAGATCAACTTCGGAAACCTACCGAGATCGCTCCAAGTAACACACAGCCAAAATGGTAAGTAAGACACGCGGGCCGTGTAGATACAATGCTGATCTCCCTCCCTGCAGGCGCAAACACCACAACAACGGATTAGCAACCAGAAGTTTGCCAAAGTGAACACGGCCAAGATGGGAAAGCCAGAGGGCACATTGAAGAAGAAACAGCAAACATTTAAGTCGCCGGTGTCTCCTATCTGGCTTAGTATGTCAAACCACAACCCCCCCCCGACTGCCTTTCAACCGCTAATCTGTCTACTTTCTAGTCCTTTTAGCATTCGTGGTGTTCGGCGGCCTGATATTCGAGTTAATTTCGAGGATATTCTTCAGATAAATGAGGCGGATCAAGGCGGTGGTGAAATCGATACGAGGGGCAAGCGCAACGTGGCTATATCCAACAAAATGCGCGACCGGAACTTCAAGCTACACATTGTACCAAACATTATACCTCAGACTCAATTTAACATAAGAATTGAAGATTGATGCTTTCCAAGTCCATAAAGATTCACACAAGCCGTGCGCCATATATAAGCTCCCTACTAAGCACCGAGCCCCATCCTCTTGCTGTGCCCACCATGCTTCAACCGGATACCAGCCTCAAACTGCCTCTCAAGTTCGCTCTGTACTTTCTCAATATCATTGCTAGCACTCCCGCTGGACCGAGCCGGTTTTGCACTCGCAGCAGCACCTGCATTCTTCCCAGCTCCAAGTAACCTGAGAAACTTAGATTTCCTTGCGGCGTCACCAGATAAGGCATCTGGGTTCCATTGCTCAGCGCTCGCTGCGGCGGGCTCGGCCGATTTTGGCTTTTCCGACTTCTTGGAGTCTGCATCCTTCTTTTTTGACTTGTGGCTCTTATCTTCTGATTTAGGCGCCGCTTTCTTCGACGGCAAGGCTGTAGCTTCTGGTGCCGCCTTGGCCGAAGCTTCTTTCTCCTTCCGTAACTTCCGCAACCTCTTCCTCTCTTTCTTAGCTGCATCTTCATCTACCTCCTCAGTCTGTTCGTTGTCCTCCCCGTCATTGCTTGCTTTCGTTGCGTCATCGTCGGAATCAACAGCCTTTTTCGACTTCTTACACTTCTTTGCTTTCTTAGATTCTTTCTCCTTATCCTCATCCTCCTGCTCGGCCCCAGAATGCTTTCGTTTCTTCGATTTGCTCGGCGCCTCTGTCTCGACCGTATCCTCAGCCTTGCGTGCCTCAGCCTTGGCAAGTTTTCTCGCAGCCTTCGCGGCGGCCTTTATAGTTTCAGCATCTTCGACCTGCTCCGTTGAAGCCTCGGTCTCCTTTTGCTTCTTGAGAGCTGGTACGGAATGTTAGTAAATATAATGGCAGGCGTGTGGTGTGAATCAATTCAATACCTTTTTTCTCTCGTTTGGCCGCCTTGTCCTTTTTTCTTTGTTCCTTGGTAATGGATGGAGTAGCTGGGAGCTCGGGGCTGTCTTCTTTCGAATGAGCCATGTTCAATCGAAGCGGTTACCGCTAAACTCTGCGTTGAAGCTATGAGGCGATCTTTGATATTGGAGAGAGCGATTGAGGTTCTCAGGGAACCGCGGTGCTCGTCAAATTTCAGGTCTGGAGAATAAGGTTATCGATAAGACAATCTTGACTGGAGCTGTCAGATTCGAGTCACGTGCGTATTTATCATGTCTCACAAAATTGATTTATAGTACAATCGAACACTTCTAGATACCCAATGAGTATAATAAGGTTGATATATAATAAGTAGCCTTATAGTATGGGTTGTCAAGCGACGGTAGAGTCGGTTGATCAAATCTACCAGATCAAGACCATATGCGCTCAAAATCTAACAGCTGCTACCTTATGGCTGATTGGCCTTCTCAGCATCCCCCTCCACACCGCCTGCCTCAGGCTCCTTGGCCTTGACTTTCTTCTTCTTCTTCTTTACCGTAGTAACTTCAGCAGACCCATCCGCTTGCTCTGCTTTCTTCTTCGAGCGAACTTTCCCAGTCGCTTCATCACCAACAGCCTTGACCTTTTTCTTCTTCTTCTTAACCACAGTCCCCTCTGGAGGAACACCCTGGGCAGCCTGGATACGCTCATTTGCACGTTGCATTTCCAGCCTCAGCTTCTCAACCTCTTGCATTGCCTTTGCCATCTCCTCTTCCTCCTTCTGATTGTGATGATGCTCGTACTCTGCTGATCCTCCGCTGACGTTATCGTCACCTTCAAGAGCAAATTCCCCAATGTTACTTGAGTCTACAAGAAGCGGTGATCGTTTTGGCTTTGTTCGAGCTCGTGGTTGCCCTTCTAAACTGGCCTCGGAATCATCGTTCCTCGGCGTTGAGGTGCCACTAGCAGCGAGTGTCTCATCCGCTGCAACCTGGATACGTTGACGAGGCTTGACAGGCGCCCGCTTTTTGGGCTTTTGCTCTGGAGCAACCGATGGCATCTTTCCAAGGTCGAGTTGCATGATTGGTATAGAGTCGATGTCAAGGTCATTCCCGTTGCCACTTCGGATGATCGTGTCGAAAGGGGTAGATGTAGAAGATTCGGAACTGATACCAGCAATGTAGAATGGGTCATCTTTATTTCTTTCCAGTCTCTCGGCCCTCCTCCTAGCCACAATGTCGGGATCCAAGTACGTATCTTCGGTATCGCGCTGATACGACTGAGGTTTCTCTTCGGGGGTTTCTGCGAGGCGGTTTATTGCCGGGTCTGCCATTGATAAACTCAAAGTGGATGGTCTCTGATGGTAGTACTCTTGGAATTCGTCTTCATCGGTTCTCTCGTACGCTCCTGAGTCGGCTCCCCTGAGGAGCTCATTTAAATTCGCAGTGATGGGTTGATCAAGGTTCAGATTGGCCGGCATAGGTACATTGCTCTGGGCGCCTGGAGCAATGGAGTGGAGATCAAGGCCTGCAAAAAGTGACGGTATTGCCTGGGTTAACAATAAAGGTGCGTCGTACTGATCCCCCGTTGACGATGCCTCTTGGCCAGCAGAGGCCTCTGCAGCTAACCGTAGGAGTTCCACAAATTCTGTAGTTCTCTCTTGCACCTCCAGGTTCGGGTGCAACGCCAATGGCTCCATAGTATGTAGTATGCGAGCCATCAAAAGTGAAAGCATGGTTTTCCTCTCAGCGGACCACTCCATAGATTCGTTACCTGACAAATGGGCAAAAACCTTTGGTATGGCTTGTAGTGTCATCGCGAGCACCTCGGGGTCCGATTGTGGTTTTGTAAAATGCAGGAGACCAACCAGCACGTCTTCTGGATAGGATAAATACGAGGCGTACTCTCCCACAACCCAAGTCACAGGCCGTAAGATGCCCCTTTTCTCGGCAATTTGGGACACTGCCCCGTGCAAACCATCCACTATTATGGATTCCGCAGCTCTCGTAGCACTCGCACGTATTGCTTTAACCTTGACGGCAACGTTTCGTAACTCATTTCCTATATTTTCAGCCACATCTGACTCCCCAGAGTCGTTGGCGAGAGTATGTGAGTCGGCAGCAGAAGTTGGAATGTGCCTGGGCGCGTTGCGGGCGAGTTGAATCAGGATATCAATATACCACTCAAAATCAACAAGGTTGCTGTAATTGTTGCTTGAGCACATCTTTAAAATCCTCAGGATAACATCATTCCTGTAGTCGTCCGGAAGAGAATATGTAGCGGCGTTCCGATTCGATCTCATATTTATCTCTGGGTTTTCTTCGTCAGAATCGAATGCGGCTGGACTGGGTGAACCGCTATCCTGAGAATCCGTCGCGGTTACGCTCCGTAATTGGCGCATTAATCGACCAACAATAGACATGAGATTATCGCTGCTGACCATTCCCACAACCAGATCTAGTGCTCGCAGTCTGATGGACATATCTGGACTGTCTATGCAGTCCATTATAACGTCTTCTTGCTGTGATACGAGATATGGGTGAGTCAATACAATCTGGTTGAAGGCTAACAATGCAACGTATTTCACTGAACATTGTTAGGCCAGACTCATAATTCATGGAAGGGGAGATACTTACAGTTAGGGTCGCCTTCAACCATTATCATACCACGAAGCTTGGTGACACATAACGTAGCAATCTCATCCTCGCTTTCATCGTCCGTCCCTCCCAATATCCCGCCTTGAATAATGCCATTGATACATTCATACAAAAGCGACATTGCCGGTGTAGTCCGGATGATTGATGTTAGAGGAGGTAATAATTTCTTAACAAGGCGAGGCTCTAAGGGGGTCATTGTCGCAAACTAGTCAAGTCAGTATTGTTTCCCCATAATAGAGAAGGCTCATGGCGACTGACAAGTTTGATTAATTTGATTGCCATCCAGTTGTTTCCTCCATCAACCAGTAGTTCAAACAACCTCGGGGCTAATGGCAGGAAATCCTGGGGACGCCGCCAACCCAGCTCACAGATTACATTGACAATGGCCGCAGTAACACTGGAGTCTTCGTTGTCGTCCATCAGACGTTCTTTGATTTTGGGCCACGCCGGCCGCAGCGTTTCGGGGTAAACTAAGGCCAGGCGATATATGGTAACGATTGTCTTTTTCCGAACCGTTGGACTGGAGTGTGTTAAACGAGGAAGTAAGTCGGATAGCACGGACATGGCTAAAGATGAGGTGATAATGTGAGGTAGAGTTATAATTGGGAGAGACATTGTCGTTAGAGATGCGGAGACGATGTCCTTGCCATAACGTCAGTATAGTTCTCAGCTTATAAGATGGTCGACATGTACCTTCTTCAACAAATTTGTCGCCAACATCAAGACTTCTGTATCCGGGCGGAAACTTTGGACGGCTCCAAGGTAGCCAACCCTCTTTTGTATGTATTTGGCGGAGGACATGACTTCAAGGACGTGGAAGGAAGCCCAGGACATATCATGTCCGAACATTTCGAGATAGACAAGTTTCAGCAAAGCCGTGGCCTTGACATCTGAAGAGACAGTCAGTACAACTGTATGGAAGCCGTAGAATATAGACTAACCCATGTCCTGCCCACGAATCTCTGCCCGACATTCTTTCAAGCTGTTTTGTATGTATGCCTTCTCGTCGCCCTTGTGGTTCCGCAGTCCTCTTATGAGGTCGTAGAGGGATTTTTCAAACCTGAAACGGGTCAATAAAGCTCTCGGCAGCTTTCATATATGAGTGGAGAGGACGTACATCTTGAGGCTCTGTCACAGGATGCTCCCTCGACATCCATGAGAGCTGTTCAAGCACCCCGATATCAACGAACAGGATGGGGCGGATAGAGTGCCACCAGCTTCTATATTACTCTTCGGAAGGCAACCCTCAAAGTAGAATATTATAAGAAAGTGTCGCCGAAGTGCTAGGCCATTTGTTGTCTCAATACACCGTAGCAGCACATTATCGGCGTCTCGAAGTTGTTGCCCCACCAAACGAGACAGGTCTTGGGTGCATCATGGTCGAAGAACGCGGCCCGCTACCTTGGTGGACCGTGCACCCTTTGCGTGGGTTCAATATGTACCATCAACCTCACCTCATATGGTTGTGCCTCATCAGTCCAATATAAGCTGTTGCATCTCCTGGAATTATATTTCAACGGATAGCTCTACACAAAGAAGATGTCTTCGTCAATTCTCCACCCGCCAGCCCACCTGCCGCCCTCGGTAGCTCTGCAATTGTCTCAACAAGCTCCAGCGCTACTTTCCACGACCCCATCATCGATCGCTCCATACTCTCTTTCATCCGTATATGCTGCGCCAGAAACCCCAGAACTATGGACAACCTACGAAAATCTGATGCTATCATGCCTACGCACTGGCGACAAGCATTCGGCCCGCGTATGCTTGGACAGGCTGTTGAGCAGGTTTGGGGAGAGCAATGAGAGGATCATGGCATTACAAGGACTATACCGGGAAGCAACAGCGGAGAGTGATAGCGATCTGCAAAAGGTTCTCACGGAATACGATTATATACTCAAGGGCGACCCTGGCAATATGGTTCGTTGGTCCGCTTTCCGTACTATAGGAACCTAGCTGACCTCTTTACAGCCCGTTTCGAAACGGCGCATAGCTCTCCTGAAGTCCATGGGAAAACAGGCAGAGGCCATTTCAGCCCTTGCTCAATTTCTCGACTGTTCTCCAACTGATGCGGAAGCGTGGGCCGAAATCAGCGACTTATATGCTTCCCAAGGACTCTATCAGCAGAGCATCTTTGCTTTGGAGGAGGTCTTGTTAATAACACCGAACGCTTGGAATGTAAGGATATTATAAACCGCTCTACAAATCTATTGGCTGACCATTGAAAGATACACGCGAGACTTGGAGAGCTCCTATTCACCAGCGCTGGGACCGACGGAAGTACAGGGAAGGATAGCACCACCGAAAAGTACATCTACGAATCTGTACGAAGGTTCTCAAGAAGTATCGAGCTATGCGATGATTATCTCAGGGGGTTTTACGGCTTGAAGCTTGTATGTTGGCCATATATAAATAGCATCCTCGCGAAAACTAACCTTTGATAGGCAACCGCTCGTGCATTGCTTACCCTGTCGGAAGGGTCGAATAAGTCCAAGGCTGATTCGACACCGAGCCTCAAAACTATACAGAGCCTTAACCTGCTTGCAACTGCCAAACTTACAGAAATTGTGCGCCGGAGCGTCGCACGAGAAGCGGGTTGGGAGGGATATGACGCAGCAGAGCTGATCGCAGCACGAGAACTACTTGACCGAGACGCAGTCAAAACCATCCGTTAGTTCGGTGCGGTGACGCGGGCAAGGAATATCCACGCAAGGTACGGGGCTGATTGATGAGCGCTGTATTCTGAAGACCCGGATGTAGGGCTGACGATCGCGTCTCGATCCGAAAATCGAGACAATCCGGTCAGACCATGATGGCGATGGTGGACCCAATTGCCACAACTTCAATTGTCGTGGCGTTACTCTGTGATGGCATTGTGCCAAGGAGCGGATTTTGTTTAGCTGTTATAGTACGTGGCATGTCTGATCGCGCCGGAAGTACTTTTGGGCGTTGGGGCCTGATAGGGCCAAAAGAAGATGTGGCTTTCTTTTCATGCAGGATCGCGGAAGGCTTGGGCATCAACCTTGATCTTGGGCGGCAGTTTTTTGTTCGGTGAGCCTCGACGACTGTTTTAACCTGGTTCCAAGGCACTGGATTGGATCTGATCCCCAGCGCTTTCTCCGACAATTAATCCCTGTTGCCTTGGAATGCGTGGCCTTGGGCTGTTGCGCAAATTGCCCAACGCACTGAATTCACCAAACACCAGCTCCCTATATCGTGTAGATTCCTTGATGAGATCCACTGGGCTCCATATTGAGTCACATTCAGGTGTTGCCAGATTTTCTTGTGGGCTGTTTTTGGATTGACAGCAAATTTTCATCACTGTGGCCGGGCAATCCTGGGTGGAGCTTGGGCATTGGCATGTGTATATTAGACAAGAACGGCCACGAAATAAAATGTCAATAACTCTTCAGATTGATATTGTGCCGACACATTCCACACAGTATTTGTACCACAGTGTATAAGTGTTTTCCACAATCCACAGGCTTTTTTTGACATTTGGGTTGTTCCTCAACCACACAAACTACAAGGCGAATCTCTCAGAACCAATATGTTCGTGACCTTCAGGAATCTTTTCAGAAAACTATATTCATTCCCAAAGAAAAGGCCATAGGATCGGAAAAGGAGCCTTACATTTATCCCTACAAATACCGGACTGCCTGGCCCACTCGAACGGAGGACTTTATACAGCCACTCCACCCCATAGGACGGACACTGGATCTTTTTTTTCTCTCTCTCTCTCTCTCTCTCAACAGCATCGCATATCCTGCGAGTATTTTTTTTGGCAGTTCCACATCCACAACAGGACAGGGCTTCGCCACATATCCTGGAGGCTGCCCAAAGACCAGAGGAGACAAACAGAACCACCTTTTGGAGTCACCCCGTTACACTGATTACTTTATTATTTTGGAAACCCTTGGAAACCACAGACCAAGGATACCTCTTCGCTACATCTTTAAACTGATCGCGAGGTGGTCAAGTACAGCATTACTTTTATATATCTACCTTGATAGACCATCAACCCACGAAAAAGGTTTGTCTTATTCGAAAACAATCCTAGCTGGCTGCAGACAGTATTCCAACGACGACTCCCGCCCGAGCCATTTGTTTGTTGATGACTGACGGGAATGCCGATGTTAAACAAGTGTTTGTCGGGAATCCACTGCATTTCTTTTCGATTTCGCCGTCTTCGGGCTGTTTTTTTTTTGCTGTAGACCATGGTGGTGCCTTGCCAACGGTGTCTTAATTGCCATCAGCCCCTCCCTTCCCCCCCGTTCCCTTTATTTACTTCAGGTGCACGACCACCACCACATATTGAAACCCCTCACTAACCATAATCGCATCTCAGTGCAGATATCGTCCTGACACACTTTTACCCCGTCAACCATCCCCAAAGCAACGCCGTTACGAAGTAGTCGTCATCGCATATACCACGCTATATCCATCTACCCGCGACAAATCAAATATCGATCACTCACAAATAGATCGCATGTACCTTGTTGACGTCTCGGCCCCACATCCCCACGAGTACCAAACAACCAAAGTAAACAAAACAACACACCAAACTCTGCACCGATCACCGTTTTTACCTGTTGTTTCGCCGTTTTACTCGCGCGACAAGCATTTGGCGGTCAAGAAGATCCAGCCAGTTGTTGGCGCCTTACATATCGACCGCGAAAAAAATCCACATTTCAGCCGTAGCCTGTTGCAGCCGACCCATACCTGCGTGTCAACGCCAGGGATTATAAACACAAAAAGGATATCTCCGTCTCGACTCTCCCCCAAAGGAGACGGTCGCGACCTGGAGATATACCCTACACCGAAGTACAAATGCCGCAGCCGTAAGTCATACATTCCTTTTCCTTTTAATAAGACACTCTCCCCCAAGGCCCAACGCAGACATCGACATCCCACTGCACTTTCACCGCTCCGAGACCCCGCACTGCCCACTAACGTCACTGCGCAGAACCGTAACAATCGATCTCGATAACCACCACTCCCCGTCGCATAGCTCACAGTCATCCTACACGGACGGAGGCAGCTCAACAGGTACTGGAGTCCATGTCTCAAATACCATCGATAGCCCGGAAGATTCTGACCTTCTAGACGATACATGGGATCCAGTATATTCCGACGACCTCGAACCCTCAGAGTCTGCTCCTCGTTCCAGACAGCAGCCGGTATATAGGGACTCGAGCCAACCCGCGCCGTCGATCCGCAGAGGCTCTTCTCGAAGGCAGGCATCGTCGTCTGACCACAGCTCTCGCCACCAGCAACCCCGCGCGCATCGGCCAAGGCCGAACCCGCCATCGAGTGTGGCTTCCATAGAAGACTACCCGGGCTATGGCCGAGGCTACCCACCGCAAAATCCTCCATATGGCGGCAGGGCTCCTCCGCCCCCGGCAGGATACCCGCCAAGCTTTGCCTCCGGCTACACTGGAGCTGGGCCGCCACCACCTTTCCCCGGAGCAGCTGGGTCGGTAGTGCCGTTCGGGCCGCCTCCTAGCTCGCACGGGTATCCCCAGAACCCCTTCTCACCCGCCGGCGGCGGTGGCCAGCACGGCTACTATCCGCCAGGACAGCACTATCCTCCTGGCCAGCAGCCACCTGGCGGCTTTGGTGGGCATGAAATGATGCCATACGGGCAAGCGCCACCATACGGCGGGTACCCTCCATACGGGGTGCCGCATCAAGGCCAAGGAACATCGGGAAGCCAATCACCTTATTATCACTATTCTCAGCCGGTCCCGCCTCCCCACGAGTCGCCTGCACCAACTCCAGCCCCGGCACCTGCGCCGGCGACTCCAGCACCACCTCCCGCGCCTGTACCTGACCCCGAAGTGGAAAAGAAGTTGGCAGAACTTGAAAAGGCACTTCAAGAATCACGAAAACTTTTCAACGACAAGGTGGCGCAAGAGCAAAAGGCAAGGGATGACGCCGAACATGCTGCCGCCACAAATAAAAAGGTCGCCGAGGAAGTTGCCAAGATGAAGGCAGCGATGGAAGAGGCGGCAAGAGCTAAGGAAGTTGCCGACGCGAAGGCCAAGTTTGACGCTGAGGTTGCCGCCGTGCAGAAGGTAAAGGACGACGCGGAGAAGGCAATAGTTGAAGCCGAGGCGAAGAAGAAGTTCGAAGCAGATTTGAAGGCCAAATTTGAAGAGGAGATCAAGGTGGCCAAGGCTAAAGCAGACGCCGCAAAAGCTGAAGCCGAGGCAAAGAACAAGTACGAAGCAGATTTGAAGGCCAAATTTGAGGAGGAGATCAAGGCGGCTAAGGCTGAAGTGGACGCCGCAAAAGCTTTGGCTGCCCCGCCGAAGGACGAGAAGAAGAAGCCGATTAAGTTCAAGGATGCTGTCGGCCGCAAGTTCAGTTTCCCGTACCACCTTTGCCAAACATGGGCAGTAAGTTTTTCGGTTCGCTGGTGTAAATATGTACTAACAGTAATAGGGCATGGAAGATCTCATCCGACAAGCATTCCTTCACGTGGACGTCATTGGCCCTCACGTCCAGGAAGGCCATTATGACCTGATTGGACCCAATGGCGAGATTATTCTTCCCCAAGTATGGGAGACGATGATTGAGCCCGACTGGGCAATTACAATGCACATGTGGCCTATGCCCGAGCCTCCAAAGCCAGAACCTGGCCCGCCTCCGCCACCTCCCCAAGCTCATGGAGGGAAACGACACTCGCAGAAGGCGCCGCCTAAGAGGCGAGACGGGCCTCCCCCCCCACCACCCCCTGATGGTGGCTGGGCTGGTGGTCCTGGAGGAATAACTGCGGGTGTTCTGGTGATGGATGACAATGTTCCGAAGAAGAAGAAGACCGAGAAATCATCTTGGAGTCTATTTGGAAGCGGCGGAAGCAAACCTGCGAAGAGTGGGAAGGGAAGGTGAGCAACAAAGCGTCTTGTGATTGATGTGGCAATTTCTAACGAACAACAGGGCAAAGAAGGGTTGAGCATGATGCTTTTTGGCAAAATATTAGCCACGTTTGAAGAAACTAAGGGGCGGGGGCCGTCATGGACGACGGCTCTACGCGGCCACTGTCTGGTAGAGCACAGGCGACTCAGAACTGCGCAAGCCAAGTTGAGATCGCAAGTTCTGGTCACGACGCTCCAAGAGGTATACCTGGAGCATTTATGTCTCGCCGACACGTGGAGGGAGGGGAGGAATATGTAGCAACTTCACGACTTTATTTATCGATGTAGCATTTGGGATATATGGAGTTGTTATACCCTTGTTGGAGGATTTAGATTTGATGACTATTTATACGACCTGTTATTATATGAGAATGGTGTCAATTGATATACGAGGATTTTATTATACGTGTAGGAAGTTTGCATCAGTGTGACCGAATGTTGGAATTTGTATGTACAGTATTATAGGTTTTCCGACCCCCCCCAACGCCATCTATATGCAGCACACTCATAATCGTTGCCTTCCTCTGTTGTAACCCCTCATCAAGTTCCTACCCCTGCCTTGGGCTGTCCAGCAACAACTTCGCCCTCTTCTCAAACGCCTCAATCATAACCTCTGCCAGTTTCGGAGCAACCGCTTTACTCAGAGATCCATACAATGGGTTTGAGAATTGAAATTCAATCGCCAGGTTCACCTCTGTCAGAACACGAGCTACTCCAGGCGTAGCGGATTGTCCTGAAAGCGGCTTCACAGTCCACCTCGTTGATAACCGTTTGAAGATGTTATTGGGTATAGCAGGAGACTCTATTCTCGAAAGGCGACCAAGTGAATGTTGTTTTGAAACGGCTGGTACAGCATCACCTCCGAGGGCCTCGACAATGGTGTCTGGGACGCAATTGAGTTTGCTTGTGAATGTCTCCTCGAATCCTCCCCATCCAACTTTCAGGTCTGCTTGCTCGGGCCATTTCTTCCCCTTCGTATCTGGTTCCGACCATTTTGTGACTCGGGATTCTTGACAGTAAGGTATGAAGCTTGAGTAGCGGTCCACGTCGGCGATCAGGGTATATAAGCTCGAAGATTTGTAAGGGAGTATCCGAGTTTCCTTCAGAGTAATGAGCTCGGAGCCCGGGAGAGAGAGAAAGCTTCGTCGAATTGGCGCAACTGGGCGAAAGTTCTGGGGTTTGACAGAGGAAATGCGGCGCATAACTCGAAGTGGAATCGGACACGCCATGGTGGAAGGTAGGAAAAAAAGAGAGTTATTGTACAATCGCTTCAAAAACAATTTTCATTATGCTAGATAATCCGCCCCAGGTAATGTACACATGAAGTCGCAAACAAAAAACATCGCGATTTTTTGGAAGCATTCAGATAAGCTCATCGGCCAGCTAACTGACCCCTGTCCATTTCCTTCCCGAAATCTCGCTTACATAATGAGCCGCACCTTAAATACGACAAAAAGTTTCTGTGTTCTTGACAAAACCTTTTCCATAATAATACTCTCAACGAACCCAAATCTCCAACGACAAACAGCCTTAGTTTCTCTTGAAGTTTCAAGAGCGACTTCTGCTTTTCGAGATGGGTGCGGACATGGAGATTCCGGTGGGCACTCCGATTGTGCCAGTTGCACAGGAGCAGAGTGAGCAGGCTCAGCCTATTGGCGGGGACCTCCCCGCACATCTGTCTCATGACCCTCAGCACAACATGAAACGAACCGACCCTTTCCAGTTTGGATCGCGGTTACTCAAAGAGGAGGATAACGTATTTGAATTTAACGCGTGGGACCATGTGGAAACAGATAATGCCTACAAGGAGTATTCTGAAGTACAATATGCGAAGCAGCGTGAAGCTCCGGTTTCTGATTTTGACAAGAGTATGTACTATCCTTCCTTTTCTTATGCACACCACTTTCATGATGATTCAAAATGCATAGTTCATCTGAGGTCTACGGATCCCTGAATGATACAAACATAGCAACGTCTTTCGCTCCTATCTGATATAAAGTCAAAAGCATTACTTTTTTTTTTGAACATAATTTTTCAAGAATCTCCGCTAATGCCTCTCCAGACAGATTTAACTCCGATCCCGCTAAGTGGTGGAACCAGTTCTATAAAAACAACACGTCCAATTTCTTCAAAGACCGCAAGTGGCTTCGCCAGGAGTTCCCCGTGCTTGCCGAAGTCACGCTCGCAGACTACGGTCCCTGCACGCTCCTTGAGGTCGGTGCCGGTGCTGGCAACACCGCCTTTCCTATTATTGCAAATAATCAAAATCCAAACCTTAAAATCCATGCCTGCGATTTCTCCAAGATAGCCGTCGAAGTGATGCGTGAGAATGATGCCTATAATACGAGTCAAATCCAGGCCGACGTCTGGGACGCCGCGGGGCAAGATCTCCCGCCGGGACTCGCCGAGGGCTCTGTAGATGTCGTCCTGATGATATTCATATTCTCCGCTCTCTCGCCGACGCAGTGGCAGCAGGCTGTGTCGAACATCTTCCGCGTGCTGAAGCCAGGCGGCGAGGTACTATTCCGGGACTATGGCCGTGGAGATCTGGCTCAGGTCCGCTTCAAGAAGGGACGGTACATGGAAGAGAACTTTTATGTTCGTGGGGATGGCACGAGGGTTTACTTCTTCGAGAAGGACGAGCTGGAAAAGATTTGGTCGGGCGAGGCTGCGTCTGCTGGCCCAGGATTTGAGATTGTCAGCTTGGGCGTGGATCGCAGACTGCTTGTCAATCGTGCCAAGCAGCTCAAGATGTATCGATGCTGGATGCAGGGGCGGTTTCGCAAGGCCGGAGGCACTGCAAGCAGTTCGGAGGTCGTCAGTTGAACGAAACTGCGATCATCACCCGAAATAAAGAGAACGCCCGGCTCCCCATGCCTTACAAAGTCAAGAGGACGCCAAGATACGCTTGAGAGCAAGTAGGCGTTGATGCTCAGAGCAACATGGCGATATCAGATGCACCTACCGGAGGACTTGGGCATGGTTGGATTAGACAAGAGCCCTTCTTCCCCTGGTCGAAGCTCAACAGCTGTGTGAAGGTTTTGCCTCTTCAGTAATTGTTGAGGCTTCTCAAGGGCTGAGATTCCATGAGGCAATTTCTGCCTCCTAAGTGACTGGCGTCAAGGAGACTGATGTTCTAGATAGTCTCGAGCAGATGAGTGTATATAGGCAATAGAATTAAATAAAGGGCCTATATAAAAATGCAGATCATCAAGTACTGATTTTAAATGATGTTTTAAGCTTGTGTAATTACAGCCGCTCGACTCCATCATCCACGGCTCAAGCCCCCCCTTAACCTGCATATTTGTAGAAGCACTACCGCTGACAGCGCCAACTTAAGAGCGTCATCTATAGAGACTAGTCTGAGAGAGAAATCTGCGTAGCTAGAGGGGAATTGTGCACCGCTATCAGGTCGGCTTTCGAGAGATCCGAATCCTAAGAAACAGCCATTGAGGGACATCTCGAGCCTATAGTAACCTCGAGGAGCGACTGAAGGAGGTGGCCCAAGAGAAGGACATCCTCGCGACCCATGGTACTGAGACGGAAGGGCGCTTCTAGACATCAGCGGCGAAGATGGGGTTCATGGCAACTCGTAGCCACAAGATCAGAGGGAAGAACTCTGCTATCAGGCAGGAGAGAGGGGCCATCATTCAGGCGAAGTCGACAGGACAACCTCTCACAACAGAGAAAAGCGTGTCAGACACTAGAAGATTCTCATTTTGGCACAGAATTCAGGATCCACAGTATATTATATAGCGTATATATAACAAAGTTTGATTCTCTCGTATCGTACAATACAATACATTCCACGCCTTCTAACGCCATCCCATCTATATCGACCAAATCATACACATCCCCACTCTCACCTCGCCCGCTCAACCTTATTCAGCTTCGAAGCCGTCACAATCTGTTCCCCGTTAGCCTCTATCCCCTCTCACTATCCCACTCAACACAAAGAGCAAACATACCTGCGACTTCGTGCCCTGCCCCCTAACCGGCAACCCCATAGCATGTCTCCTCCCCCTATAACTCCCCATATCTCTCAACCGCTTAATATCCTCCCTCATCTTCCTCCTCGCATCATTCTCAATCGTCATGTTCGACAACTCCGCCGTCATCTGCGTGATGGTGCGCTGCGGGATGTCGCCGATGCGCGCGAGCGGGTGGACGCTGAATTTTGCGAGTATCCGCGAGCATGATTGCGGGCCAAGCGCGTAGAAAGATTGGAGGGCGATGGTGATCACTTTGGATTCCGGGAAGTTGACGCCGAGGAGGAAAACCTGGCGGGGGGTGTTAGCTGTGCTCTACTTTATTTCTTGGAGTTGGGGGGTCGAGGGCGGGGGGTTGTGGTTGGGGGACTCGGAAGACGGAGGGCGTACCATTGTGAGAGATGTTTCGGGGGGTCTATTCGCACGTCTGCGAGTTCGAGGAATTGCAATTGGCGACAACTGGCGTTCGTTTCTGCTGCACTGTCGTCGGGATTCTGTCGAGCCTCAAGAAACATTTCGGCTTCCGCGGTTTTGCCGCACGGGCCACCACTAATAGCTCTATATGTCACGTGACCTGTCGTACCCCTGTCAGCACGCCAATCGAACACCTATGTGAAACCAGGGCCACCCCATGCGGTCAGAGCTTAAAGGCGTCTTTGGTCGTCTTCCCGCCACTTCCTTCCCAATCAACAACCACAACATCTCTTTTTCACGATATTATTGTGCAAAGATGTTCACCCTCCAGCGCAGCGTAGTCTCCGTGCTACTCATCCTCACGGCCGCCTTCCTCTTCTTCGCGCAGACCGCCTCGGCCTCCAAGGGCCCGAAGATCACCCACAAGGTCTACTTCGATGTCTCCCACGGCGATGTGCCGCTCGGCCGCATCGTGATGGGCCTTTACGGCAAGACCGTCCCGGAGACGACTGAGAACTTCCGCGCTCTCGCCACTGGCGAGAAGGGCTTCGGATTTGAGAAGTCGAACTTCCACCGTGTTATCAAGAACTTCATGATCCAGGGTGGTGACTTCACCAGAGGTGATGGTACCGGCGGAAAGTCGAGTAAGTGATGGACATGATGTAGAAGAGGTAAATTGGCTAATTGGGATAGTCTACGGCGACAAGTTCAAGGATGAGAACTTCAAGCTAAAGCACACCAAGACTGGTCTTCTCAGCATGGCCAACGCCGGAAAAGACACCAATGGCTCGCAATTCTTCATCACCACCGCCATCACCAGGTCAGTCCCGCCCCCAGCATCCATTTAAGTAAATACACGAGCTAACAACCCCCAGCTGGCTCGATGGCAAGCACGTCGTCTTCGGCGAGGTCCTTGAGGGCTACGAGATTGTCCAGAAGATCGAGGACGTGCCCAAGGGCAGCGGCGACAAGCCCAAGGAGAACGTCACCATCACTAAGAGCGGCGAGCTCGAGGTCCCCGCAGAAGGTCTGCATGTCGACCTTTAAACCTGTTACCCTCCCTGAACGTATCTAGCATTGTAGCTTCCCTGGACCCGCTGATCCGTTCTGTTCAACCTCGCAGGCTTAGAAAGCGATGATATTGTCGATGCAGACACTCATACGATGAAGACCCCGTCGTCGGAGGGGATCAGCATCTTCCAGAAGGTGCTGTTTCTGGCTGTTATCAGTGGGTGTGTGGCTTTGTACGTACGTTACAGCAAGTCGCAGTAGACTGCTTTCAATAGGGGAAAAGTTTGAGTTTAGTTTAGGGCGAGTAAATAGCATTCAATTGAGTAGATCCTAAAGTTATACGATGTTCATTTATGCGTGATTACCAGTGGTGACTTTGTCGTGATATTGAGGCCACCATGAATAATCCAGCCTCGGAAGTTGCCGTAATCGCGGTGGTCTGCACGTTGGAACAGACGAACGCGGCTGGACCAGCTGGGGTTCGCACGTCAAAGGCTCACCTAAATTAACCTCAATTACTCTTCATGTAGACATCTACACCAAACAACAACCATGACGGACCTCTACGGCGGCCGCTCGCCTGGGTCTACAATTGAAGCCTCCGAAATGGACGATCACCGCACCGCAGCATCGTCGCCAACACGCGCCGATCCACGAACCACACTCCAGCACGTCCTGGGAGACACAGAATCGGCACCGACTTCATCGCCACAGAAGCGCGAAGACGCAGATATGACGGAAGATGAGAACCCAAAACCACAGCCATCAGCAGGGAAGGGGAGCGGAAAGAGCGGCGCAAAGGGACGGACTGCAAAGGGGGCCGCGGCGCACAAGGAGGCAACTGCTGGTGCCGGATACAGTGGGCACAAGGTGCGGCATCTTAAGAAGGATGATGGAGAGCCATTGTGGAGGAAGGATATTCAGTATGAATTCCTGTGGAATATCTTTGATGATGAAACAAAGTGCTTCACCAATAGTTATGATGCGGAACTGGCACCGCAGAGCTTTGCGGAACTATACATCGATGCCATGGCGAGGAGTAGCAAGACGAGCAAGATCCTGAGGGATAAGTTGATGAGCGAGCATGAGCCGGCGAAGAACATGGCTATGGTGTGCCTGTTGGTCAATCTTGGGAGGATGAACACAACTTTGAACTGTAAGTTATACCCTACGACAAAGTTGTGACATTGCTAACAAACGCCCAGTCTTTCCAGAGATGCGTGCGCAGCTGCGGACATACCACGCCATTCCATCCCTACAAGCACAACAAGACCCAAATTCCTACAAACAGCTGCAGGATGCCCCACGGTTGAAGTCGATCTTGAAGGGCGCATCGGAAGACCGCTTTGAACCCAACTCAATCGACAAGATCAAAGACACACCCATACCGCGCACCAACCCCGTGAATCTGATCTTTGTCCTGGCCCAATACGCCGCCCGTGTCACTGAACTTCACTTCCCCCCTGGCCGTGATTTCTTCGACCTCATCATGCGCCCAACGCTCTCCAGCAAGTCCCGCGCCCGCGCCCTCCTCTGGCTCATGTGGCACTATCTGGAGTCGGACTTCACCGAAGAAGGCTGCAAAGAGAACCCCTTTGGCGCTGGCGTCGATTACGGCACCGGTGTGTCCAACCAAGGCGTCCCCGCCCTCACGACCCTCAACGACGCTGAGATGGCCCTTGAGAACGTCGACACCCCCGAAGAGACAGAGTATGGCGAAGCCAAGATGCGCGAGCGCAAGCGCATCATTGAAGCTGATCAAGCAGCCCTACACATCGACTACGGGCCACCAAAGCGCGGCCCAAAGCCCAAACTTAACCTTGGCCCTGACGACGTCGGTGCCAGCCCTTCTGCGGTCCTACGCACGCGTGCCTCGAAATACGACTCCGATGTTGACAGTGCGCGCTCGACACCACCAAGAGGCGGATCCAACCTGCGCGTCCACGGCCTGAGCGGGGCGCGCACGCGCGGCGGTGCGCTCAAACACCAGATCGATGGCGGATCGTCGCCTGCACCACGCGAGGCGCCAGAGGGCCAGGCACCGACTGCGCGACGCACGAGGCCACTTACTGCGCATCAACTTGCCGTGGAGCACAATAGGAACCAGCGCGTGAACTACATTCTCTCCCGCGGACTGCGACGGGTTCACCACAACGCACGCAAGGCACGGCGGATGGAGGGTGCGATTCTGCGGGCTGTCCACCGCACAGCAGCCATGCAGGAGATGTGCGAGGACAGCGAGAGTGAAGAGAGTCTTGGCCGCGCGCTCGGGCCGTTCAGGGAGAGAGGTGTGGGCGGGTTAGTGCAGTTGAAGAGTGAGGAAGATGATTTTGGGGAGGAGATGGCGGCGTATGGGGCGGCGTTTAGGAGGATGGGGAGGAGACTTGATAGGTGGGGCGAGGGGGGGTATAAGGCGCATATTGAGGAGCCGGTGGCGACGGTGGAGGAGGCGGGGACGACGGAGGAGGATTTGGATGAGATGGAGAAGGCGTTGTTGGGGTTGGCGAGCGAGGCGGAGGAGGAGGCGGAGGAAGAAGAGGATCTGGATGATGTGGATAAGGCGTTGTTGGGGCTGACGGAGGAGGAGGGGAGTGAGGGTGGGATGGATATAGATTGATTGGGGCGGCGATTGTCGGAAGTGAGATTGCGGGATGTTTGATTTGTTTTCTGCTATTTTGGGAGGTGGGGTCGTGGTGTTTGGGCGCTGGGAGGAGGGAGAGGGAGGGATTGTAATGCGGTTTTAAGTCTGGCCACAAATATGGGAGCATTGTAGTAGTAGTATGGTGTGTATCAATTAGAAGACTTAGACAGCGCTGAAGCATTGTTTCCGTATGGATGGTCTATTTCTTGTGATTCTAATGCCTTCTAACCCCTATATCTATATTACAATGTTCGACCTCTGAGCGCCGACGGCTAGTTACGCCCGCTCTAACTAAACACTCGCTCCCTCGTTTCCAAGACACACTTGAAGTGATAATGAAATAGCCTTCCGCTCGCGCCATCCGGTTTACTTACCTCCACGCTGCATAGGCCCGACTACAGTGTTGCTAAAACAACGCACCTCCAAATTAACCCCCTTTATCCAAGCCCCCTCACTCAAAAGTTCTGTCCAAGTCGGCTTCCATCCCCGCGATAATTCGGGCCATCATACTGCGCCTGATGCAAACGCGCCTCATCCTCGTGCATAAGCGCATGCGAGTCATTAGCCTCCATCTGCAGAACCGTCTCCTCGCTAACGCGCTCCTTGGTGCGCACAGCCGGGATCAAGTCGATGAAGAAGGAGAGAATGTAAAATGTGAAGATAAAGGCGATGGTCCATTCAAGGACGGCCGCCGTGTCGAAATTGTCTTTCCTGCTCTCCACACCGAATGCTAGGATTGGTTAGCAGATGGCGCTTCTCTGTCGTTGTGGGGGGCTTACCTATAGCCAAGGCGACCTCGATGAGAATAAAGGAGAGCTTAATCCAAAACGACGCCCTCAGCACACGATGCTCGCGGAAATCTAAGTAACTGTCAACAACACACCCCCCTTTTCGAAATGCTGAGCCAAACTCACGAATCCCCAAGCGCTGGTACTCCGCGCAGATAAAGATAGCCGAAACCACGTATCCCACCATAAACACGACGAGAAACCGATTATGCATATGTGGATGCCGCAGCGTATCCAAGATACTCAAACAGATCAACCCCACCGTCCCCACCAACGCCCCCAACATCGACAGAAACATAAACGCCTTCTCCTTAATAGTGAGATTGCGCGCCAGCCTTCCACGATGTCGTAGCCAGCGCTCCGCTACTAGCGAGAGGTCGAGGAAGACGGTCATGACGACTGAGCCGGCGATGAAGAGGGGCTTGAGGCCTTGCGCGCCGACGTCAGAGATGTAGGCGATTCTTTGGCGCGGGTCCATGGAAGGGTAGTGTGGGCGGCCGGAGGTGGTCCAGACGGCCAGCATGGCGATTAACATGCCGAGCCTGGGGGGTGTTAGGGGGGGTTGCTGAAATGGTGTGGGGAGGGGGCGTACCATGTGAGGCCCGAGATGACGGGGAAGACCTGTTGGAAAAGTAAGCTTTTGGATGAGTGAAAATGGCGCGCGCGGCGGGACGTACCCAATATGAGAACCCCCACATGCTTGGCTGAGAGCTGGGAAGCTGTAGTCGTCGATGAGAGAATGCGCGCTTCAGTCGTGGCGCGTTGTTTTTTGTATAAAGATGTTGATATAGCCTAGTGGCACGGAAATCTACTGGAAAGACATAGTAAGGGTCCTGGCGACCATTTAACGAGTGTTCATGTACATGTAATGTCTACTAGAGTAAAACAAGGGTTTTTTTGCCACTGCCGGCGCGCAACAGCTTAGAAATTCGGATTGCCGGGACTGACGTCATTGCCTATGATGTTTAAATCGTGGCTAAGCTTAAAATCGTGGGCGCTTGTACCAACTCCCATTCGAGAACATGACGTACGCACAACTCTTATTTTGCCAAGCACGTGAAATTCACAAAATATGAAAAGTATGAGGTTTTTTGTCTGATATTAAGTAAATTTTTGAATTAACGGCTTCTAATAAATAGATATATGAGAACTATTTTTACCACCATGTCCCAAATGCATGATATGGGTAACTTCTATGTAACGCCATATTCCCATGCAAAAACATCTTCCCCTACTCCATCTCCTTAATCTCTCCAAAATCCTCCCTCCGAATCCCACTCCTATCACACATCCCCCTAAAGATCCCCCCCGCCTCATACAACCTCAGCGGCGTATCCAGCTCCGCAATGCTCCCCTTGTCCATCACACAAATGCGATCATACCCAATAATCGTCTTCAACCGATGCGCAATGCACAGCAATGTCTTGCCCTTGAACCCAGCAGCCATCGTGCGCTGAATCTTATCATCCGTCTCCATATCCACGCTGCTCGTCGCTTCATCACACACAATGATGCGCGACCCTCTCACCAGCGCGCGAGCCAACGCCATCAACTGGCGCTGACCCAGGGAGAAATTGAGACCCTCCTCTTCAACCACACCGTCGAGGTGAATTCGTCCAGGTGCCTTATCATCGAGCGATGCGTCCGCAGAGACGAGATCGGATTGCCGCAACGCAGACCAAAGCTCGAGATCGGTATGCTCGTTGAACGGATCGAGGTTGCTGCGGATGGTTCCCTTGAACAGCGTCGGGTCTTGCGGGATGATAGCCAGGCGCGAGCGTAGATCATGGAGGCCGATAGTGGAGATGTTGATCCCGTCGATAGTGATGGAGCCCGAGGAGACCTCAACGAGTCGGAAGAGCGCGGACATGATACTTGATTTGCCCGCACCAGTACGTCCGACGACACCGATGCGCTCACCACCGCGGACGTGCATGTTCAGGCCTGACAGGACCAATGGGAGATTGGGTCGATAGCGCATCTCTACGTCTTTGAATATGATCTCGCCGGCCTGGGGCCACGAGTCCGCGACTTCGATGGTGTGTAGCGGTGCTTCCTCTTCTAGCTCCGTGCCGTAGAAGTGCACACGTTCTGTAGAGTTCATGCCGTTTTCGACCTCAGCAAGCTGGCGGACAGTGAACTGCAGGATCTGCACGATAGCGAGGATGTAGCTCAAAACCAGGCCGCCAATGGAGGGGTTGACGTTGAAGCGGGAGGTGACGACGAGAATGCCAGTCGTGAAGACGAGTAGGTTGCCAATAGCGTCGAGGCGGATAGACAGCCAGCGCTGGTTCGAGAAGGTGAGGTAGTATGCGCTGTTCATCTCGTCGATTGCAGAGCGGATGCCCATGACGAAGCGGTCTTGGAGCCCGTAGGCGCGGATACTCGCGGTGCCAGATAGGCCCTCGCTGAATTTGGCGAACAGGCTTGAGCGGAAGACGGACTCGAATCGTTTCATCTCGCGGGCTGAGGCACGGTAGTATCCTGCGGAGAATACGAAGATGACGGATAGCGGGACGAGTGCGATTGTGAACTGTATTGAGTTAGAATTTCTGATATCCAACCAGCAAAGTTAAGGGGACATACATAATGGAAGTACGCAATAACCAGCGCAAACGTCGCGAAGATCATGCCAAGCGTCAAAAAGTACATGCGAATCGCATCCGTAAGGAAATTGTCCATGGTATCCACATCCCTCGAGAACCGATTCGTGATGCGCCCAAGCGGCGTCGTGTCAAAGAAGGCCATCGGCGCCCGCAGCGTCCTCGTGATCGCCCGGTTCAGCATCACCTTACTAGATGTCGTACCAAACACGGTGAGAGATACAGAGAATGCGAACATTAGGAGCGCCTGCGAAACGCCCAGTGCGGCATACGCGCCGATGTATGTACCGGACGAGAAGCCGAATTTGTCGCTCGTCCACCAGGAGAGCCAGAGAGAGGTCACGATGTTGGCTGGTCCGTGGGTTAGCGGGTGTAGACATGTCGAGGTGGGACAATAACTTACCTCCGTTCGATAGAACCAGGAGGAGCAGGACCAAGACGAGACTCCACATACTCCCTGATGCCTTGATGTAGGATCCATAGACGGACCATGGGACACTCTTGACCTGGCGCTCTTCTGCTTGCATCAACCCCGCAGCCTTCTTCTTTTTGCTCTTCTTGTCCTTCACTTCCTCTCCCGCCTCCTCCTCATCTTCCTTCTTCTCTTCCCGCTCCTCCACTGCCGTAGTCTCCATCAGGTGCTGGAACCCCGCATCATTCGCCATAAGATTCGCAAACGTATCAACAGCCTGCACCCTCCCATCCTCCAGCCAAATAATCCTATCACACCTATTCAGCACCCAAAGCTGATGCGTAGCCAACACCCTGCACTTATCCTTCAACAGCCCACAAATTGCATTATCAAAAATATGTCTCCCAACATGCGCATCCACCGCACTGAGCGGATCATCCATAATCACAATATCCGCATCAAAGTAAATCGCCCTCGCAATATTAATCCTCTGCTTCTGCCCCCCCGACACCGTAATCCCGCGCTCCCCAATCTCCGTCCCATCGCCACTCGGCAACATCTCCAGATCCGGACGCAGCGCACACGCATCAATGACTTTGTCATACCACCCCCGCGACATCTCCTTCCCGAAGACGATGTTCTCGCGCACGCTCGCATTCTGGATCCACGCGTACTGCGGGCAGAACGCCCGATTGGCGCCAAACAGCACGTCCCCGCTTGTCTTGCGCATGTCCCCCGCCAGCGCGGCGAGGAAACTACTCTTGCCGCTGCCGACGCCGCCGATTACGGCGACGAGCTCGTTGCGGCCGAGTTTGATGTCGAGGTCGTGCAACTTGAAGGGCTCGGGGGGTGGGGCTGATGTGCTGGCGGAGTCGGGGGTTAGGTCGCCGGAGCTGGCGTCGCTTGGGCTGGGGTTCGAGTCGCCGGCGGTGGTCTTTTTGGATTTTTTCTCTTTCGTAGTGGGCTTGACGGGCTTCCCTTTGAGGTCTTCTGCTTCTTGTGTGACGGTGCGCTCCCAGGTGAAACTGGCGTTGTTCATCTCGACGGCGTTCTCGGCCTCCATATCCCAGGTTGCCTCTTCTGGCTGTTCCTCACACAAGAGGAACTCCTGGATACGGTTGACGGAGCTCCATGCGTCGACGACCTGGCCAATAACGAGTGGCAGCAGGTTCAGCGGCATACGTAGAGAATTGAATAGAGCAAGGGAGGAGAAGACTTTTGCTGGATCGAGGTTGTTGTTGGTAAGCGAGTAAGTGATGAAAGCCAACATAGAGGCGAAGATGGGCATAGACATCGAGACAGCGTTGATTGCGTTACGGATAGCCAGGAGGATCTGAATGGCGTAAATCTCCCTATCACGAATACTGCGCAGGCGGTCCAGGAAGGCCATCTCCCAGCCGAAATACTTGACGAACCGCACGGCCTGGAGGATTTCCTGCGTCAAACTCACGCGCTGGTCGGTGATCTTGTTGATTGCCCTACGGCGGGCGAACAAGCTCTTGACGGCCATGGTGAGGGCGGGAATGCCGAGAACAAGCAGGGCAAAACCGGCAAGCGCACTCTCGTGTAAGTTAATGACGAGGAGAACCAGGGTGAGGATACAGGCTATCGGGGCCGTCCAGATCAAATGGAACATAGCCGATGCCTGATCGACACGGTAGGTGTCCACAGCCATGAGATTGACAATGCGGCCGCTCCCCCATCCCGTACCATCACCAGACACCCCCGGCGCCTGCTCCTCCTTCCCCATCTCCCCCGCTTTCTTGTCCTTGCCATCCCCTTTCCCAGCAGCCGGCTTGGCCGCCCCCTCAGAATCATCATCCAGCGCACGCCCACCTGCCTTAGCACGCCCCGAAATCTTCATCGCCTTCTCAAAAATACACGATATCATCACCGCGCGCGACTGTCCTCCAATCATCATACCCCTGTATATAAAATGGCTCATTCCCAAACTCTGACACACCTGCATAGCCGTGACGCCGATGACCAGCCCAACGCCCTTTCCAATATGCGGTGCCGGCGCGCCCGTCTTCTGTGCGATATATGCGTCGGTGGCGAACTGGATCAAGAAGCGCAGCGTGAAGGGCGCAAAGACGGTGAACAGATTGGCGAAGAACTGGCAGAAACCGCCGATCCAGAACTCCCACTTGAAGGTCTCGTGCATGGCCCAGAGGAGGGGGTATTTGTCGCCGCGCTCTGCGCGACGCTTGAAGGAAGCTTGCATACGCTCGGTCATCGGTGTTGCTTTGCGCTTGGGGTTGACGAGCCAGATGTCGTTCTGGTCGAGTGGTCGTTTGTAGCCAGCCTAGAACCCAGAGTTAGTAATTGTAGTTGCGCATGCGAGCATAGAGCACTCACAGTCATGACTGGCGCCATCCATTGGAAAGTCAATAAGCTGAACCACCCCGCAGTCGCCTCCCTCGACACCCCTCTCTCTGTAGGGATGGGCGGGATGGACCCCCATTTCATGGGATTGGGCGTTTTGTACCATGGCTTCTTCGCTGCCACCGTTGGCACGGTAGTTGTTGCAGAGGCGCCGCTCGCAGAGGTGGCATATGGAGCCAGGGGCTCTCCTATCGGTTTTGCCTCAGCGGCACTCTTGGTCTTCTCGAAGCCTGCATCGCTCTCATGGCTCTCAGCCTTCTCAAAATCCGTATCCCTCTCATCCCTCTCGGTTTTTTCGTCACTCTCGCGCGCGCGGCTGTCCTGCTCGCTGTCAACGGCGATCGGTTCTTCACGGTTCGTGCTGTTCACGGCAGCAGCTGGGCCCAGCGCTGCGTTGGTCGCTCGTGGCACCGAGGGGTCAGACATGCTGTGGCCGTGCTGTGGCTGTTGAATATGATCGGCACGGATCGTCTGTCAGACCATCGCTGATGCGCCACAACGTAAGACTTGGGTGCAAGGAGTGTCACTCGAGTCTATAGGGCGACGATGGTAGGAAGCGGTGGAGAGCAGGAGGAGGAAGAAGAGGATATATGACGGGCACGGCTATCTAACCAAAGCGCGATTGATTGCTAAGTGGGAACGGGATTGGGGACAGGGACCTAGCCTTCTTCTCGGGAAGGTGACGTCTAGGTTAAGTATATTCTGGATCCTCCAACAAATGATCCCTGTGCGTGACAGACAGACAAGCCTTCTCTCTTCCCTGTAGGCATTCGTAGTATGCGCGTCGACTCATACTTCATCTCTTCCCATCCATACTCTGTACGGCTGAATTACCCATTCCAAAGGCAACCGCGTGCTCCCCATTGCTCGCCATGCGAGACAGGGACAGGTTAGTGACAGTAGTCACAGTAGTGGCAGTAGTGGCGTCCATATCTCTCCCCGAGTGGCTCTCTCTTCTATCTTCCCCTCACCTTTGGGGCCAACATTTTTCCTCCCCAAAGCCCCAAGCGTGCCGAAGTACCGAGCGACTAGCTCCTGCCGCCTTTGGCTTGATCCTGCAAGCAAAATGGCGGGGAAGGTTTGTCAGTCGATACTTGCCCACCACCAAAAGATGGGTGTGGACGTCGGGAGGTCGGGGAGTCGGGGAGTGGGAATGCCGACAAAGCTTGGTTGGAGGGTCTTTTGTCAAAGACCGTCGAATAGAGAGGGCTGTGATTGGTTGAAACGGACACGGCGCACGCGAACTCCTTCGGAATTCGAAAGAGACTAGGTTGGTTTGAGACTAGATTCAGTTGGAGTGGAGGGAGCGGATGGGACTTCTTAAATCCGGTGTGACCCCTGGTGGGGCGGGCTTTGTCATCATGCAAATTCGCTGGGCAGGCGGGTCTGGCCTCGACGACGGACATCGCTTGTGGTGGTTCTATAGCTGGAAATTGATATTACGAAGTATGATTGTTTCATCTTACGGTGAGTATGGTTAGGCCTCCGTATACGTCACTGTTTGGGTAGGGATAGGGGGGTAAAAGAGAGAAGAACTCCAACGGATTCCGTGATTTATGCCAAGAGGATGGAGATAACGCTTTAGTTCGGGGAGTTGACGGGGAATTGACGGTGAATTGACGAGGAATTGGCGGGGAATTGACGGGAATGGGAGGCTCGGATAGCGGGGATAGCACTTCAAACCCGCGTCTTCGTAAGGTGGATCCCAGCCATGGAAGGTGAGAGACTGGACGTGAGGGACGGAATTGGGGGACTGGAGATGAGAGCTTGGAGACGAGATACTGGCGGTGAGAGACTGGAAGTGAGAGACCAGGCGTGAGAGACTGAGGAAGAGATAGGAGGCGAGACTCTAAAGGCCAGAGACTGGAGGTAGGAGACTGGAGGAGACGCAAGGGATTAAAGACGGTGCAGGATAAGCCCCTTTAAACGTCTAACAAACAGAATCTCCTCCAGTCTTCCCATCAACCCAACAGCGCCTCCACAATCCTCGCCTGCACCTCCTCACCAACCCCAATCCCCCCAAGATACTCCCTCGTCCCCCCATACTTCTCACCCAAATACTCATTCATCTTCCCAATCCACTCCCCCGGCGCACTAGCAAACTCCTCCGTCAACCCAATCTCCCTAATCTCCACCATCCTCTCCTCCTTCTCTGGCAGCAAGCCCGCTTCACTCAGCGTGTAGTCGTACGTCACGGCGTCGATGGGGACGTCGAGCAGGAGCAGGAGAAGGCAGATGATCAGGCCTGTCCGGTCTTTTCCTTGCGTGCAGTGCACGAGGATGGGGTAGCGGGGGGAGGAGGCGAATTCGCGGAGGGCCTGGGGATGTTAGATGTGTGGTGTTGGGAATGGGAGAGGGGGACAGACGGTGGCTAGTTCGGCGCCGCAGTAGTCAATGGTGTCGTAGCCTAGGCCGATGAGGCCGCGGGGTTTCATGACTTCGCGGCCGAGGATGCTGATGGCCTCCATGCGGTAGCCGGAGAGCATGAGGATTAGAACCTTGCTGATAAAATGACGGTGTTAATGGGTGTAATGATTTGTGAGTGGTAAGAGAAACATTGTAACATCCAGCCGATATGCTCAGATTCCTGAAGCCTACCACAGCTCAAGTTCCATAATGGTAAGCCAGAAACGTTGACCTACAAAATATTCCAAAAAGACAGCCTCCACAAGAGTGTCCGCTCAAAGCCCTTTCCATTGATATTGATATTGCAGTACTCCAACCCAGGAATCTGAATCGGTTCCGCCAAGGCATCATTAGACTTCACCAACGCCGGTATTTTGAGGTCCCCCTCGCGCTTCTTAGCCTGCTTAACATGCTCTGACCTAATTGCGTCAGAACTTTCCCATCTAAAGGAGAACCCAGCTAGTGGTACTTCGTTCGCAGGTCCATGACCGTCTTGATTCCGACATCATGTCGAAGCGCTTCGCGGTCAGAAACGGTTGCGTCGTCTGAGGGGTAACGTGTGAGCTTCCTGAACAGGGGCCAGGGCGGAAGTGCGCATACCAAGCCTGGCGGATCGAAACAAACGGCCCTCAGCTACTAGTCTGGAATGGCAATATAAGAAACGTGTATATAGTAATATGGGGTGCACTGGATGTAGAAACCTCTTGCCAGTATACTGGTTGATCGTCTTTCCCACATCTCGGAAATTCAGGATCCGGTCGAAGGAATATGTCCGTGATGCATCTTCGGACATCTCGTTATCACAACGCTAGAAATGCAAAGACAGGCACAATAAAAACCAAAAGCAAACCGCAAATTTTACAAAATAATATTCTGACCTTGAGCAATACCAAGGTCAGACTGCGGCTTATGACCATAAATATTTATTTTTAGCCTAAAAATGTAACATCACGTGATACATACTATTAACCATCTCGTTATCACAATGTTAGAAAAGTAAGACAGGTACGAATAAAAAATAGAAAGGAGTGCAGACAGGACAAATAAGTAAGTTATTAAATACTCATGACAGATGGATTCTTTCGTTATCAGAGAATTGGCACGTTCCTGGCAATTGCGGGAATTACGTCATGATGCATGACATGTGTTACAGCTAGGGTGCTCTATGTATATTTCGGCTGCATTTACAGCTTGGCCTTCTCAATGGTTTGCATCGCCCCGTCAAACTCGCTCCAGTGCTGCATGACTATCTTTGCGCCATTTTCCTTGAGAAGAGTAGTCATCTTCTCCCGCTCATCCTCGTCGTAGCTCCCCACGTAGCCGATAACCGGGATCCCCGCGCGAACCGCGCTCAGCGTGCCGCTCTTGCTGTCCTCGAAGGCCACGCACTCCTCCGGCTTCTTCCCTAGCTGTTGGGCAGCGAAATTGTAGATTGCAGGATCGGGCTTGGATGTCGGCGTAGGTAGGGATGTTGCGGCGCTGTATACCCTATCTCCAAAGTAGTCCTGCATGTTGGTCTTGACGAGGCTGGCTTTTAGACGGCGCCCTGCTGATGACGAGACAACGGCCAGCGTGTACTTCCCATCCATCTCCTTGAGGGCGTCGTGCACACCCTCACACGGCTCCAAGCTCGCATTGAGCTTCGCAATAACAGCATCTTCCTCGCTAGAGACGTAGCCCGCAAGCTCGTCCTCTGGGATGTGGAGGTTGTGCTTCTGGCAGAGGCTGAGCAGCATGCCGCGGAAGTTCTGGCCGACGAATTCGGTCATGAGAGACTCGCCGGTGTAATTGGGGTGGAGATTGTGCTTCTGGAGGATGTGGTTTGCCAGATCAGCGCAGGCGGCGAAGGCGAGCTTCTCGGAGAGGACGAGGGTGTTGTCACAATCCAGGAGGAGGGTGGTGATCTGAGATGCGGGGTTAGAATTATATCTTAGAGAGACCGGGGCGGGGTGCTTACTTTGGCCATTGTGAACGATTAGGTTGAGATTCAAAAGATGTGTATCTTGTGAGAGTATTCTATGAGACTGACCGAGGAAGTAGGTAAGTGGGGGATAATGAGGAATGAGGGCCATTTATTGTATTTGGTTCCTGCCCAACCAGTAACCTGGCCGGTTAGTTTGGCCAAGGCCGAACCACCAACTTTCGACTTGATAGTGTGCCCGGTCCAATCACCAATCTCAAGGCAGTTTTTCGGGATAATTTCTATGTGAAGTTACTTAATGAAATATAGTCACAAATATAACTTATTTACTTCTAAATAGCATAGAAGTAGTTATAATCACTGTATATACGTAGTAATTATAAGAATTAACTGTTATCACATAGTAGAGAGGAAAGTTAGAATAAGTATCTTTACATAGAAATTGTGGCAAAAAGGTACCTTGACGTGGGGTTCGGCTGGAGCGTTATCGTTGTTTGTCATGTTTGACGATTTTTGTTGCCTGAGGTGTCGATCAACGCTAACGTCATTACGGTTAGATCATGACCCCGATAAGCTGTGAATTTTTATCGCACTTGGCGCAATTCGTGGGATAACCTCCACGTCCAACCACCCCAGACAGTCGACCAGCAACCCAGACAGCCAGCCAACTATCCTGGCAGTCGACAAACTATTTCAATACCCATCCAAGATACCCAGGCAGTCGCTCGATAGCGACCCTCCGCAATGCCTCAAAATGAATAGTAAGGATACCACAGTCCACCCCGTATGCAATGATTCTGACAACCAAAACAGTATGGACCGCTGGAGGAAACTCCACGGAAGAAGAGTATGACCCCCTCTCGACCTTCCCACGAGTACGCATGAACTAACGGTCTACCCAAGCTCGATCACGAGGAGAAGACGCGCAAGAGAGCAGCCAGAGAGGGCAAGAAGCAGTCGCAGGATGCGCAGAACTTGACTGGTCTTCGCGCGAAGTTATACCAGAAGAAGAGGCATCATGAGAAGATCCAGATGAAGAAGCAGATCAAGGCGCACGAGGAGCGTAACGTCAAGTCTTCGGCACCAAATGAGCCTTCCAACACGCCTCTCCCACAATATCTTCTCGACAGATCGAATCCTACAAACGCGAAGGCTCTGAGCAGCTCGAGTACGTCGAACACATGCTGGTTTTCGAAGGACTTACTGACGATTGCTAGTTAAAAATAAGAGGAAGGAGAAGGCGGCCAAGTTCAGCGTGCCGTTGCCAAAGGTCAGGGGTATCGCTGAGGATGAGATGTTCAAGGTTGTCAAGACCGGAAAGAAGACCAACAAGAAGGGTTCGTGAATCCCACATTTCTCGACACCGAAACAGCTGCTAACGGGGTTTTAGGATGGAAGCGTATGATCACCAAGCCAACATTCGTCGGACCAGACTTCACCAGACGTCCGGTAAAATACGAGAGGTTCATCCGCCCTATGGGTCTGAGATACAAGAAGGCGAACGTTACTGTCAGTATCCCACTCTCACTAGCCATTTTCTATACTAACAACAAATTCAGCACCCGGAACTTGGTGTCACCGTTCAGCTACCTATCATCAGCGTCAAGAAGAACCCGCAAAACCCTATGTACACCCAGCTGGGTGTCTTGACGAAGGGTACGGTTATCGAGGTGAACGTTAGCGAGTTGGGATTGGTCACGACCGGTGGTAAGGTGGTGTGGGGAAGATACGCGCAGATCATGAACCACTGCGAGAATGATGGGTGTGTTAACGCGTAAGTTTACCCTCTGAGATATCCTTTTTCTAGCGGGATGCTAACTTTATTGCAGTGTACTCCTGGTTTAGAAGCGGTGTCTATAATAGAACTGAATTTAAAATAAAAGCGGATAGCTTTGGAGGGGCGTTTAGTTTTTAAATATTCTGTGTTTTATCATCGGAGCTAAATAGGCGTCTACGAACCACCTTTTTTCCATCAGTCGCTGTGTTATCGATATTCTATCATTCTTTGATTTCGATATTTGGCCTGCCCCTTTTTCTGCCACGATGAGGCTGTCTTCCTTCACCTTTTCCTGCTCTGTCCTTGCTAGCGCGTCGAAATTCATCGGTTGTAAGGAAGGTCCAATGGCTTCAAGCAGAGTCAAAGGGAAATGCGGCCAATATAGTTGCAGAAATCCCAAGGTAGGGCCCATACAATCAAGCTCACAAGGGATTCGAAAACAGAACCCTACACCTGCGGTTCAAATGATGGAAGTGGCCTATAACATTGTTTTGTTTCGATATTCCACATGCGGCTAGGAAATAAAGTATACAGTTGCGAAACTCTCGCCCGTCAATGTAGCCATCGGTGTCACGGCCCAGCCAATGAAACCGCAGCGGCTTCCCCATCTTCAACTTCTGCCCAAATTGTACAGCATCTCGCCAACCACATGAAAATAATCTAGACTAACTTGACATGCACGGGGAATGCATCGCCGCAACCTGCAAAGTAGTTTTATTGGGCGACATGGAAAACCTTGTCTAAATCTCCAGGCGTGGCATAGATGTCGTGACTGCCACAAGTGCGGGGAAGGGTTGCTAGATGCATCTCATCCTCTCACCGGTATCAATTCTGGCTTGCATTGCAGAATCTATCGGCAGAGTTCCTACCCCCCATATGGAAAGCCGGGATTTATCAGATCAGCCACGCAGTAAATATTGTCTGCCAAGTATCAATGCCATTGGTTTCTCAACGCGGGTTATTTCTTATTCGTTTAACGCTCTGCAAATATGCTGTCATCATCTCAGCCCAGGCAGTGTCTGCTAGGCACGAACATATAATTTTGCTTAGCCTAACATAACCACTCCCGCGGAGCTGCGAGTAGTTAAGTGTTGGCATCTCTTGCCATTTGTCATACCGCATTTTTCGAGAAGGCCCCAAGAGTCCTTAGCAATCTGAATATTATATACGCGGCCTTATTTCCCCATCCTCACATGAGACTTAGCTGCTAACGTGACGCACACGTTATCGACCACTCGCCGCTCAAACGAGCAAACACACTTCCGGCCTTTAATAAAGCATATACGCTATATACTATGGAACTTGTTAATAACCTAATCCAAGGAACCACGACCAAAGTCAAAAAGCTCACAGTCGACAAATCCGACTCTAGAAACAAGAGCTCTAGCTCGAGGACTAAACAGACCAACAGAAATACGAGAAAAGCACTCAGCACAACTGACAAAGAGCTCCAGAAGTTATTTGCAATAAAGGAGGGTCGAGCCCAACCAGACCAGGCGAATACAAACGGGCCAGCAGCCGGCCAGCCTTCTCCCCCTCAGGATAAAACTCGAGGGCAGGAACCCGCCAATCGCGTAAGCGGCGAACAAACTCAACATGTCCAACAAAGCGACAGACGACCTGGCCACACCAGCGGCGGACAGCGTGACAACCCCAGCAGAAGGAAACGAGACGAACCCAGCGCCAATCGACGAGACGGCCAACCTAGCAAGAGCTGATCAAATGCGGGAAACAAGGGCTTGCCAAGAAAAATTCCTCAGGTATCAGGAGTCTTTCAACGATATAATAGAATGTCTTCGAAAATGTAATGGTGATGAGCCGCCCGATGAAAAGCCAAACCTGATGGGCGAGGAGGTAGATCCTGAAGGCGCGGAACTGTCGCCAACTCCTGAAGCTATGACTCCCGAAGTTATAACCCCCGAAGCTATAACCCCCGAAGCTATAACCCCCGAATCTATAGCTAAGAAGAAAATGAAGGAACTTACCGATCGATCAGCTATACTTGGCCTTCCTACGGCAATCGCTGAAAGCCGCCTAAAAGAGCTTTGCTGCAACAAGGACGGGCCTGAGGACATGAAATTCCCCGTCATCAATCTCGTTGAGCTGCAAAGACTAAATATTTATGCGATTCGAAAGAGGCTCGCAGAAAAGGCCATTGCTATTTTGGATACAACGTCCCTATGTGATAACGAGGCGTGGCGAATTAAGGGTCTAATGTCTGACTATTGTAAGTAGCTATAACAAATAACCTCTAGACTCCCCGCACTAATGGTTGACAGGCAACGCCCTCAGAGACTTCGACTACATGCTACAAAAAGAGAACAATGAGATTGAGCGTGATCCATTCTATCTCATGTACAGCCGATGGTGCGACTGGGCGATCATGAAACCCGTAGTAAAGAAGCTCTATAAATCCACCACCAAAACAATGATGGAGGCACCGAGAGATTATGCCGATCCGGAGATGATCGGTGATGCTCGTGCCTGGACAAAAAAACGGGCAAGAGACGCCTCCTTCTATAAGCGGTTCTGGTTTGGCCTCGCGGGTGGCCTGGCACTGATCGCTCCTATGCTGCTTATTCTTCTTCATCATGACCGAGTCACGGCCTTGGCGACGGCTTCTGTTGCGACAGTGTTTTTTGCGGTGACGATGGCGTTTTATCATGAAGCTGATGCGAGTCCATTGGCTCCCGTGGGGGCAACGGCGGCGTATTCTGCTGTTTTGATTGTTTTGGTGGGGACAAAGCTTTGAAGGGGCGTGTTTACCCCGTCTATATTTTGGTTATGTTTATTACATAGCCGGAGTTTTCATATAATTTCAGTTAGAGTGCCGTTGAAACAAAATAATTGTTGTGGGGAGTTAACATATTTGCTAAATTATATGGAGAGAGTATCATTTTTGACCTTATTTTTATCTGGGATTATCCCTAAATAATTTGTTTATAAATTCGTTATATCAAGATAAAATCTATGTGTCGTTCATCATATGCAAGAAGCTGCACTTTTATCACTTCTCACAATACGAGCTCCCTCTGACGAGCTCCCTATGATGACCCATATCACTCCAGCACAATCACCCTCCTCGCAACCAACGGGCTCGTCTCACAAATCTTCCCATGATCATGCGCATCCAAACACGCCCTCCTCGAATTCAACACCGCAACCCTCGCACGCGGAATCATCTCCGCCACATACCTATCAATCGGGCTCGGGGCATCCGCGTCCGCCTCAGCGAACATCTCTCTAACCAAGGACGCCACATCCGCAATACCATGGTTGGCAGCTTCGCCGCGGTCTAAAGGGGATAGGTAGTTAGCAAAACATATCGAAAAACTCGGAAAAAGGGGGCCGGGGGAGGAACATACACATAGTCATCGCATGCGCCGCATCACCAATCAATGTCACTCTCCCATCTCTACTCTCGAACCCCTCCGCAGGCGGCAGCCAATCCTCCAGCGCCAAACTCTTCACCTCCGCCCCCCCCGGAATATCCGCCACGATCCCCCTAAACGGCTCCACCCACCCCTTCGTAACCTCCTTCATCCACCCCACCCTCTCCCCCTGCACCGGCGTCTCAACCGGCTCCTCCCTCCCCAAAAACCCCTTCCGAAACGGCCACGAAACAAGGATCTGACACTCCCTATCCTCCTTCGGGTCTACAGGGACAGAGAGGAAAGAGAACCAGAAGAAAGCGTCCGTGGCGGGGTCGCTGGCTTGGAAGAAAAACGGGTCGAGCGCGCGGATGGAAGCGCAGCGGGCGGAGGAATAGGGGACGCTGGTGCCGAGGAGGCGGACGGGGAGGATGTAGTTGGATGGGGAGGGGGAGAGGAAGGTGCGTACGCGCGAGTGGGAGCCGTCGGCGCCGATGAGGTGGGTGCCGGTTGCGGTGGTGCCGTCGGTGAAGGAGGCGGTTACGGCGGAGGGGGTGGTGGTGTCAATGGCGGCGATGGTTTTGGACCACTGATGGGGTTAGTCGGAGGGTGATAAGTTGGGTGAGGGGGAGCGCACCTGGATATCTAACCCATCCATGAGGAGGCGACGGAGACGCTCGCGGGAAACGCGAATGCGTGTATTAGGCGGCACCCTGAAGCGCTCCGACCCATCTTGGAGGTCAAAAAGGAGGAAATTCCCCGTGAGTCCCTCGGCGACGGCGGCAGTATCGACGAATGTCTCGGGGAGACGCGCGAGGAGGTCGACGGGGAGGAGGGCTTCAAAGTCGGGAAGCGCCCAGTGGATTGTCAGGCCCCAGCCGGCGCCGCGGTGGGTGGGGTTGGGGTCACGCTCGTAAATGGTGAAGGGGACGGGCCCGGTTGAGGAGGAGGCGGCGTGGTGCTTGCGCAGGGCTTGGGCGAGGACGAGGCCTGTGATGCCGGCGCCGATGATGAGGGTGTGTGGAGCGGGAGAGGTCATTGCGCTGGGTGGGATGGGGGAGATCTGGGATGGTGGTGGTTGTCTGGTTTAGCTTTCGCCCCTTGCTGCGGAGGTGTTGGAGATGTTGTAGGATCTGTTTGAAACTCGATCTGTTCTGCATGATCTTCACATACGACAAGAGGTTGAGTATAGGCTGGGTACCCGGTGGTATTGCGTCGGGTTTCGGGCAGTATAGTGGGGAGAACCCCGAATGGTGGGGGTGGGAGTATCGCCGGAAGTACTCCGTACCTTCCTTCCTCATTCCTTCCTTGATCATAATATCATCATGGTAATCTGATTAAACCCACCTTCAACTCCAATAGTACAGTTCTTACTGCAGAAAATACTACCTCACAACCTTACTACTGACTATACTTGCCTAACTTGCCTAACTTGCCTCATTTTCCTAGCTTACCTAACTTAGCTAAAAATACAGTATATCGGCCATTCCCCAATCAAGCCTTCACACCCGTAACCCTACCACAACTAACCACACCCTACCATGACTAACCCCAGTCATCATCCCTGTCATGACCCCTGTCACAACCCCTACACCTAACACTATAACCAAGAATAAACCCTGTCTGCCGATCCCGCCAGCCCCCATCTAAACTAAGTCTAGATCGTTTCCGCGGCGGGAACCGGGCGGCCAATTCCCGATACAACCAGCGGAATCCGCACCTAAAAAATTCCCACAACCCAATGCATGGGCCTTTCTCCAGACCCAGCGCCCGTTGGCCGCACAGCGCTAGAAAATTAGCCGAGATAAGGATGTGACACGCCCGCGCGCCAATCGGAGCTGGTGGCATGCATGTGGACTAGATAGGGCAGAGAGGACAGGGATAGCGTAGGGACAGGGCAGACAGGGCAGGCAGGGCAGGGATGGTGCCTGGTTCAAATATCTCAAATCTCATAAGGATACCCTGGGATACTTTAGAAGGTATGCTCGTATGCTCGTACCGAGTACGGAGGAATGAGTACCAAACATCACACAGAGATCTCTTCACAAACGTGTCAACGGTGCACAGGAATGTTCCGTGAGACTTTTGTTATTATGTACAGTATACTCCATGTCCACTTCTATGTCCACCTCTCTTCTCGACGGAACTCTCCGTTCTGTGGGCCCTCCGCTTCCTCCACCTTGATATCCACTGTTACCGTGGCCGTGATACCGCCACCGTTCCTCTCCCTCGTCCCTGTCCTCTGCGTGGTGACGTTGCTGTCTGTACCCAGAATCTCCTTCTGGCTGCTCGTGTCGCTGGTGTTGTCGCGGTCGCGCCAGCGTTCGGCGCTCGCGCGGTCTCGAGCGGACTTGAGGACTTGCATCGCGTTGGCGCTGCCATTGGTGCGTTCGCGGCTGGCGCCGTGGGTGTAGTAGGATGTCTTTTCTTTGAAGTAGGTGAAGAGTGGTGCGAGGGTGGGGATGCATGTGAGTGAGATCTGGGAGAGGGTTAGCTTGTGTTATATTATGCAGAAATGGAAGGAAGTACGCACGCCAACGTTCATCTCGATTGTTCCCCAGAGGACGAGCATTGTAGAATTGCCCGTCTTGGCTATGGTGATAATCTGGACCATGCGCATGATGGAGCAGATGGTCGTGAAGAGGCCGAGCAGGAAGACGGTCATCAGGGCAATCTTGCGTCGTATATTGATCTGGAGCGAGTAGAGGAGGGGAATGGGAAGCACGAAGATTATGCAGTCGAAGATGATGGTGATGGCGGCTAGAGCGTAGAAGGTGGTGTCGTTGGGGAGGCAAGAGCCGGGAGTTTTGGGAAGCCATGATTTTTTAACCTGGGGGACAAGTTAGAGACGATAACTATGAGTAGAGGTGATAATTTGAGTATGTACCGGCTTGCATTGGAAGATGAGAACGAGCGTGCCTCCGAGATGGCCAAGAACGCAGGTGATGAGGACGATCCAGACGAATTTCCGATATGCCTTGTTCGACTTGTTCAGAATGCGAAGGTATGAAAGGCAGAGGGCGACTTTGAAGCCGGTGATGCCAGCCATGTAAAACGGTCTCCCGGCGAAGTTGATCTAATCATGCCTTGTCAGCTAGAGAACTGTATCATGATAATTGTCCAGACTCACAACTGAGTACTGATTGAGGTTTTCTGTCGGCCTAATCGCAATATCGAGCCCGAGGCCCCATCTCGACTCTACTCCTCGTTAGCAAATACACAATGCGAAGCCATCCGGAGAACTCACGGCCAATACAGAGACCACTGTAAATAACACTGCAAACCTATCACATCCAAATAAGCATTGCGCCCAAAATCAGCCACCGCTCAGGGCGCCTCACCGCTGAGAACAGGATAACCCAATCGTCCTTCCCCACGGCCTTCACCATCGCAACGCGCACATATCCACGCAGCGCAACCGTAAAAACCATCAACCCCGTGAGTCCCAGCACCACGCCCAGGATGGACGGATACTGCGACTTGGCCAGCACTTCCGGACTGGCATTGTGCACCCACTGCATCGTTGCTGGGGAGAATCTCGACGAAGCCAGAAGAGGATGGGATGAAGAATGATAAAAAAAACAGTTCCACGCCCTGTGAGATCTTGACGGCGACAGTGCCGTGATAAGGCAGGCCGCTGGCCGCCTCCTAATCCCACATTTCGCCGTGTAGTGACCTGTCACCATGTTGGTTTGGGGGGGAGCAGATCCCCCCACCAATATGTGCCCACGCACTGGGAACACCCATGAACAAACCAGTACTTCGGCATCAACCTCGAACAATACGTGTTGATCTGCGTTCACACATCCTCCTCAGGTACTAGCAGCCCTGTGAGCATGTCTCAGTCGTCGGTTCGGAAAGCGTCTTGCCGGGCGAGTATTGGGGCGGGGAAATGCCTTATTGGCGGCCAATGGTGAAATCACCACCGAGTGTGCCTGTCGCGAATTGAAGCCATAATGCAGCTCGCGAGCAGATAATTTGGTGGCGGTCGAACCCACCATCACTCTGCATATCTGGCGATGGTTGGCTCCTGCAAGTTCGGAGCTCCGATTTTTTCTCGGGCTTCGTTTGCTAGACGGGGGGATTGTCACCTTGGAAGTGCCGGCGCTTCCTGGAAGTGATCGTCGCGAGATCGTTGCGGATGCAAAACTTTCGCTCCGCCGTTCCTTTTGTTCCCTGATCGCCCCACCCCCCCTCCGGAATCACAGGGATGACCGCTTCTATTGTGAGGATCATGGGGATCAGAGGAGCGAGGGGGAGCTGGTAGTAACGTATCAGCGCCGGTAATGACTAAAACAGGTATGGCGAAGTGTACATTGCCGAGCGAGTCGAACTCTGGATGTCTCAACAGATATTTCGTCCACGCACTCCTCTCGTGCATGGCCAGGGGTTACGCGACGCAGATCCAAGGGGTGGATCCGCTGTCGATATTCTTCATTGGGAAGGTAGACCATGCAAATATCACTCTGGTTTAGAGTATTCTCCGGAATGTACTTACTTCATGGCACCCTGTCGTACCTATCTCGCACGTGTGTAACACCCCCCCAACCCCAGGGTCGTGACTTCTTTCCAATGTCGCGCTGCAATTTATTCACGTCGTTGTAAAATAACAAATCTCTTTTTCTCCTGCGTCGCTGTTTTGCAATTGCGTTGTTGTGCTGTTCACTCGTTTTTGCAATAACATCGCGCGATGGAGGCGTCTACCATGGATGAGAAAAAGATGTCGGTCCCAGGCGACGAGACCACCAGTATCGATGGACGGTCGGCCCATTCGCCTGTGGAGGGAAGCATTGAGAGCAGAGATCTCGATAAGGCGTATCTCTACCTCAATCACCAGAGCGAGGCCGCTGAGACAGTTGATCTCAAAGCTTTGCGACGAAAGATCGACTGGTGGATCGTCCCTATCATGTTTGCGTGCTACACGCTGCAGTTTATTGACAAAGTCGTCATCAACGTGAGTGCTTAGCAGGCAAAGCCGTCAAGGATGTAATACTGATTATTTACGAATAGTATGCCGCTGTCATGGGAATCACCAAGGACCTGGGACTAGTCGGCAACAACTTCTCAAACGTCGCATCCGCTTTCTTCATTGCATACCTCATCGCCGAAGTCCCCAATGGTTGGTTCTCCTCTACATGTTTCTGTCGCACGTACTGACACTTCCAGGCTACTTCCTCCAAAAGGTCCCCGTCGCCAAATGGCTCGCCGCCAACGTCTTCCTCTGGGGCGTTGCCACTGCCTGCACCGCCGCTGCCTTCAACTATCACTCTCTGCTCGTTGCGCGCATCTTCCTCGGCATCTTTGAAGCCTCAATAGCACCCTGCCTCATGCTCATCAGCAGCCAGTGGTACACCAAGTCCGAGCAAGCCCCCAGGTTCAGTCTCTGGTACTGCGGCCTCGGCGTTGGCCAGATCATCGGCGGCATTGTCTCCTTCGGCTTCCAGCACGTGGAGCACTCCAGCCTCAAGGGATGGCAGTTGATGTTCATCGTCCTCGGTGTCATCACGAGCTTGGTTGGTGTCGCAACATACTTCATCCTCCCCGATACGCCCATGAAGGCCAAGTTCCTCACCGAGGCCGAGAAGGTGGCCCTCCTGAAGCACGTCTCCGTCAACCAAACCGGTATCGAAAACCACCACTTCAAACTGACCCACATCCTCGAAGTCCTCATGGACGTCCAGATCTGGCTCATGGTCATCCTGACAGTCCTGGTAAGGCCCCCCCCACCCCACCGCGATCCACACCCCCGCTAACCCACACCCCAGATCTCCGTCTCCAGCGGCGTCATCACCTCCTACTCTTCAACCCTCATCTCGAACTTCGGCTTCTCCAAGCCCCACTCCGCCCTCCTCAACATGCCCGGCGGCATCGTCTCCATCGTCTCAACCCTTGTCGTCGGCTTCGGCGTCCGCCACACCTCCAACCGCTGGGCCTGGATCGTCGCCTGCTGCATCCCCGGTATCCTCGGCGGCGGCCTGATGTCGTTCGCCCCTAAGTCGAACCGGGCTGCCCTTCTCGCGGGTATCTACCTCGTCAACGCCATCGTCGCCACGCTCGTCGTCATCTACCAATGGACCGTCGCCAACTGCGCTGGCCACACCAAGCGCGTCGTCGCGAGCGCTCTCATCGCCGGCAGCTTCTCCATCGGCAACATTATCGGCCCGCAGACGTTCCAGGCCAAAGACGGCCCGGAGTTCCGCCCGGCGAAGATTATTGTGCTGGCGACGCAGGCGGCGGGCGCGGCGGTTGCGGTGGTGCTGTTTGGGTACTATGTGTGGGCGAATAAGAGGAAGGATAGGAAGGAGGAGGCGGCAGGTTTGTCCGAGGGGAGGGATACGGAGGCAGATGCGTGGAATAATAAGACGGATAAGGAGAATAAGTCGTTTAGGTATGTGTACTAATTTGTGGGATGGGGAGGGGGTGTATATACTTCTGTGTTGGTTTCGGTGGAGGGAATATGGGGGGGACAGAGGAGTGTATTTACCTGCCATCTTACTTAGCTATATACTGCCTTTTAATAGACTCGAAAGTTTTCTCTGAAGCTGGTACTCCTTTTTGTAGTAGTATATCTTTGAACAACAGTGACTTAACAGAATCCCACCCGAATCACTCATGTGCATCAAACCACCATTATGTTCTCATCCTGGACGCCCCTGCATGAGAGGCGTATTAATGTGCAACCCTTATTGAAGTCCAAGATTGAACCCCTGCCATGTAGTAAAAAAGCATAGATGCGAGGACACGAAGGACGACAAAAAGAAATGACTGAGCAAAGGGGGATGTAGACACGAAACAAAAGGTGAAATTTAAGGGGGAAAAAAGGGAATTGTTTGCGGGAAAGATACTGTTTAGCTATGATGTAGGAAGGAAGGAGCGTTGTTCGTTCCTTCCTTTGTTATAGTTACTAAGACTAAATGGAGAAAGGAAGGAGCTTGGTTCGTTCCTTCCTTTATTATAGTTATTAAGATTGAATGGAGGAAGGAAGGTGCATTGTTCGTTCATTCCTATGTTATAGTTCTTAAGATCGAAGAGAGGAAGGAGCGGCCGGTGCATTGGCGTATTAGATCGTATTTGCCGCTCACTGACATGAAGGGATAACTTATGGAGTCTCACGGTAATTAAGGTTAAATATAGGCTAACTTTAGCTTTATTACCGTGCGACTCCATAAGTCTGCATACAGTGTGGCCGTTTGCAATGCGAGAAGCGAACTGCATCTGTATTGTTCTAGCTACCATGAGTTGGATATTCAACCCAGTTACTATGCACTGCAATGTATGTATTTGATTCATTGACGCTATACAAACTAAATATGTAATTTAGGGAAAAAACCAAGATCCTTTCATGAAAGTGCCACATAAAACAGCGGATTACTTCTTCCCCACTCTTACTTGAGGCGCGGGGATTGGTGTGATGGCGCTCTATGCGCCCCTGTAAAGTTTTGTCGTTCGTTCTCACTTGTCCACTTTTGCTATCAAAACTGGCTACAGAAGAGTTTGCATTGTAAAAGTGGACAACTACCTGTACGGTCTCGCTAGTACACACACCATCCCATGAGAGGGAGTTGTGCAGTTTCGCGTCTGAAATTCGGTTGAATCACGATTAAAACGATGAAGTGCACAACTCAATGCCACAGCAATTACCAGATCCTCATATTAAAATGTATGTCAACGTCACAACTTATCAGTAGCCCAAGTACTTTTTAATGTCTGTTGCCACGAAGAGTTTGGTATACTCGTATCAGGAATGGTATACACTAAATAGCATTGATGTTATATAAGTGTACTAAGTTACATGGCCCTTCTCTAAATTTCTCCGCCTCCCAATTTATCATTCACGCTATATATATATGTTCGTTAAAGTCTGCTAAATCCTCGTTTAGAATCTACTTCAAACCCGGCATAAATTCCAGCTCATAACATCCAGCTCCTCAAATCGGCTCATCACGAGGCTCAATCATCACTTCATTCACCGCAACATGCTCCGGCTGTCTCAGAGTATATACAATCATATTCGCAACATCCTCAGGATCGAGGACCTTTGCTCCTGAGGGCTCTCCGTATTTCTTGAGAGCCTCAGCATCTGTCGACATTGACAGGAGCTCTGTGGCCACATTTCCAGGCTGGATGCTTGTGACACGCAAACCAGTGCCGGCTGTCTCAACACGCAAGCCTTGAAGCGTTGCTTCGACGAAGAATTTACTTGCCGAGTACACACCAAGGCCAGGGAAAACCTTCCTTCCTGCATCCGATGATATAGCAACGATGTGGCCCTTGCCTCGGGACAGCATAGAGGGGACGGTTGAGGACAGACAGTTAAGTAGGCCCTTGCAGTTCACATCGACAGTGCGTTCCCAATCCTCGGTTTGCACATTTGCCATCATTGTGAAGTACATGACACCGGCGCAGGAAACAAAGATATCGACCGGGCCAAGAGTCTCTTCAGTGGCGCGCACGAGTGACTCGACCTGCTCCTTCTTCGTGACATCGGTTTGGTGGACAAGAACTTTGCCGCCGTAGGTTGTGATCATCTTCTTAAGAGATTCGAGAGCCTCAGTGCGGCGCGCGGCAAGTGCGACATGAGCACCTTCCTTAGCTAGAGCAGCAGCAGTCGCAGCGCCGATTCCAGACGACGCGCCGGTGACGACAGCTACGAGTCCGCTTAATGGCCCCTTCTTTGGCAGGTTCCCAGCACCATTCAACTGTTGCAGACGTAGAGGTTGACGTGGCAGCCAACCTCTGGCGTACCAATTGCGAGCATAGGTCTCGAGCAACTTTACGTCGATTTTGGGGCGCTGTAGAGCGCCAAGGACGGTCTTCGACTCATCATCGCCGAGCATCGTGATATCTTTCAGGAACTCCACGGTTGGCATACCACCACGAAGAATGTCAGCAGTGAAAGCGCCAGCCCCTCTCTTTGCAGAGCCTCGCTTCTGTGTCCAAAGCGAAACCCACTTCTCCCATTCAAGTGGCTCTGCGGGATATCCGAGCTCTGCAAGGTTATCAAACAGCGACTTGGTCTCCACGGGGTTGGAATCCCCGAGATGGAACACACGTTGCTTTGTCTGAATATCATTGGAGATAGTAGTGATGGCCTTGCTGACATGGTCGACTGGGGTCATCTCAGCGCGCCAGCCGGCGATATCTGGGTAATACCCGAGGTGCAGGGATTCCACAAGCAATGCAGTGAAGAGATCATAGGTATTGGTCGACCCCGAGGTACTATGGCCGCTGATGGTTCCACATCGTAATATCCTCACCGGCATTCCTCGGCGACCTGCCTCATGAACGAGCTCCTCGGCAACATATTTCGTCTGCCCATAACCATCGACGAGGCTCTCTGGAACAGCTTCTACTCCAATCATAGAGCTCTCGGGCCATGCCTTCTCGGATGGTGGCAAGACGCCGTTTGTGGATATGTACTGTAGCGTCGCTCCGCTTTGCCCCGCCAGGCGCAAAATCTTTCTTGTGCCGCCCACATTGGCATCCCGTAAGGCAGCGTAAGGATACACCAAGTTGACGGTGGCTGCAGCGTGGATAATGACTTGGACATTGTCCACAAGCTCCTTATAGGCGCCAATGCCAAGGCCAAGTCGTTTATGCGAAAGGTTGCCTGGGAGAACCTCGATGCGATCGAGGATCGAGTCCTTCCATAGTCCCAGATCAAGCAAGTTCTTGCGAATCCTTGCGACACCGGCTGGGGCATCTTCTCCTTTGGGGTCAGTGAAGCGCACCAGGCACAAAATGCGGGCCGATGTTGATTCTAGGAGATCGCAGAGTATGAAGGCACCCAGGAAACCGGTGGCACCAGTCAACAACACCGTATGGGCATCTTCAAGAGAACACACGGGATTGCCAGCGGGCTGGATACTCTCAGGAAGTGTGCAATCCGCGCGCAACACAGCAGGCAAATCTGCCTGTACTGCTGCGGTGTGTCCATCTCGAACAGCAAGTACAACATCCAAGTGGCCCTGGAGCGTGGGGTTCACAACAAGGCGTGCTACTGGGACGAGGAAGCCAAATTCCCTTGACAGCCTGGTGGCAAGATCAGCAAGTGTCAAGGAATGACCACCCAGATCGAAAAAGGTGTGTTCCTTTGTCACGGAGTTGAATGGTACGTTGAGAGATGCAGCCCAAATCTCTGCAATGGCCTCGGTGTTGATTCTGGGGTCACGCTCAGTCTTGGTGTGGTTGAAAATGGTTGAAATGGAAACAACTGGGGGCGGCAGTTTCTTAATGTCAGCCTTTCCAGATACTCTGTTGGTGGGTAGCTCGTCAAGCTCGACCCATAGGGCAGGAATCATGTACTGGGCCAACGACGTCGAAAGGGTTCGTCGAGCCACCAGACTGTATCCAGCCTCGTCGACTATGGGGATGGCTCGGTGTCCTGGATCCTCCTTGTCATGTACAATATATGCAACCAGCTGACGATCGAGGCCGTCGCCATGAGCGATAACTGCGCATTGCTTGACGGCTAGTTTCTCAATAATGGCATTCTCAACCTTGCCAGGCACGACGGAATAGCCTCGGACCTTGATCATAGCTCCTACGCGGCCAGTGATCTCAAGAACGCCAGACGGGAGCATCTTTGCTAGATCCCCAGTTCTGTACATGCGGGAACCTGGCGTTGCGTCAAACGGATTCGGCACGAACGCCTCGGCGGTAGTTTCTGGAAGGTTGAGATAGCCCCGGGCGAGAAGCGATCCACCGACGAACAACTCTCCAGCGACACCAGTCTCGACCTTATTACCGCTCGCATCAAGGATATAGGTATGTTCCGGTTCCATGGGTTGACCAACAGGGCAGTAAGGAGCCTCCTCGTCAATAATTTCCCGGATATCTCCACAGGCAATCTCGTGGGTCTCACTGGCGCTGTAACAGTTGAGCAGGCGCGTTTTTGGGAGAGCTTTCATGGCACGGCGGGCAAGATCGGTAGTGACGACCTCGCCATTGAACCATAACGTGCGAAGATCTGGGAGATCAGACTCAATATCTGGGTGTCTAGAGAGGACTGCAGCCAAAAGAGTCGGTGTCATGAGGGTTTCTGTGATGCGCTGGCGGGAAAGCAGATCCACAAGCGCAACGGGGTCGTAACTAGCCTCGTCCGGGACGCAAAAGACAGTTGCTCCTCTCAAAAGGGGCCGCAGAATTTCCCAGACAAAGAAGACATTGCAAGCCACGCGGTCTCCCGTTGAGAGATCACTGAGGCGGAATCTCAAGTCATACGATAGCACCGGCGCCATGTGGGGGTTTGCAATCCCCTTGGGTCGGCCAGTGGTTCCAGACGAGTAGGACACAAATGCAAGGCGTTCGAGGTCATCATCAGCTGGTAAAGGAGAGAGCCCCTCCATGGGTTCTGTGGATTTGTACGGGTCCGTCCCAAGTTCATCCAAAAGAATGAGGGGAATATCTGCGTTGAACTGGTTGGCTTGAGTTGAATTTGTGATTACGACGGTTGGTTTGGCATCATCAATAACATCCGCCAAGAGATTAGGTGGGTAGGCCAGTTCAAGAACCAGGAAGGCCCCTCCAGCACGGAGAGCCGCAAGACAAGCAATCACATAATTTGCGCTGCGCCCCAAAAGCACGCCGACGAGATTGTCGCGACCAACTCCGTGGTCACGGAGGCGGTTGGCGAGGGCGGTTACTCTTTGGTCCAACTCGCTGTAAGTCAATTTGGTGGTCTCATCCTCTAGTGCAATGGCATCGGGCGTAGCCAGCATCTGCTGGGCAACCAGTGCCGACAAGTCCCTTTTGATGTCAATGACCTGCATCTGTCTGGATTTCGTTGATTTGTGAGGCGCCGCAGCACTACCGTTGAGAAGCAAGGATCCAGCTTCTGTTATATGACTTTCCGAAGAACTATGGTTTGTTTTTCTGGGTTGGTCATTGGTTGCACCACATTGGGATTTAGCACCTGAAGCTCCCCCAACCACATCGGAGTTGGAGGTCACTTGCGGTACGATGCCGTTTTCGGAAGGCATCTGATCGCCTTGCTGAGAAATGGTAAAGTAGGAGTCGGTCAAGGCAAGTTAGGGCGCCTTATCAACACGAATACTCGCCACGGGCCTGGATGCTTGGGAGGTGTGTCGTTGAGCGATAATTATTGACCCTCTAAGGTGGGGCCAAGTGGCACTGTGGCGATGATTTTCTTGTTTAGGTCTACAACATTTCAATAATGACGATGATGGCAAAACTGCGGTCTTACTAGCTAAACTGTGTTTTCTACGTATTTTTATATTGCTTTTAATTAAATAAATCTACATGATTGGAGACAGAAGTCCTGCGAAAAAATTAAGGTTATTACCATCAAAGTTTTTCAAGTGCCGTATGCGGCTAGTTGTATCATGTGACCTTGAATTTTAAGGGCCCAGGTGTTCCATCGTTTCCAGGCCGTTCATTGGTCCATTAACAACCTAGGTGCCGAGGCACGTTTTGAAGATAACCTAATATCTCCTCGAAACAAGAGGCTTGGAGAACTTCGAAAGAGAACTTGTGGATTCGAATACTATTAAAAGATTAATAATCATTGCTGTATTGCTAATCGACGGCCTTAATATTGATATTAAGAGAGAAAAGCCGCCGTATATAAGTATAAGCCCAGCCCGCGTTGCATAGAAACTCCATTTCATCATCATTATTACAGCAAAATGGCTCAATCAACCTACCAATCCGTTGTCCTCGCAAAGCGTCCTACGTCCCTCATCGTCCCGGGCGAGACGTTCACTGTGCAGGAGCACAAAGCCTTAACGGCAGCAGATCTGAAGGATGGAGAAGTCCTGGTTGACACTCTGTACCTCAGTCTCGATCCTGCGATGCGGGGCTGGCTCAATGGTGAGGACCCCCTCCTCCTCACGTGACATCCCCAACTTTTGACCATGCCTCTGATATGCCTCACAGATACGCGCTCGTATGTCCCTCCCGTGCAGATCGGCGAGAAGATGCGCGGCGCCGTGATCGCGAAGGTGCTGGCCTCCAAGTCCGCAAAGTTCGCCGAGGGCAACTACGTCACCTGCTCCACCGGCTGGACCGAGCAGGCGATTGCCAAGGAGAAGGAGCTCACGCTCCTCGAGGTCCCGGCCGGCGGACAGGTTACGGATGCCCTTGGTGTCTTGGGAATGACTGGCCTGACTGCGTATTTCGGCCTGATTGACGTCGGAAAGGTCAAGGCCGGCGACTTTGTCGTCGTCTCGGGCGCAGCTGGAGCTACCGGAAGTGTCGTGTGCCAGATTGCGAAGCTGAAGGGAGCCAAGGTCCTGGGTCTTGCGGGAAGCGATGACAAGGTCGAGTGGCTAAAGGAGCTTGGATGTGACGGTGCGCTTAACTACAAGGACCCGAACTTCCGTGCCCAGTTCAAGGAGGCGACAAAGGACTTGATTGATGTTTTCTTCGACAATGTCGGAGGAGAGATCCTCGAGATGGCTCTGTCGAGAGCCAAGGCCCATTCGAGATTTATCATGTGTGGTGGTAAGTTACCTATCGTTTGGCCAGCGGCGATTTTCTGACTTTGTGACAGCTATCTCGCAGTACAACGATGCCAAGCCAACAGGACCAAAGGTTGTTTCCCTAGACCATCTTAGCTTCAATTCAAGACTAACCCTTTCGTAGAACATCTCGATGGTCATTGCTATGCGCATTAGGTAAGTTTCCTTATCGCAGCTTAGAAAATCTCGCAGCTAACAGTTCCCCCAGAATGGAAGGATTCATCGTATTCGACTACGTCAAGGAGTTCCCTGCTGCGCGTAAAGAACTCGTGCAGTGGCTCTCAGACGGAAAGCTGAAGCGCAAGGAGACGATTGTCAAGGGTGGACTGCGTGCTGCTGAGCAGGCGCTGGTTGCTCTATACAACGGAATCAACACCGGTATGTGAACCCCGATTATTTCTCAGGCTTGATTCATGCGGCTAACTCTTGTGTCCGTATAGGAAAGTTACTCGTTGAGGTTAAGGCGGAGAACGCGAACGGAGGGTCGAGGTTGTAAGTTAAACTCGTCATAAACAAAGGCGCCTTGGCAAGGGAATTGTCATAGGGGGGTCGATGGACGACCCAGAGCTTGTAGATACTTGGTTGGATATACAGCTGCTGCCACGCGGGCTTGGATAGCAGTGCTGCAGCAGCCTTGTACCTACGGTTGTTCACATAATTAAAAGTTAAAACTATCAACATCAGCTGACGTGTTATAAAGGAGAAGTATGAGACCAAATGGTATATCAAATTGAACCCACTACCCCTGTAGCTCTGAATGAATCCCCCTGGTAAGACAGTACTCAAACATTGCGCCTCATCCATGCCGCCTTCAAACCAAACCCACACGGGAACTGTGCATCAGATCTACGCCGCATCCTTTTATCATGCATTCTCTCCCTCATCGGGCGCCCCTGCATGTGCTCCTGCATCACCCAACATCCGTTGGAGAACCATGAAATCACACTTCTGGTACCAGTTAACTGAGAATGCGCATTCTACGAACTCCAACTACTCCAACCACTATATACATCCCCGCTCGGGCTCCTTGGCCGAGCTTAAGGCTGGCCTTATTACCGATGGCATTGGCACCAACCAGCACTCCGTCGATCTCCCCGATCACCAGTGGATACTCGTCATATTACCTGTCTCGTGGCACTGGTGTTGTGTTATTCTAGTAATCCATCGAACAGGCACGGCCGAGAAGTGTGCCCCCTGTTTCATTGTTTCTGGGGCTAGTTTTTCGAATGAGGCTGCGATTGGCAACTATTCTTGATCTGGATATTACAAAGCTGAAGATGTTTCTCGACACACGGCACGGTGATTACAGAAGCGAAGGCCTTTGTCACTGATTTTGGCCAGCTGTAGACTACGTGGGCTGGACCCAACCTTTGGCCCGGAGCCTTCCAACCGAACTGCCACCCACGAACTATGAGGAGTTTGTGGGGGCGATGGAGATATCTCCCCGCGAAATCCGAGACTGGATGAGAAAAGCTTGCGAGGGTCGGAAAGAATTGGCGATAAATAGGATCAACTCCGTTGGGAGAGGGGCGCGTTGATCAACTAGCACTGACCAATGGGTAACATCCATATCACACAGACACCCGACACAGACCCACTGAGGGGAGGCGCTGATCCTGGACTTGCTGATGGCACAAACTCCATCAGCACTGATGATTACACAGACATAAAAATCGACGTATTCTGCCTGACCTTGTCCTACCGATGAGTTGGATGTATTCTGATGGGATAACTTCGTAATTCTTGGTAAATAAATTCTCTTTGACATATATCAGGAATGGTCCAGGTTATCTTTTTCAGGGGCTGTCAGATGTCAGACGGATGTGGGGGTTCGGTTTTGCCCAGGATTCGGCCGAGGCCTGACGTCGTAACTGTAGCCTAGTTCGCCGCCCGGCCGTATTCGTACAGAACACAACTATGCACACTACACGCACTATTCACTGCACAAAGCACAGACGAAACGCACGTACTGCCCCCTAATATTGACTCCATGGGCTCGCTTCCCCACAGGCCTTCCCCCATTTCCCCATTTCCCCACAGAAAGCCCAGAATCCAGTTCCCTTAGCCCTGAAGCGGCCCAAGACGTCTTGAACCTTTAGTTTCCCCGCACGACTTTCCCTCGATATATTCTCTTTGTAACCTCTAGATTCATCGATCGTGAATAGAAACAAGACCAGAGGTTGTTCGTAATCGAAAATAGCAGCTGAATTATAACAAACATGAGCGACATTTCGTCTCCGGCCGTGACCGCCAGGCCGGCAAAACGACAGCGGGCTGACGCGGATCTCCGGAGCCAGCGAAAGCGGGAGGCAGACAGGAAGGCCCAAAGAAACTCTCGTGAGAGGCAGAGGTCACACACGGATCATCTCGAGAACATGATCACGATTCTCCGCAAGGAGAATGGGAATGCGGCTACGAGCGAGCTGATGGAGATGGTGTGGCAGCTCCGGTCTGAGAACGAGCGTCTCCGGAAGATTATCAATAGTGCAAAGTCGGCCTTGAGCGTGATGTCGTGCGAGCCAACTCCATTGTATTACTCTCCTTATGGCAGCGTCATTTGTCCTAACTAACACATATTGCAGACCAAACCCTCAACATGTTGATTTGACCAGTGCCCCGAGGCCACCTCCAGGTAAGGGCCCACAGGTTGCTGTAGTCGAAGGCGCTCCCAACAAGAACCCAGGAGCTTCTCAGCCAAGTGCACTGCCTGCAAAGCGTAGCATAGATGATGTCATGCCGACTGCTTCAAATAGCCTCGTTCCACGTGGGGAACAAGCTCGAAAAAGACGCCAGACCGTTGCTGATATAACGGCCGAGAGTAATTGCGGGAGCGTCCTTAATTTCACTGAATCCTGGATGGACAAGAAGGCAATAGTTAGGACCGACAAAGCCCATGCCGATCTTACTCCCTGGGCTTGGCTGAGCCCGATTGCATCCATGATGCCACCACCAGCTCGCCCCCCGACACAGGGCATGCAATGCCAAATCTGGGAGAAATCGAACAAAATCTACTCTCAAATATCGACAGTCGCCGCCGCTTCTGCTTCTGCTGCACTACGCTTAAGTCCTATGGACTACGCGAATTTGATATTTAAGGCCGTGATTAACGGTTGGGCTTCCTTGGACACCTGGGAACGTAGTAATCCTATTATGAAAGCACTGTCAGACATCGATCAGGTATTCTCAGAACTTGATCAGGTAAGCAGGGCTGCGTTTCTGTACAAAAGCCACATGCTCCTCAAGGTAAGCCTAGAGCCCATTAACTAGGGAATGTATGTACTGACCAAGTTTAGTATCACATGGATCCCGAGAAGGGCAACTGGGACGAGATGCCTGAATGGCAGCGACCATCGTAAGGCAACCATGGCTCGAAGAGCATTGAATTCCGGCTGACCTTTCTCAGATTTACACAGCGTACCAAGCAACACCCTATTGCCGTTGATTTCTTCGTGTGGTAAGTGCAAGATTAAGATTCTAGACATGACCATTGCTAATCATCACCAGGCCCGCCCTACGCGATCGCCTTATTGATAGCAACCACAACTACTTTGCTACGGGCGACTTCTCGGCCTATTTCCGTCGGCATTACAAGTTCAGTTGGCCCTTCTCTTTCGAAGATACCTATGTCTACGATGGTGCGTCAAATACTTATCAAATGAGCCCAATATTTGCAAGGTACCACCGCGACCTCAAATATTGGGGCGTCGAAAGACCTTTCCTCGAGAAATTCCCGGAACTGGCAGGAGATATCACGTTAATTGATACCGAAATGAATATATTCCACCCGCAGCCTCTTCAGTCGATGGGTTACATCGAAAGCCCCCCTGAGGATGCAACCACGCCAGACATATTGTTTTCTGCAGGCTTCACGGATGGGGAGATTGCGGAGCTCTTCGATAATTTCCCTCAAGTTGGATAGACCGGTGATAGCACCAGCGGAAATGCCTATCGACGTTCTTTGTCAAGGGCAACAATTCAATGGCGACAAGAATTATGTTATCATATGGTTAGTGGCGGACCGACGACAGCAACAGACATCTGCTCTGCTTCGATGTCGGCCATACAAAGTTACGCCCATATCACTCCAAGGGAGCCGGAAGGTCCTGTGGGATGCGGACTTTCTCTACCGAAGGGTTCGGTGCCGAGATGGTTTTACGACTCATGAGGAAGTCTTTAGGATATCTCTACCTGAGGGAATATTCCATGGTTTGAAATAGCAATCGCTGTACAGTATCTTCGAGTTTCAACTGCACGATTTTCGTCCCCATGAAGGTATGATAAGGGTTGTTCATATCAGTAGCAAATTGACTATGTTTACCTTGACTACTGGCCGCTCTGAATATTGGGGGGAGGGGGGTAATTTGGAGTTGTGTGCCCAAATGGGTAATCACGTGAGCTAATTGAGGGGAAACGCATTCGGGGGATTCGGGGAATAACATTCGGAGAATTCCACGAGGATCTCCATTGGTTGGGGTTTCGTCCCATATTTCTTACTCGTAACGATCGGCCTTTCCGAATACCTTAAAAAGTTAACATATCAATGCAGCTGAGATTAAAGTTACATACTTTTTTCCCAATCATACGAGAACTGGTTCAAGTTCTACCACAGTATAATTTGTCGTGTAAACCTGCTTCGCCTCCCTGCTACTTGGCACCAGGGTTTGTGCCGTTAGTTGGCTCTATCCCCGCATTGCCGAGTCATTTGGGCTGAGTCAAGGTGGAAGACAAGCTCAAGACTACCGAGGCAAAGTTTAATGCAGGAACGAGGCAGGTTTAAGCGGACCACCGCGATATGATAAATAAACCTAAAATCTCTTGATAATTATTGTTTTTTGTTATCCCATCTCCAAAAGACTCACTCAGTTTTAGATTAATCCATAATCATGCTCTTCAGCCGCTTCACCATCTCCGCCCTGTGCGTTGGTAAGTTTACTCGGATTTCTGGCCTTTAATTGAGCTTAACTGAGCTCAATTCGACCATAAATTGCAAAGCTAACTCGAGATAAGGCGCCGGACTCGCAGCGACCACCAGAGATGTCTCTCTTGCTCAGGGACAGGCAGCTGTCGTAGCTCTCAAGAGCCTCCAGGAAGATGTTACCGCAAGCGCTGCGCTCATCAGTTAGTTTTAAACACTCACATAGACAGCCTGCAGCCATTCTAACGCCTCTCGATAGAGACCAACGTCGCGAAGATTGGGCCATTCTCCCAGCCTGCCGATATTGCGGCCCCCGTTGCCGCCATCAAGGAAGCGTTTGTTGAGATTGTTGCTTCGTTCAAGAATGCCACCGATGCCATCAAGGCCGGTGCCGCCCCAGTTGGAGCCCGCCAGCTCCCCACCGACCCAACTGCCATCGCTACCGAAATCGCCGGTATCGTCAACAACATTGCTGGCACTCTCCTCGGCCTCTTCCTCTCTTTCTTGGGCACGGTCACAGCTTGTAAGTTGCCCATTCAAAATGTAACGCTCCAGCGAGATAGCTTGCTAATTCGTGCTCCTCAAACAGCCAAGCTCTGGCAAGAAATCAGCAACCCTCTCCTTCAGGCTTTCACCGATGTCATGAGCACCCTCGAGACGATCCCTGGCCTCAATGTTGTCTTGGACATTGCCAGAGGTATCCTGAACAGCATCCCAGTCCCAGGTCTTAACATGCCCGGCTTGTAAGACTACAGTCACAGGATATGCTGGGAGTACTGCGCTGGTTATTTGTTCAGGCGAGGTGAAAGCTTTCCCATTTTTAACTATATTAAGTCGGCTTTATGCCAATTATTTAGTTATGAGAATTGTTTGTACATAATACAACTACATATTTTGCCTGTTATGTCTATGTTATCTATAAATATTTGTTTGACTTCATGTACAATATCAAAGAATTACCACCACCTACTCGCGCTACAATATTGAATAACATTCTTCTGGAGATATGATATTACGGTTGAGTTTCCCCATACAAATGTAGCGATGATGTCGTTCCGACGAGTCAGACATTACTGTGTGTGGAATCCCTTCACCCATTCAAAATATGACGGCACAAGGCAAAAGCCACAGCATTTTCATCGGATAATATGTTGGTAAGGGATTCCAACAGGACCAATCTGTCGTAGTGCATATCAAGGACAGGCCTACAGCCCTGTGCAGCCAACCGCCGACCCATGGAGATTACAATCTGCAGGCTGGAGACCTCGTGCGCCATGGGGCTTCCCCACAAACAGGCTTAGAGCCGGGTACAAACCCATATGGAGCCCAAAGCCAAGGGCCTAACCCAAATGTATACCAACGCAATCCGCCCGCATCAAAAATTTGTTGGAATTAAGCCTGAGTGCCCAGGGCTTTCCCGCTGCCAAGAATTGGACACAGACCCTCTATAGAGCCGAGAACCTAGCGGGCAACTCGCCACAACCCACACACCATGCCACAACTTGGCATCATCTGACAGAGCAGTTGAAAATAGTGTTCATTGTTCAGTCTAGATGCAAAATACGAAAGCCGATATTTGGCCGATACAAAAAAAAAAGTTCATTCCGACGCCTCCTCCCCTCGTGGTATCAAGTCTAAATGCTGCCAAGAAGCGATTGAAGGTTCACTGCAAGAGTTAGGGTGTGGCTCTGAAGTGCTGCTTCCTAAAATCGAATCTCATTAGCATTTGGTCATGAGGATATGAACTGGCTGGGTTGGATGGACGTACGTAGTAAGGCAAGTGGACGCCATTGTAGACCGCTGTCTGCCCGACGATAATCATGTTAACCATGCCCTGCTTATCCACACTGCCGAGCGCGAGTGATGTGTCAACTATAGCGTGCATAGGAAGCAAGTTCTGCCCTGGGTTCAATACGAAGTTATCGATGGTGCTGTTGCCGATGAGACCCTTCTCCTTTGTGGAGATGTGCATCATAACTGTTCCCTGTAATTGAGTTAGCGGCTGCAATGATAATGCGACAATGGATACATACAAGCTCGACTGTCAACACAGACGGGTTTGGAATAAGTGCCATCCCTGTCAAGTTGGGTTCTCCAGGCGCGGCCATTAAGTTTACTTTCGGCTCCGTGATGTTGAAGCCCTTCATGCCATTGAGTGCTAGACTAATTAGCTCGGGTCCAAGAATTGGAGAACAGCGCGCAATATACCTTTGAATGTAATGGAAGAGTTGTAGTTGACACTGTTAACGGGTAAAGCGCCGAGGTGTAGCTTGGTCTTGCCCTCCATTCTCACTTCGATGCTCTCCTGAACCAAGACCTGCTTGGCGAAGGCAGTGACCTGGTCCATATCGACAATCGTCGCTTTCTGGTCTGTGATGACGATGTTGGTATCGGGGTGATGGGCATGGATTTGGGGCATCCCGATCTGTGTGATCACCTTCTCCGACGTAATCCCATCAGTCACGAGGTGCATGCTGACGTTGAACGCGTCCAGCGTCGGCGTGAACTGGCTGTCGCTGTGCTGCAAAGCATCGACCGAGAGAGTAAGGGAATCTAACGATGGCTTCATGAACTTGAGGCTGGTGTAGCTGAGAGTCGCATCGTCGATGCCCTTCTGGGCAATCTTAGGCATTGCCACGTAGACACTAGAAGCCTGTATTAGATTTGAGTTCACTTCGAATGATGAAAATCATAACTTACAGGCATAATGATACTATTAAAAACCCAGCGCAGAAGGCGATAAGATGTGCCCACCAGAACCTCTTGTAATGATTCTTTACCTTTCCTCCAAAGGTAGGTTTCTTCTCATATCGCTCTTCAACCTGGTCTATCTCACCCCCTTTCCTCTCGCTAGACGACTCGTCGCCCCTGGCAGACTGCATTCTAGCGACTGAATGAATGAAATGTCAATGTAGAATTGAAAGACGTATAATCAAGAATATTCAGATAAGGTCGTCGAATAAATCGCAGAAGAGAACAGAGTAAAGTATGAAAGTGTCTCAGAGCTTGGCTTTGGAGGGAGATTGGATGTAATTTAAAGGAAGATCATATCAATCGGGAATAAGAAAACGATACAGGGATTCGGTATCTTGTACGCCATTTGATGGTGTGCGCCAGTTGCGGGGAACTTGACATCGTCGAAATTGAGTCAGGCCCGCTATCATTGGGGGATCTACATTCCCCGCGTTATTTCCCCCAATGGTTCGTGGGGACCCCATAGCTAGGTTCCCCAGATAATGGTGGCTCAGCTGGAAGATCGTGGGGGGTTAACTAGGATATCTACGATATAGGATTGACATGTGCTTGTTATTACCTAGGGGCTTGGAGCAAGCATGGACAAACTTGAGTTTATCTAGTACAGCGATAAATACTGACCCACCCCCGCCATTCAAAGATCTTTAGTCTCGTCGTCGGATGAGTGGAAATTTTGATCGATCCGATTTCTCGAAATTCCACTTCTAATCGAAATAGATACACCCCGCCATTCCAAGATTATCAATCCCATTGTGAGTGAGTGAATAACTAGATCAATCTAATTTCTATAATTTCTACTTCTAATCTAATATCATAGGGGCCATCTAACTACGGATACAAAATTCTATCGTATCCAATGCAATGCCATCAAGGCCATCTTGTACCAAAAGTACAGCGTACAGCCAAGAATAACTATGAGAACTCCTAATATGATGAGATTCCTCGTGTCTCGGCTGCCTGCCTTTCCAATCGACAAGCCTCTGGCAACTTCGCCCTGTTCCGTAACGGTGTTGAATCCAGGAATATACTGCAATTCGAACTTTGTCTTCTTCCCCTTCATGCCGTGCTTGCCTTCCATAAGAACATAGAAGAGCCGTTTTCGCATGTACTCCACCTTCCACCTGTCTAGGATCGGAATTGATCGGTAGATATAGCTTGACGCGCAAATAACGATACACTGAACCATGACCAATGTCACGCTGAGATAGGAGGATGTGGGGATTTCTAGCGCATCAGACAGCCTGGAGCCGTTGAGCCAGCGAGCCTGGGCTCGGAGATAATCTGCTGAAGGGTATGTAGGGGCCTTGTCTGCGAGGGCTTGGATGATGTTGGCTGCAAGCACCTTGCTCGAGTTGCTCGGCTTCAGGTCTGCATCCAATATACTTTCCATAATCGCCTTGGTCGACGCTGGTGTCTCCAGGACATCGGTGGGGGTACCCATATAGTACGCCACTAAACGCCACAATGCAACGTAATCTTCGATTTCATTCTCTCTCATGTAGATGCCCTGTGCGGGCAATGCAATCCATATAAGCTGAGCGGAAAACGTTGATATGGTGCCAATTGAATCTAGGTCGTTGATTGGTGTTCCGAACTCCTCTACGCTATAATAGTCGTCCCTTTCTTTCGCCATGGCGAGAATCTTATTGCGGACCATGGCGTGAAGGAGGCGCACGCGGATGGCGGATACATGTCCGTCACCACCCGGCTGGACGGATTCCAGAGAGTTGGTAACCTGCAGGACAAACTGGGTTGTCTCTAACCTATAAAAGGATTAGCATCATGTTCATGGTGAGAGAAGTCATGCATACTTACATTCGATTCCTGGCAACCCTTGGAGCAAAACCTCCTGTCCTCGCCAGCGTCTCAACAATTCGAGCGGCGGCCTTCAAATAGTCAGAATTATGGAGAAACAGTACTGATCAGAAAACTCACCATTCCCCCCAGGAGACTCGAAAAGGCCAACCCGGTCATCGCAGCCTCACCGTACCTATAGAACACCTTCAACACATCAGCACGTGATTATCATAGAATTTGCTATATTCCTCACATCTTGTCCGCGCTTGATTTGGTCCCAATCGACCCATTCGGGCACAGTGTGCACGTCTTCCCAAAATTTCGTGACAACCGGATCCTCCTTGGTCAAGGCGATGGACTTGAGCGACTCATACAAGTCCATTTTCCGGGGGGCACCTTTGCCAACCGCCTCTCCATTCTCAGCCGCTTTTTTCATCTGCAAGTCCTTTACACGCGCTAACACATCTTCTCCCAGGGTGTCATATGAGTACCTGAGGGGCATCTGCTGCTCTTCCGTCATATGCAGGTCGGTCCATTCATACTTGTAACCCCAGACATCATGGATATCCTTCTCTGATGATGGAACCATCGTGTCGAATTTATCAATGGATTTGGAGAGAGGCTATCAATAGAGCGTGTATATAATGGCTATAAAAAACTACCATATGAATGTCACAGCGATAGGAAAGCAACATATACAGGCTTCAAATCACGATAGAAGCATAATACATTTGGATATGGAGACATGGCCCGAGGCGTGGGGTTGAATGACGAAGGAATTTCCTCCCACGAGCTGGATTTAGACCGCGGCGCCTGACATAGACGTTGGTACCAAACACTGTTCGTCATTTTGCATGCGCAAAATAAAAAGTACGTGCCAAAGAAATAGCGACGTAAGTCGGATCGAGTCAGCATCCGAGGTCTAAAGTGGGTACACGCCACCATGCACAACCCCGCATCCGCCACTTAAACGCAGATACCCCTGAAATAGTGGGTATCGATAAGAACCGCCGGCCTATCAGCCATCGACGGCCATTGACAGTCCAACAACAATCTATCAACAACCATCTCCACGGTTTATGAGGGTTATAACGGTTGGTACGAGGCAAGCCACCGGCGGGCGCTATGAACGGGACTGGTCGCCTGTTGCCGACGACGGGGTTCGAGTCAGTCATTGAGTATGTCAGTTATTGGTAGAGCAAACCGTCTTCATAACTAGAACCGTAGTATTATGCAACCGGCACGGACCGTTGGTATCCCATCATTCCATGGACGTGAAGATGATTGACTTATCACGGGTAGTTTCTGAGTTGTGAAAGGGGAGTCAGTTAGTTGTGCAACTGCGGGTAAACGAAACATATTCGTGCAACACGGACATGGCGGTTGTGCAACTACGGATGCATCAGAGTCCGTTGTGCAATCATGCTCCATGTTGGATACCGAGGGCTAAAATGTCCTTTCATATGTTAGGACTACAGAATATATGATGATTTGTTGTCTAGAAAGGCGCTCGCGCTCTATAACTTTGACTTGGTCCTTTCTGCCAACATTCGAAGATCCTTCCTGAGGATCTTCCCCGAAGCAGTCTTGGGGATCTCGTCAATATAGAAAACACCTCCCCTGAGCCGTTTGTAGCTTGCAACGACGCTGTTGACAACTTCTTGGATTTGCTCCTTCGAAATCTTGGTCTGGTCAGCGACCACATAGGCCCTTGGTAATTCCGTTCCCTCTCCCTCCACTCCGATAACAGCAGCATCTAAGATGAGAGGATGCGCAAGTAGAATAGCTTCGAGCTCGGCTGGTGCAACTTGAAGACCTTTGTATTTGATGAGTTCCTGTGAACTGTCAGTCGTTGGCCAGGCAGAGTCGGGGATTACTCCTCACCTTCTTTCTGTCCACGATATAGAGCTTCTCGTCGCGCATGATACCAATATCACCCGTGCAGAACCAGTCACCATGAACAGATCCTGCAGTGGCCTCCGGATTGTTATAATAGCCCTTTGAGATCACAGGACCCTTAATAAGAATCTCACCTGGCTTCCCAGCTGCGACGTCCTTGAAATCCTCATCGACGAGTCTGTACTTCCATTAGTATCCGGGGTAATGTAGCATAGTAGTGGTGTGCGCACCTTAATGAAATGTTTGGTAGCAATGTGCCAACGCTTCCAGTCTCGTCCTTTGGGCCCCAGAGATTGGAGCTGGCACTGCCCGTCGTTTCGCTCAGTCCCCATGTCTGGCTGATGAACGTCTTGCCCTTCCCAAGCTTCATGCTTGCAGCCCGTTGGGTCTCTGGGCCCAATGGAGCAGCACCGCTTTGAGCAAGCATCAGCGTGTCAAAGTGGTCTGTCACCACGGTCGACTTGGCTATCAAGAGGTAGATAGCTGGCACACTAAAGAGCATCGTGATGCGGAACTTCTTTATGTTGTCTATGAACTGTTGGAAATCGAATTTTGACATCCAGTACACGAGACCTCCTGCGTAGAATGGGTTCACGAGATATCCCTGCAGCCCTGCGATGTGGGCAACAGGGAGATGGGCGAGAGTTCGGTATTCAAATGGGGGTGCACCAGCTGCCTCAGCCTTCTTCAAATGCTCCTTTGTCAGCTCACCGGGGAGGACTGCCTCGGATACCAGGTTCGTGTGGGAGAGGCATACACCTGTCAAAGGTTAGCTATCGACCGTTTTCTTCGACGCTCAAACGTACCCTTTGGTGGACCAGTCGTCCCAGACGAAAAGAGGAGGCATATTAAAGAGTTCTCGAGCTCCTTGGCGTCAGTGATCCTTCTCCAGTCCAGCTGCTGCTTCGAAATATAATTGGTGCCAGTCGAGAGCGATCTGAGACTCCATTCCGGACTCGATTCCAGAATCAAGATCTTGGCATTAGACAACCCGCATTTCTCGGCGGCCTTGCATGCAACCTCTCTTGTGTCGGCGGTGCACACGAGAAGGCTGACCGGACACTGGTCTATCTGCTTCGATAATTCGGTCACGGTGGCGGAAGTGCTGACGGCGGAGTAGACACCCTCGGCGGCGATCACACCATAGAATAGCATGGGCAGCAAGGACTGTCCGGAGCACATCACCATTACAACGTCCTTTCCAGGCCCGTTGGCTCCAATACCAAATCCATTGCGTAAACCATGAGCAATCTGCTTCGTAAAAACCCGTGCCTGTGATTTGTTTATGCTTCGTTCGGGGTTAGACGCTTCGGCGTGGAGCACAGAGTCCTCCTTGGCGCTGCTATTCTCGTGATCTATCAAAAACCGCACGTTAGCTTCCAAATCCGTGATTGCAAAAGTTCAGCACAGAAATTACCAAAAAGTAGCGTCAGGACATCTACATTTGGCACTTGGATGGTCTTCGCGTTCTGGTATATCATTTTCGGAGTCTCAGATCAAAACGTGGCGAACTGGGAGTGAATAGAAAAGCTATGGTAGGAGGACTTCCCTAGATGTATAAGCTGGGGAAATAAGGCTTTAACCGCAGGCATTCGAGTCAGCCTGGTCGATCTCCAATTGCCCATACCGAGCTTATATCTGTCAAGCGGCCTACATGACACTGGGGAAATGACCGGGTGGCGTATTATCCGGGGAGGTCGGCTCCTCATTCCCCACTATTGCATATTTCGAGCTTAAATATGCACTGTCCGGCAAGATATTGCCGAAATAGGCAGGATTAACACTTGCCGCGGTTATAGAAAGACCTATCGTGGAGCTATACTGCTATGAAATTACTACATGTAGTTTACGGCAATATAATTATTCACAAGAAAGTAATAATATGATGACAATATGTCTTTCAATATTGTGTTTAAACTACTGCTACAAATGGTTTGTTCGCTTAGAACTGGAGCTTGAACTCCTCGTACACAGAGACACCAGTGTATTGAGGACCGCCATCAACACCACCAACGAGCAGACCAGAGGCGCGGTAGTAGAGGAAGGCGTCAGCAAGAACGGAATGGGCCGTAACATTAACGCGGAGCATGCCCTCGGCACCGAGGTCGAGGTCGATGTGAAGACCCTCGGGGTTGCCAGAGGTGATCTTTGGGGGGTACTGGGAGTTCTTGCCAGTTGGGCGAACCTTGATGGAACCGGGACCGCACTGAGTGGCAACGATTACGCCGTCCTTGGCGGCGTAGCTGCTGAAGTACTCAGTTCCATCCTTTCCGAGAACATCGAACCAAACGATGGAGTATGGGCCGAGTCTGCCGTGTCCCCAGTACCAGCTGGATACGTGGGTGGTGAATGGCTTGTCTCCCCAGTTCTAATATATGTCAGTATACGTCTTATAAAGGACTCGGAATTGCTTACCTTGTCATGGTAACCGATACCGGTGAACTTGAGGGGTCTGCCAAGAACGGTGAAGTCTGCAACAGCATCCGCATCAGGCATAGCATTGGCCCATCCGACATTAGGCGAGACGTCGAGTCTCTGGCCAGCCTCATTGGGACCACATGGGTAATGGGCAGGCGCGCGCTAGGGGCGCATACGTTAGTTTGTTGCCCAAGACATGCTGCTAGAATTTATACTTACAGACGTCAGCTCGAGCGTACCCTTGATGGCAAGAACCGGGCTGTCAACCGTGACCTTGTAGGTGGACAAGTCAGGGGATCCCTCGAAAGAGAAACCAGTTCCTTGCCAGTTACCAGATGCTCCGTCACCATCGGTGACAACAGTTGCCTGTCCAGCCGTGTAAGGCAAGTTGTTCAATGGCAAGAACACAAGGCTTCCATCATCGAAAGTGGCAAAGATGTCGACAGAGAGGGCCGAAAGCGGAGGCACGAATGAGAAGCCCAAATCGGTGGACAGGTAGAAGACCATGACAACGGCGGCATTTCCGTTGGTTGAAACGGCATCAAAGTACCACCAGTCGAAGGTCGTGGCGTTGATGCCTGGGGACATCTTTGGTCCATCGAGACCAGATGCCCCAGAGACATAGAGAGCGTTGCTGGGGCCAGTCTGGATGACGTTTGGGTAGACATTAGTCACCGAGGCCAGAACGGTTGTGGCGCAGAGCGCGCTGGTGAGCGCAAGGTTACGGAGCTGCATTGCGAAGGATTTGCTAATGTTTCGATGGGGAAATAAAGTGAGGGATGGAATCGTACTTATATTCTCAGTTTCCCCATACTATACTCAGCACTAATCGTCCCGGTTATTCATTAAGCTTGAATAATGAAGCTACTACGTAAGAGCTACTGCTGCGTATGTTCGCAAGCCTGGCCATATTAAGAGAGCAAGAGTAAAAGCTGACTCGGAACTGCGGGGTGGAAAACTGGGAGATTATTGATGATGATCCTTTCCTATTTTCCTTGTTTGCAGCAAGCTTTGGCAGCTGCGACCAGAGTTGAGATGGTTAAGTTCCTAAGAACTCGCCGATGATTGTAGTTGACTGACACGAAGCTTTCTGACTCGAGAGAGGACAGCGCCACAGGACGGGCAAGCTTTGCCGAGCAGGCCAATTCGTGGGGTAGCCTTGGCGGATGCCCTGCCGAGATAGCGTTGGGCAGCTTGGTTGTCCCTCTTGCCAAGACAAACCAAGGGCTTGGTAGCGGGACTTAACAGCCTAATTTAGTTGTAAGGTGCGTCAATTCATGTTAATAGCTGCCAGGATATATATTAGCAGGGGCCAATCGGCGAATTTGACTCCACATTACCATGTCCACATGTTGTCCGCATGCTGGTGATCTGTTGGGGAAACTTGGAGATTGGAGAATTGAGGGGTCATGCAGGTTCATCCCTTCTCGGGGACGACGCGGCTTCGGATTTACGCTTGTTTGTGTCGTCGCCGAAGTCCCCGAAGCTGCTGTGGCTGGCAGTTTGTCAAATATTTTGACATCTGATAGTGCTGCTTGGCCTCGTGCCGTTTAAAAGGTGCATTGGGGTCTGCATGAAGCTAATATGAGCGATTTTAAGCTCTTCACCCGTTTTTTTTTCTCCGCGACTGACCTGCGGTTGCATTTTCGACAGACTTTTGTGAAGCCGGTGATATTCGGAGCTGGTGGTTGACAATGCGAGTGAGCGTCCATAGAGAGCGTAGTAATCTAATCAGTTATTATATTGTAATTACGATGCGTAATTTACCACTGTGAAGCCCGAATTCTATTCTACGTCGCCCACGGGCAAGAGCATCTGCTTTGTCGATTCGTCTCTAAATACAGCTGTTCAATCTTGCATCTACTACGGCTTGCAAACGGCTGTATGTAGCGAGATTGAACAACTGTACTTAGAGACGAATCGAGAAAGGACAAAACGTTCTCCACAAGTAAAAATATATTTTATTCATACCCCGATTTGCGAGGCTCTTTCTTGTCGCCGGAATTCTCACTATTATAAACGGAACACGGATGTTTTGCCACGGTATAATATCGGATACCAGATCGTTGATCGCCGTCACCTAGTCTTCTAGTTGCATCCTGCCATGGAATATCTCAGCTATTCATAGCCAGTTTGACGATCTCACAGGCAAGAAAAAAGCGGGTCTCCGACAAATTGAATAAAGCCTGGCGGGTAACCGAAATTTATATTCAAGGCATATTATAAATATAGATATGTATTAACTATTATCCCCCTTAAATCTACGCAATTGGCGCATAAAAGCTGAAGCTCCCCTTGGGATCGTAGTTCTTCTTCAACGAACGCAAGCGGTCCTGGCGCCATTGATCCGCCCCATACCACGCCTTTGGTGTCTCGTCACCATAGGCATAGTTAACATAGGTATTGAGGCTGGTTTGTCCACTTCCCTCATAGAGGACCTGGCGAATCTGGTTACCGAGCTTGAAGGCCTGGTCATCGAGCGCCTTTCCGTTGGGCTTGTAGGTGAGGAGAGGGGCGACGAGGAGGTTATCAGAACGGTAGGCGTAGGCGGTGGCACCATCGCTGATTGCCTTTACTCCCTGAGTTGAGTACCCCTCAAACATGAAGAGCGCGTTGCTGAAAGGAGTCGAGGCGTTGGTGGTAGCCTGGGTGAAGAGATCGTATACCTGGCGCTGAGCGGTGGTGTTGTATGATTTGAGATAGATGGGGAAGCGGGGGTTAGCGTTTCCGGTAATCTGGCAGGGTGTATCGGAGAGGGAGATGCCGGTCCACTTGGCTAGGTCAAGGTAGGTTCCTGAAGCGGGCTGGACGACGATTGGGCCAAGGTTGTGGAAGGGCTGCGTGTAAGCTGGGTCGACGGCGTCTACTCCTTCTTGGATGAGGTACATGGCGATCACGGGCTAGAATGGTTAGAATACTACCAATACATCGATAGATTAAACTCACCTTTGTATCTAAGGTAGGATCGAAAAACCAGTACGACCAGTTATTCAAATCCGTGGGAATGGTACCGTTTGTGAGCCACATCTGGTTTGCAAGCTCATAAACAGCCTCGACCTTGTCGCCACTGAAGATGATAGTCTCCAAGGCATAGTTGCGGTGCTGGATGTCGTAGATCTTTGAAACGACAGAAGTAACGATTCCAAAGTTGTGACCAGCGCCCTTCATGGCCCAGAAGACACTGGAGTTCTTGTCCACTGTCATGATGCTGCCATCGGCTTTGACAACCCTCAAGGAAACGAATTGATCTGAAACGAGGCCATGGTGGCCCTGAAGCCATCCGTGACCACCTCCAAGGGCGGGGCCAAGGTAACTGACACATTCGCAAGTTCCAGTCACTATGGTGAGGTTCAGCGACCGGGGTCTTTTCAATTGCAATCGCCTACTCACCAGTTTGTTTTCCTGCCGCCCACAGAGTGTCGGTGACATTCTTAGACATAACTCCGCCACCAATTGTAACCGTTTGCCCATCTTTAGCGATTTTAATGCTGTTAAGCTGCTTCAGGGAGATCTCAATGCCATTTGTCATCTTTCCAAGAGTAGTGATTGATCCGTGAACACCATTTGTCGTAAGGAATGGCAGGCATTTGCTGTTCGCGAACTTTACCTATACATGGAAGACGAGTAAGTTACTGCCGTAGAAAGGCGAAGACGAAGTGACTTACGGTTTGGACTACATCATTCTCCGTAGCAGGAACAACAACAACATTCGCAACGGGCGTGCTCAGATTGGACCATCTTCCCACCAGCGAATTGAATCCATCCGACCCGGGTAGATAGATATGGGCGCTGGGCGAGAGGTTGCGCGCAAGTTGGGTGAAGTCTACGCCGCCACGTCCGTTGAGGCTGGAGAAAGAGACATCCGGGCGAGCTACAACTGCTGTGCAAGCGACGAGCGCCGCAAGGCTCAGGCTAAGTTGGAACATAGCAACAGGAATTTGCAGGAATTAGAAGACGGCGACGTGATTACAGTGAATACTGGTGTTAGGGGCAGGTGAGGTATATATAAGTATGTACATGCCTCTATAATTTACCAACCATGAGTGGCGAAGCATGGCTCCCCACAGTTTGTTGAATAAACGGAATTACAGCGCGTCGTGCTAAACGTGTGGCTACAGGGTAATTTAACAGGGTCTGTGCGGGCGGGATGCTTGGAAGGATTTTACGTTCTGATAGCGGGCCATTAAAAGCTTCAATAGATAGCAACTATTGAGTAGGCTCTTGGCATTTAAATCTCACGCAACTCTATTAGCATTTTGGTCAACTTGCTTTCTAACTTGGCAACGATAACAATCCCCCTAGAAGCTTCTTTCTTCGTCTCACTAGGTAAACATTTGGACATCCTTGACTCGTCGCGAGAATGGCGACTAGTTTCAGAGATAGCTAAAATTGACCCCGTTCACTATTCCCAAGATAGAAAAGTGGTCGGTTTTCAATTCTGCAGCAGCATCCTCTAAGCTACAATCAACACGGCACGGGGGCAGCCCAACAAGGTATGAAACCAGAGTTTGGACCTCGATAGATCGGCGAAATGCCTTATCGAGCTAGCATGTGGTTTAGCTCTATGACACTACCAGCCGTCGTTGCAATTACCATCATCTCCGCGGACCCCTGACTTGACCATAATACGAACGCCACAGGCGGACGGTACCAAATTTGGTAGTAATCTGTAAGATTTGCCGACGACCGGCCATCTTTTACAGTGCAGTTTGCATAAGAGCATTTCTTCTAAGCGATGCACGTTCCCGTCGCTGCAAGAGACGCAAGGGTTTTCCAGGGCCCGCCATTTACCAGTCACCCAATTAAGCAAGGAGTGCGTGCCGATCCATCGAATTTTAAGCACTCGAGGGCAAAGATCTACAACCCTGCCGCTCAACCGAGTAAGGCGGACGCAATGACATATGTTCTCGACCTTCTAACTCTGGTAAAATGTCTCGGTTTGCGGTCAGCCCCGAGTTTCAGTGCTATGCTTGTGAAAATCCATGCGCATGTCCGTACAAGTACAAGCGCATCGCACTTCTCGAGTCGCCGCCGTCCTCGTCGTCGCCAGAGCCTCGACTCACCTCACAGTCTTCGCCATAGTCAACTGGGTTGATACGTCTACAACCCGATGTCCGACCCCCAGGCAGCAGCGGCAATAGCAGCAGCTGTTCGCGACTTCAATACCGAGTTATGGACGCTGTATGCGTTCGGCGTCGCCATAACTATTCTCAGGACAATTGCTCGGGTGAAGGCCGTAGGCTTTAGGGATCTTCAAGCTGACGACTTTATCATCTGGATTGCTATTGTGCGTTTTTGATGTTTTCTGTTACTGTTACAACGCTAATCCGATTTTTCAGTTGCTATATAGCACACAGTCGACTCTAGCGTTCTTCGCCGTCAATCACGGCCAAGGTCTTGCGAATAATGGAATGACGGATGCCCAGCGAGCTGCGTTGGATGTTAATTCAGAGGAATACGATCTTAGGTACATATTCTATAAGAGGAGATTGAAGTGGCTACTAACGTCCTGCCAGAGTGTTTGGTTCCAAAATCCAAGTGGTGGGCTGGACCTGTTATTGTTGCTTGATTTTCACGCTCAAGATGGCAGTGCTCGTTTTCTACGTGCGACTTATGGTACGTTCAGCCCTGTAAACTTTTGATCATTGTTAATTCGTGGACTACAGGAGGGCCTCAGCAAGAAATTTCGAATTCGCATCTGGGCAGGGTTTGGGATCGTTCTTTCAACCTTTCTCGCATCGATTATAACAATATACGCGGCATGCCGGCCGCTCCATAAATACTGGCAGATCAACCCAGATCCCGGTAGTAAGTTGATTTGTATTCGAGCTGCCCAGTATCTGCTAACAGCCTCATAGATATGTGCCAAGGTGCCGTGGCCAAGCCCATTGTCTGGGTTACTTTCATCTCGAGTGTGCTCACCGATATCTACCTCATCATGATACCCATTCCGATGCTTTGGGGCACGAAGCTGCGGATGGCAAAGAAGATCGCCGCGACTATCGTGCTTGGTGCAGGCGTGTTTGTCCTCATTTGCTCTCTTCTGAAGACTATCTTCGTCATTGTGGTGAGTCTCAATGCTGCGCACCATCCGTCGACAGTTTCTAACTCACGCGCAGGATGCCGAACATGGCGCCGAGCTTGCTGGCAGATGGGGCACACGCGAAGCCTTCGTCTCGGTCATCACCACCAATCTCCCCATGATATTCCCTCTCGTCCGGGCCTGGCTCAAACCATTATTCGGCAGTGGGTTCTTCTCATCTCACTCGCCATCCAAGAACCCCGTTGGGTTCCGAACCATCGGTGGAGGCTACCACAACGGCTCCAACAAGACTGGTGGTAGCCGTGGACGTAATGACTCTAGTCCGTATGCAGCCAGTGGTCTATCAATCAACGAGAGCGAGGAACGGATCTTCCAGAATGTAAAGATGCAGAATATCAGTATTAATTCGGAGCCGGTGTCGGAGCTTCAGCGGCCGCGGGATATTGTGGTTAATACGGAGTTCCGCATGACCGAGGAAAGATATATGCAAGACGGCAAGAATAATTCTGGAGGTGTCCACAAGTCTTGATTGCTTTTGGTTTTGGTACTATGGGTGTAATTGGAGTTGGGGAAGGGTTGGCGAAGGGAGTCCTGATGCTACACCATTGTATAGTATATAACCGTAGATATAATGGTAAATATGAGTTATGAATTATCTAATTGACGGGCGTGCTTGACGACTATAGTGTAAAGTATTGTGATGAAAGGTGCCATCTAATCTGAGATAAATTAATCCTACGCAGTCGGATATTTGGTATTTAGGTCTCCTGATTGAGGATTGGAAGTTGATATGTAATGAACAATTAAATTATTGTATAGTTGACAATGAGTGAATTTCTTTGTTGTGAAGCAGTGTTGCCCGAGTACCGCTCCGAGTACTACTCGGAGGACCCTCGAGTACCGGCCTCAAAATTGAAGCTCGAGTACCGGTATTCGAGTACTAGTACTCGAATACCCGAGTAGTACTCGCATATAAATAGAAATAGAAATATTACTATATATATACTATTCTAACTCATTATTTACATTATTACTGCTATCCTCATCGTTACCTTATAATATAATACCCTAATTTCTTAAGTAGAGTAGATATTAAAGCGTAGATGGTAATATTTAGTTTCGGAACGTAAGTAAGTAAGGTAAGGCTCCATTTATTTAACGTACTTGCATAGCGAACGGACCACCATAGCGAGTGGACCACTTTTTCCTACGTACACATTATAAAATAGCCGTACGAACACCAACCACATTAAATTAATTAAAACTACTCAGAATCGTCTTCTTCAGATGCAACTACTACTACGTGACAGGTTCGCGCATTATGGCCAGTGTTGCTGCATATGCCACAGCGTCGCGTACGTGGTTCAGCTACCTCTGTACAACGACTACCACGATGTGTTTCCTCCTTAATCTGCTTATCCACCTCATTCTCAGCTACTAAGTCTTTAGCTTCTTGGAAACTAAGTGACCCTCCTTGCCGTAAACGTGCTTTTTTAGCCCTCCGGCGCTTGCTAAGCACCTCATTAGCAGCTCGTACAGCCTTTAGCTCCGCCCGTAGTAACACTAGCTCGTGTGCTATTTTCGACATACCTCGAGCTTAGGCATCAATTATAGTGTACATATGGGTTGGAGAGCTATCTTGGTGCTTAGCAATCTTGTTTTTAATAGTTGTAGACTGCTGATTAACCTCGTACGCTGTCTGAGGTGTCTTTGTAACCTAGGAGTTAGGAGTTCCTGAGCGAGAGGTTGGTGGAGATGGCGTAATAAGCTTTGGGTCTAGGCGAGCAATTACTAACTTAGGGTCGTACGGAAGAAGACCAGTAGCCTTAAAGCCTGCTTGTATGTTCTTTTTAGTTATAGAAGCGTTAAAAGCTTCTAAAAATGCAGCGAAGAAGTCGTCCTTAGTAATGTAGGTAATCTACATCCGCATCATTTTCTCAATTTGCTTGCCGTACGAGGTCTTAAGTGGGCCAAAACACCTAACATTAAGAGGCTGGAGGAAATGAGACGAGTGAGGAGGCATGCAAAGCGTGATAATGTTGTTCTCTTAGCAGTAGTCCTCAAAGTTAGAGGAGTGATGGCTTTCGTGACCATCGAGGACTAAGAGGCGATAAACACCCTTCGTACGAGCTTTAGTATGCTAATTGAAGTGTTTTATCTAATCTAGGCTAATCTCGTTTGTAGTCCAACCGTTTTCGCTCGTGTGAATCCTCTAATCCTTTAGGAATTGGCCGTTTTGGTACTAGGATAGGAGGTGATATTTGCCTTTAACAACCACGTACGGAGGTACTGCCTAGCTAGTCGCGCACACACCCTAGATTACTGTAACCCATTCTCGATTGCCTGGCTGCTTCGTACGAGGCTTGCTACGTCGTTCGGAGCTTGTAACCACCTTTGCGCTTGAGAGCATGCCCATTAAAAACCTAGTCTCGTCAAAGTTGTAGATATCTGCGTCTTGGATGCCGTACTTAGTAATAACATTCTGCACAAGCGTAAACTAGGCTCGTACGACATTAGGATCTTCGCATTTAGCCCTCTGGTAGTCAATTTGACGTCGAAAAGCCATAGTAAGCTTAGGGTAGCGCTTAACAAAGTTCTCTGCCTATCGTAGTCTGACGCGTGACGCGTTACAGTCCGTACGAAGACAATTAGCCATTTCTTGAATATGGCTTTGCTAGGGCTGAAATCCTCGTGAGTCTAGGTCAAGTATACGTCGAAGAATCACAGATTCCTTAAGATTAGTTAATTTTCTAGAGTTGGTAGAGATATCGCGTCGTGACTTCTTGCCATCGCGTCGTCGTAAAAGTGTCGTATGAGGGACTTCATAGATCTTTACTGCAGCTCGGCTAGTAAGATTTTGGTCGTTTTCAAGTGCTTTAAGGGCAAGGATTATACGACATTCAATTGAAGAAGATTCCATTATAGTTCGTTGAGAAAAGTCGCGTTAATGGTAGGAAGTAGTAGATGTAAGGAAAAGTGGTCCACTCGCTATGGTGGTCCGTTCGCTATGCAAGTACGTTACTCTTTTTACACTTAATTACCCCTGTTTGCTAAGGGCTTGGCAGTACTCGTAGTACTCAGAGTAGTACTCGGGTACGCGGGTGAAGAAAAAAGTGGCACGGTTTACTGCCAGAAATATACCAGAAATGTGCCAAGACCCGTGCCACTTATTGCTTCAACCGCGTATCGGGGACTCACCGAGTACAGTAGTACTCGGGTACTCGGCGAGTAGTACTCACGGCGAGTACTACTCGGGCAACACTGTTGTGAAGTGAACTTGTAATAACCATGTAAATGTTCGATGGGGCCTCTTAACTCTCCGTTAACAACTTTCCCAAACCGTCGGCCTCCTATCCTGGCATCCCACGCCCGAAACGCCGATACACTACAAGCGAAGGGATTGTCTTCAACTTTACAATTAGAATCGATTTCAAACAGATTTGCGTAGTAAAGTTGAAGAGCATCCCACAATGGCACTGTTTATATCACCGGTAAGCAAAAACTCAAGGTACGATTCTCACACACAAAGTAAAAACTTATTTATCTCAACAGCATACAATTACATACATTCATTTGCTATATAGACCCAACATCATTTCCTATATCACCTCCTTAAACCTCGAATCCCGCGCCGGGCTCAACGGCCTCGAACTCTCAAAAATCGGCATCGCCACATCTGCATCATTGAACTGATCCCTCGCCTCCTCCGATTCATGCCACTCCTCCCTCGGCGCCGCTGTTTCCTTCGCCGGGTAAGACGCCAACCCACCACCCGCAGCCGACCCCTCCTGCTCCTGCGAGTACTTGGACCCATCCGTGCCCGTCAAGAACTTCGATACAGGAACCTCATTCTCATCGCCATACATAGCCTTGGAAGCTACCTGCGTCGGCTTCCCATTCTCATCGCCATACATAGCCTTGGAAGCTACCTGCGTCGGCGTCCCATCAGGCTGCTGCGCAAGCGAAGCACCTCCGACAAACAGGCCACTGGAACCGTTCTGTTTCTCCTGCTCCTCTTTCTGACCCTTGCTCGTCCGGCGGAACGCCGTCTTCAGCCACGACTTGACGCCCTGCTGTGACGTTGTGGACGTCTGGGATGGCCGCGTGCTCTTCTGGAGCCGCGTAAACGGCAGCGAGCTCTTGCCTTTGTCGGTGTACTCGGAGACGGGGATCTCGGGGACGTCCTCCTCTTCGATAGGCTCGGGAGGTTGGACGGCTAGAGTGGGCGGGGCGGGCTCGACGGGCTTAACAGGCTCGGCGACTCGGACGTGCTGGGTAGGTGGTGTGATTGGGGCTTGCTGGACTGGCTGAACAGCTGGAGCGGGCTCGACATAAGTTGGCTCGACACGCTCAACAAGTGGTTCATAGCGCTCGACAGGTGGTTCATAACGCCCGACAGGCGGTTCGTATTCAGCGGTGGCGACTCGATCATACTCGGAGACACCTCCACCGCCACCAACTGCCCCGCTCATGGCCATCGGCTCTTGCACGTAGGAATCCCTGCTTTGGGTGCTCTTGGTCTTATTGCTCTGCCTCGACCAGCGCTTGCTCTGGCGCTTGAAGAATGTTTCTTGGCTCTTCCTTTCCTTCTTCTCGTGCTTGTCATGTTCTTACACTGGGGTTAGCAAAGTACTTTAACACGAGGTGGAATCCCAGACTTACCTTTCAACTGCTTGTCGATTTCCTTGAGCTCCTGATCACGCTCCCTTTCCCTCTCAATCCGGCGCTTTGCCTCTTCCTCGTCCAGCTTTATCTCGGTCCGGCGTGCTTGCTCGGCATCAGACTTAGTATTAATCTGGTGCAGCACGGGCTGGACGTTCCTGAATGCTAATGCATCGACTGAACTACGATCAACAAGGGCTCCGTTTCCAATAGATACCTTATCCCCTCGTTGCTGAGGGACCTGTTGCTGTTGCACGCGCTGCTGGGCAATCGCCATTGGCAATGTCTCTTGGCCCATCATAGACGGAGTAGGTCGTCCTGTCTGAGCATAGACACGCTCATCGATGCCCTGGAGACTTCTTTGAACGTTGCGCTGAGCCGCGGCAAGTAGCATATCGCGATCTCTTTGCCTCGTTTTGGCATCAATTTGTGACATGTCAGATGAGTATAGCGGTGCTGCTGCTTGAAACCTGACGTTTCCTCTCCGGTCTCGACTCTCTTCCAGCGATATATCACTTGAAGCGCGACGACGGAAGCGCCCTTTGGAAAGCCTCTGGGATGGCTGGGGGGTACCGTAATACTCGAGATACTCGCGGTTCTTGAAATTCTCATCGTGAAGCTTCGCCAGGCGCTCTTGAGCAAGCCGTTGTGCGGCTTCTTGAAGGTTGCCGTATTTCATGGGCGTCGGCTCGTTACCCATCAAAGACGTAGACCGTCCCCTCCCATGCGCTGCAGTCGCGGCATACCCAGCCTCTCCGGTTTCCTTCTCGCGCTTCTCTATAATCTTATACATCTGCTGGGCCATTGCGACCGCAGAGGCGTGCATGCTATCCTCCTTCTGTTTCTGGTCGGCTTCCGAGGGTTGGGGCGGGTGTGAGGTGTATCTTTCCTTCCCCATGTTAGTCACTGGGGTCGCGCCGCCCTGTGGAATCTCGAATCTCCGTCTCCTAGATACGGTGTCCGCGTGCGTTGCTGCGCGCAAAGCGTTGGCGCGCGCATTCATCTCGTCAGGGTATTTTGGTCCCAATGGAGGAGTAGAGTCCGCCCGTGGCCTAGGGCTTGCCATTGCTCCGGTCGCAGCCATCAACGAGCGACGTCTGTTCAACTGCGAGGCCCTATCGGGGGTTGGTAGAGCTTGTAGGCTTCTTCTATCCTTTTGCATCGCCACGTTGGCAGCTGAATTGCCGAACCCGGCAGATTTCGGCCTGGGTGGTACGGCTTTTTGATCAGCTACTCTCAGGTCCGACTTCGCCGCCAAAACTGCAGCTCGAGCTCCACTGGCGCTCTGTTGAGGCTGCCACGACGGGTTTGACCTGCGCGTCCAGCCTATAGTGGCAGCGGTCGAAGCTGATGTCGTCGGGTCGGGTTTCCAGATCTCGACGGGCTTTTGGTTGGCCCATCCAAGATTCGCGGCTGCGCCGGCATGCGCATCTCTATTTTGCCGGTTGGGTGGCAAACCGACAGAGGGATAGCTAGGCAGGTCTTGGGGCCGAGCATATTTCAGAGAGGCGGCGGCACCTGGCAACAAGTCAGTATGGTTTGTAGACGTGAGAGTGGGATGATTTACCTGCCGACGATAGCTTGTTGTTGCTGTCAAGATAGCGAGAGCCGCTGCCATTGGTAAGTGTAGTGGAGCCCATTGTTATCAACAAAGCTCCCAGAGCTCACAGCGCGCTTATGATATCGCTCGGAATTGCCGGTCGTCGGTATTGTAATCGCTCGTCGCAGCTCGATTGACGCTCCGAGTGGGAATGAGTCGGTGGATAATGATACAATAATTGTACAGTAGGAAGAGAGCGTGTCTAGATACTCGAGCCCATGCGACGGATCAATGGACGAGTACTACGCCTCCGTTGGTAGTGAATGATGCGACTGAGGTGAAAGAAGTTTGGATGTGGAGGAAGGAGAAGGTAGTTTGGGGTGGCAAGATATGATTCTGAGGGCGATAGAGATGGCAGGGCTAGACTCTAGACTGGGAAAATAGCTGGGTTTCCTAACTTGGTCTATGATGATCGACGTGATTAACGACATGACCGCATCAGTCTGCTTTGACGCAGTTCAGCCACGCCAAATGAGGAAAGGTTTCATCGGATGGCCGAGTCTGACCCAGATACCGGGATCGTGACGTCATCATACATTTGTGACAAGAACCCTACAAGGGTGCGCTTATGTTGATCGGTGAGAAAAGGCTCCGAGTGCCGAAGAAGGGGGTTCGAAGATTCTGACTATAGAGATATTAGCTTTCTGTATTGCCTCATGTTTTGGACATACGTATTGTAAGTTACTATATTTACAATAATAAATGTATGTTGTACATCAAAAGTCGAGAGGAACCAACACGCAATGGTGGGTGTACGCCAAAGGTCACTACTACGTAATCCCCCCAATCTCAATCGAATGCCCCAAAGAATAGTTAGACCAGAGCCATCTGATCTAGCGGGTAAGTCTCGCCGCCGGTAGTTATACTATATGACGGCGACCATCTCGTCCACGTTGACCCCGAGAAAGGCAAGTATCGTCTTTGGGATGAAAAAAAGTTGTTTACCATGACGCTAGGTGCCCGAGAGTGAGACAGATGTAAGTCAGGGTGAGTGGAGGCAGTGAGTGAGGTGGGTGAGCAGCAAGATGGGCGACTTGGTGGGTGTAGAAGACGGAAATGTTGAATTGCACGTGGCAATAACCCAATAGCAGGGTGCTGCGAGAATCAGATTTAATGATGCGATGAATGCATCAGCTAAGCTAGCCGGAGTACGACAAGAGCTACTAGCAAGTAAGGAAGACACGGAGAAAATCCAAGCTGCCATGAGACAAACTGAGCACCTCATGGCAGAGGGCCATAGCAGCAGAGTGACATGAGAGACAAATCTGCCGCCTGGTCGCAATTGGAAGCGAGTCTCCACGCAGAATATCAGAAAGCTTCTGATAGCTCCTCTTCCCAGAAAGCTGCAATTGCCAACCTCGAGAGGCGTATCCGAGAGATGACGACGGAGAAGAACATCATTACAGCCACTGGCGTCGAGGCAGTTAGGAATCTCGACACAGCAGCAGCAAAAAATGTATTCCTCGTCACGTATGGCGGTAAGCTTAGAGAGAGAATTACCATGGCCGAGCGAGGTCAGAGAAATCTTGCAAGCATGGTCGAAATCACAGAGATGGAAATATATGTATTACCCAAATAGCCGCTGAGGCAGAGGCCTAATCCCAGCATGCCCACAACCAACTAGAAAGTGGTACAGTCGCTTCAAAGCTGGCGGTGAGCATCATAGAGGAACACCAAGCACGAAATGATCAGCTCACTCACCGCCGTTTCCAGTTACACATCATCGCAGCTGGGGCGGCTGGTGTTGTGGCAGCGAAGGCGGCAACCAAGGCGTACGACAAACTGCGGGATAGACATGATAAATCCCAAGACGACCGCTCCGTGACAAGTGCACAAGACGACCTACGGAAAGGCTGGCAACAGAGTTGGCAGCGCACAAGGACAGCTCAACGGGAGCTGATGCACAGTATAAGGCCCTGGGGTCTTCACATAGTGAAGCGTTCAGGATCATCGAGGAAACCAGGGGTGCCCTTCGACTAGAGTCAGGGACTTCTCGCGCGTTGCGACCTGAGGTTGAATTCCTCACTGATGAGGCGCAGTCACAGGCACGGCGAGAAGAGAATCTCAGCCAGTGAGAGGCTGATCTTGGCGTCTCGAGCTGAGGCCTAGAGAAAACACTCCCGGCAGATCGCGCTCCATGGTGCTACAAGTTGGACAGTTGCCTCTGCAGATGCAGAGGCAACTGCGACACTAGGCGGCTTAACGCCAGGCAAATTCATAAGCACACGTTACGATGCGGAATCTGTTGCACTCCCGAAACTGTCAACGTCAAGAATTCACAAAGAGAATATGTTACCAGGAGAAGACCATACAAGCCCGCATCCGGTCATCCTGACGGCATCGGCGTATAAAAGAACATTGCCGATGGTGAAGGCGTCTCTCATTCTCCGCGGCGTTGACCATGATGACTCGATAATGCTGCAAGTAGAATTGTAAGCGGAGGTTACAGAATTCGATCGTGGGATTGTAGGTGTGGTATTCGCTATGCTTATATACAGGATACAGATAACCAGCCAAGCAATCCTCCATCAGCCTCACGCCGTCAATCCTCATCATCGGAATCATCATCATTGGAATCATCCCCTCCCGCGCCTCCTCCCACGTTTCCTCCCCCTGTGGTGGCTCCCCCGAGAACCGTTCCTGCCCCGACATTCCCCCCTGTGCTGCCTCCACCAGTATTTGAAGCACCGCCTTCATCATCATCATCGTCGTCGTCGTCATCATCACCATCATCTCCATCCCCAGCATTCGCCTGAATCGGCACCGCCCCCGCCGCCGGCGCAATCGGCGCTCCCGCCAACGCCGCCCATGTCGCAAACTCCGCACTTCTCGCCAACCCCAGACTCGCCGTGAAGTCTCCAAACCCACTATCATGGAAGCCGAGGATACCCGCGCTCGTTTCCGGGCCTCCTACAGCTGTCTTCGCCAACGCCCATCCCATCTCCGCGTCTCCAGCTGTGTCTGCCGCGCCGAGACCGAAGGCGGCGTCGAGACAGCCTTCGCATAGGAATGTGTAGGTGAGGAAGGTGTTGCTGACGGATGTGCCTTTGGCGATGGGGCGGATGGCGAAAGAGCCGGTTACTTCGGGGGGGTTGTCATCTTCGTTCTCGGCTTGACGAAAAGAGGAGATTACGTTCCCGGCGCCGTCGGACCAGGCGGCCAGGAGGAGTGGGCCTTCCATGTCGCCCGTCATGGAGAAGCCGCCCCAGCCGTTGCCGCCATTGAGTGGGAAGGTTAGTTGACCGATGAAATCTGTTGTGGGTTCGGTGGGGAGGGCGATGCCAAAGCCGAAGGTCGTTTTGGCGCCGAAGAAGCGCTGGAAGGATATGCCGGTGTTGGGGTCGGTGAAGGCTGTTGTCCCTTTTTTTTGGGCGACGGTGGTGTCTGTGAGGGTAGAGAGGACGAGTCCTAGGAAAAGGTAGGCACTGGAGTGAGCCATGATGTGTAACGTTGAATTCAGAGATATATGATTGTACTTCGAGGTAAGAAATGGAAAAGGCAGATATTCGTGTTCAAAGCTGCAGAATGAGAACTGCAAGATGAGTACAGAAAGAATACGACAGAGGGAAATCCATCAGTTTATATACCCATAATAAATGTAGCTATTTTGAAAAATGAGACATGCCCAGCTCTCTCCTGCCACCAGTCTGCCGTACTAGACTACCATCTGCCGCCCATCAATCAACATGATCCAGCAATTCACCGAGAACAAGACCTCAAAATAAACATCACACGCCACCAGCGATCAATCCCAATCACCGAGCGTCTCCGCAACTGAAAAAGTTTATTTCGAGAAGAGGGGCTGCAACATGTCAGTTTGGACAAGACCCTCAGCCAAGCACGCGACAATATACTATATGCGGGGTCTGACAAGTCAGCTTCCACAAAACCCGCAGCCAAGCACGCGGCAGTATTCTGCATGCGGGGTTAGTACCGCTCAGGTCGTTTTCACAAATGTTTCTAGATCGGCAATTCGGCAATCTGTAACGGAGAATTGCTATTATTAGCGGAAAGGTGGATTTCTGATTATTTGAGAGTGTTGTGGTTGGTGTTTTGGAAAAGGGGTAAAACGAGGACTCCAGACGGTGAGTGTCTCATCTGCCAACCCCCTGAAAAGCATGCACTTCTCCAGATTATCGCGATGTAATTAAAAATCAACTATGTAATGCATGTGATATATCCTTACCTGATACGCCCCCCTTTCAACCGCGAAACTGCACAACTTTCCGCGATAACATCTGGTGTGCCTATCAATTTATTCGTGCATTAGCGAAAGTTTGCTTCTACGGCTACTCTACCCCATAAACAGTTTACTTTGGTATCGAACAGCTCCCCTCGTCGTACACAACTTTCCCCATCCCCGCCATCCCCGCCATCTCCCACCACATAGTTCTCCCCTCATCCCCGCCGTCTCCTGTCTTTTCCATATCCCCAATGGAGATCAAGTCCCCCAGATCGTTGACATACTCGTAGACGACAATTTCTCCCCAGACTTCCTCACTCATATCTCTGCCTTTGGCCACCAGGATCGCACGGGGGACACTCATATATCGGATCGAGTTAATACACTGGCGCTGGCCGAATAGGACAAACGAGGTCTGGTTGGGAATCTGATCCTTCGGTACCACATAGCCTATGGCGTCGATCTCGATCTCGGTGTTGCTCAAAGCAATGCGAATATCAATTTGTACTCGAGTGGCGTCCGTATTCCGATAGGGGTCGTGTGCGGGTTGCGCAAGGTATTTCCTGAAGTCGTCCGACAGGAGGTCTTCCGATATGATTGTACTCTGGGCACTGGTAGCAAGACTGGTGGGATACAGGGGTTCTTTCATTTGTCAGATGGGCTCAACTGTTATGCTGCCCATTTGGACGATTTGATTGCAGAAGGATGGGAACTAGCGGGAGAGCAGCCCATTAGTGACGATGAAGTTGGTGCTGGGAAGATTGCGCTGGAGAGTAACGAGATGGCGGAAGCTGGTGCAAAGGTGGAGGGGGCGGGGAAGAGAAAGCGAGGCGACGATGAAGAAGACGGTGGTGTTGCTGGGAAGAAGAAAAGGGTTACTGGTGAATGCTGATTTGGGGGTATAGCCTGTATGTTTTAGCTTGTCCACTTTTGCTACCCAATTTAACTACAAACATCCGAAATCACGCGTCGTTCTTTCATGGGAGCATGATGTGTCGCGGGGGTGGCCTCTTCAAGTTTACTATCAGAAGTTGTTTCAAAGGGAATCCGTTTGTAAAGTTGAAGAGCATCACTTATACCATACAACTGTTCATTTGTGACTCTCTATAACCACGCCGAGTCTATTCTACAGTATCTTTGAAATTTGCCCGGATAGGCACTCGCTCTATCGGGATCATTGGTGACGGAATAAACTCGCCGACGCGGGCATGGCGCTCAAAGACAAATCGAGATGCATCCCCCCCAAGCTTTCCCTGTGACACATGATACGTAAACTTGTCGTCGGCGAGAGCCGCTGCAGAATCTAACAACCATTTCCTCCATTCCCACATCTCCCCATCCCCTTCTGCCCGAACAATCCCTTCAACATCCACCCCAGGCCTCAGCGGCGCAAATATCTCCATCATGTCATCGTTGGTAAACAAGTCGTTCCATACAAATATATGCACGTACAAATATATGCACGTACAAATATATGCACGCACTCACGTAAGTTTACGTCTGGAAGTACACTCGGGGAGAAAGGAGCGAGGGCAGGAGTTGATGCAACAGTCACATTGACATAAAAAAGAAGGCGGCGAAATGGCTAGCTTGTCCACTAGTTGTCATTGGCTTCAGAACTACCGATGCTCTCGGCATGTAAGTTAAATTGGCAAATATATCATCTCTCTAAAGCTCTACGACCGCCTCATCATCAACTTTAGTAGTGCAGATGCAAATGTCGTTCTGCTACTTACACCCTTTCTTCCGCACTCCCAACTTTCGCATGCGCGCCTACAATATCTTCTGTGGCTTTCTCATGCAGCGTCACCGTGACATCGTTGGTAAGCAGATGGTCTACATTGGGCGCAAAGATAGTCAAGATGATTCCAACGCCACTGAACGCGATGGTACTCAGAAAGACAGTCTTGAAAGCATCTGAACTCGCCTCCTGATATGCTCTGATGCCAATAGCTTGGATAGCGGGGGTAAGACCTACAACGGCTTCCCACGCCGTCTCGCCGGCAGTGATAGCAGCAATGAACGCTGGAACAGACGTTTCGGGGAGGCCCGCTTGGACTAGTGCTGGCGGTACTTGAGCTGGGATGGTTTGAGCGAGGCGGTTGGAGAGGATGACCGTATAGACACTTTGGCAAGGGAAGTGTTAGCGAGGTGCTGGAGAAAATCCTGGGAAATTTTAACGACTTACGTGGAGCAGATTGTTGAAATAAACGACCTCGAGGAGCCAGCAACTCCAGTAGCGGTGCCAATCTCTCGCTGATCGTCGATACTGATCGTGGCGACGACGCTATTCAGGATCTCGTTCCAGCCGATGAAAAATGAGGCAAAGAATATGAGTAACATTGCTCTGATGGGTGTATCAGGGTTACAGGAAGCGGCCGCTATCGAGGAAAGAAAGTCAGTCCACGGATCTTGAGTGTGAGCAAAGAAGGATTTGAGGAAGGCTTACCTCCTAGAAATACGCTACCTATTGTAAACACTGCCATGATTTGGTAGTTTGTCTTTTTGCGAAACGGAGCGCCAACCTAATTGATCATTAGCTGGTGGATCTCTCCGCTGATCGACCCGGAGTGCTTACAATTTCACCAGCCAAGATTCCCGAGTTCGATACGCACGATGCCCAGCCTGCCCACATGTTGCCGTGACCACTTGCATATAGACTAGCTACCATGCTTGGCCAAAGAATAGCCATTGCGTAGTAGACAGCGGCACCTAGAGACCAGAGTATGACCGATATGACCCATCCGCGGTTCTTAAAGAGGTGCATCGGGAGCAGGGGCTCCCTCAATGGCACAAAAGTCTCGTAGAGAACGAATAAAACGAGAAGGCTAAAGCCAACGACGATGGTGCCAATGACATGGCCACTATTCCAAGGGTATAGAGCTCCACCCTAATTAAGATGTTAGCCCGGTTTTACCGTCAACAAGCTCGACTTGCGTACCCAAGAAAGCCCCATAAGGAACAAGAGCAGTCCCATCGTTACGAGGAAAGTTCCAACGTAATCAAAGTCCTTGACGAACTTCATTTTGTGACCAGAACCGTGCTTCATGCTGAACGACGGAGGACGGTAGAACAAGTACCAGGCGAGTGTGGCAGCGGCATTGAGGGCGGTGAGGAGGTAGTAGATACTGTGGTGAATAGACGTTAGTGGATATTTGTTTCATAAGAATACCGGCGTTCACAGCCACAACTGTATGCCATCTTCGCATAAGGCAAAGATCAGAGTAGTGGGGTAGATTGCAGCTTCAATAGTCAGGGTCAGAATAAACAGAGAAATCGGCCTACCCTCTCCATCCAACGCTGGTTTTGAAAACAAAAGCATACGATATTACTGGCGCAAAGCCGCTGGTTGGAATCGCCCAACAGAACCTAGAGATCTCATCAGCTCCGAGTCCGGGTTCTACAACGAACTGCTGTAGAGAACTTACACAAAGCCAGTGGCCAGGAACCTATATTTAGTCGGCACAATTTCGCCAACGACGACTGTAATCCTGGTTGTCAGCTGTCATCCAGCAATGGCGGTAGATTCTTGTAATAAACTTACAAGCGTAAGAGAGTTGCACGGCGGCTCCAATACCAACTAGTGTTTCTCCAGCGATCAAAGCCGGTACGTTGGGAGCTATAGCACAAACAATACTGCCGATCAAGGCGATAGAATTGCCAATGATGAAGAACCAGCGGCGTCCAAAAATGTCCGTGAGGCGACCAACAAGTATGAGACCAATCGAACTGGTCAGTAAGTAACTGAGTGCTACCCAGGTGATGTTAGGATCGGGTCCTAGGTCCGCATTTATAAACCCGAGGCTGCAATAGAAGCTTAGTATGTGTTCAAATCAAAGGAAGGTCGCCCAGTGGTCTTACATAGGAGCAGCGAATCCGAAGCCACCTACACCACAAGCGAAGCTCAAGCCTATAGCGACCATAGACCCGAGGAATGATGGGCTGTAGAAGTATCCCTTGGGAAGATTCTTCTCGTCAATGGTGAAGTCACGGCCTTTGACATCATCCTTATCTGCCGTTGCAGATTTTGAAAGCGACGAATGGTCAATATGATCATATTGCGTAATACTACCGACGATCTTCTCATGGACGGTGGTCGCCATCTTATCAAATAGAATCAAGCGGGCGAGACAGCTAGAGGTCCACGCGAACACCTCTAATGGTCCGAAATTGGCGAGGCACATGGTGTCTTTTATCATCGTTGGAATACTGATCATTCAGGACCAGATCTGGACAAGATGATCCGGCAAGCGAGACTGGATCCCCATGGGAGTTGGAGACACAGAGGGGTTTACTGGATCGAAAGGTATGAGTGCGCTAAACAGATCGCGATACTGGGCAGGATCGCACCTGGGGCGTACTCTGGCTTACAGCTAGGCTAACTAGTGATGCAACTAACCGTGTGCAACATTGCCAGCGTGGGTCGTAGCGTAATACAGCTTTAAATGATGATTTCAATGGTAGTTTCCTTACGAACGTTGAGTAACGGTCATTCCTATTTGTGGTCTATGGTATTAACACACTGTAATAAATCACCGTCTAGCTAATAGAAGCTACAAGGAGTACACTGGTGTGCTTAGGGAGAGACGGAAGGGGGTACAGTGATGCAGGGAGTGTTAGGATTGTTTGTGATTAGTTGCGCTCAGGGAAGCTGCAGTCGGGAGCGTATGATGTTGGCAAGCAGTGGATACTTGGATGCGGGGAACGGGGGAGCGGGGTTCCCGCTAATGTGGAGATGCGGGGGTCTCGCTTATGGATATAGAATTCCGGGGTAGCTGGCTCATGACGGAGGCACTGAGTGCTGCTGGAGGAGTTGACGAATCTCCTGTATCAGGATCTCTTAGAACCATGCGGAGTGATCCCGAGGGCCAAGGACAAGTCGACGGGGATAGCAAAATCAAAATGACTGACTAGTATAAGAGGAACAGAGGTTGGGGCTGTAGCACTGACTAGCTCAACTTAGCAAGATTGACAACGGAGGTGATCGCCCCTGCCTCATATCTCCGCATGGGTTCTCTCTATCATGCGTCCAGGACCATTCCAGTGGGATACCCCTGGATTAGCTGGACCTTCCACGACTCAGGTAAGAGCGGTTCTACAGGTTAATCGCGCCCATCATATTCCCCATCTAGTGGACCGGATTGATAGCTTGGTGATGATGATATGAGAATCTATTTACACCCTACCCTGCATTGTTCCATTTTCATCGCTTATCTCCTAGACAGTTTCGCGCCGAACTCCTCTCGAAGAATGGTCGGATGCGTCGTGGAATAACAGTGTATCGTGAACCCGAGCTTGTCTGGCGACGGAGCTTCAACGAGTTTGTTGTGGCACAGGGCCACGGGCCATGCGATGCGACCCACCAGGTCACGGGGTCAGGCCTCGTGTCCTGACCCACAATGGCCATAAGCACCGCGAAGTAGATAGCTAGAAGAACAAGACTTGCATACATCACAATCTGACCTTCGTCATCATGAGTATACGCTGAGCCTGTAACCCTTTGAACCCTAAGCTCTAGCCTTCGTTCTTACCTTCTCCCGTACCCTGACCCCAAGATCCGGCCGGACGCCAGTCCGTGACAGGGTTGCTGTACATAGCTATCGAAATGGTACCTTTTATTTCATCCTTTAGTTCTCCACTACACGCCACACTGTTCCTGAAATTGACATTGGATAACCATATCCCCATTGGATAACTATATCCTTTTTGAAACTATGAAACCGGTCTTCGCGTTCCGATGGATGAGGCGCTACGGGGTCGTGGACTTTGCGCTCCAACTGCGTCGAAACCCAAGAGTGGGTTAGGCCACCCCGCCCTGCAAGGCGCAAAGGCATCATAGGGCACCATGCACTTGCCCGAGGCGTTGTCTTAGTAGATGCGGGGAACATGAGGCCCCTTGGTTCCTAAACTCCCCTCACCTTATCCTCCCGACACGCTTGCTGAACCACAGAACTAATGTGGAGAGTAGGCCTTAGAGTAACTCTAACTCTAACCCCAACCCACCTCTCATTTTCAGCATTTTGCAGCATGATTCTATTTAAGCTGCGATTTTCCACTTCTATGAGACTTTGCTGTCTCTATACAAACTTCTAAATTCTACTTTGAGGCTTAGCATTCACCCCAGTAGGCCTAAGCATCATGTCAACCCCATTCTCTGTGGCCGGCAAGACAGCCATCATTACAGGCGCCGGATCAGGTACGGATTCTCCTTCCAGCGGATCCTCGTACAACCACCAACTGACACGAACATAGGCATCAACTTCGCCTTTGCGCGTCTCCTCCTCTCCAAGAACTGCAACGTCGTCATTGCTGATCTCGCGCTCCACCCCGAAGCCGAAAAGCACTATGCTTCCTCCGTAGCCTCCCCACGCGCTGTCTTCTGCAAGACCGACGTCACGTCGTGGGCTGCTCTAGAAAATGTGTTCGCCGTTGCTATCGCAGAGTTTGGCCAGTTTGATATCCTCTGTGCCGGTGCTGGGATCTTCGAACCACCCTACAGCAACTTCTGGTACCCTCCAGGAACGCCCAAGAGCAAAGACGCACGCCATGGCGACCGCTACCTTACAATGGACGTTAACACAACCCATCCTATCCGCTCAACGCAGCTTGCTATCTCACACTTCCTGAACCCGCCAGCCGGCAAAGAGAGCGTCAGCACTACGAACCCAAAACGGGTCGTCATTTGTGGCTCTATAGCTGGTCAAGTTTCCGCGCTGTCCTACCCGCTTTATTTCGCCAGCAAGCATGCCATTTCTGGATTTGTGCGGTCCCTTGGTAGTCTTGAAGAGACTGGGATCCGCGTCGCAGCTGTTGCACCCGGGCTCGTACTGACACCCTTGATAACGGACGCACCGGATAAAGCGCGAATGGTGGATTTCAGCACAGACAAATACATCACCCCTGAAGAAGTTGCTAAAAACCTCCTGCGGCTTTGTGAGGATGAAGAGATTGGAGGAGGTACGATCCTGGAAATTGCGGCGGGTGGGAAGACAAGGAAGGTGGAGCCCCTCAATGATCCGGGGCCACAGGGAGAGGGTCACACAACCAGTCATGGGGGCGTGGTTGTGGACGAGGTATGGGAATTGCTGGGTAAAAACAGATGGGGTGTTCTAAACTGATTAGGTGAAGAGGAAGGAGTTAGCTTCGAGGCTGTTGCTTGTTTCTGCGTCATATCTGGAGAACTTGCTCCTTCCCGCCTAGAAATCTCAACTGTTGCGCTTCCAGAGTGATTGTTCTCTGTTGGCCGTTGTAAGGTGCTACCTATAAACTACGGCGCACCATTAATGTCGGCTGTGACGAACGCTCTCTATGGTCTACCTCCGCACTGCGCGAAGGAGGGCTGCAACTAGAAGGTGAGGAGCAAGGTTGTAGAGGGGGAAGACGATCTTGTCCAGCTTGTCGTCGTCGAGGGGGGAGCATGCCTGCATCTCTCGAGGCGTGTGCAAGCACTCCTCCTCCTCTAAGAAGAGCTGGCTGGACCGGGTCGTCTCCCGTCACCTGAATGTGACAAAGAAAACGGCCCCCCCGAGACATCGCCGATTGCCTCCGCGTCTCGATGCTTACCCTGATCGACTCTATCAAGATCCACGAAACCGCATCAAAATCGTCATTGCCGACGGTCTCGTCTCTATCACTCTCTTTATCGGCCGCATCGTCGGCCGCATAGCAGTCTGCATCGACGACAGTTGGCGTTGGTTGTCCTAGACTGCCGCAATATGTGACACACCCTAATCAAGGAGCTGGAACAGAACTAACACCAAATAGTGGATGGCCAAACCTTCACCGCCTTGTACTTCATGTATCACCCGTCCAAGCAACCCCGGGGCGTCACCTGGCGCGCATCTATCCGTGGGGCAGACTACGCCGGCCTTCTCCTCTTCATCGCAATGGACACCTTGATTCTCAGAGGCATCGTCGTGACCCCCTATCTCTAGCCAAGCTACGTCCGAGTCATCTGAACCCTTGTCATCGACTCCATTTGACTCATCGCCTTTGCGACTTGGGAGAATCTGCCTTTTTCTAAATTAAAGATTACGCCGTCAAGGATTTTCAACAAGAATAGAGGAAGAGCGTTTGCTTCCGCTTTTGTCACTTCTTCATGGGCATGACTTATTACTTCAACGTCATTTACCCGACTATGAACAATGCCCTTTGGGTATGGATCCTGTCTTCGGCCAACTCCTGTCAAACCTCAGCTAACATCACAGTCCGTCTGTAAATCAAGCAACTATGCCATCACTCTCTCCCTTCCCCCCAACGTTGGCTATGTCGCTGGCGCTCTCCTTCTTGCCGTCCTTCGGTAGCAGAGTCCGTCACGACGGCTGGCTGCAGATGTCTTTGTGTTTGACTACAAGCCATGCTTGGCTTCCGTCCCAGAGGGAGACCTTCAAGACTGGATCATTTGCTCAGAGTCTGGCGTACTCTGCCGGTGGCTCAGCTGCATGGGGACGGGAGAAAGGGAATCTGGGAGGAGCTAGAGATCGCAGAGACGTTAGACGTTGCAATTGAGCAATTGAGGAGTGGATGGGAATCTGTGGTTCAGTATTACAGGACTGGTCCAATTTCTGGAATGACACTGAACACGACCGCTACGCCGAGCTTGACATTAATGTCACGCATCCCATCAAATTGACCCGCATTGCCATCCGCGCACTTCTGCGCAAGAACAAAAAAGGCGTTGTTGTGGTTGTAGCTTCAATCGCTGGGTAAGTTATACTGGGACGTACTCTGCTGCGCTGTATTGTGCGTCCAAGCATGCGGATGTGGGGTTTGTGAGAAGTATGGCAGAGGTGGATCAGTACGAGGGAGTCAAGGTTGTTGCCGTTACTCCTTAGTGAGTTTTCTTTTCCTAAAAAAAATATGAGATTGAAATGTTGGCTAACCAATGGGAAGTTCTGTCGCCACCCCTCTCTGGCTCTCCTATATTCCTCTTTTTTTTTTTGATATGGTAGAAATTAACCTTAAGACTACGATCGGGCTGAATCGTTAGCCTTATGTTCGGGGGCTGGTGGCTTTGGCGACATCTGGATCTAGGGTGAAGGGATTGAGACGTGAACCCTGGGGTAAGATGACGGAGGCGGTTCACAGGGAAAGGCGGGATTTTTGCAGAGGATACAAAATCAGCCGACCCGGGTCTACACATGTTTCCTGAGTATAGCGGAGGCTTTTGACACGGTCTTCTTCAACCCACAACACACCTGCTACTCCGTTCAAGGTTCATCAACCCACGCCCTATAATCCTCTCGTCTCACTGACTAGTATAACCCCCATCAACCACTAGGCCAGCTCCAGTCATATAACTACTCATTGGACTTGCTAAATATGATATCGCTTGCGCAATCTCCTCAGATTCCGCCAACCGTCCAATCGGAATTTTCTTCAACTCCATAGCCATCAACTCTGAAATACCCACCCCCTCCTCCATGAGATTCGTGCGCACATACCCCGGACAGATGGCGTTGATACGAATACCTTTCTCTGCATACACATTTGAATCCCCCCTGACGACACCCATGACGCCGTGTTTGGTCGCGGTATAAGCAGTGGCAGGCGTGCACGCCGGATTACCAATCAATCCCAACATACTCGCAGTATTCACGATGACGCCGCGGTTGCGTGGGCCAAAGGGTGTAGATGCAAGAGGCTCTTGTTCCAACATCTGGCGGATTTGTTCGCGCTGGCATGTCCAAAGGCCGATGAGGTTGACCTCGAATACCCGCCGGAAATCTTCCAGGCTGGAGACCTCGTGGCTGTTGGCAAGAGGGCCAGAGGTGCCGGCGTTGTTGACAGAATAGTCAATTCTCTCAAAGGAAGAGACGATAGCGCGATGGGTAGAGATAATGGAGTCGGTAGAGGTGAGCTCAAGTTTCAAGGGCAGGACTTCGATGCTCGGGTGAGACGTTCGGATCTCTGCGGCTACTTGTTCTTGCTGCTTGATATTTGTGTCGAGGAGGGCAAGTTTATTGATGCCGTGTCTCGCGAAGGCGAACGCTGTGGCGCGGCCGATGCCTTGCGTTGTTAGTTGATTGTAGTGAGAACGAAGTGGGAGTGGTTCTACCTGATGCTGCGCCTGTGATGACCGCAACTCCGCTGAGAAGAGACATTGTACTCCGATGTTACAATTTGAATGACGAGGGAAAGGTAGCTGGGGTCAATCATCTTCTTAGACCTTTCGTAGACCTTCATGCTGAGCACAATCGTCCACGTGGAGGGTGCATCTATGGCATATCGAATCCATCAGCAAGGAAAACAATACCCAGATGCGGACCCAGGTTAGTCGGTATACAATTTATCCTCCATCACACAGAAATAGAAAAGGAAAACCACAGCCGGAGTTCAAACCCTTTTACCACAGAAACTGTCGAATTCGGTCTATTGCACTCAGTAAGGTACTTAAGCATCGTTGCAGGTGTCTGTGAAATGAGGGGTAACGTAGCGTCTGAAGGCTTGGCCCGACCATAAGCACCATTTATGGCGTCTGCTTCCACCCGCGTTGCCGCTTTCCTCGACACTTGGATTTCGACTAAAGAGCAAGTGTGTGGTGTGATACCATGTCACAGTGGAGAAGAGGAATGCGGGGGTGGAGAGGACTCCTGTTGGATGGATATCCAACTCCCAGGTCAGGGTTCGGAGCTGATCCTCCCTGCACTGGCAAAATCGGCATTGCAAGAAGATGCGAGCTAGGGGCTAGACCTGATAGAGAGGCAGTACGAGCAAACGGAAGTATACAGTAATGTTTCCTCATCCCAAGGTCAATCTTCGCCGCTCTCCACAGCATCTTCGCATATTCACGTGTTCAACATGTCTTCACAAGATTACTTCCATAACAAAACCATAGCCATCACTGGCGCCGCATCGGGGATGGGTCTCTCCCTCTCCCACCTCCTCGCCTCCCGCGGCTCAAATCTCTCCCTCTGCGACATCCAACCCGACGCCCTTTCCGCCCTGGCATCCTCTCTCACCCACAAATATCCCTCCATCCAAGTCCTCACTTCAGTAACAGACATATCATCTGAATCTCAAGTCGCCACCTGGATATCCTCCACGGTAGAAAACCTTGGCGGTCTGGACGGCGTGGCTAATATGGCTGCGATCATCGGCAACGATGTTCTCGTCAAGGCTACAGATGGGATAACAACATCAGATTGGAATAACGTCCTAGCTGTGAATCTCACGGGTATGATGAATTGTCTGCGCTCGCAGATGCCGGTTATGCGGGCTGGAGGTGCCATGGTGGTATGTTCTAGTGTGAGTGGACAGAGGGGATTTGCGAATAATGGGGCATATTGCGCGAGTAAACATGGAGTTATTGGACTTGCCAGATGTGCGGCGAGGGAGTTGGGGCCGCGTAATATCAGGTTGAACGTCGTCGCTCCGTGAGTTGTCCCTAGACAAAGGGAACATGGGGGATGCTAATTATTGCAGAGGCCCCATTGACACACCGCTTATGAACCAATCTGATTCTTTGAGAGGAGATAATATGAATTGGAACCAGTTGGCTCTTAATCGTGTAGGGAAGCCCGAAGAGGTGGCTAAAGTGGTGGCATTTTTATTGAGTGATGAGGCGAGCTTTGTTACGGGCGCGGTGGTGAATGTTGATGGCGGGTGGAATTGTTAGGAGCAGAAGAATGAATACGATCGTATGCCGATTCTATGATATTGAATGTCGTGAAGTGAGAATATTTGGACCGAAGGAGGGAAAGGTACCCCGCTTTTGTTCTTATCCTGCTAGGAAGATGATACCCGACTTCTTCCACTCAGTGGAGACACTCTTCTAAGTTATAGCCTCGTCCTCGTCCACCTCTTCCTCCTGTCCATCCATCAACTATCACCGTCTTCGTATCTCCTCACCAACACCATTACCATGTCATCCACAACCCTCCCCTTCTCCACATCTCACACCGGTCTCACCCCTCCTTCCCCCGCCGACCTCCTCGACATCACTACCCTCCAACCCCACACCTTCGTTTTCCCGCAACTAGCCACCAACCCTAACATACAACCCCGTGTCCGCCTCCTCATGTTTTTCAAACGTCTGCCGCATATCTCAGAATCAAAGTTCCATACCTGGTGGGAGACGGTCCATGCAGATTTAACGGTGAGCGTGCCGGGGTTTAGGAAACATGTTCGGAGGTATGCGCAATTGCATGTTACGCCGCATTGGAGGGATGTTGCGGCAGGGCTTGCTGGAGCACCACCTGCAGTTGAAGGAGATGGGATCGGAAATGGAGATGACGTTATGATGAGACCCCTGGGCTTCGACGCATGTGGAGAAATGGTCGTAGATTCCGTGGAACAGTGGCAGGAATTCGCATCCGATCCCGAATTTGCAAATAAATTGCTCCGTGAGCCTCCTTCTACCCTCATCCTAGCTTGAAGGGAGTGAAGTGCTGATAAGAGACAAAAGCTGATGCGGCAAACTTCATGTTGACGCCCATCTATGTCTTTGCGTCGTATGAAAATCTCATTGTTGGCCCTGCTATGCCAGAGAGTGGTGGTAGGGATGGGTTGGGCAAGGAGGAGCTGAATGAGAAGTTGGAGAAGAGAGAGGAGAAGATGTAAGCATGCTTTACGTGCATAAATAACCGTTCAATTCTCATTCTGTCAACGAAAACAAAATCCTTTCCGTAACTACATAAGACAAGAGTCGTAAGGTTATCGCATACAAGTTTGTGGTGCGGCCGCGTTTTGAAATCAGAAAGGAGATGACCAAAGCGGTTGCTCCTAGCCTTTTATCTTGTTACTGTCAGTAAGTCTTTCCGGCCTCAAGGAAGTCGTCTTCGCGTTGGTTGATCAACACCTTTGATTTCCATTCATCTTCTCTCGACTCTAACCCAGCGGGCTGAGGCCCCCAATGCTTCACATAGCTTATGTGGTATTCGCGCTTTGATTCACATGTAAAGTCCCTGAGACTTACAGACATGTTGTCTTTGAGGCACAGTCGACTTTCGGTGTTTCTCCCTTACCTTAGATCCCATACCACGTTGTTCATCCTCCGAGTCGGGGAGCAGTAACGTTTCACCTAATGAGAAGCTGGTCTTCGCACTCAGCGTGAGTTCTGGTCAACCTAACCCATACCCCCAGGCCAGGTTTCCGCCAGAAACGCCACTAAATAGAGACAACACCACCCGCTACACTCTGAGGTCTGACTCGCTGCAGCAAATCATGCCAGTGATAGTTACATTCGTAAGGACCGCCGCGAAGTCCATGGTGCAGGCTAGCAGCTCTGAACACTGTTTCCTCGTCTCCCGCGCGATGACGAGACGGCGTTCAACAGGCCGCAGAGCTGCGAATATAGTAGGAGTTGGTGTCACGGGTACGGCTTCCCCCGGGGGGGGGGGGGGGGGGGGCCCCCCCGAGTCCTGGGGCACCCCCGAGTCCTGGGCGACTCCCGACCAAGGCTCGGGCGACATCCGTCTCCGTCGTTGGCGAGTCAGGGGCGCAGTGCTGTATATAGTAAGGGGGGGGGTACACCCTCTCTTCAAGGGGCCAGAGCTTAGTTTGAAGAATACAACGGTGATTGCTATCGCCCACCCCAGTGCCCACGGGCCTCGTAGGCGTGACACGCCATTCCACGACTAACACCCGAGCGCCACGCCTTTGAGGTTCAATCACGACTGTATCCACCGAGTCCCCGACAAGTTTACGAGGCACGGCCGAGTCCACCGTTGGCCAGTCGAGGTTCCCTACCCGAGAGACCCTAACAAGCCCTGGCGAAGCGAGCTAATAACAAGAGAGCCAAAGTGTAACGCTGAGTCCTAAATGTATAGGGTTCACAGTGGTTTCTGGCGTAAGGTTTAACTTATCAGAGGAGGCAGGGGATCAGACACAAAGGCTTGCAGTAACACGTTACTAAGTGTGGTAAGATACTGTATTTGAGTTGAGCACGAAGCTCCTATCTAAGAACTAACTAAAATTAATAAAGAAGATAATAATTAGCTTCTATAGCCTATGTACTTAATAGCTAATGCTAAATAAGCTCTTTATATATTAATTAGATTTACTAAAAGCTAGGAATCGCTTTCTTCTAATTATTTATAGACACTAGAGTAGTTAGAATTAGCAGTTAAGCGCATTTAGTAGGCATTACTAGTTTAGGGGACATTAGATACATAGATTATATAATATATTCTATTTTAGTTATAGCAATATACTAATTATAAGGATAGTAAAATAGTAGATAGAATAAATCGTTATAACAGGGGTTTAACTGTATATGTTCCGGCCCAACCACCAACTATTCTGGTTGGCCAACTGGCCGGTCAGTTGGCCAACTGACCGGCCGAACCACCAACTCGAGGTAGCTTCTTGGTGTAATTTCTATATAAAGTTACTTATTCCAAAGGTACTTACTATACGCACTCATTTCTACATAAATTAGTAGGTTAAAGGCAGCTTTTAGAAGTACCTTCTACCGCCTAATGAAATATAGTCATAACTATGACTTTTTTACTTCTAAATAGCATAGGGGTAGTTACAATTACAGTATATACGTAGGAATCATAATTATTAACTATTGTAGTATTGTATAGAAGAAATTTAGAATAAGTAACTACCTCGAGTTGGTGGTTCGGCCGGCCAGTTGGCCAACCAGAATAGTTGGTGGTTCGGCCGGAACATATATATAAGTTAATAAGAAAGACATTATAGCAAGTGAGGTAAAATCCTCTAGCTCCTCTCTAGGCAAGGAAACAGGGACTTGTTTGTGTGACACGGATGTCTCCATTAGTAATCTAAAATTATGCTAAACCTTGCAAGGCACCAGTGTTGCCCGAATACCGCTCCGAGTACTACTCGAGCATCCTCGAGTAGAGTACTGAAAATTAAAGCTCGACTACCAGTATTCGAGTACCAGTACTCGAATACCTCGAGTAGTACTCGAGCTTAAAATAGATATTGATATAAAACTGTATATTACTATTCTAACTCTTATTATCTGCATCGTCGCTGCTGTCTTCGTCGTCGCCTTGTAATAAAACACCCTAATTCTATAAGCAAAGTAGATATCTAAGTGTAGAAGGCAATAATCAGTTCTGTTTCTTTATAATAATATCACTACTAACACTAAATACTCGTTCTAAGTCTGCTAAGGTAGCTAGAATAGCTAGGTAATCCTTTGTAATAGAAGCAATTAATAGATATTAGTATTGCTTACTCTACTAATACTTAAGAATATCTATATCCCTACTAACTGTTAGCTCCTTTATCTATTGCTTCTATTCTAGCTTAATATTATAATAGCTTTATAATACGTATAGCTTATCTTCTAAGTTAATATTAATATTTATAGCTTGCTCTATGTCTAGATCTTTAGCTTTAATACTATTTATAACGTCTACTACTTAAATATTAGACTCGTAGCCTAAATATTAATAGAAGCAGTCCTACTACTATACTTTTGCCCTATTCTTCTTAGTTAAGTGCGTGCTATCTTTCTATATAATATTAAAGATGTTAAAGTTATACTAAGGGTTATAGATTATAGCAATTATAGAGTGGCTCTATTACTAATTTATAGCTAGAGTATAATAATCATTAAGCTTCTTTAATACAATTAATGTAGTAGTAGTAATTAGGCTTTATTCTAGTAGCTTACTTCTTATATCTTTAAGCTTCTTAATTATCCTTATATACTATAGAACAGTGTAGTTAAGAGATAGATAAGAAGAGCCCTATAACTTCTTAGTTAAGTAGACGAAGATATAGAATAGCTTTAATAAGTTATATAGCGTAGCCTAGTCTACTACTATTAAAGCAATATCTCTTATACTAATATTAAGTTGCTATAATGTATATAAAGCTATAATTAGAACTTAAAGCTTTAAAGCTATATTAATTATATAATAAGTTAAGCTCTATTAGACTAGCATATTGAGAGTGAACTAATAGACTTTAATACTTATAGCTTTATACTAATTCTTTAAAGCGTCTTTCTATCTATAGTAGTTCTAAAACATATATATATAAGGCTAGAGCTTAGTAAGAACAGTAACGATATTATTTTTAGAAGTAAGTAGTATTTATACTGCCCTAATTGTAATGACACAGGGCACCGTATCACGAGAAGTTGCATATGGGAGTGCGAGTCGGATAGAAGTCGGTGCAATCCTATAGGTCTACTACGAAGGATACAAAAAAGATGAAGGTGTAACCCTGTATGGCTGTTCCCTTAAAATACCCGAAGCCGCTCCGACTCAGCTAGCTCCCTGTTTGCCTAAGGCTTCCTTACGTTATGTGCCTAAGGCTGTCAGTCGCGACTGACCCGTAA